CCAACCCCAACCCCAACCCCAACCCCAACCCCAACCCCAACCCCAACCCCAACCCCAACCCCAACCCCAACCCCAACCCCAACCCCAACCCCAACCCCAACCCCAACCCCAACCCCAACCCCAACCCCAACCCCAACCCCAACCCCAACCCCAACCCCAACCCCAACCCCAACCCCAACCCCAACCCCAACCCCAACCCCAACCCCAACCCCAACCCCAACCCCAACCCCAACCCCAACCCCAACCCCAACCCCAACCCCAACCCCAACCCCAACCCCAACCCCAACCCCAACCCCAACCCCAACCCCAACCCCAACCCCAACCCCAACCCCAACCCCAACCCCAACCCCAACCCCAACCCCAATTATTTATTTTATTTTTGAATTTTAATTTGATATCAACAGTGTTAAATTAAAGTCAAAACAAACACGAATAAAGTTTGAAATGTATATATAGTTTTTAAGAAGAGTCTGTATGAGAATATATACACAAAAAAATATTTACAATTCATAGATTTAATTTTAGTAAAAATAAATAACAAAATATGAATCAGTGGTATGTTATTTCCTGATTGCTGTTTAAGTTTTTTAAAAATTACTGATCAATTAAAATTCTTTTGTTCCTAAAGTACAAATGATAGGTTTAATTTCTTATATGATTAAAAATTTTTTTGAGAGAGCTATTATACTTGTTAATCTCATTTGAATAATTGTTATGAGGAAAATAAATATTAAATTCTTTCATCGTTTCAAAGACATCATTTTTAGAAGTTAATGAAGTAAATGTGTAGTCTGGGATAAAAGGTGAAGATTAAATCACAAAATTATACTGCATTTCATCCTAAATTTATGATTTTTTAAGATTTTAATCATGCAATTAAGGCATATTATTTAGATATGAAGATTTTCTCATTATTTATTTATGATGCTATCCAGCTTTTGTTGCAGATAGAGCTTCCGAATTAATGTTTTTACTTGCCTTGAACTTGTAAAATTGATTGCTATGCTTAAATTGATATTCATTTATTTTCACTTCATCTTAAGCTTATTACAATTGTGATTTTCTAAAGTCTCCAAATCCTTTTTAAGTTATGCTAGAATGTTCAATGTTATCAAAGTTTTAATTTCGTTTTGTGTGCTCCCCATCATCTAGCATTTGAGATATATTATTTTACAACGGCCTTTTTGATTGATTTGAAGAACTATTAAAAACAGGTATTTATATTTAATGTCTATGTGAACTAAATTCATTATATTTTTGGTTTGTAGGAGTAATAGCAAAATCCTCATTATTTAAATTTAATCTTTTTATTGTAAATGGAGTTTCCTCTTTTACGAATTCAATTCCATTTTCTTCTTAATACTCCCTAATAGACTATTTTACAATTTAATTTTAGCATAGAGCATTTACCTATATATTTCTCTCTTCATCAGGTCTCTTTTTTCTTTAGACAATAGGTTAGCTGAAATTATTCTAATTTCAATATAAAAAATAAATATATAAAGCAATTTATTTCGAAAACTCATTTGAAATGAAAAAATAAATTATTTTAGAATAATTTAAATTGAATTGAAAAAATATTTAAATTAAACAAAAATTAATGAAAAATAACTTAAAACTTATTTTTAAAGATAATGTTTAAAAGATCAAATTAATTATTAAAATTTTTTAAAAATTTAATATTTTATATTAAATAAATAAAAGTTAAAAGGTGAGAAAATTAAAGCAAAAGTAGTCTAAATAAATATAAAAAATTTAAAGTAATTTATATTAAATTTTAAGTAAAATATATAAATTGAAATCTAGTTTTTAACTCAACAGCTTAACTTAACTTGACTTGACAAGATTAATTAAATTTTCAAATTAATAAAATGTTTTAAATTAAATTTGAAATAGGCTGAATTAATTTGAATCAAAAGGTTTTTAATAAGTTTGGATTAATTTTAAATAAATGAATTACTTTTAAAATAACTAGCTCTTTATTGGGAACAAAATGGATTTTTTAACATTGAAGGATATCATGGTAGAGAGAGCCACAGCTTTCGCATTTAATTTATAGGTTTTATCTGCTTTAAAACTAGAATTTATCTCTGATCATGCAAAATTGTTCATAGTCTGTAGGGAAATCTTTAATTAATTAATAGAATTCATTGAATTCTATTACTAGTAATTTAACTGGTTCCATGGTTTTTGCACTCATGGAATAATCTTAGTTGGAAAAAAATTCAAATTGTCCAAAAACATCACCTCTTTACAGAGTATTGGCCAAATGCACTTTGCCTGTAATTTAGTTTTCGTTAAGCAATTAAACCTTACCATTCTCTATAAAATATAATTTTTTTTCAGTGCTTTCATCGTAATATGAAAGACCTTCATGGTAAATGTATTAATCGTTTAAGTAGTGTTGACTTTTAACTTTTACAGCTAGCTTAGAAATAAATTAATAAGAGAAATTGTCTTTTAAAAATTAACAGCATTCTATTATTTTTATATTGGCACTAAAAAGAACCTTTTATTGGATTTCTGGATTGAGTTTCTCAAGTATTTCTCTTTCTTCTTCTAAAGAGATCATATTTTTTTAAGCACTATATTTATATTGCAAATATCTCCTCACTTCGTATTGAATTTCTGGTTCTATTTACTTTGACTAAAGAAACCTAATTTAAATTACATTAAAAAATTTTTAATATTTTCTTTTTTTCAATTTCTAAAAATTTTTATTATTTAATTTTCTTATTTTTACTGGATCAAATATTTAAAAGAATTTTTTGAGTTAAATAAATTATTTAGGATAAATCAAGATCAATATTATTAAATAAATAATTGACTGCTACCTTAGTGTTTTAGTCATTTCTATTGAAAGCTATTTACTAATCTTGTTTCTCTCCTGTACTACAATACCTATAGCGTTGAAGTAATACGCGAACATACAAGTTGCGCTCATCATAAAAATTGTATAGCAAATAACTTCGATGGTATTAGCAGGAGCTAGATCTCCCAAGCCGACTGTTGTCATTGTGGTAATCGCCCAGTAAAATGCATAAATATATTTAATGAACCAATCACCTTCTAATTAAACAGGTGAACTATTATAACGGGTAACCCAGTTGACTTTGCTGTCAATATGAATGTAAAGGCCTAAAAATAAACATGCAAATATATGTGCTTAGAAAAGAATAGTTAAAATAATCCTTGTTAATTTTAGCAAAACTATTAAATTAACCCAATTATTAGATGTAAATTTAGAGTTACACTTCTAAAAAAAATGCATAATATTTTTAAGTCTCAAGAAAACAAATATATTTATAAATTATAAATATCCTGTCACACCTAGATAGCTCAAAACTAATGGTACCATGCTCAAAAAATCGTATAAGAATCCAGTTTTTAGATAAAGTTTTGCGATTGCTCTTCTATTCATAACAATCAACCCTTTATCATAAAAGCCTCTGTTAAAATTTAGAAGTAATCCCAAAACAAAAAAGACGATAGAAGACAAAATGAACCATTCCCTTTTAATTATGATATAGAAAAAAACATAATTTAGTTAGCTAAAGAAAAGAAATAAAAATGAAGGATTTTGATCGATAATTAATGAATTTGCTTACCATTTATAACCATAAAGATCGTAAAAGGTTTATTTGACTGCGACTTCAATTGGTAAATAGACTATACAGAGTAGAGACATAACTACTTAAATGATTTCAAAAACATCTAAAATTTTAGAATGAGGGCTGAACGTGGGAATTTCGCAGACTTTTTGAAAAAATGAGCTTCTTTGAGCTAAGCTATAAATTGAGTTGATGTGATTAGCTATAAATGCAGTACTACCGTGCTTTCTTATATTTAAAAGATTACCGCTTCTCATTGATTAATTTTTAATATTTTAGCTTTGTCTTTTGATGTCTAAGGATTCTTCGGTATCAGTTTGTTTATTAGGCCATAGATTTTAAGCTGGTGTATTTATGTTTGAAAGATCACCAATCAGCTTTCTTTAATTATCATTTAAAGTATCTGGTCTATAAAATCCACAGTTTTTTTTCAATTTTGATATAAAATTATAAACTAGATAAGCCTTTTATATAAATTTTCCTCCTAAACCTATATCCATGATTTAATTACTTTTTCTAGTAATATTAACTACAGATTTATCTTCTGATTACAATTTTAGCAACTAAAGTTCAGTAAATAAATTACTCTTTCTTGCATTCTCGCCATATTTTGTAAGCTTTTTAGAGCTCACTTTAGGAAAAGATGTTTTTTTTCTATTTGGTGTTTATCGTGAGGCATTATCATTCATCCTTATAGATTATGTATTTCTAACTTCCTCTGTTTCTTTTATTACTTATGAATTTGTTACTTAACTTTAAGGACTTTAGTGTTATTAATTCAATTAGATTTAGTCTAAAATAGACTAACTTTAGGTGTTTGAGTTGACATTATAGCGTGAGTGAAAAATTGAATTTTAATGACTCTGAAAATTCTTATCTTTAGACATTTTTATCTCATAAAAAAAAGATCCTTGGTAGCTTTCTAAATTATTTGATTTTACATCTTCTTGACTCAAATCATCTGCAACTAAATCTCTATCCCTCGCATTTGTATCTCCTAAAGCTGGTTTTACAAAATCTGAGGCATAAACGAAAGGTTAATGGCGAATTTCTGATGAATTTAATTCTCTGAAAGTTGTTCTTTGACTAGACTGCTATGCGAGACTATAACTTTCATTTACTTTTTTTTAATCTAAACTAGTTTAATTATCTTAAAATATTGGCCTTCTCATGTAATTGTTTGATTCTACTTATTTTCCGTACTTTTATTTCAGATCTTTTAATATCAAAAATACAAAAAATTTATTTGAGAACAAACAAACAATATGATAAGGTTAATTTTTATAATAATAATTGCTATAATTATTAATAAATACTCCCTATATTATTGATTAATATAAAAAATAAGAAATTTTATATTACTGAACTTAAAAATTAGTGATAAATACCAAATTATTTTTATATGTCATAACTAGTGTTAAAAAAGTATATAATCCTTTACTATTATTGTTTTTACATTTTTAAGATGGATTTTTATACAAAAATCTTATCTCAAGCATAAAAATTAAAATTTCGAACAACTTAATTACATAAAATTTTACTTTTATGATATTTTCTTTGAAAATCCTCTATTTATTTTTGATTTCTTAGTTATTTTTTTATAAAAATACTTCTTTAAAGATATTTATAAACTTAATTATTCAATAAATAACTTAAATTCATAATATTTATTAATTTATATTCATTCCATTTAACTATATTTAATAATGAACCCATCTATCTGATCGATCATTAATTTTATGTTAAAATAAAAGTTTCTTTATTGAAAATACTTAAAAATCAAACTACAAATTATGTAAATTTTCTTTTATGTAAATTGCTGGAAACAAATCATATAAATTAATTCTTCGTTTTAAAATTTATTTTCACTAATCTATGCAGCTTCTTCATTTTTTTATTAATGTTGATATCAGAAAAGATTTTTAATTTTTAAAGATTATTAAATCTACTTAAACATCCATAAATATATTTTGAGTAGTTTTATTAAGTATCATTCACAAAGAACTTAAGGTATTATAAATTCTTAGATGGATTTAAACATAAATAGCTAAAAGACTCTTCGTTTGTGATTTCACTCAATGTTAAATTGATTGTAAGTTTTCTCAAATTTTTCATTTTATTAATTTGCTCACATAAAAAGTCAAAATCAAATTTTTATTATAACTCAATTAAATTTGTTATTTTAAACTTGAAAGTCTCTAAATGCTACAAATCTCCTAAATCTTAAATTATATTATTGTCTTGAAAGATTATTTGATTGTTTAGATAAAAATTAATGCTCAAGGATTCAAGCATAGTTATTTATTTTAGTGTTTGAGTCAGCTATTATAAATTATCTTAATTTATTATATGATTTTAAGCTATTTTAATCTTTATACTTTAAAGGTTATTTAGGATTTTTAAATTCATAAACAGCTAATGTAAGTCGTTTTGAGTTACTTTACTATTATTATAAATAATTAAGTCTAAATTTGTTAATTTTCTGATATTTTCAAAGCACCAGCTCATACTTATTAAATCTTCCTTCTTGAATAGCTAATCAATTTTTAACTTTAACTTGAATCTTTCATTCAAAGTGTTAATTTAATTATGATTATTTATTTAATCAAATTGAAAATACTTTTATTTATTGCAGTAAATTTATTTTTAAATTATAATCTCAATTAATTAACCGTTTGTAAAATCCCACATTAATTCAACATCTTAAATTAGAGGGAGTTCATCAAAAAGATTAACTAGATATAGTGTATTAAATGAAATGGATTAAATCCTTATCTCATTTAATAACTTTAAATTAGATAAATAGTACTTCAAATTAATACAATCTTCTTTTGTAAACCTTAAATCACCTAAGTCTATGAATAAACTATTTAATTTGGGTAATTTTGAAATGTTTTCAAACAACTCTTAAAAATCCTCATAGTTTGGTTCTTCAAATTTTGATTCTAAAAAAAAAAATTTCAAATCTGATGAAAGCTTTAAACTGTGGCTGAACTATTATCTTTAATTTGATGATAAAAAGGTTATATTACAAAGTTTTAGATCTAACGTCTTTAATTAAACTAAATTAGAAATATTTTCATTCAGTTTAATTATATTTTAATGAGAGATTTTCTACAAATTAATACCCAAATAAAAACTTTTTAGATCTTGTAAATAGTTAAAACAATCAATTAATAATATAACTTCTGTGTCATTAAAGATTACTTTACCTTAAAATTATATATTTAGGCATTCCAAATTTTTAGTTTACTAAATATATTTACTCATTTCTTGCAAAAATTAATGGCTAAGCTAAATTTCACCTTTAAATGTCAATTATAAATCTATGATCGGGTTTCTAGTAAGGTGGCAAAACAAATCACCAGAAATAAAAGAAAAAATTTCTGTTTTTTAGCTTAGACAAAGTTTAAATTTTTATAGCTTGGAAATATTTTATAAAAAATTTGGGATTTCTGTACTAGATAATCTTTAACTTTGTTCGTCTCCTTCGTATGTTTGAATACTGAGCTAAAATTCATTCAAATTAACTGCATCTTTTATAAAACTCAAAACTTTATTAAAGTATTCATATTATTATTATTATCTTATACTTATATTATTATAATTATAAACAGTAAAGCTTAGTTATTCCAAATTTTTTGAAATATTCTAAAACTCACTTAAATCATTAAGAACATTATCTTTGATTGGTGCTTCTTTTATTTTATCACTAAAAAATATTTTTAATGTTTTTAATTTTTATAAATCTTTTATGATTCTCAAAAAATTTATAATTTCTTTCCATGATAATTCAAAAACAAAGCATAAATAGACTTTTAAAGTTTTTAGAGATTTTATTTAAGAGATGTAAATAAAAAATTAATTTAAATTAAATTCAACTGACTAATTAGAGCTTATGTGAATATTTAAATCTGTATTTTCCAGATTTTTGAGCTAAGTTATTGTAAACAAAAGGTTATAGATACTTATTTAACTATTTTCAACTATTTTAATAGAGAGTTCTTTCAAGTTCTACAATCGTAAAATACTGTTTTCAATTCCAATAAATTTTGTGTTTTAGGGTTATTTGGAGAATGGAGTGGAAATACTTAATTTAGATAATTAAGGTAATTTATTTATTATCTTTCCTAGCAACAACATATTGCTAGAACATATACTACTTCCCCTTGAAATTTTTATAGAAAGGTTTTTTAATTAGCTTAAATGACCAATCTCTTCGTCTAATTTATCAAAAAACATAGAGTTTTTCACTATAAATCTCTATTTAAAACCTACAAGTAGACTTTACAAATTTTTTGAATATCTCAATCCATCAAAAAACTGATCAAAAATTTATTAAAATTCTTTATTTTTTTCTTAAAAAATTAGTTAGAAGTCTTTCAAATTGTGCAAATTTTAATAAGCCTCTCTCATGTTTAGCTACTCAAAAAGGTTAAAAAAATATTTGCAATTAAATTTAAGCTTTAAAGAATTTAAACATAATAATTGCTTGAAGCATTATCCTAAATTATAATTTTATGTTATGCTTAAGCGAATGTTATCCTTCAAGCTAATCTCCAATTAAGTAAGAGAATAACATTTATTTATCAAATAAAATGTATCAAGAGACATGTTTAAATCATTTTTTAAGCTCAAAATCAACTATTAAACTTCTTATTTTTTTTTTATAAATAATATAAATTCTTCTAAATATTTATTAAAATCGCTCATATTTAAAATGCTCAATTTTATTTGTTGATATATATTCCCATCTTAAAAATATTCTGGTATCTACTTTTAAGAATCCCAAGGATATATTTTAATTTTAAGCATTTTCTTTATCTTATTTTATATTATTTTCCGTTTTATAAATAAATATTTACCAAATAATATTTACAAATTATCATTTAATTAATTTACAAAAAAAATTATTAAGTACTTTATTTTGAAATTACAATTAAATTGATTAAATATTTAAATATAATAAACTCCAAACAAACTTCATGGTGTATAAAAACTATTTTAAACATATTTTTTAAAATAAATTTAAGCACTATTTATATTAAAAAAGTAATATTTACACAATCACAAATATATTCTCAAATAAATAAAAATAATTAAATTTTTTAGTTATTTTAATTTTAATAATGAATTCAAATAATTTACTTTCACATAATAGTAAATTAATTATAAAGGCTTTAATAAAATGATTCTTAAGAAACAGTTAACTTTATTAAATGCAGAATTACATTAAATATTATTGATTTCCATTAATTAATTGAATCATAAAAAAATTTTTAAATTAGAGTTCATATATTTATATCATCAATAATCTACAGATTGATTGATCAATTTTTTGAAGATCTTTTTTTGAAGTTTGAAAAAGCTTTGTAAATGCATATGGCTAAAAGTATAGTTTTTTAATCATCATTATATTTAGCAGGAAATCCTAAGCTATATTCATTAGGATTACTGCAAGAACAAAAATGCTTTTATTAAATAAAAATACCTGTGTTTCCATCTGCATCTTTCACATCATATTTTTTTTGAGTGCAATAGAATTAGAAAATACTCCTAGATAATGAAAGTTAATTTATATAGTCACTAGTGACTTCGTAATCATTCCACATATTTCTGCTTACACTCGCTATTTATGTTTAATTTCCATTCTTATTCAAATAAACATTTTATTATGAAAAACCGCAGCATTTATCTTATTTTGAAATATAAATATAAGGATCATCGCTTCCTTTTTCACTAATTTAAGTAAGAATAGCTACTTCTGAAATTGATTATAGTTAACAATTAGTGCAAGATGAATGACTCATACCTATACCATATAGGATAGGCTTAGATTTTGAATCTAATCTTTTCCCATTTTCATCAGCTGCGTATATCTCAAAAACATTTTAAGAATTCCATGAAAATACATTGCTCATTAATTATGACTCCAAAATAAGTACTCCCTTCAAGCCTTTTATACTTTGGATTCTAGGATTTACAAAGGAAAGGGGTCTTAACTCTTCATCTATTTATTAAACTTCTTCATGTTTTTTAAGTTTTGTTTTATCGCTTTTATGTTTGTGCTTGATTTCTCCTTCTATCATTCTATTTCTGACTCCTTTAAAGTAATGATTCGATAATTTATTTCAATTTGTTAGTAAGTAATTCACAATAACCTATCAAATTATTATTTTTATTAAGATTTTTAAGATTCAATCAATTATAAATCATAAATCATTATCTATCTATCAAAATTTAATATTTATTTATTCTTTAAATTAAATAAAGCATTACGTTTTTGGTATATTTTTTATTTAAAATTTTATTGAAATTGAAAATTTAAATTTTTTATTTGCAAAACAAACGATTAATATTGATACTGTAGTTCTTTCTAATTTATTTATTTATTTATTATCCTTTTATATTTTTAAGATTTTTAAAAAAAAATTTTTTAACTTCTCCTTTTAATAAAAAATGAACAAAAATTTTTCATAAAATGCTGTACCCCTAATAGAATAATAAATAATCAATAAACTAATTTTTAAATTTATACAAAATCATTTTAGAAAAGCATTTATATCTGATTTTTATTGATATTGATTTTTATAGTTTTAAAAAATAATTAATTATTTAACTAATAGTTGGATTAAATTATATTTAGAGCTATTTTTTAGTTTTTGTAGATAAAAATAAATTAAATTAAGTTCTAAAATATTTTAAAAGAAAAGTAAAATAACTTAAAAAAATACAAAGTTTTTCTGAATAAATATTATGTGATCATTTATTTATGTTTGTTTTTTGTTTAAATTTAATAAATATATCAATTATTATCATTCTTTCTTTGTTAATAATTTACATAACCTAAAAATATTGTAGAAGCTAATAGAATTTAGTTTTAATCTTAGTTGTAATTAGGAGGAAAGCCTAACTCATAAGTATAAGGATTATTACAATTACAACAGTTAGTTTTTTAGATGAGAACTGCTTTATTTCCATCATCATCTGATACAGAATAATTAACTTAATTACAAGAGCATTGGCACTTCGGATACTTTATTTCAAGACCATTTGTATAATTACTGCTTACTGTCATTGAATTACAATAGCCTAGTTATATTTTTCCAACCTAAGTTCCATTACCATTATCATTTATAGAAATAAGACAAGAATTATAACCACAACAGTTATTTCTTTCTTGTAAAAAGAGATATGGAGCTACACTAGAGGTATCATTAAGCTGAGTAGTGATAGCCATTTCGCTAGCTCCTGCTTCTGAGCATTTACAAGAGCAGCAGGCTTCTAATTTTGCAACTGAATATAAAATAGGCTTAGAATCTGAATAAAGTCGTCTTCCTTAAGAATCTCCTTCGTGTATTTCAAAAACATTAGAAGTGTTCCAAGAAAACATATTGCTAAGAGTAAATACTTCTTATATATAAACGCCTTTAACTCCATTTAATTAACCAACATGAGTGTTGATCTAAGCCAAAGATCTCAATTCTTCATATGCTTTTTTAGGATTTTTAATAGGAGCAGAATCTTTATGTTCTTTAGAATTTTATTTTAAGTAATTTTCTTCATTATTTTTTTTGCTTTTAAGAAAAGCACTTTGAATCAGACCCTTTATCATCTCCAACTAATTTAGGTTATCTTTAATATTAATTAATTTATTATTTGTTTTGTATTTATTATTTACTTAATTTTTTTAAATAAATATGAATTTCTAATCAATTCTAATAAATCTTTTGCTTATTCGATCTTATTTGATATACCGTATTGAATTAAACCAATTCTTTCTATAACACATCAATAAGTGTTCATTTTTTTTTTTACTTTTCTATGATATTTATCTATTTCAGATTGTCTACTAATTTTAGAAAAATATCTGAAAAAAAAATTGATTATTCGCCTTTTTAAATAAATATTACTTAAATTTACCATTATGCATAACTAAACTCAAATATAATTGTCTTATTCACATAAATAAAGTTATCTTAAAGATTTTTAAAAATCTTTTTTTGTGATACTTACTATCTATTATGGATAAAATTATTTTGAAATGAAATAAAATTTTGATTATATCAACTTAATTAAATAGAGGATATATTTAATTTAATTCTAATAAATAAGATATAATCTATTTATTAAATTATTCATTATAGAAACTTTACAAAAATATTTAGTCATTTGAAAACATATAATTCTATTTTTATTCAGTTTAGTTAAAGAGGAGTTTTAATATATTTTTTCTGTAATTCATTTTTTAATTTATTAGGATAAATACTTGATTCATTTTAATGATTCATTATGTATTAACAAACTAAGATAGATATATATTGTAGAATGCATGTTAAATTTCAAAATAAGCCCTAGTTTTTTGATTTGATGATACTTCCCCAAAAAAATAACTACCAAATTTTGAGATTATATTGATTGCAATTTAGCTTGTAATCTACAGTTAATATTTTTTTATTAATTAATTGTTGCATTTCATAAAGGTCTAAGAGGTTATTAATATACTAATTTTAATGTTTCAATAAACATAACTTTAATCTTTAAAGAATTTTTAAAGTTTTTGAGAGATTTAGTGATTAGTTATTCATTATTTATTAATTTATTTTCAAATTTTATTTTATAAGTAATTATTATTTAGATTTTTGTTAAGCATTTCTTTTATTTATTTAATATTTGGTTTTCCACCATTTTCTTTGTAGCAGCACATACAGCAATGACAATTAGATATATTGTCCTTATTATAATGTCTAAATATTATCTATTTTCCCTTTTAAGTATATCTTTTAGAAAACTAATATGCACAAATTTCCTTATAATTCATTTATTTTTTGAGGTAACAAAAACTAAATAGTTTAATAATTTATTATTTATAAATAAATATATATTCATCAGCAAGCAACACCAATTTCACTCTAAAAACTAAATTAAATTTTCTACTAATTTGAGAGACAATTTATTAAATATACAAATTTTAAATTTCCTGCTCAGATAACATAAGAATAAAGTACCTACGTATTTGTGTTGAAAATATAAAATAATCTTTTATATAAATTTATTTATATTTAGCTTTATAAAGTTATTAATATTTAATTTTGTTTTCATGTTTTAGAGTTAGGTCTTTTTTAGCAAATTTTATGAAAAAATAAAAGAATGAATAAATCATAAACTAAAATTAATTTTATTTATAATAAACGGCTTTTAAAATTACAGACAGTGATCTTTTCAGAATACCAGACAGATATTTATTAGAAGTTTAACTATAATATAAATTTTTGTTTAATTCATCTTAATTTTTAAAAATAAGTTTGTAAGTTTAGCATATAATTTGTTTATTATTGATCCTTGAGATAGAATATTGATAAAACTTAAATTACAGCAAAATATTTATGATTTAAATCTTTTGTTTCAGTAAACATTTTTCTAATAAAAATAAACAAAAATAATAAAAAAAAATTTCTTTTTTCAATTAAAAAAAAAGTAAGTTATACATTTAAATGTTGATTAATAAATTTAAAAAATCTCAAAATTATCTACGAATGAATATTTTTTCCAACTAATCATTTTGATATAAAACTTTTGCTCTCTATCTTTGACTTCTTTGTTTCACAAATATTATTTAAACCTAAATATTACATAAAATTAAAAAAAGATAAAGTATTATTTTGATTCTATTCTAGATTATGTAAAAAGTAAGAAAATATTTTTTTAAAATATTAAAAATCTTATTATTATTGATCACTTATTATTTAGGGATCAAATTATAAATAAAATTAATCTATTAAATATTTTTTATATTTAAATAAAAATTAATCAAAATTTCACAAAATATAAAGAAATCTCAAAAAATATAATTTTTTTTAAACAAAAAAATTTAAAATATAAATTTAATTAAATTGAAATAATTTTATAAAATTAAATGAAATTCTTTATGATAAATTTAGATGTATTTTTTAAATCAATGATACTTATGAATTAATTAAAAATGAAATTTTTGTCTAAATTAAAGAGATTTTATAATAAATTAAAAATTTTACACTTAGACCAACAAAGTCAAATACTTATTTACTTATTGAATGGATAAAAGGATTTAATAAATAAAATTAATTGGAATAATAATAAATCAATGATTAATATGAATGGTGTTTTGAAGGTCTTATTTTTGTAAAAAGAAAAGAGATCAAAATAAAAGCAAGAAAGAATAATTAATAAAATAAAAACTGATCAAAATATTATTGCATAAATACCAAAAAATTATAAAATTAGCGCAAATTAAATACAAAAAAAGCTAGAATACTAAATATAATTTATTAGATAAGAAATGGAATGGGTTAAGGCAGTAGATTTACTAGTTTTTGATGATAATGTCTCTTGTTGTGATAAAGGAAATAAAGTTTTAATGGTTTGTACAAGTGTTTAATGTAGAAAAAAGCAGCGTTTAGTTTGTATGAAATGCTCTAGAGTCCATTAAGATCACTCTAATGAGCTTATAAAAGTTAAGTAATTTATAAAGCATTCTAGTGAAAGACATGACACTACAAAAAAGGTTTAAAATTACAAAGAAGATATGCCAACTTAGCCAGTCAATTATGTAGACTCAATAGTCAATAATACTATTGCTAAATAGAAGCAGAGCTTTGCCCAGCAGATGTAAGAAATATAGTAAAGAATGTCATTTGGAGTTAAGAAGGTTTTAGGATAATTAGATGCTTTTGATAGATCTAGAGAAAATGTGTTGAAATTAGATAAAAAGAAAGGAGCCACTTTAGAAACTCTTTCTACTGAGTTCTTAGAAATGGTAATAGATTTATATTGGAAACAGAATAAAGAGTATGATTGCGAAAGTGATGTGCCTTAATTTGTAGAAGAGCAAATGCTTAAATGCTCTGAAAATATTTAATCTCTACTGTCTGATGTTTTTTAGATGATTAATTAAGAAGCTAATAAATGCTTGAGTAGAATTAAAACTCTAATTAAAAATGATAAAATAGAAGAGTTGTAAAAACAATTTGATAAAGATGACAGAGATAAATCTCCTCCAAAATTCCCTAAACCAAGAAATTACTCTCAATCTCAGCCTAGACCAATTAGTTCTAAAATTTTTAGCAAGACTACTGATTTGTAGGAAATAGAAAACAAAATTAATTAGTAACAGGATCTTATAATAAAGGATATTGAGAAACTACAAGATAATAAGGCAAATCTATTTTCTGAGAATAACAATTTGCAAGATCTAAGTGACAAGTAAATTTTATGAAATATAAAAAACGTTTTTATATAATTTTTAATAATTAAAACAATTTTTTATTAAAATAAATAAGAAGAATACTTAACTAAAAATTAATTGTTTGAAATAAATATTAAGGTATTTCTAGATGCTTGCAGATAGAATCTAATAAAAAAAAAATGAAATAGAAAGAATGGAGAAATGTAAGAATATATAGAACTTAAAAATTGCAAGAAACTAGCTGAATACATTAATAAGAGAGTAAGTCCAACTCTATAAGAAAATGAATGCCTAAAAACTGAGAGTAGACAACAGAATTTTAGAAGTTTTGAAAAATTTAGAATATAAAGAAGAGGAGTTGCAAGAATCAAAAGTCATGGCACAAAAGGTTTCTATTTAAAGAACTCTTTAAAAGTCAATACACAATTTTACTGAAATGAATAACGATGACTAAACTATATTTTCTACTGATGATTCTCCTACAAACAAGACTCTTTAAATTACTTAACATGGATAAGATTAAATATAAAAAAGCTATGCAAGTTATTAGAGCAATAATCTTTAGGGGTATATTACACAATAACAGCCTTCAAGCTATTCCAATTCTATAAGGATTTAAAATCGTAAATAGACTTAAATCAGAAATACATCTTCTTCAAAGTAAAGACCTGACTCGGCATGCAATTAAAATATTCGAAACAAATCCTTTTATTCAGTAGGAACATCTTTTTAATTAGGAGAATCAAATTAAAAGCAATCATTTGAAAAATTTGATAACAATAATAAAATCTTATTAAAATAAAATATTAACCAAGCCTACTTGAATAACAACAGTAACCACTTATACTGTACTACTAGATCTGCTTTAACACAATAAAGTCAGACTCAGCCTTCTCCAACAAAATCAAAAAGGCCTTCCACAATGTCATCTTAAGACTCAGACACTACTGCTGCATTTTCCCCAGTAAAAATAATAAGAAAAGTGATTTGAGATACAATCTAATAAATTATATTAAGACTACTTCAGCTATTATTTCATATTTATAATTGGTTCTAAAAATGAATAGCAGATGTATGTAAAATATACTTTACTTTGCATATAATATGAAACTAGAACATATTTCTTATATTTTTTCCTTAATTTTTGTATATTATTTGTATCAATATTTACACGTAAAACATAATATTTATTAAATTTAATAAACAGCAACAATAATTAATAAAAATTGTAATTTTTGAATTGAATTTTTTTACCAAACAATGCAAAATGATTTCAAAATACCAAACAAAATATAATTTACTTTTTATTTAAATAGTATTTTATTTAACTAAAATATATTCATTTAAAGTTTTATCAAAGTATTAGCAGTAAAGTTATTATGAACAAGTATGACCAAATTGGTTTGAGTAGCAAAGAGTTTAAAAATCCTTTTTATAATTTTTATTTAATTTTAATTACTTTTAACTTTTAGAATTTCTATAAGTTTACCATCACATGAAGGCAAGTCACACACCATAATATTTTGAAAATAACCCATAGTACTTGGTTTTAAGTTATATACTCTAATAGTATCTATATTTGGGACATCGTTAAAATAGAAATTAACCTCTGCTTTAAAAGTTTAATTTAAGTAAACTCTAAGTGTTTATGAGTTCCAGTCAAGAAAGATATCACACTTTAAAAACAACGTTAATATTTTCTTAACATTAATTCTCACTAAATAAATTAATTTACCCTTGTCCAAGTAGGTTCTGAAGGATCAGATTTTTCTTCAATTGTTGAATTATAAAAATCAATCATTTAATTATCATTCACTCTAACAAATCCGGCGTTCCCGCATCTAAAAAGGACAACAGTTTTATTCAGCTAATAATTTTAAGAGCAAACAATTAGAAAATTTATGAGAGGGTTATTTATTTTATTAAGAAATAATTTTGTTGTATTTTTTGAATAAATTACATTTGAATTAAGTAGACGTAAATTAGTGTCTTCTGTATCTACATTAGTCGAATAAAAATTAAACATTAAATGAACAGGATTAATATTTTGTGGAAATTAATAGCTTAAATGATGTGTAAGAAAGGCTAGAGGAGCAGATGCAGATTTCACTATTTACAAACTAGAAATTCCATTAACTTCAACTGATTTAAATTGTACATCTGTAGAAGGTGAATCTACTTTCCAAAGTGCTAAATTACTAGGAGTAAAAGTTCCATATCCATTTAAGTAATCTTATTAAAAAAGATTTAATAAATCACTTATAGTAATTTATAAAAATACCAACTCCTTTAGCAGTTGTTGTCTATTAAGTTTAATCAGTATTTGCAACAACTTAAGATAGAGCTTAAATAAACAAAAAAATGAGTATTTGTGAAATCATAGGAGTATAAATTAAATCTATTGAATTTGATTTAATAATATATGATTAAACTTTTACAATAAATAATATTTAATTAAATAAATATTGATTGAATTTCAAAAAAATCTATCTAAGTATTTCTTCTACATTTAATTAAATATATAATAAAATAAAACCAATACTTTAATTTATTTAGCCAACAATATTTTCTTTGAGCAAATAATATATTTTATTTTATTTTCTTTCTTTAAAAAAAAAAACAATTAATTATATGTTTCTAAAATATAAATATCTGAATATAAAATTAAAATTAATGTTTTTTATTATTTAGAGTTTTCAATTCATTTTAGTTTAAAATAAAAATTTGATTGATTATATAAATTTAATCTAGTTTATTAAATTAAACAAGAAAATAATCTTAATATTTCTACAAAAATTGATTTTATTTTAAGAGGTAAAATGTTAATATTTGAAATATTTAGTTTATCTTAATAGCATAAAATTATTATTTTATCATTAATTTTTAAACTATATAATTTAAATTAGATTTATAAATTAAATTTATTATTAAAAGATTAAAATAAAATAAAGTTTAATTAAAATTCAAAATGAAATACTAATTAAAATTTATTAAGTAACTATAAATAAAATTAACAATATGGATTGATTACTTAATATACTGCTTTTATATTTATATTTTTAAAACTGATATGAATGCAAATTAAACTGATTTTATTAAATTTTTTAATATATTAAGTAAAAAAATAAACAAAAGTATTAATTTTAAATATTTTAAGTGATTTAATTTAATTAAAAGCTAACACCAATCACAACTAAATGGAAGAGAACCTGTTGAGTTGGAATTATTAATAATATATTATAATTTTCAACATAGTTTCATTCTCATCAACAGCTGCTAATTTTTATTTAAAGCTTAAATACAAATAAATTTCATTAAAATTTTCAAAAATGTTTCATAAATATACAAGAAAATTAAAAAATACTGAAAAATTTTTATTTAATCTCCATTCAAATATGATTGAATTTTTTTTTGAAAATGAATAAAAAATATTTGAAAGTATAATCTGATAATTGTAAATGATGGAAATATTTTCTACTTTTCAAATTATGAGTCTAAGTATATTTTATGTGTTTTTATTAAACTAAAACATTTCTGAATAAATATTATTAATTTAAATACAAATTATTCATTTTTTCTTTTATGCATTATTAAAAAAATTTTTTATTTTAAGCTTTTGTTCAAAAAGACAAAAACACTCAAAAAAAATTTTTTTTTTCTCACCTAGTAGTGCATCGTGTATATAAAGCATAAACAAAGTATTACATTTTTATTAGTCTACAAAATAGTTTTAATTGATATTGTTAATTAAATTTATAAATCAAACATCATTTAGAACAAACAATATTTATTTATTTAATTATAAAATAAAACGATTTGCTAATAATTTAAATAGAATTACATTATTAGCTTTGAATATCAAAAATAAATATTCTAATTAAAAAATATAAAAATAATAACTAATTCTCCACTAATGTCTAAATAAAATTCCTAAATCACAATCAAATAAGCAATTTAAATAAAAAATAATATTGGCTACTTTTTGGAGAAGTTTTTTCAATAATAAAGTAATTATTTTATTCTATATTAATGACAAAAATATACTTTTTAATAATAAATGTGTGTGTTTGGATAGAACAAAACTTCTTCATTAAAATAAACAAGTAAAAAAATTAATTTATCAGATACTTACTTTTTCGCACTCTCATCATATATTTATTCTTTCTAAGTTTTCTAATTTATTTGAATTGAGATTTTGAAAGTTTTATTTATTTTATTCAAATAAGAAACCAAGTTTCATTTTTGTATTTTTTAAAAGAAATCCTTTTTGAATAAAACATAAGGAAGGATTGACCTTTCTCTTTTTTCTTTTGAAAATATACCTCAATTTTATGATTGATTATGACAACATTTGAGTACAAATTATGTTATGTTATAAATGATTCATATGACGGCATATTTTTAATTAATTAGATACATCTATTACTATAAGGCCTGTATATTTATATAAAGTTCTCTTCAATTTGCTTTAAATTTTTCTTTTAAAAACATTACTCCATGAAGTAGCCATTAAAAAATTTTTAAATATTTAAATTTAACATATTACTTTATTAGAATTGATAACTAACAATTATTTTAGTGAATTTAATTTTATGAACTTGCAGAGCATTCTTATATTTACCATTTCGTTACATAATACTTTTTCAAGTGCTTTGCAAAAAAAATTTAAAATTTTTAATTTTTCTTTGCTACTTATAAAATATTAAAGCGTAATCAAGTTAATTTGATCAATTTTGGACAATTTAAAAACTATAAAATATGGTATTTAACATTAAAACAGTTTATTTCGAAACTTTTTACATTATATGAGCATTTTATTCTTTTTAAGGTTTTTGTATCATTTGATCTTAAAATATAAGAAAAATTTATGATTAAACGTGCAGAAATAATAGGAAATTTCTTTTAATTAAATCTTTATTTATAGTTTGGAAATAAATAACAGTTTTAAAATAGAATTATTTTTTTTGTATTTACAAATCAAAATAAATCAATATGGTTAAACATTAAATTAATTAAGCTAATTATTTTATTAATGAATATAATTAGGAATCTTCATTCTAAAAAATGTAATTAATATTAATCAAAGCAAACACATAACTCAATGTAAACTAAATTATTTCAAAGTTTTAGGCATTTACCAGATTTGATGCTTGCATTATAGCAAATTATATTAATTCTTTTGCTTGAAATGCTAAAAACCTTTGTAAATTGCTTATTTTAATGATATTGTTCTCAAATCTATCAAAATTTAAGGGTTGTTTAACAAAAAGTATGAAAATTAATGGTGCTTTAACATTTAAATGAAATGGTGATTATTTGATCAAGCAAAATAAATGATGATTTTGACGTATTTTATGTATGTTTTTGACTAAAATAATAAATCAATTTGATTAAAGCATACCTCACAAAAAATTAAGTTATTGATTAATTATAAGAAACTAATATTCGATAAGAATTTCAAGTAAATTGGGTGAATGTGATACTTTTGAATAATTATAAAAGAAATAACCAAAAAATTCCTATTTATAAAATGAAAAATAGGTAAAATCTGATATTTGTTTTTTAAAAAAGGTGAAAATGTTATTTTTTTGTTGATTACTATGATTATCATTTAAGTTTTTAGAGTAGATTCACTAGCTTCTTTCTAAAATTTTTAATTGAAAATTATCATTTTAATCTGTTATAAAATGTGTAATTTATTACATGTGAAATATTTTATACAAGATTTGTTTGTCTAGTAAAGAGTAAATAAGAGAGAATAAAACAAGCATTTTCCCCTCTTCAAGAATTTAATTATATGAACAACTTCAATTATAAAATAAAGAAATTGTAATCAACAGGATTTTAAACTAAAATGACGCATTCAATGGTCATTTTAATAAAATATCCAAAATCATTCAAATCAATGTAATTCGATCTGAATTATATTTTTTTAGATTATTCTTATTCTATATGGGAGTAATTTCTTGAGATAGTGACTTTTGTATTATTATATGAATGAATCATATATACTTTGAATTAATGGGAATTAATATATTAAACATTCATATACAATAGCAACCTAAATAATTAAATGGAAATGCATTTAATTTACTATGTTTATCCTTATAGTTATTTACTTAGCTAATGAGATAGTTAAGACATATAAAAATCAAAACAGATTCCAAAATTTATATTAATTAAATAAATAAATATCAAAATAGATTAATAAGATTATTCAAAATATGAGAAAAGTATTTATTGCTTTAGCATTAATCGCTTTATGCTCTGCTTTAAATCTTCATGAAACCCTTTCCAAGTAGGGTTATGAAGAAAAGCCTCACTACTTTGGTTTCAAGTAGCTCACTAAGGAATACAGTGATTTTGTTGATACTGTTTTAATTGACGGATTCAAAACTGTCTTAGAAGATCCCTCTCTTTACGCCACCTTCCTTAAGACTATCACTTCTTTCACCGAAGAAGATAAGAACTCTGCCTTCATTAACTGCTCTAAAGGTACCAAGCCTAATTTCTTCAAATTTATTGGAGACTAAGACGGTGTTGTTGGTCCTAACGGTTCTGAAACTATCACTTTAACACCCACTGAAGGTGATTGCTTCGAATCAGTATGATTGATCTTTACTTTTACAATTTGAAAAAAAAGAATCATATCCAATATGATTTGCTATAATATAAAATCTCATTTTAAATATAAACAAACATATTACGATAAAGCAAATCTAAATCAAATACCCAAGATTTTTTTATTTATTCTGAAAATAAAACAAACTAAAACCATTAAAATCACATTACATCTCTTTTATAATTTAACAATCTTAAGTTCTTAAAAAATTAATATATTTTTAATTAATTAATTAAAAGGTCACTGTCTAATACACTAAAATCAGCGACAAGAGTGTTGAATTGATCTTCACTCCTGGTAACAGAAGAAATGGTACTGCTGATAACTGTAAGGACTCTTACACTGTTGGTTCTACTACCAATTATCACGCTCTTGCTTTAGGTTAGCCCAACAAGCCTCACAAGTGGACCTTGAAGCACTTGAAGCCCCAAAATATGCAAGCTATTGAATCATTCGGTTTAAGAATTTTCAAGACTTGTGACAAATTCGCTAACATTTTACCTGATCTCGTTATCACAGTCGGTCTCTTCGCTGGTGGTTTTGGTCTCAATCCTGATGTCCCCATTTTCGGCTCCAAGCCCACCTGGTGGATGGAAGTCCTTAACCCCTTATTCATCTAATAAGGTAAATATATTTATTGATAACTAAATTAAAATATACTATGCTCTTTAAATTGATATGAATATAAATAAATGTATGCATGAGTTAAGAGGAGAATGCTTTTAAGAAGAAATTTTTAATAAGTATAACTAATTGTATTAGACAAATCAAATAAATTCTTTTATTGATTTAAAAGGCTCTCTATTAACTCATAGAATATCTTTTTCTAATTACATACTTCGATTATATCAATTTGAATGGAATTAAATGACTTTGATTATAAATCAAATAAATCAGGAAATTATCAGATTTATTTCTAAATTTACACATTACTTGTTTAAAGATTTGTAATTAAATTTTGGTATGATATAAAAATAGGTACTGGATATCTTTGGATCAAGAGAGAAGACAAGTTTGTTGATTTAGATTAAACTGAAGTTCACCCTGGTGATTTCCTCATCATCACTAGAATGGATGGTTTGGATCAAATTATTCAATGGGGTACTGGTTCAAGAAGTGGTCACTCTGTCACTCTTTTGGATATTGATGGTGAAATGTACGCTGTCGAATCTCAAGATGCTTGGTACTGGCCCAAGAAGAAAATCCAAAGAAACACTTGGAAGGACTGGAAACAATATGCTTAAAATGCTGGCTTCAACGTCGCTCTTTTACCTTTGAGAGAAGAAATTAGATAGAAGTTCAACAACACTGCCGCTTTAGAATGGTTCGAAACCGTTGAAGGTGTCCCATATGGTTACCACAACTTCTTATTCGGTTGGATTGATACTGAAAATAAAAACTTACCTGCCGTTCTTGACATCAACTTTGTTTACAGCGTTTTGACTCTTATTGAAAAGTTCATCCCTGCTGTTCCCAAATCCCTCGTTGGTGAAGCCATGAACAAGAGATTAGGAACTGAAAATCTTAATTTGGTCTAATTATACGAAGTTATGTTCCAAAGAAACCTCACTGTTGCTGAAGTTTTCGCTATTCCTGAATAAGATTCATGGATTTACTCTGATGGTCCTTCCATGGTCTGCTCTTCCTTCGTTGCTGCCATTTGGAAAGCTGGTGGTCTCTTCGATGGACTTGAAATTAACGTAAATAATTTTTATTCTTTTTAAATTTATTTTAAAGTGTATAATTTGAAATAAAATAGGCAACTGAATTCACTCCTAGAGATGTATATCAAACTAACTTCTTCGATAAGAAATACAAAAAGCCTGAAAAGTGCCTTAAGGATGGTCTTCCTTATTGCTAAATCATGGGTAAATTCGTTATGGATGTTGCTACTGATGGTTACAGCAGTATCAACCCTTACAGCAACATGTTCGAACACTGTCCCTCTCAACCCCCCTTGTTTTTACGTACCAAGGGTTGTTGATTTAATAAAACAAGCTCATGTTTTCTTAAAATTTATAATAAAATAAACTTATTAAAAAATTTAAGTGTTAACAGTCATACATTTTATGTTAATAAATGCATATTTTAAGCTCTTAATAAATTTTCATAAATTCTAAAATATCATCTACCTACATATTTTGTTAAAATAAATTTACAATTTCGTAGGAATTTTTGTTATTTTTTATTCATTTGTTTTAATGAAAAAAAGTATTGATAAAATTCTAAATATACATTTTTGATTTTAATAAAATAAAAATTCGTTGGATTATGTATATATCATATAGTTATTTTTCACCACAAATATTTCAAAAAATTAGTAAGTTAATCAATCTTTTTTGAACTTATTTGCAAATAAAAAATGCCATTTAATAAAATTCAAAGTTAATAGTTTCAATTTACTCTTTTATAGTTTCATTTGCTATTTTTTTTAATTTAAGTGATTTAAAAATTAAATTTATTGGAAAGATATGTATAAGATTTTAATAGTAAATATTAAACTCATTTTATTCTGATAAAAATTATGTTGTATGTCATTTAATTTGATATTATTAAAATATGTTTAATTTTATTTTTTAATCTGAATTTTAATTTCTAAATAAAAAAGTAAAGAAAGTGTTAAGTTTTTATAAAATGAGTGAGATAATTTGTAATATTTTATATTTAATTTCATTTTTTTAATTAGACTTTAAATTTTTACTAAAAAACAAATGGAATACTCAGATTTTTATGAAATAAGTGAATTAGATTTTGAAAAATAAGAAGAACTTTGATTTGATTTTTATTAAATATAATATGTTTTGTTGTTTCACTTGTATTTTCATTTTCTATTATTTTAATATATTTAAAAAATTTAGATTTAATTTCAATCTTAAAATGCATAAACCTTTTTAAATTGCTTCTTCTAAAAGTATTTTTAATTAATTTGATGAATAAATATACCTGATTTACATATCTGATAATAATTACCTCTTTGCTATTGTTAGATAAATTTTGATTGATTAAACCAATTTAAATGAAAAATTTTTATAAATCATTTAAAATTAAATAATTAAAGTAAGACATATACCCTTAAGATATCGATTAGATTTATTGGATCAAATAATAGAAATTTTTAGTTTAAAAGCAATTTATTATATTTAAATTGATTTATCATTCAATAACATAAAGCACGAATCATAAATCCCATTACTAAGTATATTGATCAATTAAAAATTTAGGATGTTTAGTATCTTGTATATGCATATCTTGTGACTTTTAAATATTTTTGATTTCTATTAATAATTATTTATATTTTATACCATATGTAAATATTTTCTCTTCTACATACATAGAAACCAAAAGTTTACTATATTAGAAATTATTTAGTTTAATAATTTGAAAAGATATCTTATTCTAATAAAATTGGTCCAATAATTAGATCATAATCATCAATAAAATAATTAATTATATTTTAAAATAGATGCTTAATTAAAAAAAATATTAAACTAATTTATCTTCATAGTTTTTTTATTCATTGATTTATTTACATATTTTACTTAAAAAGATATTTTATAATAAATAAATACACTTAATATTATGCTTTTAGTACAAAATCACAAAATGTTTTTTCATTTTGTTTGATAATCAAACTTAAGAATATATAAAATGATATAAACTTAATAATTTTTAGCTTAAAATTTTATTTATTTGAATAAATTTAAATAATTTAATTAAAAAATTAAAGATTTAAAATATGATATTTCATTAATTGCTGTCTTAAGAAACACAATATTAATAAATTGCAAATTAATATATTATGAAGATAAAAAGTTATTAGCATATAATAATGTGTTATTATTTGGGTATATTAAATATTAATGGTATTTATTCAATTGAATTAATTTTTAAATTAATAAAGAAAGTGTTTATTTAGCTTCAAACCATCCAACAATAAACTTTTTTACAAAATATAAAGTATAAAGTGAGTAAATTATTACAAAAACAAGCAAAAGAACAAATAATAAAATTTACATCTATTACAGAATAAACTATTGATTTTAGAAAATAAAATATCCTTTTAATGAAATCTTACAAGGAAGAAATCAAGCAAATGTAGCATCAGATTCATTTAAATTATGCAAAAACACAACTAAATAATACTAGTTGTGAAGGGTCTCCTACCTCTATATATCTCACCAAAGCAGCTCATTCAAACTTATAGAATAATTTAAATCTTACTGAGACAACTGCTATGAACGATGCTAATAGTTCAAGGACATAACCTAATTATCCAAATTTAGGTGAGATTACTTGGCGAGAACTGTCTTTTAATGTCCCATCTAGAATGATTAAAGTACCAGATTTCATACCTTTTAATAAAAAAAGCATGTAAAATAAAAAGCGACCATCTTCTTCGTCTGTTTCAACTCCCTTTTTGAAGAATATTGTTAGTAAGAAAGATAAGTCTATCAGCTAGTATCTAAAGGGTGACAAATAAAATAATTCCTTATCTAAATCGATAATATTAAAGAAATACGATATTAGCAACACTTCAATTAGGGTTAAAACAGAAGGAGATAGATAGATAAAAAAGAAAGGTTAGTAATAAATGTAAGATGCTGCTTTATATGATTTTCTTTAAGACCATTTAAGCGATTTATATTAAGATTAAGCACTTGATCCTTATAAACCAAATATGAATCTATAAAAAAGGAGCTACGCTATTTCCTAATAAAGCATTAAATCTAATACGTCGATCCAAGCGTTAGAACAATAAATAAAATAAAAAAAAATGAGTGAGCAACAGAGAATTGAGGTCGAGTATCAACTTGAAAAAAAGAAGGCTCACTTAGATAATAAACTTTATTTTAAAAAGCTTTACAAGATATAAAAATCTGCATTGAATAACTATTTGAATGGTGAAGGAGTAGAAGAAAATGTGATTGATTGTCATAAAGAAATAGTGAATCCTTTGACCTCATATGTTAAGCAGAAGTAATTGGAAAATATTCAAAAACACCAATAAGAACTTAATAGAAGTTTCATTAAAAATAATCAAAAACCCATATACCAATCTTAGCTTAAGCAAAGGTAGGAGAAACAATTATAGAACTAAATTTACAAGGGTAATAATAACAAAAAGACTGAATCTAATTAAGGTGTAAGCTCATTAGAGTAAATATAAAAAAAGAAGGAGGAGATGCAAAAAGAAGCTTAGGCAAATTTTCTTGATAACTTTTTGAAAGGAGAGAGATTCTATTTTGAAAAGTTAGGTGAAATTTAAAACTAAGCCAAGTAGAATTTTATACAAGAAATTCATGTAAATTAAAAATATTATTTTGACTAGCAAATGCAGCCAGAGGAGTAATTTTTAAGTAAAAATGATATCAAAACAGAAAAAAATGTAAGCATACTCAAAACAATACAAAAGAAGTAATAAGTTAACTAGATGTAGCAGATGAATACATAAAGAAACTCCTTACTAACAAGTAAGTCAAAAGACACACTTTAAAGTATTCTATTAAATAAATTGGGTTCTAGCATAGTTAAAAGAGCGCCAACGAGATTGCTTACAATTTAGCAAAAGAGTAATATTTTAAGTTAATAAGTTACTATTGATGAAGGCTAGAATTATACCAGACAAACTTCAAAAAAATAGAACTAAAATGAATAAAATGATTCAAATTTCGACACTCAAAGCTTTTCTATTTAAATTTAACAAAACCAAGACCACCAAGAAGAGTCTTCTTAAAAAAATAAAAAATCTCAAATGATTTCTAACATGTTGGAAATCTATTCATAGAAATAAGAAGATTTTATTAAATATGAAAAAAACTTAATCATCTAAAAAGATAAGGCTGTAGAATCTATAAATAATATGAATTTTACAATATAAGAATTATCTTCAAAATTAGAAGGTATTTAGCAAATTCCAAAATTAACAGAATTTGAATAAGATATTTTCTCATATGTGAAAAACAATAAAGTTAAAGAGATTGAAGCTTGTCTCCATGCAAACGAATAAATTGTTCACTTATAAGATTCAACTGGGAAAACCCTATTGCATTGGGCAGCTATGAGAGGATAAGAAGAGATAGTGAATATACTTTTAAAGTATAAATCTTAATTATCTGCTCTCGATTTAAATAAAAAAATGCCTAAAGACTTAGCACTATAATATAATCAATAAAAAATTTATGGAATTTTGCAAAAGGAAGAAAGATACTAAAGGCAATTATAAACACCTAAGATGAATGCTGTAATTCCTACCCATAATTCTGATTTAAGTTTGCAATTAAATATTGAAATTTAGGCTCTCTGAATAAAATTTTCTCAAAAACAATTTTTAAAATAAAATTAAATCTATAAATAAATAATTAAACATTTTAAAAATCCTAACTAACTTAACCAAAAGCAAGCAAATTAATTTATTCAAATGTTAAAATTTTTAGAATTTATTTATAGCTAAACAAAAAATTAAATAATCTAATTTCCCTTTTAAACTTATATTTTAAATATCTGTTCATTATTTACTTTTACTACAAAAACATATTCCAGTTAAATTCCTTACTGCTTTCCTAAAAGAGGTATTTTATTGATGTAGATTGATATTTTAACTGTTCAAAGTATCAAATTCAAATGAATATTTTTCAATTTTATCTAAAAAACTTTTTAGATTGGCGCTTTATAGAATTAAAATAAGTATCATTATTTTAATCTAACATCATAAAAAATTTCAAATATTTTAAATCAACTAAACAAATACCTAAAATAAATTATACTAATGATGAAAATAATATATTAAAGTATATATTTGACATGGAAAATAATAATTTTTACTGATTAGTACCCATCTAGAATTACTGATTAAATCTTAACATAATATTTTTAAATTTGATTAATTGATATAATTCTATATAAAAAAAACAAATAAAATCAATAAATTCTAAAAAAAAAAAGAATCTTTTATTTGTTTAATAGATTGAGTTACCAAAGAGATTGTATAAGCATGAGTAAGTATATTAATATAGATTAAATTTCTAATATCAGATAGAAAACAAATATATTGTCTATTACTGCACTTATAATCTATTTGCTTTTAAAATTTTCTTTTCAATTTCTAAATTGATTTATTTTAATGATAATTTTCATTTTAATATTAAATACTAAAAACTCCATTTAGTGTTCTGGCACATAAAAAACATAAATATATTATTTAAATAATTAAAAAATTATAAAGTAATTTTTAATAGAGTAAAAAAAACTACAACAACAACAAAAACAATAGATTTAAAAAATAAAATGTACGGAAATAGTTAAAACTAATACAATTAGTAGTATCCATAGAATTAGTATGGCTAGCAAGGATATCCTTAAGGAAACAATTATTAATAACCTTACAATTAGTATGGAAATCAACCATATAATTAGCAAAATTTTAATTAATAACAATACAATTAGGGTCTTTAGCAATAACCAGTGATGGGTTAAGGTGGCCCTTATTACCAATATAATGAGCATCCAGACAGTAAAGTAAACAAGAAAGATAAAAAAGGTAGAAAAAGTTCCTCATCTAGCGATGGAGATGAAGAGAATTTAGGATACTTCTAACAAGATTCTCAAAATAATCAAAGCAGTGGATTAACTTCAGATAAATTTTTAAGATCTGGATTTGTCACAAAAGTTTATACTATCTTATCGGCTTAAATGGCTGTCACTGTAATTCTATGTGCTTATTCTATGTCCTCTTAAAAATTCAAGAATTTCTAATTGAACAATCCCGGGCTCATGATTGCTGCTTTAGTTGTCAATATCATCTGTCTTTTAGTATTAATCTGTTCTAGAGATCAAGCTAGAAAAGTACCTAATAATTATATTCTTCTAGGAGTATTTACTCTTTGTGAATCTTATTTAGTTTCATTCATTTGTAGTATGTCTAATCCTAAGATAGTATTCTTAGCTGCATTATTTACCATGGCAATTTTCCTTTCTTTGACATTATACGCTTGCACAACTAAATCTGACTTTACTACTATGGGAGGTACTCTGTATGTTATTGGAATGGGTCTTTTTATTTTTGGATTTTTCTTGATCTTTACCAATAATAATGTTATGCATCTCATCTATGCCACAGCATGTGCAGTCCTATTCGGATTTTACATCCTATACGACACTCAACTTATCATTGGCAACAAGAGCTACAAATACAGTATTGATGATTATATAATAGCTTCTCTCGAGCTCTATATGGATATTATAGGACTATTTTTACAATTACTGGAAATCCTATAACGTTTATCTGGCTCAAGTAGTGATTGATTCTTGAACCAATCAATTGGTATCTCATAAATTAATTTAGTCCAAATCTGAAACAGAACTTTCAAAATAATTTGTTATAATTACTAAAAATTAACTATATTTTTAGTGATTTCTTCTTTTTTATTGGATTCAAATAAAATATTTATATATAATATATATTTCTCTTTAATAATTTATATTTATTGCAAATAATGAATGTTAAATTTCTTTAAATTTAATGCTATCTATCTAATTCAAATTTAAAAGATAGATATTTCATAATTTGAAAATCATTAATAATTTTTTATTTTTTCAAACATTTAAAAATTTATTATTTAAAAGATATTTATAAAATTATTCATTCATATTTTTCAAATAGACGACATACAAATTATTAATTAAATGATTTATTTTTTTATATATTATATAAATAAACTATTAATATTTTACTTTTAAATATTAAAATCTATCACATTTTTTTTACTGTTCTCATTAAATTTTTTTTTAGCTGATTTGCATGCTATTATTCAGTTGGTAATTATAACTAGGATTAATTACTGAATAATAAAATTTCTAAATCAAATGGAGTATTTTCATGATTGAGAACATTTAAATACTTAAAGTGAAACTTTGAATTCTGCTAAGTAATATAGCCAAACTTGTATTTTTTTGCAATTTTAATAGTAAATAAATCTGTAAAATTTTCTTGTAAGACAGGATTTTCTAAAAAATGCAAAGAATTCATTTTAACAATATATTTTTCATTTTATTTACTTTCATCAACTCTTATTTAAAATCCTAATTCTTAAAAGAAAAATTCTTTCATTTTCTTAACATCAACTAAATTAATTACAATATTTTACTATCTCATTTCAATATTAAGTAGAACTTTGTATTCAGGTAGATATTTAATATTATTCATTTAAAATAATTAATAATTTCCAATAATTGTTAGCTTTCTCTCTTCTGCCATATATTTGTAAATGAGAAGGGAGCTGTTTTTCGTATTGTTGCATATGAAAGTATGCTTTTCTATTTTATCGAAGAAACTCGAGCTAACAAAAAGTTAGATAAAGTAATTTTCATCATTTCTCTGAGGATTTACTGAAAAAATTCTAATAAGCTACTCATTTTTTTTCATGATTACATTTAGATATTAGTGTGAATCATTCTAAAAAGTTAACATTTTACAATTTTAAAAGAAATTCTCTTCTGAATCTCTGAAAAACCTGTTAATTATTTTATAGTCCATATAGCCTTCCATAAATGAAATACATCTTATTTACTTTTTAATAATATAATTGTAGATACAAACCTTATCAATGTTGATCAGTAAAATAGTGTTGTTTTTTGAGAATTTAATGTCAAAAACTCTTTGTAAAACTGGAATTTTTGATACGATTTTCAAATAGCTGTCTGTAAAATTAATTTTTAGTATCAATAATTCCTATCCTTGCTCTCTGGATTCAATTAAAACAGCTATATAATTTTGTATTTCATCTATTTTTAAAATATAAGGCTCGTAGCTACACTTTAAGGTGCATTTAATTTCAGATGAATTCTCAGGATTCCAAACTTCAAAAGTATTTCTATCATAATAAAAAAATACTTCATTTTAAAATAAAAATTTTTGAACCATTTTCATTTAAATTTTTTCTTTTTAAAAAGTTATAATAAATATTTAAGGATAAGTAAGCATTTATCCAAAAGGTAAAACTAACTAAAAATAAGTTCAATTCATATAATTAATTTTACTAAATTTAAGCTTCTGAATAAATGCAATAAAACTAATTAAACAAATTTATTTTTAAAATGGTACAAATAGAAAATTATATAACTACTTAATAATTTTGAAAAAATTATTTTATGGTAATTTATTTCAAATAAATAAACTCAACGAAAATGTGAGCCTATGTTTTTTATAACTAAGGTATTCACTCTATAAGAAATTCAAGCCTATTTTGAGGTTTAACAAGGATTCTTTAAAAGATGAAATCAAAATATTAAGCTAATATTATTTGAATAAAAAGTTTCTATAATCGAGGTAAATAGGTATATGTGATTTTTATTAAATATTTATTAAAATATATATTTCATATTCTTAAAGTAGGATTGAAATTCTTGAGTTTTTGATTTGCTTTTTAAAATTGATTGGTTTGCTTATTTCATTTAAACTCCTCCATATTAACTTTGTGAGGTTTTTTATTAAAACTTTAATCTAAGCTTTCCTCTTAAATAACCTAATTATGTAAAACATTATCAGTTTCTACGTTTGTTGTTTATACTTATTATTATTATTATTATTATTCTTATAAATTTTTTTGTTGTAAAACTTCACATTAAGTATTTAAATATTTTTAAAAATCGTTTTATTTGTTTGGAAACTAAAAAAATGTACTTTTAACAGGAGAAAATATTGGTGATAACATATTTGTGTTATTATAGTTTAAAACTTAAGAATCAACTTCTAATAAATTTGATAAATTGTTTCGTTATGTTTTTTCTTATACCTCAGACTATTTAAACAAAATTCTTGAAGAAAAACTATTTGACTTTAATTGATTTAAGACTTAACTATCTTATTATGATGAACGTCTAAAACTTCTTGAACCAAATTAAAACTTTTCATTGTTTTTTATTGGTGTTTCTAAACATTTAATTGTTTGAATAGATATAATTGAATCTTAATCTAATAATTCTATTTATGTATTTTTTTTATCAACAACCTCTAAAAAATATTGTTTAATAACATAGGAATCTGTATCGAAAATCTTTATCAACAAAGTACCTATGTCTTAAGAATATGGTCTATATTTTATTATGATGACATCATTTTTATTTTCAACTTCAATCCATTTCGGTAATTACATATTTTTATGAACACCAAATCTCACATACTATATATTAAGTAATTTTCTTAATCCCATACAGATATTACTCTATATTTTCTAAAAAGCTTCAATTGATTAAATTTAATACTAATGTAAATGAATGGATTCACCTACACATGGTTAAAAAATAGATGGAGTATATTCAACTAAGCCAAGTGCGTCTGCAAACAGAACTTCACGTATTAAATGAGGATTTAAACCTTAATCTCTTATTGATTCAAAAGTTTATTAAATATTTTTGATAATTTTTAATTGTAGTAACACAGTCATTATTTATTATAAATCAAGAGAGCAACTAGGAAATGGGGTTATTGACTCATTATCATTTATATCATCATTAGATTAAATGATTACAAAAGCTCTATACCAGTCATTTTAAGAGTATTTTAACTTATTTTGGGCATAGTACTTTAAGTATTTATAAAATTTGCGTGATTTTACATCTAATCTTAATAGATAGCGAGATATTAATGCTGAAATTCCTTTATAGATTATTGAATTTTTATTTTTGAAGTCACTAATAAAATTGCTTGATTCATATTTAATTCTCTATAATTTGAATTATACATTTTATTTGACTATATCTTTAAATATTTTTGAATATTTAATATTACCATCTTCTGCAAGGTATTTCTTTTCGAATGAAGTGCTTCTAGGGTTGATTACAGTTTTTTCAAGTGTTTTCTTTAATTGATTAGTAAGTGTAGAAGATTTTTATCTTAAAAAATTTTTTGACTTTTTATCTTATGAACTTTTTAAACTTGCCTATTCTTATTCTTTTTTAGTCTTAATATTTTCAATAACTGAATCTCTACTTTTTGTTAAAAAATTAGTAAATAATAGCCTACATTTTATCATATTATCTCCCAATATTGGTATTTTTCTTATTTTAACCTCTTCTATTGTACATTTTTCCCTTCCAAAAAATACTTTTTTTTAGAATCTTATATTTAAAAAAATGCTTCTATTTTTAAATAAGCCTAATATAGCAAATATAGGAGGTAATATTTTTAGCATTAAATTAGCAACAAACTGAAAAGATACTCCTGAAGTATTAATATAGAATATGTCATATGTAGAAGTATATCCATCTGTAGCAATCACTTTTATGTAATATTTATTTTAAAAAGTTGAGCTTGGTGGATTTCCATGAAAATATATATTGTTAACAGAAGCCTCAAACTAAATCCAATCCTCAGGATTAAAAGGTTAGTAATCATCACCTTTTAAGATTAAGGCTATATAAGAAGCAATTTAAATATCTTTCGAGATAAAAGAATTTGAGGAAAAGCTAACTGAAAATTCTTGCTCTATGTTAATTATTCCTGATTGGTAAACTTTATTAAATTAAGACTGCAGAGACATTTGTGGATTATTTTCAATTTATAATTTTTATTTTATAAATATGCAATCACTTAATAAAATCTATTCATTCAATTCATAATTTACTCCATCAATCACAGTTATATTGATAGATATTTAATCAAAAGAAGAATAATTTGCAAATATTATTTTTTGGCTTAGTATATTGTTAATATTTATCAATTAGCCTTGAAATGTAATTTAATTTTGAGAATCATTTGTCTAAACTACTGCTCCACTAAAATCTTATTTTACAAACTTACCTTGATTACTATTTACCTATAGTAAAAGCTAAATATTGTTAGAAATAGAATTAATAGGTGATTATTCATCTTTAATATTTAATGAGAGTGACTTTTCTACAAAAAATGTAACAGGATTAATAAAGGTACTCTGTTGTAATGTAAGCATTACTGCGTCAAATAAAGGTTATGAACAATCTAGGCCTTCTATCTAAAAATAAAATTATTCATAATGATCAAATTTGTCAGTAACATATCCTAATGAGTCAATTAAATTTTGTTTTTTTAGATATTAAAATATTTTAGAGGCTTAGGTATTAGTTACTTGTAATTATGTTTAGTTGTATTAAAATGACTGTGCTTTTAAAGGTACTGCAATTGAAAGTAATATTGTATTTAAATTTGGATCATTAAGATTGTCAGTATTTAAGCTACTTTTATCAACTTACATAACTAATTTTTAATTTTATGATTAATATTACATCCAATATGGAAGATCTTATATTTTTTATTAATAGTAATATTCAATTTTTTAAATAAGCATTCCATCAGTAGGATATAATAATATGAAATTAAGCTAAACGATTTGTCCTACTAAAAGATTTGTTCCTTTCGGAATATTTTAATGAATTTACACACCATTGGCTAAATTAGTAATAAGCTGCATTTAAGTATGAATTTCTACTTAGCTGGTTAGAGGTAGGATAATGATACCTTAACTGTCTAAGATATAAACAAATTGAATGTCTTCCGATAAGCATAATGCATAAGCCGATTATTTCTAGTATTGATACTAAGATATTTCATATGGTTTAGTTACATCTTAAATATTGATTAAATGAATCATACTAGTATCCATAATAGCAACAAGTAAATATTAATCATTTAGGACTGGTTATACAAAATTAACCCATCCATTAAAATTAACTCTACTTAAAAACTATATTTGAGGTAAAAATCTTAAGTCTAAAATAGCAACTCCTTTAAAGCCATCAAAAAGGAAGGCTAAGGTATCATTATATAGGGACGGTACGATCCCTTCAGCACCTGTGGACAAATAGGTAGACTTATATTACAGATAAGTTTTATTGGAAGCATCTAAGACATAAATACCATACCTTCTAACAGTGCTTATTATGTATCTATTGTCATTTGTAATCATTACTCCAGCATTTTCCCCAGTCATATTACTCTACATTTACCAGTAATCAAGCAAAAATAATTAAGGTGGTTGAGAAGAGTCGAGTAACAATATACCTTGGTCAAATGAACTAACTAAATATTTGTAATCTTTTGAGAAAAATATGGCTTCGTTAGTGTTTTGTGTGGGTAGCCTCAATCTGAAAGCTTCAGTAGGATTTTCGATATCAGATATATCCAAAACTAAGAAAGAGGTATTATTTTCTTAGATAGGAAGATAAAGGTATCGGTTATCTGAACTTAAAGCCAAGCTGTCTATACCAGTATTTTCATCAATATTATACAAATATATTTAAGATAAATGGTAAGGGTCATTTACTTCTAAAATATTGAATCCTTTAGCATCTAAGGCTTAAAATATATATTATTTTTGATTGATTTTCTTTTAGAAACATCTCCATCTATAGAAAGTTTAAGTTCCATCATCAAATAGTTGAGATTGATGAGTATTGAATAAATTAGGGTAATTATTATTTAAATTAGGAATTGTTTTCTCAAATGTGTAAAAACTAAAAGAGTTAGAATAATAAAGATATTTTCCATTTGGTGAAAAATTGATGAAAGTAGGTGAACCAATTATAGATATCTTTTGAAAAATTTTAGGTTTTAGTCTATCTTAAATATCAATTATAAATATACCATAAGAACGCGCTGCAGCAAATAAATATTTATTATCTTGAGATAGTTGTAGCAAATATAAAACATAATACGTATTATCAGGCCAAAAATATGTAAAATTAAGTTAAATTGGATACTAATTAGGATCAGATGATAGAATTTAGTTAAAATCGCAAACATAAATTCCTGTATATATATCTATTCCATAAAGGTATTGGTTATCATCTAACACAACAGCACCCCAAGCTTTCCAAATCATGACACCTTATCCTGCTAAAACGAGATTCAATTAACTACTTTGATTCTCAGTTTATATTGAAAGAACAGAAATTCCTAATAAGTCATTGGCTAAAACTATCCATTTATCATCTTTTGTAATAAAGCTTGAATGAATAGTACTTTGCTAAGAACTATATTTAGCTATAAATTTTACAAAATGTTTATTAGAAATATCATAAGCTATTATATCACCTGACATTCCTATAACGTAAACTATATTTTCTTATTAACTCATATGAATATTAATCATTGTAGAAGGGAAATCGCATTAACTCAAGAGCTATAATTAAGATCGGCCTGCAAATTTAAATAAACTAAATTAGTTCTACTTTGAAAATATAACATATTCACCATCAGAAGTAGCCTAAATTGTGTACAAATACTCAGTTTAAGAACTTTAGTTGAAAATTATTTAATTATTTAAGCTATCAAGAACATAAATACCTTCAAAACCAGCAGAGATAAAAATTAAATTTGCTTTATCAGCTACTTTTATGTCTGTGAATGCAGATTATGGATCTTTAATATCTTATTTATTTATATATAATTCAGAATAAATATAAGATATCTAATCATTGAGAAATATATTCTAACAATTAACAGAAATCCTAAAGATGAAATAATGAAGGATTATAAAAGTGTGTATTTTTATGGGTATTTTCATTTTTTTTTTCATATCTATTTTTTAGTTTTTGTTTTATTTAATATTAACTATTACTTAAAAGAATAATAGAAAACTTGAAACCAAATAAATATCACTACTTTGATAATCAAATAATAAGAAAAAGGCTTATTTTTCTTGAATAATTTTAAAATAAGTTTTTTTGAAAAATGAATTGAATGCTTTTTATACTTTTTTTATATAAACTACACTTTTCTTAGATGTTTAAATAAAAAAATTGACCAGCTAAATAGTTTTTACTATTTTTTTTTCTTTTCTGAAATAAAAGTATGATTATAATGGTAATTAATATTTCTATAACTAGGATATATAAGAAAAATAAATATTTTAATTTACAATAGCACACTAATTTTTTATACTGATACATGATACTGTTTTTAGGGCAGAAAATACCTTTTTTACAATAATAAAATTTACTTTACTTTTTATATTGATTTTTTTATTAGATATTATCAATTTATTTTGATTTATGTAATAAAAATATTTTAGTAAAAAAACGTGAAATTTTAAATTAATTTATTTTTCTTTCTTTAATATTTTAAACTTCACTGAATAAAAATGTAATTCAAATAGAAATTGTAATTAGTTAAAATTTTTTTTTTTTATTATATACTCTAAAAATATATTCGTTTCTTATTTTTGCATGTAGTATGTTTATTTTTATACTTCTTTTCCAGCTGATTTATTTTTAGTATTTATATTTTTTAATAAATAATGAGATATTTTATTGCTATGTACTTTATTTTTATTTTGAAATATGAATTTTAACCTTGAATGCTATAAATTTTATTTTCAAAACTTATATTAAAAAAATCACTTTTTAACAGTTGAAAAGTGGAAACTATTTGTTTTTATTTATTCTTTTTGAATATGTTCCTTCCTTTTCTTGAATTAAATTTATTGACATCATAATTTAATTCATTTAAAATAAATAATTATATTGTTAGCAGTTGTTTCTTCTTATTGATAGCTAATAAAAGAATTAACTGAATCAGATAATTGTTCTTCTTAATTTTTATTAATGACTTCTAAAAAATATTATTTTACAATATACTTGTCTAAATCAAATATTTTTATTCAGATTTTTCCAAAATCCTAAGTAAAATGATTCATTACATTATAATTATATTCTACTTTTTTCTATTTTGGTAGAAATATATTCTTTTGAATTCTCTTTCTTACAGAGTCACTATTAAAAAGTTTTTGAATTTGAGTGAAATATCCAACGCATTTTAACTACTAATACACATCAATTAAGTAAAATTAAGTAAGTGTATTTAGTACAAAAATAAATGAATAGATTCACCAACACACGGATGAAATACAGATGGTTTATAATCAACCAATCCTAGAGCATTCTAAAAAAGAAGGTCATATATGAGATTGGGATTAAACTGTTAGTCAATCAGTTATTGATTCATATTTTTTATTCATTTGCTTTATGATTAATAAATCTATAAATATAAGTTATATTTAATTTAAGTTTAGTTAACATTCAGGAAGTGGACATTTATGCTGATTAAAAATGTGTACTAATCATTTTTAGAAAAGCTTAAATTAATTAATGCATAAAATTTTAAGTACTTTTATAATGAATATGACCTAAAATATAACTTGAACAAATAACATGAAATTAAAGTTTTAGTCCTCTATAAATAATTTAATTTTTATTTTTAAATTCACTATTACTAACCCGCTACATATTTAATATTATTATGTCTAAAAGTAATATTATACTTAAAAATATCTCTTAAAACCTAATCAAAATTCACACTTCAATTGATATTTTATATATAACTGGCCTTAATATATGAACTAAAATTATTTCAATTTTAAAAATTGATTAGGAGAAATACATTATATATATATCAATATTTCTTAATTTCTTAAATTTATATAATATAAATTTCAGTAAATATTAAATTCTCTTTATATTTCTATATATAATTCATCAATTTTAATATGAATGAAATAAAAATATTTAGCTACCACTATTTAAATAAAAAGTTTTTTTAATTAAGGTAAATAATTATTTATTATATTTATTAAGATAATTATTTCATTAAACAGGATTCAAATTCTTGAGTTTTTGATTTGCCTTTTAAAATTAATTGGTTTGCTTATTTCATTTAAACTCATCTATATCAACTTTATGAGGTTTTTTATTAAAACTTTTATCTAAGCTTTCCTCTTAAATTACCTAATTATTTAAAGCATTATCGGTTTCTACGTTTGTTGTTAATATTTATTCTTATTTTTATTATTATTCTTATAAATTTTTTTGTTGTAAATCTTCATTTTAAGTATTTAAATATTTTTAAAACTCACTTTATTTATTTGGAAACTAAAAAAATGAACTTTTAACAGGAGAAAATATTGGTGATAAAGTATTTGTGTTATTATAGCTTAAAATTTAAGAATCAACTTCATGTAAATTTGATATGTTGTCTCTTTATGTTTTTTCTTATACCTCAGACTATTTAAACATAATTCTTGAAGAAAAACTATTTGACTTTAATTGATTTAGGACTTAACTGTCTTTTTATGATGAACGTCTAAGACTTCTTGAACCAAGTTAAAACTTTTCATTATTTTTTACAGGTGTTTCTAAAGATTTAAATGTTTGAAAATAAATAATTGAATCTTAATTTAAAAAGTCTATTTATGTGTTTTTTTTATCAACAACCTCTAAAAAATATTGTTTAATAACATAGGAATCTGTATCGAAAATCTTTATCAGCAAAGTACCTATGTCTTAAGAATATGGTCTATATTTTATTATGATAACATCATTTTTATTTTCAACTTCAATCCATTTCGGTAATTACATATTTTTATGAACACCAAATCTCACATACTCTATATTAAGTAATTTTCTTAATCCCATACAGATATTACTTTATATTTTCTAAAAAGCTTCTATTGATTAAATTTAATACTAATGTAAATGAATGGACTCACCTATACATGGTTAAAAAATAGATGGAGAATATTCAACTAAGCCAAGTGCATCTGCAAACAGAACTTCACGTATTAAATGAGGATTTAAACCTTACTCGCTTATTGATTCAAAAGTTTATTATGTATTTTTGATAATTTTTAATTCTAATAACACAATCATTATTTATTATATATCAAGAGAGCAATTTGGAAATGGGCTCATTATCTCATTATCATATATGTCATCATTAGATTAAATGATTACAAAAGCTCTATACCAATCATTTTAAGAGTATTTTAATTTTTTTTGGGCATAATACTTTAAGTATTTATATAATTAGCGTGATTTTACATCTAATCTTAATAGATAGCGAGATAATAATGCTGAAATTCCTTTATAGATTATTGAATTTTTATTTTTGAAGTCACTAATAAAATTGCTTGCATCATATTTAATTCTCTATAATTTGAATTATACGTTTTATTTGACGATATCTTTAAATATTTTTGAATATTTAATATTACCGTCTTTTTCAAGGTATTTCTTTTCAAATGAAGTGCTTCTAGGGTTGATTACAGTTTTTTCAAGTGTTATCTTTAATTAATTAGTAAGAGTATAAGATTTTTATCTTAAAAAATTTTTTGACTTTTTATCTTATGAACTTTTTAAACTTGCCTATTCTTATTCTTTTTTAGTCTTAATATTTTCAATAACTGAATCTCTGCTTTTTGTTAAAAAATTAGTAAATAATAGCCTACATTTTATCATATTATCTCCCAATATTGGTATTTTTCTTATTTTAACCTCTTCTATTGTACATTTTTCATTTCCAAAAAATACTTTTTTTTAAAATCTTATATTAAAAAAAATGCTTCTATTTTTAAGTAAGCCTAATAGAGCAAATATAGGAGGTAATATTTTTAGCATTAAATTAGCAACAAACTGAAAAGATACTCCTGAAGTATTAATATAGAATATGTCATATGCAGAACTATATCCATCTGTAGCAATCACTTTTATGTAATATTTATTTTAAAAAGTTGAGCTTGGTGGATTTCCATGAAAATATATATTTCCAGAAGAACTTTCAAATTAAATCCAATCCTCTGGATTAAAAGGTTAGTATTCATCACCTTTTAAGATTAAGGCTTTATAAGAATCAATTTAAATATCTTTCGAGATAAAAGAATTTGAGGAAAAGCTAACTGAAAATTCTTGCTCTATGTTAATTATTCCTGATTGGTAAACTTTATTAAATTAAGACTGCAGAGACATTTGTGGATTATTTTCAATTTATAATTTTTATTTTATAAATATGCAATCACTTAATAAAATCTATTCATTCAATTCATAATTTACTCCATCAATCACAGTTATATTGATAGATATTTAATCAAAAGAAGAATAATTTGCAAATATTATTTTTTGGCTTAGTATATTGTTAATATTTATCAATTAGCCTTGAAATGTAATTTAATTTTGAGAATCATTTGTCTAAACTACTGCTCCACTAAAATCTTATTTTACAAACTTACCTTGATTACTATTTACCTATAGTAAAAGCTAAATATTGTTAGAAATAGAATTAATAGGTGATTATTCATCTTTAATATTTAATGAGAGTGACTTTTCTACAAAAAATGTAACAGGATTAATAAAGGTACTCTGTTGTAGTGTAAGCTTTACTGCGTCAAACAAAGGTTATGAACAATCTAGGCCTTCTATCTAAAAATAAAATTATTCATAATGATCAAATTTGTCAGTAACATATCCTAATGAGTCAATTAAATTTTGTTATTTTAGATATTAAAATATATTAGAGGCTTAGATATTAGTTATTTGTAATTATGTTTAGTTGTATTAAAATGAGTATACTTATAAAGGTATTGCTATTGTAACTAATATTGTATTTAAATTTGGAGCATTTAGATTGTCAGTATTTAAGCTACTTTTATCAACTTATATAACTAATTTTTAATTTTCTGATTAATATTACATCCAATATGGAAGATCTTATATTTTTTATTAATAGTAATATTAAATTTTTTAAATAAGCATTCCATCAGTAGGATATAATAATATGAAGTTAAGCTAAACGATTTGTCCTACTAAAAGATTTGTCCCATTTGGAATATTTTATTGAATTTACACACCATTGGCTAAATTAGTAATAAGTTGTATTTAAGTATGAATTTCTACTTAACTGGTTAGAGGTAGAATTACGATACCTTAAATATCTAATATATAAGCAAATTGAATGTCTTCTGATAAGCATAGCGCATAAGCTGGCTATTGTTAGTATTGATACTAAGACATTTCATATGGTTTAGTTACATCTTAAATATTGATTAAATGAATCATACTAGTATCCATAATAGCAACAAGTAAATATTAATCATTTAGGACTGGTTATACAAAATTAACCCATCCATTAAAATTAACTCTACTTAAAAACTATATTTGAGGTAAAAATCTTAAGTCTAAAATTCCAACTCCTTTAAAGCCATCAAAAAGGAAGGCTAAGGTATCATTATATAGGGACGGTATGATTCCTTCAGCACCTGTGGACAAATAGGTAGACTTGTATTACAGAGAAGTTTTATTGGAAGCATCTAAGACATAAATACCATATCCCCTAATAGTGCTAAGTATGTATCTATTGTTGTTTGTAATCATAACTCCTGCGTTTTCACCAGTCATATTACTCTACATTTACCAGTAATCAAGCAAAAATAATTAAGGTGGTTGAGAAGAGTCGAGTAACAATATACCTTGGTCAAATGAACTAACTAAATATTTGTAATCTTTTGAGAAAAATATGGCTTCGTTAGTGTTTTGTGTGGGTAGCCTCAATCTGAAAGCTTCAGTAGGATTTTCGATATCAGATATATCCAAAACTAAGAAAGAGGTATTATTTTCTTAGATAGGAAGATAAAGGTATCGGTTATCTGAACTTAAAGCCAAGCTGTCTATACCAGTATTTTCATCAATATTATACAAATATATTTAAGATAAATGGTAAGGGTCATTTACTTCTAAAATATTGAATCCTATAAAATCTAAAGCTTAAAATATATATTATTTTTAGTTGATTTTCTTTTATAAACATCTCCATCTATAGAAAGCTTAAGTTCCATCATCAAATAGTTGAGACTAATGAGTATTAAATAAATTGGGGTAATTGTTATTTAAGTTAGGAATTGTTTGCTAAAATATATAAAAACTAAAAGAGTTAGAAAAATAAAGAAATTTTCCATCTGGCGAAAAATCAATGAAAGTAGGGGAACCATCAACAGGTATTTATTGAAATAGTATAGGATTTAGTCTGTCTTAAATATCAATTATAAATATACCATAAGAACGCACTGCAGCAAACAAATATTTATTATCTTTAGATAGCTATAGTTAATAAAAAACATAGTATGTATTATCTGGCCAGAAATATGTAAAATTAAATTAAATTGGGTACTAATTAGGATCAGATGATAGAATTTAGTTAAAATCGCAAACATAAATTCCTGAATATATATCTATTCCATAAAGGTATTGGTTATCATCTAACACAACAGCACCCCAAGCTTTCCAAATCATGACACCTTATCCTGCTAAAACGAGATTTAATTAACTATTATTATTTTATATCGAAAGTACAGATGTTCCTAATATATCATTTGCTAAAACTATCCATTTATTATCTTTTGTAATTAAGCTTTAATGAATAGTACTTTGCTAAGAACTATATTTAGTTATAAATTTTACAAAATGTTTATTAGAAATATCATAAGCGACTATATCACCTAACATTCCTATAACATAAACTATATTTTCTTAATTTTCCATAAGAATATTAATAATTGTAGAAGGGAAATCGCATTAACTCAAGAGTTATAATTAAGATCGAGTTGTAAATTTAAATAAACTAAATTAGTTCTACTTTGAAAACATAACATATTCACCATCAGAAGTAGCTTGAATTGTGTACAAATACTCAGTTTAAGAACTTTAGTTGAAGATTAGTTAATTATTTAAGCCATCAAAGACATAAATACCTTCAAAACCTGCGGATATAAAAACCAAATTTGCTTTTTCTGCTACTTTTATGTCTGTGAATGCAGATTATGGATCTTTAATATCATATTTATTTATATATAAATCAGAATAAATATAGGGTATCTAATCATTCAGTATTATATTCTAACAATTAATTGTATTCCTAATGATGATATAATGAAGGATTATAATAGTTTGTATTTTTAATGGTTTTTTCATCTTTTTTTATAATATCTATTTTTTAGCTTTTGTTTTGTTTAATATTTATTATTAATTAAACAATCAATAGAAATCTAGAAACCAAAAAAAATATCACTACTTTGATAATCAAACAATAAGAAACAGGTTTATTTTTCTTGAAAAATATAAAATATGTTTTTTGAAAAATGAATGGAATGTCTTTAATCCTTATATATAAATTATTATTCTCTTAAATGTTTAAATTATAAAATGAGCCAGCTAAATTGCAATAAAATTGAAAGCCTTTTAAAAACTAGGAATTAATTGTAACAATCATTATTTTCAATAAAAAATCAATGTTGATATAAATAATTATTTTTATTTGTTTATTATACATGCTTTCTTTCTGAAATAATAATATGATTATAATAGCAATTTATATTTTTATAACTAGTAAATAAATAAAAAATAAACATTTTAACTTATATAAATAAACTAATTTTTTATATTGAGATTGTGGTATTTAGGGTTAGATAATACCTTTTTTTCAAAATAATAAATAAAATTTACTTTATTTTGTGTTTATGTATTGATTTTTTATTATGTATTATCAATTTTTATTTATAATAAAAAACTATTCTAAAGTTAAATTAAAAAATCTTAGTAAAGAAAACTTTCAATACAAAATTATTTTATTTTTCTCTCTTTATAATTTTGAATTTCACAGATAATAATAAAAAATGTAAAATTTTCAAATAGAAATTATAAATTTGTTAAAATGTTAGTGGCTAGTTTATTATTTACTCTAAAAATAAAATTTCATTTCTTAATTTTGCATGCAGTGTTTTATTTTTATTCTTCTTCTTCTTTTAAAGCTGATTAGCTTTCATTCATATTAACATTTATATTTTTTAATAAATAATGAGATATATTATTACTATGTATTGTAATTTTATTTTTGAAAAATGAATTTTAAATTTGATTACTATTAATTTTATTTTCAAAATTTTTATTAGAAAAATCACCTTTTATAAGTCTAAAAGGGGAAGTTATTTGATTTTATTTATCCTTTATGAATATTCTTCTTTTTTTCTAATTTAACTTATTGACATCATAATTTAATTAATTTATACTAATTGGTTATTTATTATTTCTAATAATTGCTTCTTCTTATTAATAGCTAATAAAAGAATTGACTGAATTATATAATTACTCTTCTTAATTTCCATTAATGACTTCTAAAAAATATTGTTTTACAATATACTAATCTAAATCAAATATTTTTATTAAGATTTTTCCAAAATCTTAAGATTTAGGATTCGCTTTTAAAATTACTACATTATTATTATTTTACACTTTAATCCACTTTGGTAAAGACATATTCTTATGAATACCAAATTATACATAATCAATATTTAAAAATTTTTGAATTTGAGTGAAACATCCAACGCTTTTTAACTGTTAATAAGCTTCAATTGAATGTATTTAGTACGAAAATAAATGAATTGATTCACCAACACAAGGGTGAAATACAGATGGTTTATAATCCACCAATCCTAGAGCATCTGAAATAAGCACTTCTCGTATGAGATGCGGATTAAACTGTTAATCAATTATTGACTCATATGATTAATTCATTTGCTTAATGATTTATAAATCCATTAATATAAGTTTTAATTAATTTAAGTTTAGTTAACATTCCGGAAATGGACATATCGCTTACTAATCTAAATCATCTATGCTATTTATGTTAATAAAATATTTGTACCAATCATTTTTAGTATAGATTGGATTATTTAATGCATAAAATTTTAAGTACTTATATACTGAATAGGACCTAAAGTCTAACTTTAACAAATAACGTGAAATTAAAGCTTTTAGTCCTCTATAAATAATTGAATTTTTATTTTTAAATTCACTATTAAACTAATTCGCTTCATATTTAATATTATTATGTTTAAATGTAATATTAAACTTAAAAATATCTTTTAAAACTTAATCAAAATCCACATTTCCATTTTTCATGAGATATTTTATTTATAAAATATTGCTTTTAGTATTTATATTGTCTTAATGTATTATTTTAATAGTATTATCAAGTGCCTATTTAATTTTTTTATTATTTGAACTGGTTACAAATTTATATGTGAATTTGTGTAATTTAATTTATTAATTCTTAACAGAATTTTCTGTAAGATTATTTTCTTTTATTTTTATTTAATTCTAATTAGGTTATAATAATTAACTATTCTAACCTTTTTCTTATTTTTTCGATTATTTTTCTATTTTTTTTAAAAAACCTTTAAATATTAATCTACAAATTATCATATTGTTGCCTAAAAGAGGAATTTTTTTTATAAGAATCTCTCCTATTTTTGTTTACTCTGTTGAAAAAAATACTTATTATTTAAATATTTTATTTATAAAAAAACTCCTATATTTATAAAGCCCTAAAATTGTAAATATTGGTGGTAAAATTTTTAGCAGCAAATTAATTATAAATTAAAAAGATATTCCTGAAGTATCAATATAAAAAATATCATATGTAGAAGTATATCCATCTGAAGCAATTACTTTTATTTAAAATATATTTTTATATGTTGAGGTGGCAGGGATTCCATGAAAATAAATTGACATAGAGGAACTTTGAAATTAAATCCAGTCACCAGAATCAAGAATTTAATAAGTATCTCCTCTCAAAATGAAAGCTTAATAAGAGATAGTTTAAATATCTTTGGAAATAAAAGAATTTGATGAAAAACTTATTGAAAATTACTCTTCTAAATAAATTACGCCCTGTGGATATAATTCATTAAACTATAATTAAAGTGGTTTCTATGGATTTTTTATTATTTATTCTTTTTTTTTTATAAATACGCAATCACTTAATTAGTTTTTTTGATTAAGGTTATAGTTAATTCCATCTATTAATGTAATATTAACGAATATTTAATCAAAAGCAGAATAATTTGCAAATATTATTTTTTATTTTAATACATTGTTTACATTAATTGCCAAACCTTCCAATGTTATTTTACTTTGTAAATCATTTGTTGAAACGACCACTCCATTAATATTCTATATAACAAACTTTCCTTAAGTGCTATCTACTTCAAAACTAATTTATATATTGTTATTAGATAATGTCTAAACTGGGGTTGAATAATCTTAAATATTTAATAAAAGAGACTATTCTACAAAAAAACTAACTGAATTAACATAATAACTCTATTATAAAGCGAATTTCACAGCTTAAAATAGAGTTTATGTACAATTTATTCCTTATATTTAAAAACTAATTTAATCATAAGAATTAAATTTATTCGTTATATATCCTGAATCGTCAATTATTTATTAATACTGTAAATAGTTATATATTTGTTATGCTTACTCTCCATTTATTTATAGATTTAGTTAATTAAATTGAAATGAGGTTACTTCTAAAGGAATTAATGTTGTAATTAAAATACTATTTAGATTAGCTATTTTTAGATTATTCAAATCTAAGCTACTTTTATCTACTGTGATAAGAAGTTATTAGTTATTTGAATTGTATTACATCCAAAATGGAAGATCTTAAACTTATCCTTATTTGTAATATTAAACCTTCTAAATAATTATTCCATTAGTAGGATAAATTATCATAAAATCAAACTAAATTATCTATCCTACTTAAACATTTTTTTCTTAAGGAATATTCTTTTTAATTTACACACCATTAATCACATTGCTAATAAGCTACCTTTATGTATGAACAATTACCTGACTGGCGAGAGGTAAAATTATAGTTCCATAGCTATTTTAAATAAAAGCAAATTAATTATCATCTGACATGCATAATGAAAAAGATGATAGCTGCCCATATTGATAAGAAGAGATCTCATAAGGTTTAGTTATATCTTCAATATTGATTAAATGTAACATGCTAGTATCCATAATAGAAACTAGTAAATATTAATCACGAAAAACTGGCTAGACATAATTACTCCATCCACTTATTCTAATTCTACTTAAGAATAATATTTATGGTAGAGCTCTTAGATCTATTATAGCAACTCCTTTGAACCCATCAAAAAGGAAGGCATAAGTATTATTATACATGGACGGTATAATTCCTTCTGCACCTGAAGACAAATAAGTAGACTTATATTGTAATGAAGTTTTATTGGAAGCATCTAAGACATAAATACCATAACCCCTAATTGTGCTTATAATGTATCTATTGTCGTTTGTAATCATCACTCCTGCATTTTCACCTGTCATGTTACTCAACATTTTCCAATAATCAAGTAAAAATAATTATGGTGGCTGAGAAGAATCAATTAGCAATATACCATTGTCATAAGAACTAACTAAATAATTATAATCTTTTGAGAAAAATATGGCTTCATTATTTTTAAGAATGGGCATTCTAAATCTGAAAGCTTCTTTAGGATTAACGATATCCGAGATATCCAAAACTAAGATTACAGTATTATTTTATTAAAGTGGAACATAAAGATAACGGTTATCTAAGCTTAAAGCCAAACTACTTATACCACTAGTTTTAGCTAGTTAACCATAGAAATAAATTTAATAAATATTGTAAGGACTACTTATTTCTAAAATATTGAATCCTACTGTGTCTAAAGTTTGAAATAAATATTTTTTTTACTTGATTGTTTTTTGTAAGCATCTCCATTTATAGTGAGCTTAGGTATCATCTTAATACAATTTTGATTAATGGCCATTAAACAAATTTGGCTAATAATTATTTAAATTTGGATTTGTCTGTTCAAAAACAAATAAACTTTATGAATTACTATAATACAAATATTTTTCATCATGAGATAAAGCTAATGACATAGGCTAGCCTGATATCCTAATTTATTGAAAAAGAATAGGATTTAGTCTTTCTTATATATCTAATACAAAGATTCCATAAGAACGCACGCCTACAAACAAAAATCGATTATCATTTGTTATTTATATTCCTTAAAAAGCGTAATAGTTTTGAAGAGGCCACAAAAAAGTGAATTAAATTTGTATAGGATATTGGCTAGTTCCAGCTGACAATATTTGGTTGAAATCAGAAACATATATACCATTATTTAAATCTACTCCATAAGCATATTAATTATCATTTGTTAGTATAATTGATGATGTTTTCTATTGCATCATTCCTTAACCAGCTAAAACAAGCTCTAAAGAATTGTTTTTAGAATAATTCTAAACTGAAATTATAGTCAGACCTAAATCATCATTTCCTAAAATTATCCATTTATCGTCTTTAGATATATAACCTTGATGTATAAAACTTGTTTATGATTAATATTGGGCTAAATTTTAGATAGAATATTTATTTGATATGTCAAAAGCTACTATACAACCAGATATACCAATAGCATAAACTATATTTTCTGAATGGTTAATGAGTAAATCTATAATTGTAGAAGGAAAGCTACTCTAGCTTATAAGAATTAAAGAAGAAGAATTCTGAAATTTGAAAATACTAAACTAGTTCTACTAAGAAAACATAACATATTCTCCATCAGAAGTAACTTCGACTGCAAACAAATATTCAGGCCATGATTTTTGTGTAAATATTACTTATTTTGTTAAATTATCAATTACAAGTAGACCTTCATATCCAGCAGAAACAAAAGCTTAGTTAGACTTTTCAGCCACTTTAATTTTTGTAAATTATGACTAGGGATCTTGGATATCAAATTTTTAAATGTACAAACTGGAGTATATAAAAGGTATTTCTCTATTTATCATGGAACAATTGCAAAAAATAAGTAAATTTTGCATTATTAATCCATAAAAAGTAGAAACAATGCTTAACTTTTAAAGCAAATTCATTTTATTCATTTTTTATTTGTTAAACTCCTTTATGATATCAACTTTATAGTAATTAAATTTGAATAATATTTAAAAGTAATACAATTTACTAAAGATTATTAAATTGAATTACAAAATATATTTTTAAAAAAAATATTTAGATAAATTTATTTAAATAAAAAAATAATTTTTTCAATATAATTCTATTCTTATTTTTTTTATAAAGTTATTATTTAAAAGATATTTTGAATTAAAAATTTGTTAAAAAATAAATTTATTATTATTATAAAGATAATTTTTAATTAGGATAGTTTATGTAACTATATTTAATTGTTCTTTCGAAATCATTAATTTTATGAAATATATCTAAATTTGCATGGTTATTACAAATTCATCTATTTTTACTACTTATTTAACAAGATTTATTGTTATAATTATTACTCTTTAAGATTTTTTTCATTTTATAATTGTTATACCATATCCCTATAATGCTTTTCTAAAAAGATTTAACATTCCATTACATAATTTAAGTTCTCTAATTCTAAATCATTGTTATAATAATAATTTTTAGGAAAAAATTAGTTTTATGGAGATTCATATGAGTATTATGCTCTTATTTGTATAACTTATTATAAAATTTAAGGAGTTATCATATATTTTATGTAGAAGAGTTGATCAAATACATTTATAAAATTTATACCATCTCCTTTAAATTTTAAATGAGGAGGGAAACATATTTTTTTAGACATCATCTTGCATTCACAAAATATTTTTATATCATCAATTGTTGTAAGCTAAAAATCTGGTATTAAAACTTCTTATTCTTATTCATGTATCATCTGAAACATCATACTACTGGTAAAGATGCGTTTTCGGGCATTTTGATTAAAAAATTTTATAAATCCCTTTCTCAAAAAGTGTTTTGAAAGTTCTTCATCATCTGCTCCAACTAAAGCAATCGTCGGCCTGGCAAATGTCATACTAGAAAGAGTAGAGGAATTGTTCTCAAAAGAAATAGTTAAAGTTCCCACTGAACAAAATTCATCCATACACACTCTCTCTGATATAAATTTTTTCTTCTCCTCTTCAATAAATTGTTTTCTAAGCTGTAAAATCGAATTATAATCTTGGGAATTAACTAGATAGTTCTACTTTAGATTTTCTATTTAATCATTTATTAAAAATATAGTTTGTTAATGATTTTTGAGATTTTAAGCAAATTCATACAATTCCTAATCTTAAGATCCTTCTAAATAATATATAATTCTAGTTATATGCTACAAAGGTTAAATACTTTCAAGCTAAAAACTTAATGAATTAGAAGTCTTCTCAACTTGAACAATATTTCTAAATTCATTAAAGACCGAGCAGGCTTCTAAGTCATTAGTTCCTATCAATTCTATTAAAATATCTCCAGCAATAAAAAATGTTTTTTAGGAAGGTATCTCTTAAAAAATGAACTTCTCTAATTATTATTGCTTTTCGTTAAGGTTCAAAGTTGTTAATTTTAATATTCTTTTATACCCATAAGCAACATTTTTAGCTTAATCTTTTTGAATTAATTTCTTTTTCTTAAGTTTACAATTTTTTTGATCATTATAGTATTACATGATGCGATATTTCTAATTGTGTTTATCTATTTATTCAGTAAAATGAGAGTTATCTTCTTTTTATTCTTTAGTATACTTACTACAATTTTCAGAACTAAAACTATCAATAAAATTTAAATCATTTTAACTAATGCTCATAGTTAAAATTAATTGTATTTTTTAAATATGTAAAATAATATGAAGTAAATTAATTGCTTTGATTATTTATGATTGTATTGATTAATATTTTAGTTTATATTGATATCATCTATTTTTTTAAATTTTTATCAATTAAAGAGTAAAGATATTATGTAATAAAAAATTTCACTTCTTTATCATCTAATAATTTACATTTTGTTTGTTTATGGTAAAATTCAAATGATTGCTTTAATAAGTATTTTTTTGGAATATAACATATCAAAATCAATATGTAAATACTGATCCAACAATATATTTAGCTAACATAAAATAAATAAGATTAATTAATTATGTAAACATTTAAAAATATATTAAGATAGAAATAAAAAAAATAATATACGTTGATAAAAACATGGTTCAAATTAACCAAATTAGATTCATACAGATGTTTCAAATGAAGTAAACTCTGCTTTTTTATATCTTTTATTTTCAATTAAATTCAAATAATTCCAGTTAAAAATAACGATAGGAGCAGTATTTTATTAGCAATAATTTGTATTTTTTAATTAATTTTAAATAAATTTTTATCCTCAATAATAAATTGAGTTTGTTTTTGACTAAATTTTATTGTAAAAAGACAGACATAAAATATAATAATGAATACATTTCAAAATGAATTTAAGATAAAACTAATTTTATTTCTTTATTCATATGTACCTAAAACCACATGGCTAGTTATTAAAAATAACTTGTTAGGCTTATTATTATTACTCTTTTATCATATTTTCTTTTTTTTCTTATATTTTTTCTAGTTCTTTTTGATAAAATTTTTCAAGGAATATTTAACTTTGAATACTGTATTCAAATACTTCTAATTCTACAAAATTATTGTAGTTATAATTTCTTGGAAAATTTTCATTTTAAGGTGCTTTTTGAATATACTCCTTTCTTAATTTTAATATCTTCTCTAAATGCTATGGTGTGATATCATATTAAACTAAATAAAATTATTCCTTATTTAGCAAGGGATATTTTTCAAATTTTAAATTATCTTAATATATTACTGGTATTGCTTGAAACTTACCTTAGCATATTATTTTTATTTAATCAAAAGTTGTTATTTCAAAATCTTCTATATTTATTTCAAAATCTGTTTATGTATTCTATTAGGCTTAGACATTAAAAGTCATTATTTTTCTTCTTGATTTTTGTCTTAATAATTTTAAAAATCCTAATTTAAACATATCACAAATATTTTCTTCATCTCCAAAACCTATCAGTGCCATCATAGATTTTGATAAGCATATATTTGATACTGTAGTTGTTTATTTGTTATAAGATATACTAACAGTAGCTATTAAACTAAATTAATCTTAATTAAATATCTATTATAACAATTATTTCCTTTGCTATTTTATTATTTTTTATCTTTCACGTATAACATATTCTAGAGAATCCTAATTAAATTAATAAGATGCTTAGAGATCCTATATTTAAGAGCTAAGCATATAAACTAACTCTTGGTGCTTTTTTAAAAATTAGGCAAATTCATATTATTTTTAATCTTATGAATTTTCCATACAATATATTACAGATTAGAAGTTTTTAATAGGGCTGTACGATTCAAATTCAAATTAAACTCCATGATTCATTTTTTCTACAAAAACAACATTTCTTTACTCACAAAACATATCAACTCCCATTTGATTTGTAGCATCTTTTAGCTCCGCAAGAATATCTCCTGCTAGAAAAAATACTTTTTAGTTTGGAATTTATTTCATGATAGTTGAATCAAACTATAATTATGATTAAATATCACTCATATCAGAACTATTAGTTGTTTTAATTGCATAAATAATATTTTTCATTTATAATTTTGGCTTGCGGCCTCTTTTTTATTATTTTTTTTCTTCATTTTTATGAATTTTTTTCTTCAATTAAATTGATAATTCAGAAGAAACTTATTCTTTTCCACTCCTGCTACTACTTTAATTATCTTGAGAATCTATGCTCATATGGTAATCTCTTATGCTTAAGCTTTTATCTGTTTCTGTATCATCGTTTAGATCATCTTTCATACTACCACTAAAACTGCTCGTATTATCTTTTATTTATACACAAGCTAATTTGTTCTCTAAACTTAAAATTTTATCTATCTATACTTCTTCCCCTTCCATTAAAGAAACTATTAAAATATGATTTTTTTACAATATTTAATAACTTTTACAAATTAATTACAATTTATTAATGTAAAATATAGACAAAAAAATAAGGGAGATGCATGAATGCTATATATTAAGATGATTCCAAAACTTCTAGCTGAATGCATTATCTGTAATTAAAAGTAAATTACCAAACATATTCAGGTATGTTTGTTTATCAATATATTTAAAATATTATAAATATTTTTAACAAAAACGAATTGATTTTGAGATTATAATTGGCTCAAATCAAGTCTTAATTGTAAAACTAAATAAATAATTACTGATTTAATTATTAAATTTTAGACTTCTTTTTTTTACATTTGTAAACAGCTACTTAAAATATTTAAATAACAATTATATCATCAATTTATTATCATTTAATATTCATAAGTATTTATAAGTTTTGAAAAGAAATATTTGATTAAGATCTTCATTTTGAAATAAATAAATAAATAAATAAAATAAGTATTGACTATATAAATTATAAATAGTTGTTGTTATATAAATAAAATAAGTAGGTATCAGTAATATTAAATGTAAGAATAATATGAATATTTAGAATATTTATCTCTTTTGAATTTTAAGTATTAAATTATTTCTTCGTAGTGGTAAAATATTTTTATCACTTCTTTATTTTTTTAAATAAAAGATTAATTCTAGCTTAATTCTATAAAGTTATTTCCTTTTTCAGTTAATAAAATTATAACTTATAAATTAAATTATGCTAAAATACTGCATAAATTCATAAATAAAGTATCTTCTTAAAATGAAACATATTATGTTTGATAGATTATAAATTTTAAAGCTTTTTCTTGTTCAAGACCATTAAGCTCTTTGCTGATAAACTATTTGTACATCTCAATATTTTCAGAATTTTAATTATACTTTTTAAAAAAATTATTTTCTGATGCTTTATAGGTGAGTTAATCTGACACAAGTTAGTCAATTGATTGTCTTATGAATTCATAAAATTAATAATTTTACAATTCAGATTATTATTTGTTATTAGATTAAAAAAACTCTTAAAAATGTTCATTAATTTTTACATTTAAATTAATTAGCTATTAATTTGAGCAGATTTTTAAATCATAAATATGGTCATCAACATTTTTTACATTATTGATTTTTTGATTCTTTGGTTAAATTAATATTTGTTAAGTTTATTTATATTATTCATTTTCTTATTGATTTTAATTATTAGTATTTAATTTTAACTAATCAACCTCATTTTAAGTTTCTTTTTCTAATATAATTTTAGTTTATTGATCATATAAAAAAGGAAAATTTAAATCTGAAATAAATATTTTTTTATTATCCTTTTTTTCATTTAAATTACATTTATCAAAAATAAATCCTTCTTAAATTTATTATTCATCAAATACTTCTGATTAATCTAATTTTTTACATCCAAAAGAAATCAATTCACTACTGCTTTACTTTTTAAATATATTATTTATATCTTTTTTGTCAACCAAAGCTTAAGGATTAATTATTTATTTTGTAAGAAAATCAAAAATAATATCTTTGAATTTTTTAAATTACTTAAAATCAATAAGCTTCATATTTTAGATTATATATTAACTTCCATAATCTATTGTAAATAGACTAATTTTATCTGTATCTTAACTTAAAACTTTCTCTGAAACAGCCTAAAAAATTTTAATATAGCAATTTTAAAGGAAACTTTTATCAAGATTTTTTACTGAATGTTCTTAACTTTATTAACAATTATGCTATTATATATTTTTAATCTGACTCAATTTGCTGTCGTATTATAATGACATAATTATTTGGAAAGAAATATTTTTATTGAATCGAGAATACTCTTCATATAATATTGTGTCTTCAATTTTATGAACATCAAAAATTTATTTTAGTCGATACATAATACGGAAAGGTAAATTTGATGTCATGCATTAGCTGCTTTCAAATAAATCAGTCAGTATTTCAGCTGCTTTTTTATATTTTTTGATGAAAATAAAATATTCTGATTTACTAAATTGAAAATATTAAGTCAGAGATTATAGAGTTATTTAAATTTTTTTTTAGTTATTTTGTTAAGATATTTCAAAGAATTTATTTTGTTAAGATATTTCTAAAAATTTATTTAGTTAGCTTTTTATTATATTGTCAAAAATTTAAGATTATGGCATTTGAAATTTGTTTTCTATATCATAATTATTGATTACTATTTTAGGCTTATTCTCTTTCCTTTAATTATCAAAATAACTATATTTGCCTTTTTGAGCATTCTATAAGATGTATCAAAACTGTTTTGGCTCTCTTAGATTAAATTTTATTAAAATTGGAAATTTGTTTGAGAGTTGCTCATAAAATCAAAGGAATTCAAATTAGAATGCTTAATAAAGCTCTATTATTGTTTAAAATTAGAAATATTATTAATAGATCTATTTGGAGTAATATCTGACTACAGTTGCTCTGTTTCTTTAGAGTCAGCTTAATTCTTTTTTAAAGAATTTATTGCTTAATCTTTTAAATTTATTGAAATTTATGATTCAGAATGAACTTCTAAAATTCTTTAGTCACTATAATGCTATTCTAAATTTTTTAACAAATTTTCTACTTCCTGAAGTTTTAATTTAGCTTAAGGATACTAAAATAAGTTATAATAGCATTTAGAAATAATGCAATTCATAAAAACTTTTAAATACTAAAATTCAGGAAACAAATTTATTAGCTTTAATTAAATTTTAGTTAAGTACTTAATTTCTTTCCAAAAATTGAATCCTTTTACTCCTTCTTATTAGTTTGAAGCAGAGTCTTACTTTTCTTGAAAAGCTATTAAGGTAGCAATATAGTTTTATTACCTGTAAAATAAATTTAATATCAGATCTTGAACTTAACTCTTATCTTCATTTTAATTTAAAAATAAGCTTGACTACTTTGTATTTTAAAAATTACTATTCACTTTAATTTACTTCAATTTTTTCAAACTTTAAATTGTTTTTCCCAAATTTTATTATTAAAAAATATCTTCAATCTTTGTCTTTGTTTCTTTAGATATTTTTCTTGACTTCCTTAGTCTACCTTAAGGCGAAGATGTTTTTTAAGAAGTCGATATATTTTTTTTGTTTAATCCTAACTATGCTTAATCGTGTGCATAGTCATAGCTTTATTATTTTTCAGTTGAAAATTAATATGATCTTGGAAAATGTATTTTACTTTTAATAAAATTTTAAGAGATAGATAATTTTTGTCTTTATCTTTAAGCTCCTACTATATTGTTAGTATATTCTCTATAGGAATACTAATAAAGAAATTCATTATAATACGAATCAGGATTACAATCTTAATATGCAGATATTTCATATTTAGCATACATAATTGCAAGCGAGAAATGCTCTAAAGCTTGAAAAAAGTGCTCTTAATTTAATAATATATTACCAATGTTGTTATGAGTAACTCCTGCAGCATTGTAATTCTTAAACTTTATAAAAAAGTCTGCTTTTTTACTAAGGCTTATCAGTGTTTTACCTTCATTTTCAATAAAGAAACTTTCAGAAGTATATTATATCATTTCAAATAAGTCTAAAAAGCTCTAATAAAGCAAGTAAGTTTCTTTAGATAAAAGTATTAAATCAGATCTTTCCTCATATTTTTTTATTATTGTTGATATTTCTACAAATTCTTTTAACTAATTAATTTCTTCTAAAGTTTCTTTCATTTTTATTATTGGGTAGGTTATTTATTTTTTAATCTAAAATGCTAAAATTATAGTTATAATCAAAAATATTATGCTAATTAAGGCAAGAGTTATTTAAACTCCAATAAAGATATTTGAAAAAAAGCTAAGGATCATATTAGTTTAAGTTTTAAGTTCATAATCAGAAATAATATTAATCTAAAGATATGCATACTATAACTAAAGGCCTTGTTGTTGAGTGTATTTTGTTACAATTTTAGGAATTTGATCATATTGAATAACAGGATTAAATATAGCTTTATAGGTTGTCCCATTTCTTATATAATCCATGACCTCAACTTACTGACTTAAATCAATCATTTAGAGGATATTTACATAACTATTATTTTTTTAAGAAAAAACCCATTTATTATAATTATCTTGAATGTATTTCAATATTTATTGAGCTTAATCTTGGTCTTATAGATACTAAAGTTCTATATTATAAAAATCATCAGCCTAAGTTATATTTGTGTAGTTATATTATTTCTTTGAATTAAAAAATATTGACAACGACCTTGGATCAATTACATAATACTGCTTAGAACTTTAGATAATATTTTAAAAATAATCATATATATGAGAAAGCATAGTCTCAATGCATTAAATATGACTGTTTTCTATTTAATTTGTTTTTTAATTGTAATACTTTGCCATTTAGCAAGTATATTAAGATAAGTATGGAGGTACTGCAGCTAAAGAAATTTTCGGTGGATTCATAAATATTGAAGTATGATTCAAGCTATTTAAATAAAAAAATCTACATCTTGGATCATATACAAATAATCCCTTATAACAATCATTACTATCTAGTTTTGAACTAAGAGAGCTATTTGCAAAATTAGTAAGAACTATTCCTTATTAACTAGTAAATATATTGACTTGCTGATATGGAATAGCAAGTACATTTGATACATTTAATCTGCTTTAATACTAAACAATATTCAAAAATGGAATTAATCTGGTTAGATTATAAAGGATTTACTATCCTTAAACGTCTAGCTGATCTATTTATGTAACATTTTACTAAAACCTATTTTTTTTAAAAATTAATTATTTTGATTATTTTTTTTATTTCTACTTATGCTTAAAATTTTTAAATCTACTTTAAAAATTATTTTCTAAAAGTTTGTTGTTTTTTTTAATATGAAAAGAGTTTTTAAATTTTAAATAGCATTTACAATACTATTTTTGTGAGTTTTAACTATAATTTATAGCTATTTCTAATGTAAATTCATAACAAAATGTTAATTTATTTACCAACTGTTTACAAATATTGTGTTTTTAAAGGCTAATTTAGATAATTCGGGAGTTAATTTTGATTAATATAAAAGCATCTGATTGACAATACTTGGCCTGTTTTTATTATTCAATATTACGTGTCCTTCCGTAATTTTATCATGGAGCGAATTTAACATACTTATATAAACAGGAATCTTATAAATTTCTCTACTTAATCTAAATGAGATGATAGATTAAGTTTAGCTGCTAAATTTAATCTGATTTTAAAATATATTCTACCCGTATTCTTAAACATACTACTCCATATATAAGAGAGCAATTTATTAACTCGATATTGCTATCAGAAATATTAAAATTACTGGAAATATTAAAACAGCAATTAACTTCATTTTAAAAATTAGTTTGAAGAAAACTGCTATTTTGCTTATTCAAAATTTCAACTTTTTATCAAAATAATTTGTTTTGTTTATAATTAATTGAATAATCTTAATTTGATTTAAGAAATCTCTATCCTCTCTTTTAGTTTTTACTTATTCTACAATACCTTTAAATATATATTTTTTTTTGTTAACTTAAGCTTTAATTTTTAATGGCTTTATATTAATATCCATCAATTAATAACTAATATTTAGTATGTTTGGACTATTTTCACATACAAACCTTTCCTAAGTGAATCTTAAATTTTTTTTGATTTACATATTTTAAATTAATAAATTTACTATTAATTAATTGACTATACATTTCTTTCAAACTTAATAAATCTATATATCTTTTAAGGTAAAATATATAAATATTTAACCAAAATTTATAATTAAATATTAAAATATATCCACAAATTTATTTTTTCCTTTGACACAGAAATATCTTAAAAACCATCTTCTTATTTTTTTTAAATTAAAATTCAAACAAGTAACTAGATTATTTATTGGTATATTTTTATAAAAGTATATGTTATATAGTTAAAAATCATTATATAATTTATCTCCTATTAATAAATATATTAGAATAAAAAAGCTGTTATCTAATCAAACTAATATTTGATTAATTTATTAACATATTACACAAAAAAATTTTAACATAAAAATATTTTTAGTTATATGGTATAAAAATATTATCAATAATATTAAATATAGGAATAATATGACTGCTTAGAGAATTTATCTCTTTTGAATATTAAATATTAAATGATATCTTCCTATTTATAAAATATTTTTATAACTTCTTTATTTTAACAAGTAAAAGATTAATTCTAACTTAATTCTAAAAAATTATTTCCTTTTTCAGTTAAAAAGATAATTACTTAAATGTTAATTTATGCTAAAAAACAGCATAAATTCATAAATAAAGAATCTTATAAGATTTAAATTTGATGAGTTTGATAGATAATAAATTTTAGTACTTTTTCTTATTCAAGTCCATTCAGTTATTTGCTAATAAATTATTTATAAATTTCAAAATCTGAAGACTTAGAATTTTTCATTTTGAGGATTTTATCTTCTGAAATCTTATATTGAAATTGATAAGATATTAGCTAATAAATAGCTTTTTTGATAAATTCATAAAAGTAATAATTTTATAGTTCTAATTAGCATTTAGTTTTCTATTTAAAAAGTCTGATGTAATATTAAATTATTTATTTATTTAAATTGACAAATTATTCATCCAAATTTATATTCTTATTTTCATTTTGTATGTCTAAAAATACATCTTAACTTATCATCATCTATTTTTCAGTATTTGGCGACTCTTCATTATTATTTTTAAATTTTAATTCGCAATTATTTTAACTATCAATATCAAAACAACATAATTAATTTTTATGACATTGAGAATTATTATTATTATTGAAAGACTTATTTTTTTGGATTCTAGTATTTAAATCAGAGATTAAAAACCTCTTTTAGTTATATTTTAATTTTTATTGACTTGTGCTTGTGTTAAAGTATTCTTCAAATATTTATACATCCTCAGTAATTTCTGAAACAATCACTTCTTTACAATATTAAGAATTTAGTTAAGAATAGCATGATTGATCTAGAATATAAGCTTAATTTTAAATACTTTATAAAATTTGATTTTGTATGTTTTGAATATTTAGTTTTTTATAAATACTATCTTAAACTTCTCTAAATAATTTAGAGTCAATCAATTCAAATATTTATGAAATAGATTTCTCTTCTTAGTCTATGGTGATAAGACAAATTTTATCAGAATCTTTAGTTAAAACACTTCTTGAAAGTCCTTACAAAAGTTAAATTTGGAATTCTGAAAACCCTTTTTTTAAATTATTTGCAGTTTTTATGTGTTTATGGTTATAATATTATGTCTTAAATAAATTAAACTAATTGCTTAAGTGATTATTTTAATTAGTAATATACTCTAATGATATTACAATTTATAGTGATATATTTTTATTGAACCTAGAGTACTCTTATAGCAAACTCAAGTCTTAAATTTTATGAGAATCAAAAATATGTTTAAGTTTATAGACAATACGGAAAGGAAAATTTGAAGTCATATATTAACTACTCTCATATAATTCAGTCAGTATTTCTGCTGCTTTTTTATAATTCTTAATAAAGATAAAGTATTCTGAACGATTGAATTGAAAGTATTGTTTTAGTGTCTAGAGATTCGTTCTGTTTATTGTCAAATTATTAGATTAAGTGATTTCTAATAATTTATTTTATTGATTTTATATTATTTTTTTTAAAAACTAAGATTAATTAAGCAGTAATTTTTATTCACTTGTATTTTTAGTAGAAGAAATTCTCTTCTTTAACACATCTTAGTTAATATTCTCTGAATTTGAATATTATATATTTATTGAAGTGTTGCTAATTTTTTCTGAAATATCTAAAATAATATGGTTAGGTGTATTCATTTAGCTTTATTTCATTTTCATAAAATTGGAAATATGTTTTTTTGGAGTGTCTTATTATTACTATTAATATTCTAATTCATTAAATTATTATAATTAAGTTTTATTTCTGAAATCAAAAACTATTTCTTTATGCAAAGTAGAATTTTCAGTTTAAGTTGGAAGTTCTTTTTCTTTTTGCTCATACATTTTTTCTAAATTAATCAATATAATTTCAACTTCTTTGTATTTTTTTTTTGTTTTTTCATATTTAAATTAGTTATAATAGCACTTAGAAATTAAGCAATTCATAGAGACTTTTAAATACTAAATTTCTGGAAAATAATCTATCAACTTTAATTATTCATCAATTAAATGTTTAATTTCTTTCCAAAAATTAAAGCTGTTTTGATTGTTTAATTTACTTGATGGAGAATTTAAACTTTCCTAAAATGCTATTAAAGTTACTATATAGTTTTATTACCTATAAAATAAATTTAAAACAAGTTCTTATATCTAATGCTTTTCTTCACTTTACTTTAATATACTTTCAGAAAATTTTGCATTTTATACATTTTTAGAGTATTTGCTTTGTCTTTTCAATTTAAAAATTTATTAAGTTTTTGTCAAATTTTATTCTTTTTTATATTCCTAATTTTATTTTTTACTTTATTTGTTAAAGTGGGTTTTAGTCGTAGAAACTTTGCATGATTAAGATTCATTTTTCTAAATCTATCCTGAAGTATTTAATTCTTAAATTTCATTCGAAACTCTTTTTTCTTTTGAAGGTTATCTAGATTTGCTAAAACTAGTTTTTTTGTAAATAATTTTTTAAGAAATAGAACTATTTCTTGAGCTTTATTCCTATACTTCTGCTTAATGATTAATATATCCTGTGTAGGAATACTCTTAAAGTAAACTAGCATATGATGAATAAGGATTATTTTAATAATAAGTTGAAAACTCATATTTAGCAAACATTACTGAAAGTGAGAAATGCTCTAAAGCCTAAAAAAAATGTTCTTAGTTCAAAAGTATGTTACCAATATTATTGTGAGTTACACCAGCTGCACTGTAATTCTAAAATTTTGTGAAAAACTCTACTTTTTTACTTAGGCTAATCAATGTCTTTCCTTCATTTTCAAAAAAGAAACTTTCAGATGTGTATTATATCATCTCAAACATATCTAAAAAGCTCTAATAAAGTAAATAAGTTTCTTAAGATAAAAATATAATGTCTGCTTTTTATTCATATTATTTTATAACTTATGAAATATCTACAAGCTCTTTTAATTAATTGATTTCTTCTAAAGTTTTTTTCATACGAATGATAGGTAAAGTTATTAGCTTTTATATCTAGATTGCATAATATATAGCTACAATCAAAAAGATAATACTTATTATGGCAAGTGTTATTTAAACTGCAATAATCACATTTGAAAAAAAGCTTAGCAATTAATTAGTAAAAGTTTTGAGATCTTCATCTGAAATAATATTTATCTAAAGGTAAGCATTTTATAGCTAAAGGCCTTGTTCTTTTGTGTATTTTGTTATAACTTTAGGAATTTAATCATATTGGATAACAGGATTAAAAATAATTTTATAAGTTGTCCCATTCCTTTTGTAATCCTTCACAACAACCTGTTGACTTAGATCAAACATTTACAACATGTTTACATAGCTATTGTTTTCTTTAGAAAAAATCCACTAACTGTAAGTGTCATTAATGAATTTCTAAATATATTGAGCTTAATCTTGTTCTTACAAATATTAGAGCTCTGCGCTATAAAAATTGTCAGCTTAAGTCATATTTGCGAAATTGTATTAATTCTTTGAATTAAAAAATATCGAAAGTGTTCTTGGGTCTATCACATAATACTATTTAGAACTTTAAATAATATTTTAAAAATAATTATAAATATTTGAAAGCATAGCCTCAATGCATTAAACATTGCTATTTTCTATTTTTTATGTATATTTATTGTAACTCTTTACCATTTAACATGTAATTTAAGATAGGTATGAAGGTACTGATGCTAAAGAAATTCGGGGTGGATTCATAAATATTGAAGTATGATTTAAACTATTTAAATAAAAATATCTGCATCTTGGGTCATAGACAAATTTTCCTTTGTAACATGTATCGCTATCTAATTTTGAGCCTAATGTACTATTTGCAAAATTAGTAAGAGATATTCCTTATAAGTTAGAAAATACACTTAGTTGTGAGTAAGGAATAGTGACTACTCTAGATATATTTAATCTACTCTAGTACTAAATTGTATTCAAAAAGGGAATTAATCTAGTTAAGTTATAAAGAATTTCTTATCCTAGTATATCAAGTTAATCAATTTAAGTGGCGTTTTGCTAATACCTATTTTAATTAATTAATATAAAAAACCTCTAAAAAATTTAGTTTTTCAATATAATAATTAAAAGAATGAGTGATTGAAAACTTGAACAAGACAGAAGTAAAATAAAAAAAATACATTAGAGAAATATTAACGCATTTAGATAAAAATTATGGCTTAAATAAAATGGTAAAAGAACATTCTGTAGCAAATATTTTGATTTATTATTCAATGGCTAAAAAATATATATTTAGTGTTGAAGTTTTTGAATAATGCTAAAATGGTTACCAGCTATTGATATACTATTTGTTTTTAAAGGCTAATTTAGCCAGATCTGGAGCTTATTTTTATTAATATTATAAAACTGAATTCACAGTGCTTGGTCTATATAAATTGTTGATAATAACTTCATCTTAAGCCATTTTTTCATGTAGCGTATTTAGCATACTAATATAAAATGGTATCTTATAGATTTCTCTACTTAATCTAAAGGAAATAATAGACTCAGTGCTTTTGCTAAATTATATTTAGTTTTAAAAGATATTCTCTCCATATTCATTGATATATTCTTTTGTGTATAAGAGAGCTATTTGTAAACTAGAAATTGCTATTAAAAATATCAAAACAACTGGAATTACTTATATTACTAGAAATTTCATTTCTTAAAAGTTTTTTTAGATTTATTACTTATTTCTAATTTATTTAATTTTGTAATATTTTTTTTTTTCAGATCAAATGATTAATTTTTTTCTTTTATCTCTAATTACTGTTTTATGAATTGATTATATTTTTAGGAGTCTTAAATTTTCCCGAATTATGCTTTTACTAAAAAAACCACATGTTAATAATAATAAAATATATGAAAAGAACACTCAAAGAAAAAAAATCATAATTTATTCTTTCTTTGAAATTAGTTAATACTTTATTATTTATTAACCAATATAACTACAGCTCCTAATTATTTCTTGAGTTAAAAATGATAAATTAAATTTTACTTTTAGAAATTATTTATTAATGGCTGTAATTCCCATTAATTTTTTAATTAATAATGACAAAATAAAATAAATATTTAGAAATCAAAATGTTTATGATATTAAAGCAGCTCTATTTAAAAGCGATTTGTTTATTTATGCATTATTAGTAAAATATTTTAAGTCGAATAATTATTACTTTTATTTAGAAATAAGTAGGTTCAAAAAAAATAAATGAAAATATTAGTTTTAATTCTAGCCATTCACTGATTAGTTTTTTAAAATTATAAAAATTAAATTAATTTGTTATTAATTTTTATTGCTTTGCTTGGTTTTTTTATCACTTTTCCTATAATTTTAAAACTTCATTAATTGATAACCAAAATAATTTTTATTTACTTTTATTTTTAAATATGTTTTTAGATAAATTTCTCATTTTTAGAGTTTATAGATTAGTTTTACCATACTATTTTTCATAAAATAACATTATAAAAGTAATGAAAAATATTATTGAATATATTGTATTTAAAATTTTTTTATTTCAGCTCTTTAATATTTATTAATTTAAACATTCTATGCGGTGTACTAATCTCTAAAATTTTGTTGATCAATTGATAAAGAGTATAAAGATTTCACATTAAATTATTTTAAATTTTAAACAAATAATTTTTGTTAACCTAAGACTTACTAAATTATTTATTTCATATAAAATTCAAATTTATTTGGGTTTATTTTTAATTAATAAATTGAAATTATGAAATAAATTAATTTTTTAGCTTTTTTTTATCTTCAAAATAATTCATTATATTTTCTAATTAACTAAATGAATTCAAAGTTAAAAAAAATTATTGGGTTAGGTAACAATTTTAATTAATACTTTACACAAAAAAATCATAACATAGAATTAAAAATTTGTTTGATATATGGTATATAAAATATTATCAATAATATTAGATATAAGAATAATATGATTGCTTAGAAAATTTATCTCTTTTGAATATTAAATATTAAATGATATCTTCCTAATTATAAAATATTTTTATAACTTCTTTATTTTAACAAATAAAGGATTAATTCTAACTTAATTCTAAAAAATTATTTCCTTTTTCAGTTAAATAGATAATCACTTAAATGTTAATTTATGCTAAAAAACAGCATAAATTCATAAATAAAGAATCTTATAAGATTTAAATTTGATGAGTTTGATAGATTATAAATTTTAGTACTTTTTCTTATTCAAGTCCATTCAGCTATTTGCTAATAAAATATTTGTATATTTCAAAATCTGAAGACTTAGAATTTTTCATTTTGAGGATTTTATCTTCTGAAATCTTATATTGAAATTGATAAGATATTAGCTAATTAATAGCTTTTTTGATAAACTCATAAAAGTAATAATTTTATAACTCTAATTAACATTTATTTTTCTATTTAAATAGTCTGATATAATATTAAATTATTTATTTATTTAAATTGATAAATTATTCATCTAAATTCATATTTTTATTTCTATTTTGTATGTCTAAAAGTTCATCTTAGCTTTTTATTATTTATTTTTAAGTGTTTGGTGACTTTTCATTATTATTTATAAATTTCAGCTCACTATTATTTTAACAATCAGTATCAAAACAACCTAAACAATTTTTATTATTATTATTATTATTATTTAAAGATTTTTATTTTTTTTTTACAGTATTTAAATCGGAGATTAAAAACCTCTTTTAGTTAGATTTTAATTTTTGTTGACTTTTGTTAAAGTATTCTTCAAATATCTATACATCTTCAGTAATTTCTGAATCAATCATTTCTTTACAACATTAAGAATTGAATTAAGTATAACGCGATCTATCTAAAATATAGTCTTGATTTTAAATGCTTTATAAATTTTGATTTTTAAAGCTCTGAATGTTTAATTTATCATAAACATTATCTTAAACTTCTCTAAATAATTTAATATCAATCAATTCTAATATTTATGTAATAGATTTCTCTTCTTAGTCTATAGTGACAAGACAAATTTTATCAGAGTCTTTAGTTAAAACACTCATTGAAAGTCCTAACAAAAGTTGAATTTGGCATTCTGAAAACTCCTTTTTAAAATCATTTCCAATTTTTATTTATTATTGACTTTGATTTTAGATCTTAAATAGATTAAACTAATTGCTTAATCGATTATTTTAAGTAGTAATATACTCTAATGATACTACAACTTATAATGATATATTCTTATTAAACCTAGAGTATTCTTCAAGCAGGGTCAAGTCTTAAATTTTATGAGCATCAAAAATATGTTTAATTTTATAGACAATACGGAAAGGTATATTTGAAGTCATATTTTAACTGCTTTCATATAATTCAGTGAGTATTTCAGCAGCTTTTTTATATTTCTTAATAAAAATAAAATATTCTGAACGACTGAATTAAAAATATTGTTTCAGTGTCTAGAGAGTCATTCTGCTATTTGTCAAATTATTTGATTAAGTGAGTTCTAATAATTTATTTTATTGATTTTATATTATTTTATCTAAAAACTAAGATTAATTAATCAGTAATTTTTATTCACTAGCATTTTTAGTTGAAGTAATTCTCCTCTTTAAAATATCTTAGTTAATAGATTTACTTCTAGTAAGTATTTTGTTTTATGTTTCAAAACTATTTTGGCTCTCTTAATTTTAATTATATATAACTTACATATTTATTGAAGTGTTGTTAATTATATCTGAAGTATCTAATTTATAATGGGAAGGTGTACTTATTTAGTTTTATCTCATTTTCATAATAGGGAAAAAAAGTTTTTTTGAAGTGTCTTATTATTACTGTTAATGTTCTAATTCATTAAAATATTTTGATTAAGCTTATTTTCTGAAATCAAAAGCTATTTCTTTTTGCAAAGTAGCATTTTCTGTTAAATTTGGAAGTTCTTTTTCTCTTTGCTCTTATATTTTTTCTAAATTAATCAATACAATTTCAGCTTCTTTGAATTTTTTTTTTGTTTTTTCATATTTAAATTAGTTATAATAGCACTTAGAAATTAAGCAATTCATAAAGACTTTTAAATACTAAATTTCTGGAAAGTAGTCTATCAACTTTAACTATTCATTAAGTAAATGTTTAATTTCTTTCCAAAAATTAAAGCTATTTTGATTGTTTAATTTGCTTGATGAGGAATTTAAACTTTCCTAAAATGCCATTAGAGTTACTATATAATTTTATTACCTATAAAATAAATTTAAAATGAGTTCTTATATCTAATTCTTATCTTCAGTTTATCTTAATATTTATTCAGATGATTTTGCATTTTACTAATTTAAAAAGTATTTGCTTGGTCTTTTCAATTTTGAGGTTTGTTAAGTTTTTGTCAAATTTTATTCTTATATATTTTCGTAAATTTATTTTTTATCTTATGTTATTTTTCTTGATTTACTAAAGTGGGTTTTAGTAGTAGTAGGTTTTTAAGATATAGATATATTTCTCATAATCTATCCTTAAGTATTTAGTTCTTAAATGTCATTCGAAACTCTTTTTTCTTTTGAAAGTTATCTAGATTTGCTAAAACTAGTTTTGTTATGAATAATTTTTTGAGAAATAGAAATATTTCTTGAGCTTTATTCCTATGGTTCTGTTTAATAATTAATATATTCTATGTAGGAATACTCATAGAGTAAATTAGCATATAATGAATAAGGATTATTTTAATAATAAGTTGAAAGCTCATACTTAGCAAACATTATTGCGAGTGAGAAATGCTCTAAAGCTTAAAAAAAATGTTCTTAGTTCAAAAGTATATTACCTATATTATTGTGAGTTACACCAGCTGCGCTGTAGTTCTAAAATTTTGTGAAAAACTCTACTTTTTTACTCAGGCTAATCAATGTCTTTCCTTCATTTTCAAAAAAGAAACTTTCAGATGTGTATTATATCATCTCAAACATATCTAAAAAGCTCTAATAAAGTAAATAAGTTTCTTAAGATAAGAATATAATATCTGCTTTTTATTCATATTCTTTTATAATTTCTGAAATATCTACAAGCTCCTTTAATTAATTGATTTCTTCTAAAGTTTCTTTCATACGAATGATTGGCAAAGTTATCAATTTTTATATCTAGATTGCATAATATATAGCTACAATCAAAAAAATAATACTTATTGTGGCAAGTGTTATTTAAACTCCAACAAACATATTTGAAAAAAAGCTTAGCAATTAATTAGTAAAAGTTTTGAGATCTTCATCTGAAATAATATTTATCTAAAGGTAAGCATATTATAGTTAAAGGCCTTCTTCGTTTGTGTACTTTGTTACAACTTTAGGAATTTAATCATATTGGATAACAGGATTAAAAATAATTTTATAAGTTGTCCCATTCCTAGTATAATCCTTCACTACAGCCTGTTGACTTAGATTAAGCATTTACAAAACGTTTACATAGCTATTTTTTTCTTTAGAAAAAATCCATTAACTGTAAGTGTCATTAATAAATTTCTAAATATATTGGGCTTAGTCTTGTTCTTATAAATATTAGAGCTCTGCGCTATAAAAATTGTCAGCTTAAGTCATATTTGCGAAATTGTATTTATTTTTTGAATTAAAAAATATTGAAAGTGTTCTTGGGTCTATCACATAATACTATTTAGAACTTTAGATAATATTTTAAAAATAGTCATAAATATTTGAAAGCATAGCTTCAATGCATTAAATATGACTATTTTCTATATTTTTTGTCTATTAGTTGTAACGCTTTGCCATTTAGCATGTATATTAAGATAGATATGAAGGTGTTGCTGCAAGAGAAACTTTGGGTGGGTTCATAAATATTGAAGTATGATTTAAGCTATTTAAATAAAAAAATCTGCATCTTGGGTCATAGATAAATTTTCCTTAGTAACATGTATTGCTATCTAATTTTGAACTTAGGGAACTATTTGCAAAATTAGTAAGAACTATTCCTTCTTAGCTTGTAAATATATTTACTTGCTAGTAAGGAATAGTGATTACATTCGATATATTTAATCTACTTTAGTACTAAATTGTATTCAAAAATGGAATTAACCTAGTTAAATTATAAAGAATTTCTTATCCTAGTTTATCAAGTTAATTAATTTAAGTGGCGTTTTGTTAATACCTATTTTATTTCAAAATTAATTAATATACATAATTGCCAAAAAAATTTAGCTTTTAAATATAATAAAAATAGAGAGTGATTTAAAAACTTGAACAAGAGAGAAGTAAAATAAATAAAATTAGAGGAATCTTAACATATTTATTTAGAGAAAAATTATTGTTAAAAGAAAATGCTAAAATAATAAAAAAATTATTTTCTATTGAAAAAATTATGGTTTTATTATTTAAAGAAAGGCTAATTAAGTTAGTGATGAAGTTTTTGAATAAAACAAAAATGGTTACCAGCTATTTACGTACATCCTGTTTTTAAAGGCTAATTTAGTTAGATCTGGAGTTAATTTTTATTAATATAACAGCATTTAATTCACAGTGCTTGGTCTATATAAATGGCTCATAATAACTTCACCTTAGGTCATTTTTTCATGCAACGAATTTAACATACTAATATAGACTGGTATCTTATAGATTTCTCTGCTTAATCTAAAAGAAATAATAGACTCAGTGCTACTGCTAAATTTTATTTAGTTTTAAAATATATTCTAACCATATTCGTTGATATATTGCTTTGTATATGAGAGAGCTATTTGTAAACTAGATATTGCTACGAAAAATATCAAAACAACTGGAATTACTGAAATCACTATCAATTTCATTTCTATTTACTAAGAAGCTTTTTTAGATTTATTACTTACTTCTAATTTATTTATTATTTATTTTTTATTTGTGATCAAAAGATTAACTTTTTTCTATTATCTCTAGTAACTAACTCTTTTATTACTGGATTATACTTTTATGAGTCTTAAATTTTACCCGATTATAATTATACTTATAAAAATCACATGTTGTCTATATTATCAGAAAAGAACACTCAAACTAAAAGACATAATTTATTCTTTCTTTGAAATTATTTAATTCCTTTTTTTATTAACAACTACAACTAACTACAGCTAGAACTACATCCCCCATTTATTTCTTGAGATAAAAATGACAAATGAAAATGAAAATTTCACTTTTTTTGTAATAACTAAAGCAACTCTATTTAAAAATGGTTGCTTGATTGATTTATATTGAAAAGTATTTTAAGACAAATAATTATTTATATTTTATAGAACCAAATAAGTGCAAAAATGTTTATTAATTTTATTTAGAACTAAGTAGGCTTAAAAATAAAGAAAATTTTAGTTTTAATTCTAGCCATCTACTGCTTATATTTTCAAGAATTATAAAATTAAATTTATTTGTTATTAATTTTTATTGCTTTGCTCAAGTATATAACACTTTAACTCTAAATTTTTCAATAAAACATTAATTGATAACAAAATATTTTTTATTTACTTTGTATTTTTAAACGTGTTTGTTTTTAGATAAATTTCTCATTTTTAGAATTTATTGATAATTTTAGACATATTATTTTTCATAAATTGAGCAATTGAAATATTAACATAAAAATAAATGTACATAAAAAAAGTAATCAAAAATATTATTAAATTCATCGTATTTCAAATTTTTTTGATTTTAACTCTTTAATATTTTATCAATTCAAAAATTATATACTATTACCAGTCTCTAAAACTGTATTCATCAAGTTTAGTTAAACAGCGAATTTATCTTCCCCTTATTTGAATTTTGAATAAATAATTTTTTTATTCTATAAGATTTACTAAATTATTTATTTATTAAGTAATTCAATCAATTTTATTTGGGTTTATTTTTAATAAATAAAAATATACCAATCATTTATTATTTATTTTTTTTTTTTCTTCAAAATAATATATTAAATTTTGATTGGCTAAATTAACTCAATATTTTTAAAGAATTATTAATTAGAATCCCTTTATGATTAATAATTGAAAGTTTTATAGATTATATACTATAGCTCCTGATTAATTAAGGGAATTCCCCACCTCCACTTCCTTTTGGATAATTAATAATTTGGTTCTAAAATTGTTTTGATCCTTATTATAAGTGGTTGGTTCATTAATAATCAGGAGTTAGAGTAATTATTTATTTGATTTTTATGTTAAAGGTATATTTTATATTTCATAAAAATGAATTTATTTTTCTTCCATTGAAAATTTTCAAAATATAAAAATTTTAAATATATATTTCAACAAACTTATATATGAAATACTCTCATCAAATATTATTTTTAAGTTTCTTATAATTTAAAAATAAATAAATAATATAACAATTTAGAAAGTATTTAAATAGAATTCTAATAATGAATTTTAACTAATCACAATTCAAAAGAAAATTCTTCTTTAAAAATTATTTGATTTAAAAAGACATCTTAATTAAATAACAATTAGAAAAACAATTAAACTACTTGATCTGCATAATATTATTTGGCTTAAGGACAATTATAATTTTTATTTATAAAATAATTAAGAAAATTTTCAAATAAAATGGGTATTAACATGATTTAAAAAAAGACTTTTTGATTTATTCTCACGAAATCTTAGATTTTAAAAAAATTAAAATAGAGTTTTTTAATGGTTTTTAAAATATATTCAATAGCATTAAATATAAGAATAATATAAAAAATAATTATTGTTTTAGAATATAAATATTAATTGATTTCATCATAATTATTGTTAAATATTTATATTTTTAAAACATTATTGCAGAATTTTTTTTATTTTTTATTTTCTGTATTCTAAAAAAATAAGACTAAAAATATAATATTTTTATAGTTAAATTTTAATAATCGATGCATACTCTCAACTCATAAATAATTTTAAATTAAAATAAATTTTATAAATAAACAAATTATTATTAAATCTATAATTAATTTTTGTTTTCTTCAATAGTATTATACATATGAGAACTGTGTGAATTTTGAGAAGCTATTTCTTTTGAAGATTAAATACTGAACAATTTCATTATAACTTTTAAAAATTTTAATTACTTCTTTATTTTTGTGATTATAAGACTAACTAAAAGTATCATGTAATTAAGCTTGAAATATGATAATTTAAATATTTAACTCCACTAAAACATTACACATGTTCAAAAATAAAGAGTCTTTTATAAAATTTATTTAATCTGTTTAATAAATTATGAATTTTAATGGTTTTTCCTATTCAAGACCACCTAGCTATTCGCTCATATACTATTTATAGACTTAGAAATTTGATTTAGATGGATTATGTATTTAATTGTAGTTATTTTCTGCAATTGTGTATATATATTTATAAGAAATAAGCTAATCCAAAGCTTTTGCAATAAAATCAAAAAAAAAAAAATTTGATTATTCAAGTTTGGTAATAGATGTTTTTTATTATATTTTACCTAAATATTCATAGATCTATAAAAATAAACTTTTTAATTACTAATGAAAACATCCCGAAAGTCTGTCTTAATTTTTTTTTTCAATACTCTGGTTTTTAATAAATTAAAAATAATAATCATTTAGTTAGTCATCAACACTGCTTTTTTCGCTATTCTAAACACAATTTTATTTTTAGTCTTGAGTTTATCTAATTGGCTGAAAATTTGAATAATTCATTTACCCTTTTAAATTCAAATTAATTTAATTGCAAGTTGTTTGATTGTTGATAAAATTTTAAATAGATTTATTTTGTTAATTTAAATCTGAAATGAACACTTTTCTATATTCTTTGCTTATTTGCTACTTACTTTTATTCAAGTGATCTTCTTCTTCTTATATCATTTAATTAAAATGCTAGAAGACATTATTTGATTGCTATTAATAATTAAAAGACTATGTCTCACAATTGTTCTATTTATCTTGTTTACATAATTAGCTTTCGTGGCTTTTTAATAAACTACTGTTTGAATTTAGAGTATTTATTTTATCAAATATATCATTTTAAGTTTATCTAAATAAAAGAGGATTAACCAATTTTGTATTTTATATAATTGTCTATTCCTATAAGTCTAAAGAAAATAAACTTATTTTATCAGAGCTTTTTTTAAGTACTTTGGAAATTAGTTTTTTTAATAATAATACTTAATTATCTTTAAATTCTTTTCTCTAATTAAAATAACTTTGGCTTTTTTTAGATTAATTTTATAATATATTTTGCTTATTGCTCTAGTAAAAGTCTTAATTGATATTGATTTGGATGCAAATGACAATTTATATAGATAAATTTTTATTAAACCTAGAATATTCTTCATACAGTATAGTATCTTCAATTTTAAAAGCATCAAATATTTATTTGAGGTTAAAAACTATTCTGAAAGGAATGTTAGAAGTAATTGTTTAACTATTCTCAAATAATTCCGTAAGAATTTCAGCAGCTTTTCTGTATTTTTTTTTGTAAATAAAATATTCTGATAGACTATACTAAAGATACGAATTGAAGTTTTGATAAAGAATTCTCATATTTGTTTCGCTTTTATCATTATTATTATTATTATTCTGTTAAGTATTGTTTTAAAGATCAAATTTATTACTACTATTGAATAATTGAGTCTATTCATTTTAAGGATTTATTAATTAATGTCTTTTAATTTTTGTTTATTAGAAAAAGCTCAGTTAGCTTTCTTAATTTTATATTTTTTTACTCAACAGCATCTTTTAAGAAGCTTCTAAACTATTTTAATCATACAATTCTGACTTATAATTTAATAATTCATGATTATTTGCACTTTAATTATTTAAAGAACCTGATAAATCTAAATTAAAATATTTTGTTTAATTGCCTGTTTTTTATTAAGTCAACTGAACATTCTAAATAAACTTATGATATGATTCTGACGAATGCAAATTTTTTTCATTTAATTAATTGATACATGGTTTATCTTGCTCAATTTCATCTAAAGGATATTATTTTGGAATAGAATTACTTTTAAAATGCTGAGAAGCAATTTCTAATATTTTCAATTATTTTTATTTTACCTAATTACTTAATACATGTTAAGCAATTTCAAACTTTTACTTTGCTTTGAAGTATTGATATTGTTTATAATAGCATTTAGAAAGCTAACAATTCATAAACATTTTTATATATGAAAACTCCTGGTCATTATTAATTAAGTTTATTTAATTTTTAATTAAGCTTTTTATCTCTTTCCAAAATTAGAATTATTTTTACTAATTTTGCTTTTTATCTTAATGTTCTTAAAAAGATATCAAAGTAATGATTTAATTCTGCTATCTGTGAAATAGATTTAGTATCAGTTCTTACACTTTTTATTTATCTTATTTTTATTTTATTAGTTAGCTGTTATTTTTTTTGTTCTATAAACTTTTATTTGATATCGTTTAATTCATTTATTGTGATGAGTTTGTTTAATTATTTGGTATTTCAACTTTTTGTTTATTTTATTAGTTTTAAAAACCTTTTTTTACAAATTGACTCTTAGGAGTATTATTTTTTTTTAATTACTTTAAATAATAACTTTAATTTTCTTGATTTTAACTTATATTCCCATCTTAAGCAAAAGCAAAAGAGTGTGTTTAAAGAAAATTTTAATACAACGAATTTGGATTTTATTAATAATAAAAAGTTATCTCGTATTTTGCATACATTATTGCTAACTAAAAATTCTCTAATGCCTAGAAATATTACTCTTATTTTAGAAGTATATTACCAATATTATTATAAGTTAGTCCAAGAGCATAATAATTCTTAAATTTTTTAAAAAAATCCACTTTTTTGCTTAATTTTATTAAAATTTCACCTTCATTTCCTTCAAAATAATTTTCTGAAGTGTACTAAATCATCTCAAGCAAATCCAAAAAGTTTGTATATAGACAATATATTTCTAAGGGTAAAAGTAAAAACCAATCTCTTTATTAATATTTTTTAATAATCTGTGAAATTTCGACTAATTCTTTCAATTAATTTATTTTTTCCAATAATTTTGTCATGCGGGCTATAGGTTTATTAATACTCTTTTGTATCCGAATAGCATAATATATTGTAATAAACAAAATAATAAAACTTATCCCTATAAGAACTATTTATGTAATAATATACTAATTTTAAAATAAATTCAGTAATTTATTAGTCTATATTTTGAGATCTTAATCAGAAATAATATTTATCTATAGATAAGCATATTCAAGCAAAAGACTTTACTATTTTGTATATTTTATCATAAATTTAGGAATTTAATCATATTAAATAATAGGGTTAAAAATAGCTTTGTAAGCTGTTCCATTCCTAATATAATCTAATATGATAATTTTTCTACTCAATTCAAGCATTTAAGATAGATTCATATATCTGTCATTCTCTTAAGAAAAAACCCAAGTATTATAATTATCTTTGATACATTTGAGAATCTATTGGGTTTAATTTTGATCTCCCAAGTATTAAAGTTCAATGTTGTATAAATTATCAGCTTAAGTTATATTTGTGAAGTTATATTGTTTCTTTGAATTAAAAAATACTAAAAGCGTTCTAGGATCAATTACGTAGTACTACTTAGAACTTTGTATGATATTCTAAAAATAATTATTAATATTTGATAAGTTTAATTCAAAACATGTTACATATCGATTATCTATTTTCTAAGTAAATTAATTTTAATACATTAAACTTTAACAAACATACTAGGATATATAATGAGGTGTAGCAGAAGCTGATATTTAAGGTGGATTCATAAATATTGAAGTTTCATTTAAGCTGTTAATAAAATAAAATCTGCATCTAGGATCATAATCAAATAATCCTTTATAGCAATTAGAACTATCTAACTTAATATCCAGAGAACTGTTAGCATAAGTAGCTAATATAATTCCTTCTCTTGAATCAAATACTGCTGTAAATCTAAATGGAAGAGTTGAAATTTTTGAAATATTTTAGTTTGATGAATATTTAATTGCATTCATTAATGGAATCAAAAGTGTTAAATTATATAAAATCTCCTTTCCTTATATATCTAATTAACTGATTTAAGTAGCATTCTATTAAAACCTATAATATAAAATAAATAAGCATTTTGTAAAAAGTAAATATGAATAAATTAGATAAAACATTTATATAAAATTAAAAATATTATTAACTTTGCAAATAAAATTCCATTTAATAAAATATTTTTAACTTTTATGTTTGTATATAAAAAGTGTGTTATTAATTAATTATATACCAGCTATTAATAGACATTTAGTTTTTAGCTACTAATTAATTGAGATCAGAACTTATTTTTGAATAATATGTTTCAATAATATTTAAAATACTTGGCTTGTAATGACTATTAGATTTAACATGACCTTGAATGACTTTTTCATGAAAAGAATTAATAATATTTAGGTTTAATGGTAATTTTAATATTTCTTAACTTAATCTAAATGATGTCAAACATTATATGTGACTACTCAATTCTATTTATTATTAAAAGATGATATCACCATAATCATTCAAATATTTTTTAGTGTATTGAAGAGCTATTTATAAGCTAGTGATTGAAATAGCGAATATCAATACTATTTCAAAAACTAAAATTGCTATTATTTTCATTTGATATTTTTGTATGATATTACTTATTACTAAAACTTCTACTTTGAAATGTTTATTTCACCAAATATATTAATTATTGTTATTATAACTTTTATTCTAATAATAAATTACAATTATTATTAGTTTTTTATTAAATTCTTTCTTATTTTTGAATTTTAATTATTATCAAAAATTTATTATCTATAAATTTGTGATTGAAATAATATTATGTATGTGTAATTAATTATAAAAATATAAAAATTATTTTACTCGTTTATTAAAAATTAAATATTATTGTCTTATAATTAAATCAAAACATTAAATTTAGCTTATTTTTTAAATAGAAATGGCATTTTACTCTATATACAATACTTGAATTTATATTTTATAAAACATGAAATTTCTCAATAGTATTGAATATAAGAAAAATATGTAAATTTTGAGAAGCTATCTCTTTAAAAAGTTAAATACTAAATGATTTCTTCATCAGTTTTAAATATTTTTAATATTTATTTATTCTTAAAAGTAAAAGAGAAATCTTTACTCGTTTCTAAAGAATTATCACCTTTTTCAGTTAAAAAAATGATAATTTAGATACGAAATTCTACTAAAAGACTACATAATTCCAAAAATAATTCTTCTTATAGAAAATTTATTTACTATGTTTGATAAATTAAAAATTTTAAAGATTTTTCTTACTCAAGTCCATCGAGTTATTTGCTCATAAATTATTTACACACTTCAAAGTTTTATTTGGTCTAATTATTAATTAAGTTGACATTCTATTGAGAGACTTTATAAGGATACAGAAAGGAAATCATCTAATCCAAAGCCTTTCTAATAAAATCGTAAAAGTAAAAGTTTTGAAGCTCTGCTTAATTTATTATTTATCGTTAAGATTATTTTATAAAATATTTTTGAACCTAGTTATTAAAATTTATAAATTATTCAATCAAACAATTCTATTTTTTGTTTTTATTTTATTCTAGATTTTGTTTTTACTAATAATTTTGTTTAAATTATTCTTAGTTATATTATAAAGAAAGAGAAATGTTAAACTATTTTTGTATTTAATTGAGCTAGTTTATTTATTAAAACTATGAATAACAAGAACTATTTTATATCACATTCTAATTTTAAGAATTATTTTAAATAATTGTTTAGCTATAAGAGTTTTCTTGAAAATTATTTTTCTGATAATTATTTTAGTCTTTAGCTACTAAACTTAAGTCAGAAATGAAATACTTTTTATTACTTGAATTAATTTAAAGCCTTTTTTTGTCAGAAAATAAATCTTATTCAATTTTTAGTTCATTAAAATGCTGAGATACACTAATTTATTTTTCATTAAAAGAAAGAATTTCACTATTTAGATGTGCATCAAATTTACTATCGTTGATTTAGCTTTTAAAAATGTTTTCTTTTTGAATATTTAACTAAGAAAATACATTATCTTAAAATTATCTAAATAGCTTTGCACTAATCAATTTTATGTTCTAAACAATACATTTTTCATCTTCATCAACAGTAAATAAAGTTATTTTATCAGTATTTTTATAAAGTACTACATCACATAATTATTTTAAAAACAAATTTTAGTTATTAGAAAGATCTTTTATTTTATTAATTAAGTTATAATTTGAATTTGAATTCTAATTTTAAGAATTATTATTTCTTTCATATGGAAAATCTTATTTGCTTTTTTTTTCCAAGCAAATAGCTATTTGCAAAGATAAACTTTTATTAAACCTAGAATACTCATCGTATAGAATAAAGTCTTCAATATTTTAAACATCAAAAATTTGCTTTAGCTTAAAAACTATTCTGAAAGGTAAATTGGATGTCATGGTTTAGCTATTTTCATATAAATCTGTTAAAATTTCAGCAGCTTTTTTATATTTTTTAGTAAATATAAAATATTCTGATAAACTATACTAAAAATATTGACTAAGCATTTGATGAAGTGTTTTAATATTTATTTTATAATTTTTAGAATTTTCTTCTTAAGCTTTATCATATAATTTTTATAATTTATCACTAAATTGTTGGTTATCTAAAGTCTAATTTTTATTTGTATTCCTGTTAACTAAAAAGTTCTAAAGATAAATACTTTTGATGCTTTACTTTTTATTTAAAAACATTCTTTATGAAGTTTCAAAACTATTAAAAATATCATACAATTCTTAATTTTAATTTTATTTGCTAGTTAAGTTTGTTTATGAAATATTTATTTAATCAATTAAATCTGGATTAAAGTTTTTAAAACAACTTTATCTATTTTAAGATTTTTTGCTTAAGTTAATTCCAAACTTATTTGATAAATCTGGCGATAATTAGTTTAGATCATAAAAATTATTTTATTTAATTTAATTTCTTTGCGAATCATCAAAAAAATTTTCTTTGGAAACTTAGTTGCTTTTAAAATTTAATGAAAGGTGTTCTTATGTTTTTACTTAGTATGAGTTTCTAAAATTTAGAATCATATTTTATGCCTCTGTAAGTCTTTATTTGGCTTTAAAATACTAAAATTGATTGTAATAACACTTAGACAAAAGGCAATTCAAAAATATATTAATATGTTTAAATTCAGGATCTATATTTATTAATTTTATTTAATCTTTAAGTAAGCTTTTTATTTCTTTCCAAAAGTAAAATCCTTTGCTTTATTTACTTTTTTTTTATTATGAATCTAAATTTTCTTAAAAGGCCATCAAAGTAATTACATAATTTTGCTTTCTATAAAACAGACTTAAAATTAATTCTTGAACTTATAGTTTTTCTTCAATTTATTTTATAAATTAATCATATGATTTTTACTAATAAAATAACTAGCTTTATTGTTTCTAGTTCGAAAAATTTAAGCCTTATTCTTTTATTTTTTAGTTTGTTGGTCTTTTTTCTTCAACTAATTGGCTTGATTTCATGAATTAACTTTTTGTAGTTGAAATTTTTTAAAAATTCTAAGAGTTTGTTTTACGTTACGAAAATATTTCAGATTTTGGATTTATCTATTCGGCATACGAATAGTCTTAAAGCAATTTTTAATAGGATGAGTCAGGATTAGATTTTAAAAATGTAGAAATTTCTTATTTTGCATACATAATTGACATTGAGAAATGCTCTAACGCCTAAAAGTAATGTTATTAATTAAGCAATATGTTTCCAATGTTATTATAAGTTACTCCTGCTGCATTATAATTCTTAAATTTTGTAAAGAAATCTACCTTTTTACTCAAGCTAACCAGATTTTTACCTTCGTTTTCTACAAAAAAGCTTTCAGAAGTGTATTGAATCATTTCAAATAAATCCAAAAAGCTTTAATAAAGCAGATAAGTTTCTTTAGATAAAAATATAAATTTTGATTTTTCTTCATATTTTTTAATAAGTTGTGAAATATCAACAAGCTCCTTTAATTAGTTAATTTTTTCCAAAGTCTAAGTCATTCGAATTATAGGTTTATCAATTTAAGCTTATATTTAAATAGCAAAAATTATTGTGACAATTAAAATTATAATGCTCAACGCAAGAAGAGATATTTAAACTGCAATAAATAAATTAGCGAAGAAATTTAGTAATTTGTTTGTTTAAGTTTTTAGATCTTCATCAGATATAATATTAATTTAAAGGTAAGCATATTCAAGCAATAGGCCTTACTGCTTAGTGTATATTGTAGTAAATTTAGGAATTTAATCATATAAAATAATAGGATTAAAGATAGCTTTGTATGTTGTTCCGTTCCTTTTATAATCTATAACAATAGCTTTTTTACTTAGATCTAGCATCTGCAAAATATTTACATAACTATCATTTTGTTGAGAAAAAACCCAAGTATTATAGTTATCTTAGATTAATTTAAGAATTTATTGTGATTGATTTTGATCTTCTAAATATTAAAGTTCTATTTTATAAAAATTATCGGCTTATTTTATACTAGAATAGTTGTATTCCTTCTTTGAGTTATAATATATTAAGAGAGTTCGAGGGTCTATCACATAATATTGTTTAGAACTTTGGATAGCGTTTTGAAAGTAATTATAAATATTAGAAAGCTTTAATAAAATGCATAAAACACGATTATTATCAATATTTTATTTTTATTGATTGTAATACACAGCTTTTTAGCATACGTATTATGATAAAAATGAAGGAGTAGCTGCAGCTGATATTTAAGGAGGATTCATAAATACAGAAGTTTAATTTATAGTATTTAAATAAAAAAACCTACAGGTTGGAGTATAGTTAAATAAACCTTTATAACAATTAGGAGTATCTAGTTAAATTTATAGAGAACTGTTAACATAACTAGTTAAAGCTGCTCCTGTTTAAGAGTTAAAAATTTATACTTAAATATAAGGAAGAGTTAAAACACCAGAAGAGATTTGTTAGCTTTACTATTAAATAACATTAAATAAAGGGATTAATTTTGTAAAATTATATAAGGCTTGTTATGATTAAAAGTCTAGCAAATTAATTTGAGTTGCATTTTATTGATACCTAATTAATATAAAATAAGTTGATTAATTATATTGAGTTTGTTGTATGTTTTATTTAGCTAAAATAAATGTTTTAAAATAAATGAATTAATTTACAAAATATTTCAATGATATATGGAATACCTCTATAAAATTTAATATCGAAATAAATAAAATCTTTTAAATAAACACATTTTAAATGGTTAAAGTTAAGAAGTGATTAATATTTTGATTATGAATATTACCAACTACTTAAAAGCATTTAGTTTTTAGCTAATAGCGGATAGTACAAAGGATTTATTTAAGAACGGTATGTTTGAATAATATTTAAAATACTTGGCTTATACTTATTCTCATACTTGACATTACCTTAATTAATCTTTTCATTGAATGAATTTATCATATTTAGACTTGTTGGCAGCTTAAATATTTCTCTAGCTAATCTAAAAGAGATGATAGATTAGATATTGCTATTATATTCAATTTCATCTTAAAAGATGTTTTGCCCATATTCGTTCATATACTTGTTTGTATATTAGAGAGCTATTTATAAGCTAGAAATAGCTATGGCAAATATTAACACTATTTCAAATACTAAAATTGCAATAATTTTCATTTTTTATAGTTTCTATCTATTTTTTATACTAACGTAAATATGTGATTAAAATAGAGCTTTACTCTCTTTTTTTACTGTAAATTAAAATAATCACTTTTACATTCGAATTTTTTTGATTTCAGATGTCATTATTATCATAAAAGATTGAGCATTCATTTAATAATTATAATTTCTATTTCTAAACATATTTAAGTTTGTTACTCTCTCTTTTTAAGCTTAAAAATATGCTAAATATTTAATTTAATAGCATTAAATTAATAAAATTATTGTAATTAGAAAATAGAAAGTAAAATTAATCTGCTTTGCTCTTTATAATCTAACATTTTGTTTAAAATTTAGATGTATTTAATGAAAAATTGTAGAAATATTAAATTTAAAAGTAATAAAGAAGTTGAAATATTCCTTATAAAATAATTTTTTAATGTTGTAATATTTTAAAAAAATAAATATGATATTCAATACTGAGAGAGAAAAGTTAGTATTATCAAATAATATAAATCATGTTTGATATCATATCAAATTCTTTTATAGTAATTAAAATAAAAAAGTATTATGTATTATCTCAAATATTATTATTATGTTAAATATCATTAGGTTTACCATAAGAGATAATATAATTTAAAAAGATACATACATACATCAAAAGACGCCTACATTCAAGAAAATTAAATTAAAAAAACAACTAATTACAATTACAATAATTTAGATTAAGAAATATCATTAAATAAAGTAGTAAGACAGTTCTAACCAATTAATAATAACCTTTTAAAGAAATTTATTTAATTTGTATAAGAATTTTATAGATAATTAGGATGGAGAAAATCTTAAATATGTATAAATTGTGTACATAATAATTTAAGCAAAAATAATATTAAAAGATATTCAAAAAATACTAACTAATTAATATATTTTTATTTATTTAGAATTTAACTTTTAATAATTTTTTTTATAGAAATTTTAAAATAAAGAAAAAGAAAGTCTTCCTCTCAATATACTATGGAAAATAGAAGGTTAATTTATTTATTTATTTATTGTTAAATATTCAATAAATTTATTGATTTTCACTATAAAGTTTATTTTTTTCTGAAAATTATTCATTTTAGTTGTTATATTATTAGTTTTATTATTAAATTTCAACACCATTTGGGTTATTATATTTGTTAGCAGTTTACTACATCACAATTTCAAGTGAGTATATATTCTGGAGCTGTTTACTTGGAGAATTGCTATTTCTTAAATTTTTTTGTGAAGAAGTTAAATTTTAATCGTATTTTTTCAACATATTTTATAAAATGATATGCTGATCATTCTATTGATTTGTCTTTTCATAGTCAATAATATTTTTTTACTGTATGGCAAATTCTATTGGAATTTTATTTAGATAGTTTTAATTGCTATCAGAAATATTTTCTATAAAAGAATTTTGTTTATATTCAAGTAAATTTTTGTTTCTGAATGGATTTCTATTAATTTCAGTTTAAAATCTTCTTTAGTTATTTATTGGTGGTGATTGGTTTTGTTGCTAATTTAATGGGTAAATCTATATTTATTACAATAAATTTTGTTATTTTTCAACCTAAAATGGAGATTATTGTTAGAGTATCAACTCTTAATTCTAAGACAATTCATAAAATTATTAATTTTTTTCTTTTTCTTCATTTGTAACCTATTATTAATAAATAATTGGTTGTTATAGTTATTAAGGTGGTTGAGATTATGGTGCTTAATAATTATTCAATTCATTTTTATATTGTTGATCTTGAAACTATTAAAATTGGTAATTTATATTTTGATGTTATATTTAAGGCATTTACAGCTATTAAACTTCCTAAAAAATTTATTCATTTTTTAACTATTCTGGAATTTTAGTTTATATTTCTTAATAAACTACAGGAGATTATATTATTTATGGTGCAATCAACTACTAAGTATCATAATAATTTATACCGTTTTTCTGTTGTTCTTAATTTTAAACTTATTATTATTGATATATTGAAGGCTAAAGTTGTTATTATGTAACTTAAAAATATTAATAATTCAATTAATTTTTTTATAAATCTTGATTTTAAATCTATGATTACAAGAAAGTTTTTAGCTGTTATTGTACTTCTGGTATTTTTGGTGATTATCCTTAACTATAATCTAGCTCATTCTATTGTTATTGAAAGCTATTTGTAGTAATTTATGCTTATTAGCTGATTTGCATATTAGCCTCGTTTTTTCTTGCATAATTTATTTCATTATCATCATATTATCTTTAAATTTGATGTGTTTTAGGTAATTCTTTATTATTAAATTATTAATTAATTTCATTTAAAATATTTTATTGTTAGGGAGAATTAGCTATATTTTTATTATATTCTTAGTTTGGCTAGGAGTTTTAATTCTATTAAAGTTAATTATATATCATATATGGCTAATTATGTATCCCTTAAACTATTTATTAATCTATTTACTATGGCTAAGAATTACCTAATTAATTAGATTTATTTTAGTTTGTATTTTAGGTTGAATTATTGCTCTTCTATCTATTTAACATGTATCTCTATGACAGAGATTCTATTTACTATCCTCGAGTAAATTTTTGATCAGATTTAGATTCATCTGCGTTTATGTAAGATTTTTTTTCATTATTATGTTACAAATTGTGCTTAGCCTATTACAATTTTTTTTACAGATCGCTCTCAATAGAATAAAAAGATGCCTTAATGCTATCCCTCCTAGTATAAAGGATTACATTTTTTAAAGACTTTTTCATCTATTAATTAAGATCCATATCTTTGTTTTCTATTTATATGGGAGACTTAAAATTGTATTAGTATTTTCCTGCTAAACCTTGTTTAAGTGTGTATACTTTTTGCTAGCTATTTTAATCTTGATATTCTTGTATCAAGTTATTATATTGTATAGTGTGGTTCTTCATTATTTGTAGATTTGATTTCACATCTTACAGCAAATGATTAAGACTCTTTTTGATTTCTTCTTGATTTTCAAATTAGTACTGTTAAAGAGATTAATTATATTACAAATAATTGTATTAAATGTTTTCGTTCTACTTACCATTTGCTATATTCATATCACCAAAATTTGTTTTATTATTAGTCAGCAAACTTTCAAATTAATTAGGATTTTAATTTTCTTAAATTTAATTTAAGTCTAATATTGTTTTAAATTAGTAAAATTAATAAATACTTAACTCAACAAAAAAAAAAATATTTAAATCTATTTTTAATATTAAAAGCAAAAAAAATTAAAATTATTCTTGACTTATATGATAAAATCTAAAAAGTAGAAGAATTTGTTAATATTAAAAATTAAACAAAGAGAATTCTTACTTTTCGATACGAAATCATTACTTGTTAGGTTTTTATTTTGCTAATATTAGTTCGTTGTTTATTCTTAATAGATATTTTAATTTTGTTCACTTTAGATTATGTCTATTTCATCGGCTAAAACAGCTTAAGAGCTTGATTTGTTCATAGAATAATTTTAAGCTACTATTTCGTTTTATTTACTTTTTGTATCATTTTAAACATTATCTAATTAAGTAAATGAAGGACTCTTTGATTTGAGTATATTTTGACTGGTACTTGCACTTTTTAAGTAATTTTTTTATAAACTTTCCGATGATGCTAAGTAATTATTATTCAGCTTTGTTTGCTCATTCAAAATTTTTTAAGAACCTTAACTACTAGCATTAAATCTATTATTTAGACTATCTATTTCGTCAGTGAATTCTTCTTGCAAAATATTTTATAAAGTTTGATTTTCTATGATTAAAGGAGATTATATTTAATTTTAGTAACCACCAAAATCCATGTTCTATTCTAATTGAGTTTAATTTTGATTTTACTTCAAGTCTTTGGATGAGATCATATTTTTTATATAATCTTTAATCAACAACTCATTTTATGATAATTAGATTTCTATTTTAGGAGGCTATATGTCTGTTTGCGTAGGTTAAACTTTTTAATTAGCTGTTTTTTATGAAAGTATTTCTTTGACACTAAAAATTAAAACATCCAGTGAGTTTTCTTTTATGAAGCTTTCTAAAAATTCATTTGAATTTGAATTGTTAGAAAATATTTCCATTTTATCACAATCTAGTGGATATCTGTTAACATAAAATAGCATAATTTCTATCCTCTATGTAAAATTTAAGGATATCTCTTTAGATTACAGCATGCCTTTTAAGAAAGCTTGAAAAGATTTTATAAGTTAGCTAACTTTAGATTAACTCATATTTACAAAACGAATATCTATCTTTCTATCTATCTAAAAATTATATTTGTTTCCTTTCTAATTCTTTAAAAAAACAATTAATTGATTGTTTAATTCTAATAATTTAATTAAATTAACAAATAAATTTATATAAAGTAATATAAAAAATATATTATGCTTACGCAATTCAAGATTAACTAACTAATCATTACTTATTGAGTTCTAAAAATATGGACTTGCAAAAATATTTATGATCATTAAAGTTGTTTATATTGAAAAATGATATAAAAATCTAAATTATTTTTAAAAACAAAATAGGTATTTACCAGCAAAATATAAATCCATTGAACTATTTTTATAGTTATAAAACTAATTTTTCTTAAGCTTAATAAATATTTAATATTTTCGCTTCTATTTCCATGACAAGAATCTATAATATTCGAGTAAATACCTTTATAATAGAAGAAATTTAATAAAAATTTGTCTATAATATTTTAATTTAGTAGAGTGAATTTAATAAACATTTTTATTCTAGAATCTAAGCTACTTTTAATTTAATTAATACAAAAAATCATAAATCCATTTTTAGAATATAAGATTATAAATATCCTACAATAAATTTACTCTGATTGTTTAAATTCATTTAGCTATGTTGCTTGTAACTTTAATACTTTTATCTTATGAAGGAAATTTAATAAAATTTCTATCAATAAACCAGCTAAAATCAAATAATAAATAAATAAATAATAATAGTTTTATATCAATTTTGTAAGAATTTTTTTTAAATAACAAAATCAAAGATATTAATTAACATGCATTCGTTTAGAAATATTAAATTTTCTTACTACTCAATTTTTTTAAATGAATTACAAATTAACAAAAATAATAAATTTATAAATATATTTTTCATTAATTTGATAAAGAATCATCTATCTGAAAATAAATTTATATGATCTTTTATTTTTATATTTTACTTAATTAAGTGCTAATGCAAATAAAGCTGATATTTTAAAAATTATATAAAATACACAAATTAAATAATAATAAGTACAATTTAAAAAAATAAATTAATTTCTATTCTTTTTTAATATATTTTTTAACTGTTAAAATTATTTATTTTTAAAATGAGGGAATGTATGTGTTTGTTTTGATGAAAGGAAACATTTAGAATTGCTTAAAATGACATTTTAACAAAAGTGATCAAAAATCAAGAAATAAAGATATTATATATTTGAATAAATAAAAAATAAGATAATTAATTGTAGAGAATAACAAACAACAATATATAAATAGCTTTGACTGATTTAGGGTAAAAATATTTAAAAACAAAAGTAAAAATAATAAAATTAATTAGATTTGTACAATTTTTTTGATAAAATAATATAAATTCACACTTACATATAAACAACATAAATAGATAGATAGATTTAAAGTTTACTAATTAGAATATGGAACAAGAGAACACATTTACCTAATTATACTCCTTCACTTAGTCTAAGGATTCTGACCTCTATAAGAACGCCAAGATTGTTTTAGATTCAATCAAGGAAGCTCTTTAGGTAAATTTCATTTTTCATTTTTTGCATTTTTACTGCAGTTGTTAATTAGTAGACTTAGGTATTTTAGATTATATTTATTAGACAAGATTTATAAAAACTGCATTGAAAATTTTTATTTTTAAGCTCGTGCTATTACTAATAAAATATTTTATTTATAATTTACAGAAAAAAGGGATGTTTGAAGATAAAACTATTTCAACTGCATTATTTGCCAGTTTATTTTAACTACTCTAGTAGGATATAAATGCTAATAACATATAAAGCGAAGAGCCTAAATTGTTACTTTTCAACTAGCTCTTGACAAAGGTGAATATGGCTATCGTTATTAAGTTCTATGAATAGATTAGAGAAATGATTTTTAAAGTTTTAGAATAATAAAGCCGTACCCAATTAACTTAAAAATTTGCTATTGCTATCTTAGTAGAATTACTGTAAACATAATAATAAATCGATTAAAATAATGTTGCCTTAGTCAAATTAATTGAAAATATAATTAATGAACAAGTTGCAGCTCGTAAGCAAGCATGGAAAGGCCTAAACACCCTTCTCTCTTAAAAAATTACTTCTAAATTTATGATTGGTACTGCTGTTACTAAATTTGTTCTTGATATCCTACAAAACAGCTAAGATGATTAAATTTGCATCATAATCACTCAATTTTTAAGCAACTCTATTTAGAACCTTCCTATTAATAACGTTAACGATATTTCTTTTGCATTACTTAAGAGACTCTAATTAACAACTGATTAAAATCTTGAAGTTCTCATTTACCTTTAATTCGAAGTATGTCTTTTATTATTTCATTATTTAAGATACAAAAAACATAAAGCTATTTATTCTTTAAATAAGAAACATGCAAGACAATAAAAATATTAGCAAAAAAATATTTAGGGCAAAAATAGTTTTAGGGATTTAAAATGCATTGTGAAGATTAGAGTCAAATTTTTTAATTTATTTTTAAAATAAAAAGAATATAATGAAATTGAGACAACTCAGCTTTGATAACTGCGAAACACTCATTAAGGAATTTATCGATAACCAACCTAGTTTACATTCTGATCAAAAAGTAGTTATGAGTTATTCATAATGTCTTATTTAAACTCTTATTTTGATGCACGAACAAAATATTCATGCTGCTAAAAAGTATATCCCTACAGTTATTTCTGTGCTTTAGGAAATTATCCTCTCAGTCGATGTTAAGCTTGCAACATTTGGTTAAAAGTAGATGGAAACTTTGATTATTGCAGTTATTGGTGAATATCTTTGGAAAAAGCATAAAACTGGTGGTTTCCTCAATGAATTTGACTTTACTGAAATCGATAATCTCGGAGTTGAGTCTTCTACTGCAGATAACACTTTTGAAAAGATTATTTCTATGCTCTAGCACATGTTAAGCAACCGTTTCGATAATAGATAAATCTAAGTTCATGGAGTCCTTGGTGTTTTCTTCCAAAAGATAGATTAAGATTGTAAGCATTTTAAATAATAAAAAAAATAAATATGTTGTTAAAGAATTATTTGGAATAAATAATATAAATAGGCATGACAGATATAGATGGAATAGTTAAAGAATTAGTCGAAAATAGAGTTAATAGACACGCTTCAAGTTTTGAAAAGTGCATGGCAAAATTAATTTCAAAAATTGGTGCTGGTTTGATTGTTAAAAGATTCCCTCTTCAAATAGCAGGCTTAAATCCTTTAGCTGAAGACTTTGAAGACAAGAGTAGTTTATGGATGATTCCCATGTTTTTGAAATACACCAAGAACCAATCTATTGAAGATTTCCTTGAACATATTGTTCCTCACATCTCTACAATTAAGAATGGTATGGATATTACTTCATAGAAAATGAATGCATAAGAATTAGTTATGTTTAATGTTTTCTTATAATTATGGGAGTGCTTTAGCAGATTCCACATCGTTTCTGGTGAAAAGGGTTTCACTGCTCTTAATTTAATTTTAGATAACTTAGATCCTGAACTCAAGGATTCTAATCCTCACTTCGGAAGTATTCTACGTGGTTTGGAGTACAGCTTTAAGTTTATTAGTCATGCTAAAAATGTTCCTGCTGATACTATTGTGCGTGCATAAAAACTTATCAAATCCATGCATACTCTTCTCATTCCTGGCAAACCTATTTCTAAATAAATTCTTGCCGTTATTTAATAGGCTGCTTTTATAGCTCCTAAAGAATATCTTAATTCTGCTTTTGCTCACAACATCAAAAGACTTGTCACCACTTCTACTGAAGAAAAAACCAGAGTAAAGCTTAACAACTCAGTCAAAACTTTTGACATGATACTTGCTGTTTCTTAATCTATGGATTTCAAGAATGATAGATGGGACATGGCTATGAAATTCATTAAATGCTTCCTTGACGATTAAACTGTATTACAAAAGAAGGCTTACAAATTTTTAAGCAATATTGTCTCCAAAGTCCATTATACTTTCCTTCCACAAGTATCTGAAATTCTCAAAAATAAATAAGCCACTTAAAGCTCTGCTAGACCTATCAGACTTTAAGTCATTACTTAAATTTGGTAACTAAACAAGTTTGATTCAGAAGAATCCTAAGTAGATTAAATTGGTGAATTCATCTAAACTTTCCTTCCTGAACTTATTGTAGGTTTAAGAGAATCTAACATTCGCTCTAGAAAAGCTTCCTAAGAACTCTTTAAGAAGATTGCTCAAAAAATGTTAAATTTAAATATGTTAAATGACTTTATATCTATGGTAATTTATTCATTCATTTATCTATTAATTTTGCTTACAAATTATTTAAATTTATAAAGATCTCTGCTGGTTTGGGAGCTTCAAGCAGTTTAATGAAGGCTGACAGTATCGTTTCTATTGCTTATCTCCTTGAGAAATTCGGAAAAAACGTAGACACTGCTTTCATTAAAGAAGTTAACTCGATTATTTTGCTTTTGTTAAAGGAATAAAACAAAGAAATATTTAAAGCTGTTTTAGTTTACTTGAAGGTAATTTTTAAAAAATAATTTTTTCCAGTATGAAAATAATAAATTTTTTAATATAAAAAAAGAAATATATGAGAATTATCTCAAAGGCTGAGTTAAAAACCGAATTACCTGATATCTTCAACAATATATTTGAATCTGAATAAGTCATTAGAGATAAGCACAGATCACTCATCAAGTAGATTGTTTCAAGATTAATTAGGAAGTTTACTAGAACTGTTGTTGAAGATTATGTACCAGAAGCCCATAAGAGAATTGTTAGAGGTATCTTAAAGGAGGAAAGATACTAAAAGAATAAGGTAAAATTTTAACATTTGATAGCTAAATAATTTGATAATATAATAAATAAAAAAGAAAATCCGTGAAAGAATTGAAAGGAAGAAGCTAGCTGCATAAGTTAAGTATAAAGAAACTGACTTTGATGTTTAGCAACGTATGGAATCTGAAAATTTAGCTAAACAAAAAGAAGAAAAGAACTTGTTGCTTAAATTCGATTAGGATCAACAATAATTCCACTTTGTTCCCAACACTGGCTTAAAGAAATTGAAAGAAAGACTTAATGAAGAAAATGAAAGAAAGGAAGTTGAATATATCAAGGGTAAGATTATCGTACGTGAGGCTATTGAAGATATGACTGGTAAAAAGAGAAGAAGAGAAGACAAATATGCTACATATGATTCTATCATTCAAGAAGAAAGAGACATCAATGATAATGAAAAGACTATCACTTCAAGAAAATTAACTTAGAAAAGAACAGGTATTACTTTTTATTTTTATTGTAAAATAAATGATTAATTAAAATTATTTTCATTCATAAATTAGATAATAAAAACAATCTTGTTCACAACATTAAAGAGTCTGGTGATACTTTCAAGGCTAAGGGTGAAACTGGTGGTGATGTTGTTAGAAAAGGTAAACCTGATCCATATGCATTTATTTAATTGAATCCTAAGGTAATTATTTATTCATTTTCATTTTTGGCAATTATTAATATTTGTATGATTAATTAATCAAAAGGCTTTAAATAAGAGACATCAAAAGAGAGCTTCTAAAGCATTCGATGTTATTATGAATAAAAAAGAAGATGGAGCATTAAAGGGTCTTAAAACTAGTAACAAAAAGGTGAAATAATGATCCAATTAACAACTAAAGTGATTGAAAATAAAACTATATGCATTCTTATAAAAGATAATAATAATAAAAATAAAACTCAGTAATTAATTTAAAAACCTAATTTTTAATAACGTCTATTATATATATAATATTATATAACTCTTGTATTATTTCTTCTTCTTTTTGTTCTACATCCCAAAGTAAATTTTATAGAAGAAAAATAAATAAAAATATGTTTTCCTCTAAAATTAGTTAATGAAAATAAATTCTAAATATAATTATTAATTTATTTTTTATTTTTCTTCATTTTAAACAATAATTTCTTCCTTAAAAAAGGCTAAAATTATTTTAACAAATTTATATTTTATGCCAAATTGATTTTACTTAAAAATAAAACAGATAAAATTTAAGAAATATTTAATTGAGTTTGTCATCTATATTGGTTTTTTTATAATTTTTAAAAGCCATTTAATAACGATTTTTATTTTATTAAATAATAATAAATAAGGCTTTTATAATTTGAACTTTTAATGTTATTAAATCTAAGAAAATTAAAAATATAAAAATTAAATAGAAAAGATTTTTAATTATTCTTAAACAAAGAACAAGAAGTATAAGTTGGTTAGTTTTGTAATTAAAATTATATTTATAAAAAGAGAGTTTTGAATATTTAATTTAAAAATAGGAAGAATACTCAATTATACATTTGTAAGTAAATAAGTATACGCTTAAAATAAATTTATTATGTTAAAATATATGATTTGAGTGATTGATTGATTGATTGAATGAAAATATTTTTTTACAATTAGGATAATAATAATGTCATTAAGGTCTATCAATCAGCAGTAAGAAAGTATCAATTTACTTGTTAGTATTTTCTGGAATGTTACTAAGCTAGTAATTATATATTTATTAATGCATACTAAGAAGCGATTTTAAATTAATTTATGATTGAATGTGTAATTATGATTTAGTTTATAATATAAGGTAAATAAATGGAAGCAGATTGAATTTCTATCACTCAAATAAATAAATTGTTTTTGTAGTTCTTTTTAGAGATTAACTTTGTTGAAAATTAACATTTAATTTGCTCAATTCATATCATTGTTAGCGTTTCTAAGGAAGTCGTATTGCATGATAGCATACCAAATCATTGCATTATCATTGAATTTACGATTTATATTTACATTTACCCACTCATTAGCTATAACGGCTTTCAATGTTTCGTAACATGAAATTGTTGTAATACCTCTTTCTCTGGCAAAATCAGTGATTCTGTGACCAACAATATCATGGAAACCCATCTTGAAGAATGCTTGATCTTATAGTCTTAATAATTGAAGATGGCGTTTGATTTATACAAGGAGAAGTTAACGTTTTAAAACTTCAAATGGACCAAAGTTAAGATCAATTGAGAATTTACTATAGCCAAATTTCTTTTCTTTTTTCAAAAGCTTGCAGCCTAAATTAGCAAACCAAATTGGAGTGTTGATGAGAATATTAGCAATTTTTGAAATAATGTAAGTACCAGTAATCATTTCCATACCAAGGAATTTGCAAACAGTGATCAATTCATCAGATGAAAATTTGTTAAAATCAAGATTCTCTTATTCGAAATTTTTGTAGTTTTTAAAGAAAGCTAGCTTGTAGGTGTCGCTATGGAGGAATTGATCAACACTGACATTGCACTTTTCCATCAAGTGATTTTTTAGTTTATATGCTAATTACTCATGGGCTGAGGCTTAGTTATCTTCCAAAGATTGGATGTATTAATCGTAGGCGTAATCGAATGTATATTAAGAGGGCATAGCGTTGGGGAAGAGGAGCAAGTATACAGGAAGCAATAATTCAGCAGCAGGAACAATAACGAAAAACGAGAAAGGAATAATTTTAAACAAATCAGAGCGAATTCTCATACTTTAACGTACTTCATAGCCAGTCATTTAAGTTTTTTTCTTTTTCATTAAAAGGTTGAAGAACCACTTAGAATCTGTATAAGTGTCTATAGTACCTACCTTTAACAGGAGAACGAATTCTTTCACAAAAGCTTTAATCTTTGTGTAGTTCTTTTTTTGTTCATGGAATTCCTTAGTCGAAATGACATTATACTATAATTGCTGTTAGAGTTATTTATTACTACTGATGCTGCTGTTTTACTATATATTGCCATTTGTATTATTTGTATTGTTATTCAAATATTGTACCTATTGCTTTAGGAAATGCTTTACTGTTGAATTATTTCTACTCGCTAGCTTTATTAAATTCTGCTTGTTCTACATGCTATTCAAGCTTTCGCTATTAAAGCTGAGTTGAGTTGATGAAGGGATATCACCTAAAAGGACGCTGTTCAAGTTAGAAGAGTTTGAACTACGGATGAGTTCAAGACCTTGCTTGCTTAATTGCTAAATTTGTAATTGAGAAAAGCTCTTTACATCTTTTTCGACTGGCTTCTTGAAAAATGAATGAGAGAAAATAGAGTTAAACCAAGTGGAGTTTCTCATTTTGTTTTGAAGAATCTAAATACTGCTCATAAAGACAGGTGTATTAAACATCTTCTAAGTTGCATAGCTTTGTTTAAGAAAATGGGATAGATGATTCATCTTATGGTATGTTTTGCTAGATAGTCAGATTGGTTGATTTATAGATAGATATATATATGTATATATTATATTTAGTATTTTTTATTTCTCTTTGATTCTATAAGAATAATCTATAATTTGAAATTAATGATTATGTGTTTGCTTTTAAGTACTTTGCTAATTGATTTATTAGTTAATTATTTATTTATTTTGTTTTTAATTGATTTATTGAACCTTCTTGTTAATTTTAAGAGTATTCTCTTTCTGCTTTTCTTTGTTTTTTTTGCTTAGAATTGTTTTCTTTCTGATTAGATTTATTGAATTTGTATTATTTTTTATTTTTTTTATTTATAAATCTTTCTTACGTATTTTCTTTTCTCTTTTTATTTAAAGATCAAGAAAATTAATTAAAATTTTTGAGTAATTCTAAGTATATTAATGCATTCATGCATTTTTCTATGCATAATCGCTCATCTATTTCTAAAATTTGACATTTAATATGATAGAAGAAATAAATCAAAATAAATAACTTTTATAAATGCGTTTGTCTTCCATATACAATAAATATAGATAAACATATCAACTAGCTAGCGAATGCCTTTATTTATTTATTTAATCAGAGCTTATGATAATTATATATAAGTACAAGTGTATGCCACTTTAATGCTTGCTCATATTTGTTAGCTTTCTCTCTCTTTATCAAGAGTTAAAAATAAAAACGCATAAATTTTTAAAGAAAGTATTACTGCGCACTTAAAAAACATTTTGTAAATCAAACTAATTTTATAGATTAAGAGTAATTGAATAATCTTCAATTTATAAAAATATTTTGGTTTAGAATTTTTTTAGATAATTCTCGAAATATCAATTAAAATTAATATTTGTTATAATTTAATCTATTTGCATTTTACAAAAAAATTTTTGATAAAAGTAAGAAAGGAGATAATTAATATAGACAGATGCAAAATAAATTAAATCATATAAATTACATATGACTTAATAGAAAATTCTAATTTTTTCCTCAAATTAACATTCTTTATATAAGAATTTATATAAATTCTGATGGAAGTTAAAATTATTTCTACTAACTTATTGTTTCGATATAATTTTTTAGCATATCAAATAGTTCTAAATTTATCCAACAAAATCCTTTTTTATTGTTAATCTCATTTTTTATTTTTTAATAATTACTATCTCCTTTGAATTTATCAAAAATAAGTACAAATTCATTAAAGTATTCAAAAGTTAGATATAATTTATCAAATTAGTATGCATTATTAATCAATATTCAAACATTAAAATCTTAAAATAATGACACCTAAATTTTAATTAGGTGATCAATTAGTCAATGTTGTTATTAAACTTAACTTATTCTGATCATCAATCAAATCTAAAGTATATTTTTTTCAAATATATTAAAATAATTTAAAAAACTATTAAATAAAAACAATCAACTATGTAAAAATAAAAATATTATTTTTTAATAAAATTCAGGAAATTTTATTTGATTGATGAAAATTTTTATAAAATAGAAAAAAGATAATTCATGAAATTTTCTATTTTGATAAAAATTACAAAAATTAATATTTTATAAACATATTTTTGATCAAATATAAATGAAAAAATATATAAACTATTTCAAATTAAAAGATTTGTTAACAATAAATATGATATAAATTTACATAAAATAGAGTTATTATTTTATAAGTAATTTTTTAAAATAAAATTAATTATTTTTAATATCATTTTAAATTTTCTAATTCAAAAATTAATTGAATTGCTTCTTTAACATTTTAACAAACATATTTTGCAGGAAATTATTCAGAATTTTCTCCAAATTTAAAGACACCAGTTCTAACTAGAATAGATGTCCACCCAGCATTATTAGCTCCTTAGATATCTGATGATGGATTGTCTCCAATCATATAAAAGTTACTTATTTCGTATTTCTTTCCAGGGGATTTTTTATTATATTCTTATATTAGATTTTTGCAATGCATTTCAGCGTATTAATAGGTCAATGGCGAAGGCTTACCATATTAATTTATTTTAAGTTCTCTGTTGTAAAGTAGCTTGTAAACACTTTTAAGAGCTATATTAAAACATCCAAACACTATTCTTGGTAAGCGGAAGGTATCTTAATAAGTTAAATCGTTTGACACACAATATAATGGTATATGTTGCTCAAATTAAGGGAGATATTAAGTTTTAGAAATAGAACCATCATCTGTGGTAAGGATATCAGTAATAAGCTAAATATATTCTTCCCATTTATCAGGATCATATAAAATAAAAATAGCTGATATTTAAAGATGGTCTTTCAGTAATTGTTCAGGTGACATTCCTAAGCGCTAAGAAACTTCTTTGATAGTGTCTTGGCATTACTTTTAATATTTAATAGGTGCAATAATAGGATATATATTTAAATATTCAGTAACAGTAATGTATTTTTTAGCTCCCATATATACAGCTATATCTTCAGATTTACCATGTCCACCTACTAAAATAACTTTATCTTAATATTGATTCTATATAACACTCTTCAATGGAGTGTAGTTTAATATTATTTATTCTTTGCGAACTTTGTTAACTTCATCATCGGTTAAGTTGTGTATTTTATTTATCTTTAAAACAAAATTATCCTCACTCATTCCGCCACCATTAGTAAGTAAAACAAATGGCAATCTCATTTCTTTTTCGTCAGCAAACCTACTTGGAGCAAGCTCTGAAAGTGGTTTTTGTATCATTTTAATGACTTCAGTTCCTTCTTAGATAGGAGTTGGGCCTAGTATAAGCACTCCATCAATATCAGATATAATAGCAGGAACTTTAATAATTTCCTATTCCATATTTGTACACTATCTATCTATTTTTAATAAATTTTCTAAATTTATTCTTCAAAAGATTTACTTTTAAATATTCTGTATTTAATAATTATGAGTGTAAAATACCTTCATTTGATTTCTATTAGAACCTTTAAATATTTATTGCTAGTCTATATTGATAATAATATGGCATTAATTAAAATTACATATAATTTAATGACTTACTTACTCTAACAAAGCTTTACTTTGATATTTCTTTTAAAAAATATAAAAAATTGTAGAAATGAACACCAAATTATTTATTATAGTTTTAAAAAAATAATTAATTTGTTGAAAACTTTTATTTGTTATTTATCAAGAAAACGCAAAGGCTATTTTTACAATTTAACTTTTAATAAAAAAAGGCTATTTTTCAATTTTAAGATTTTACTGTTTGTTTTATATCTTTTCATTAATTTATCACAAAAATTAAAGCAGAAGAATTTTAATAAGACTTAATAAAAAAATGATAAAGAAGCTTTCTAAAAATTAAAATGTAAAAATATCCAAAATCATTAAAAAAATATTTATTTATTTATTTAGCTATTTACTAAGCAGGTAAACATATACAATATATAATTTTAGAAGTATGAATAATTTTCAAACATCGTTTTGTTTGTATTTGTCGGTAGCTTTGACAAGTTCGTCGATGATACCAGGTTCTGAACAAGAGTGTCCTGCATCGGGAATAATCTTAAGTTCTGCATTCTTGAGTTGCTTTTTTAAATCCCAAGCAGACTTGGCAGGACAGACAACATCATATCTACCTTAGACGATAGTAGTTGGGATGTGAGCAATCTTGTGACAATCTTCGAGGAGTTAATTTTCATTTCTAAAGAAACCACCATTTACGAAATAATGAGTTTCAATTCTAGCAAATTAAACTGCAAACTTTTCGTCTTCTCCTTAAGCAAGTCTTTCTTCATTGATTAAGAGCTTAGAAGTGGCCATTTCCCAAGTAGTCCAAGCCTTGGCAAACTTAATCTTTTCTTCTTCATTCTTTCCAGTTAACTTTAAATAATAATTATGCAAAATATTGCCTTGTTGAACTTCAGGAAGTAGCTCTCTAAGCTTTTCATGATATTCAGGGAAAAGCCAGCTTGAGCCTTCTTGGTAGAAGAAATCGATTTCAGATTTTCTAAGCAAGAAAATACCTCTCAATACTAAATGACCAACTCTATCAGGGTGAGATTGTGCATATGCCAAAGAAAGTGTAGAACCCCAACTTCCTCCAAAAACAGTATGCCACTTCTAAATTTCTAAGTGTTCTCTTAATTTTTCAACATCACTGACCAAGTGCCAGGTGGTATTTTCTTCTAAGCATGCATGAGGAGTAGATTTTCCACTACCTCTTTAGTCGAGTTAGACAATCTTATAAACTTCAGGATCAAAATAACCTCTGTAAAAAGGTTCAGAACCACCACCAGGACCACCATGGAGAACAATAACGGGTTTTCCATCTGGATTACCGCTAATTTCCCAAGCGACAGTGTGGAGGTCTGAAACCTTTAACAAACCAGTTTTGAAAGGTTCTAAATACTTGTAAAGAGTTCTTCTAACAGTTTAAGCCATCTCCCTATATACCTACAAATTAATTTATGTATTTTGTATTTTTTGATTTAACTAAATTTTAAGATTTATGATTTATTATTTAATTATAAATCTTTAATAAGAGAATGTCTGATATTTAAAGAAGTCTTCAGCATATCTTGTGATACTTGATTAATAGTTTTTTACTATTCAATTGACTTAGCAGATTGATTATTAGTAAATCTTTAATAGTATTATCAAAAATATATAAACAGATAGGTAGATGTGGATATTTCTTGTTCCTTATTCCTTCAAAAAACCTTCACAATAATTATGTTTGAAATCCATTGCAAGAGCAAGAAAAAAAAAATATTTATAGCAAAAGCTTCATAAGCCATCATTAATTAATATCTTTTTTCTTAATTTACTTTAATAATTCTTTTTTTATTTTTTGTTAAAAAATAAATGTTTAAATAGCCTAAAAAGTGTAATCATAGATTTTTTTTCATGAAACAATTCTATTCTTAAATAGAAATTTTTGATTAGAAATAAAATTGGTTACAATAAATTATTTTGTTTATACTTTTTTTTTTAAAGTACTTTTAATAAATCTTAATTAATTTGATTATGACAAATCTTTTATAATTATTATTTCTGATCCTAAACAATTTCTTTAAATAAATTATAGCTTTGATAAAAAAAAGTAGATACTTTAATGATATTTTTTATATCTATAGGTTTTATTAATTAGTCTTTTTTTTGAAAATTTTAAAATCCTAAATTAGAAAATAAAGTATTTAAATTTAGAATTACACCAAAGTAAGTGGTTTATTTAAACAAATTTTATTGATTGATATTTAAATTTAAAAGAGTTAAAAATCAAATTTTAAAATTTATGAATTTAAAAAATAAATAATTTTCTGTATGTATACGATTAATTTTAATCAATCAATTAACAAAGAAAATATCTTACTTACTTACTAATTTTTAGAGAAAATATTTTTAGCAATTAATAATTGAATAATTTTCAGCAAGATTTTAATATATTTGAGAGAAAAAAACTACTTATTACTTTTTAAAATAAATTTATATTTATTAAAGCTAATATTATTTATGATAGTTAAAAAATATTCTTTTAAATAATAATTTATTAATATATTTTTTCCAATTTTGTTCAAATTTTTCCTAACTAAATTATATCTTGTATTTATTTAATTAAAACATTTAATGAGTTTACTAAAATAACATTTTTATTTTTAAAAAATAAACGGATATTCGTTTTGTTTTGGGAAGTTAATCAATTTGAAAAAGAAGGTCAAGTAGAGATAGAGTGATGGTATAAAATTTTATATTTTTAGAAAAGTTTTCTTTAAAAAAAATAGATAGATAAAAATGAGGGAAGAAAACATATTTAAGATAGTCATTAATATTTTTTAAATTAATTACAAACTGAGTATAATAGGATTAGAAAAAAAAGATTTGAAGAAAAAATTAGATCAATAAAATTAAAACTATTTACAATTAATTTCTTTTATTGAATTTTATTTATTGAAATTATTAACAAAATATGTTAAGTTGAGGGTTGGTTAATATTGAATTAATATTTTAAGTAAAAAATAAACACAAATGATAGCTTCGATATCTCTAAAGTTTAAGGATTTCTACCTCATATTTTTATTGTTGATGAAAATTTTATAATGTTTTGATACAAATTTATTGTAAAAATCTATACTACTTGAAATCACTACTCTAAAAAATAAATATGAAAAGTTTTAAAATATCCTAAAGTAAATTAAAGGTATCTACAAAATTAAATTAAATTCTTTTATATAATTTACTAGATAAAGAAAGATATTTCATTCCATTTATACAAATAAATAATTTTTCTTTAATCTTAATTATTTACAAAAAAATATTTGATAAAAAAAGAAATTCACTGACAGACAGGCAGATTGATTTTAATACTTATTAAAATATTTTATTTCAAAAAATTATGGAAAAGTTATTTTGTTGTGGTAATTCTTCATCTGGTATATAAAGTAAAAACAATTTATAAAGAAACAACACAGAAAATAATAGTAAAAGGTAAAATGAAAATTATGAGTAAAATATATTTACCTTCCTTTCAGCACAATCTTAGGATGAAGGATAGGTATATGATTAATAAAATCAGCTAAACTAAGATAAATAAAATATTTAGCGCTTGTAAAAAGTGCATGGATCTCAATAATAATAGATAACATAGAATCAAAAAGATAATTTAAGTACAAATATCTGCTCTAACGAAGAAACCTAAAACAATTATCAGGAAGATAACACAAATTAAATAAAAAGTCACCGAAATACACAATAAACAGATCATTTTACTATAGCGTATTAATAAAATATTACTCTTAGTGAATAGGGCGTAACCTATGATTTTATTAATGAAAATAAATATCATAAAAATATGATATAGAGTTAGTTATCGAGATTTAGTACTCAAGATGTTGTTTTAAATACCAAAATTGATTAAGTGGCTTATGATATTTTAAGAAATGGCAAGATAGTAACAAACATTCAAGATACCCCAATAGAATGCTTGAAAAATTTAAGTCATGATTATCTAATAATACATTTTACTTAAAATGAATTCAAATTCAAAATGTATGCTAGCATCTAAATCAAATGTAGTAAGCTCTTGAATTAATTGCTTTAAAAATACAAGAACAAATATTTATAGAATGAAAAAGCTCATATCTAATTAAATTACTTTGATGAGGATGAGCTCATATTTTTTATAGTCAATACTAGTTTAAAAAAAGAACAAAACCTTTAAATTTTCTGATTATTAATGCTTTTTTAATATTATTAAAAATAAATGTTTTTTATTCTATTTATTTATTATTCATCTTACTTAGATCATAGGAAAACTTTAAGCTTTTCCATTTTTTTACTCGTATAAAAAAATTTATAGGAGAAATTATATTGATTAAATGTATGTGCATAAATAAATATTAAAGAAATCACGAAGAGGATAAAAAGTTATTCTTTTAAATTTTTTCGGTATGAATAAATTAATTATAAAATTTAATCGAATATCTAAAATGATTTACGATCAATTTAGAGTCTACAATTATTTTTATTTTCTATTTAAAGAAATAAACATTTAATAAATAAGGTAGAAATTCAATTGCAGATTAATTGATATTTTTTTATTATTTTAAATTCTCTCTCTCTACCTTAAGAACTTTATCACAAAAGCAAGGCTATTTTAATCAAAATTTAAAATTAAGTTATTATTTTGGATTTAAATAAATTTGGCTGATAAATATTTAATTTCACTATTTATTATAAAATTTCTAACCTTAAGAATAAACTAATAGTTAAAGCATTGTCCTTTTTATGATTTTAAAGGTTGGTAATTCAAAGTTAGTTATCAAAATATAAAAAATATTTAATTTATTTATGCAAATTATTTTACGAAGATAAAGAAATAATTAAATAAAGTGATCAGGAAAAATATTTTAATTAAATAACCTATTTAATTAATTATTTGTATTATGTTAAAAATATTAATTTAAATTAAAAAGCAACTATTTATTTTATTGTATTAAAAATAATCCGAAACTAAATTTATAACAAAATAATTTTTCAATAAAAAAACAAAATTTGAATCCTTTAAATTATTTTTGAGATAAGTCTTAAGAATATTTTAAAATTATTTTTATTAATTTAAATAGCTAAAAATTAATTATATTTTAGTGATAACTTAAATTACTTAATTTTATAAAAATATATTTTTTAAAAAATTATTTAAATAATTGCTTATTAAAATTGTTTTAATTGAGCTTAAGTTAAAAAATGGGAAAAATTATTTAATATCTTATGAACAAATACTAACTAGAGAAAAAATTACAAAATAATTTTCTGTATTCATTCTCAAACATAAATAATTATTTTGATAAATTTTTAAGTTTTTCGTTCAAACTTTGTCAAAAGTTGAAGGCTAAATAGATAATTAATTAATATTTAAATTTAGTATGATATGCTTTATTTAAAAAAATTAGAATTTCATTTGAATATCATTTAACTAATACTCCTTTCTTATGTTTTTTAACAGTGATAAAAAACTTATTTTAATTAATTATTATTTTTTTTTGAATATCTGTTTGATATCAGAATAAAAAGTAGGAGTATCAAAAAACAACATTAAAATAGTATATTTATTTCAACAACTTTTCAAAATTATTAAAAAAGGAAATAAATCTAACTATTAATTGAGAAGAGATCACTAAATCTTATTAGTTTGACTATCACTATATTCATTATTGTAATTATATTAACCCAATAAAATGGATATCCTTAAAACAATTCTTGATCCAAAAGAATTAATGAGATAATTGTTAATTATGATGAAGAATTTTTACTATGAAAGACTTGAATTCGCTTTAAAATCATTTAAAAGAAATCTTTATCTCATTTTAACAATAATCTTAATTCATTATCTGCAACTAGTATCTTTATTATTTACTAGCAATGTTCTAAATATAATAGCGCCGTTAAATAGATAAGTAACTCGATAGCTAACTTAAACACTTATTTAAGTAGTTGATATAAGTAGAATTTATCCTATATTTTTGCCTTTTTTTTCTTCAGAAGACTCTGTAAAAATTTACTTTAACATCGTTATCCTGTTGATAAACACGTCATTTATATCTACACTGATCATGCAATTTATTTTCAGAGATAACTTAACGAGGATGGTATTAGGACAGCTTTCTAGCTTTATATTTAGCATTTATAACTTTGTTTTTCTACTTCCTTTTATTGAAATAGCAATATACAGCATGTTTTATGGATAGAGCTCAGTAGATGTAGCAATCGGGATAATAAACATAATCACTACTTTTTTTATTGGGATATTTGTAGCATTACATGATTTTGATTTCTCTTTTATCATAGTCGACTATGGCTCTAAGAACGAAAGTTTTAGTTACAGTGTTAATGTTTTCTTAGAGTCAATAATAGCAGGAGTTTTTGTAACTAATAACTTTACTTTAAATCAATTCATTCACTTAGTAGCATCTTGCTAACGAATTGCTGATCTTGTCACTAATTTTCCATATTTTGATAGGAAAGTTTCTAAATTTAACTTTTCACTCTCCATCACTTACTTTTTTATGAATACATTAATGCTTATTGAGTCACTATTCTCATTTTCTTCTAGTACTGATTTTTCTTTGATTATCATCTTTACAGTAACAGTATCTATGAAATCTTCTTATCTTATTTACGACTACTTAATATTAAAACTCACTCAAATTCCTAGAGAGAAAATCATGAATTAAGATCTTGCAAGTCTTTATATTAGAATTCTTTATGACTATTTTAATCTAAGGGTTACTCATTACCTCGATAAAGATAAAGGAATGTTTTTGGAATATTGTTTACACCAGCATAAGCAGTATTGCAAACAAAATTAAAGGTAAGGCGTAGATGAGTGTTTTTGTACAAAATATGAAGCAAAAAATATCCTGAATTTGAAGATTGAAAAGCAGTGGAAGCTATTTATGTGCAGCTATATTGTTGAGAGTTTTTAATTATTTTTTTAACTTCACGAAAAAGAATAAAAAAACTGCAGTAGGTTGAAGGTAATCTTATCTAATAATATTTTATTCTTATTTAGATCTTAAATTAATTTAGGTAACTTATGCTAGCTTTTTAACAGAAGTGCTATGTTAGCCAAGCGTTGCTATTAGAGAAATCCTAATCTTAAAAAAATCTTGCGATAATGAGCCTTTTAAAATTAAATGGGCAATTTAAATGCTAAACAGAAAAGTTTGGGCTATGTATAAACCTGTAATAAATGATAAAAAAATATAAAATGTCAGGATTAATATGAGTCATATGCTTAATTTTGATGTGTACGTAGAAGAGTTGATGAACCTTATTAAAAATTAGCTTTGTGATATGAGACAGTTTGCAATCATTTTGGCAGGTGATCAAATTGACTTAAATAAGCTATAAAAATTTTCCAAAAAATTACAGCGAGTAAAGTAAGTTTTAAAGAGAAGAATCTCCTATCTGTTTGATATAAATCCTCATAGTACTTTGCTCTTCAAGTTGGCAGGAATATATTCATAGTATCTTGACTTTTAGGCAAAATCAGTAAAGAGTTTTGCAAGGAAAAGTAAGTAAATTATTACTTAGCCTCTGCTTACAGAAGGTAAAATAAATAAATAAATAATTTCTCAATTAAAATTGCTAAGAAAATAAAATTTTATTTTTATTGATAAAAAAGATTATGTTATAGACATCTACTTACGCAGATCATGTGTGATTCACTTGACTCTTTTAGACTAACCTGGTTGATACATTTAATTTATTACTTTTAAATTAAATCTTTAACTTTTTGTAAAATAAAATTTATAGGAAAAATAATGAAAATAACCCAAGAAGTTTCAAATATTTTAGGATTTGAAAAAAGTGATTTGATTGGGAAAGAGATAGAAGCAATAATTCCAGAATAATATTAAAAATATCACCATATTTTCCTCAAGAATTTTATTGAGCATGGCTTTTCAAGTTAACTTTAAAAAGATAAACTATTTTAGTTTGCTATTAATTCAAAGGGATTTTTAGTGCCTATAGATTTAAGAATCAAAATAGATCACTTTTCAAGTTAAGATTACGGAGTATCTGGATTAATGACTAAGATTTCTTAAATGACAGAATATATATTACTCACTGATGATTTTTGTATTTCAAATATGACGGAAAAACTTTACAGATAATGCTTTTAATTTTAATTTAAGGACGAATATCATCGAATCAAGAATATTGATATTTTAAGAATTATTCCACTTATTGGTGCTTTAAATTTCAAGTAAAGCTCAAATCTCATTAACGGTAAAACAGTCAATACTATTATGCTAATTCCACTTAGTAAAACTATTATGGAGCAGCTTACAAGGAAAAGTGGTCACCCTGAGACCGAACTCTCTCTGCTACTTTGCAAAATTTTTATTCATAAATATGCTTTCTTTGAAATTTCAGCAGATGTAAAAAAAATTGAGAGTAGTATTGGTAAATCATTTTACTATATTCAATTTCGTTAGATTAGAAGGATAGGCAGAGTTTCTGAAAAGGTTTGTTTTTAATTATTGCTATTAATTTACTTCATTAATTCTTTTCTTAAAATAAGATCGATTAATTTAATGATCTCAAAAAAGACTTAAACAGACTTCTTGGTTTAGATCTTAAAATGACTCAAGTAGATTCTGATTAGGTTGGAAAAAAGAGCAACAATCCTTTTACTAAAACTTATTTTTACTAGAATGGAAGGACTTTCTTAAGCAACACTATAACAAATTCTTCTATTGTTGAATCAACTTATTTTAAAAGCTTTGCTACCTCCTAATATGATGACGATGATGATAATGATTCTTAATATGTTAGCGATTATAAAGTAAGTCATTAATCTTTGAGATAAACCCATTCATAATTTAAAAGCTAAGTGGTAGAAGAAATCAAAGAGGGATAAGCTGAGGAAGAAGATGAAGAAGACACTTAAGTGTTAAATAAATATTCATAAACAAATATGAACAACAATTTAGAGTCAAATTAACTGACAAAATCTTCATCTAAATTTACTTCTCAATTCGGTGTAAATCAGAGTAAAAGCTTTGGCATTAAGCAAAAAACGGGACTTATAAATAAAATGACAAGTAGTATTAACACTGATGATATGAATAATTCTTCATTATTTTATAGTGCTTCACAATAACAATTCTAAGACATCTCTTTTATCAATAACTAAAAAATGGATGAAACAAAAGAATTCTTTTAAACCTAGAGAGGACCATTGACTGAAAATGATAATTTAATAACTACTTCAAGAAATGAATATTAAGGTCTTATAACAAGAGACAATAATAACATTTCTAGTATTTCCAATAATGAAATAGATTAAACTAATAGAGAAATTGAAGATTATTCCCATAATAATTTATCAGATAATTAAATTTTTTCAACAACTCAGAGAAATCCGTTGATTGATAATAATTAATTTAATGATGTAAGTTTTGCAGCTTATGAAAACAAAACAGACAATGATATTTAGCATGAAGGCTTCAATGATACAAGATTAAATAGTTCAGAATCAAAGAGTAATGAAGATTAATTTTAGATTGATTCAAACCATTAACAAAGTGATCAAAACATAAATTCTAAATTTAACCTACCATCTTCTTCAGCTAGTAAATCTTCAATGAATAGCAGTATATAAAAAAGAAGTTAATTTAGTCCTTATAAATCGAAAGATGATATTATCAAATTGAATTCTATGAAATCATCAGTTGCCAGCTATCGATTAAACACTTCTATGAAATAATCAATCCGAACACAAGTAAATTCTTTTTAAATAATAACATATATAAATTAAAAGAGAGTTTAATGAATGATTTTTTTCAAATATTTATTCAGTATATTTATTATCATGATTTTATTTTGGAAATCTATTATTTATTTTCTGATTCTATTTGTGTCTAAATAATATTAAAATAACATTAATATTACATTAAGGAAAATTCAAGGAGAAAGAGAATGTCTAGACTGTTTAAAAAAGTGCTTAGGTAAGTCAAAAATAGCATGTTCTGGATTAAGAAATTGAAATAACAATATTATTTTTAAGATGAAAACGAAAGAGAATTAGCAGTTTTAAGAGTTGATGGTATTTTGATTAAAGACGAATCAGAAAGAGGAGGTGATAATACCAAAACAGCTAAATAAAAAATTTAAACTTAAGCAGTTTTATCTGATTCTGATTTTGAAGAAGATGAGTTTGAATCTCCTAGAAAACTATAATCAATGAAATCTCTAAATAGAAGAAAGACCAAATAAAAAGTTCCTATTCTCGCCAATATTAAAAATAAAAAGAAGAAAACATCAGCAGGAGGGAGTTCATCTTAGTAATAAAGTGCACTCTAAAATTATAACGTGAAAAAGAAAATAATAAAGCTTATTAAAAATAAAAAATCCACTCTCAGCATCAAGTGTAATGTTTAAATACGAATTATTAATTCTGACATTTTAATTAATTAAAATAAATTAGTGATAAAACTCTTTTGGATAGTAAGTCTGCTTTGTATATCTTTTGTAACCTTCCTATCTTTTATTTTCAATAAAAATAACTACGATACTTATATTGCTAATATTCAAGAGCAGAGGCTAATTATAGAAATTATTGAAAGTACCTTTTAGATTATTTCCAATCGAGAGTATGAAGTATTGGCTACTTAAACTCCTTCGAAAATATATCCCTTTATAACTCTACCAGATTAAAATTTGCTTTAAAAATATTCAAATGATACTACGAGCAAATTAGAGATCATTAAAACAGATTTTTAACAAATAGTAGACAGATATAACTCACATAATCTAAAGTAAAAACTATTTATTTTTCATTTTTATATATTTTTAATGTTTTAAATAATAATAATAATTAAAGCTATTTACTAGCCAATAACATGACTATAAATGAATACTTTGATAGAGGACCTATTAGCTTTAATTAATCAATCTATTACACACTTAGAAATTTTCTTCTGATGATTTTCTAGTAAATTTATTATTTTAAAAAACATTCAAAATTTTTAACTAATTCTGCTCAACTTGAAAATAAACTCGTATTTTTTTCAGTGAATTTTGAAAATATAAAATTTTAAATTTTCATAAAAATTATTTAAAAAATTACTCATTTATAATAAAATACATAAAATAATAATGAAATTATATTACAAAAATTATATATAAATAAAAAGGTATGCAATTATTAGAGTCAATAGTTCAGATGTGATTAATAATATACTTACAAATTATTATCAGTTTTATACAGAATTTAGTAGCTATTTAACAGAAAGCTATAACTTAAGTTAATAGTCATTATCAGATACTATTTCTTTTATGTATATGACTATGATTTTGGTTTTTTCTGTTTCATTAGGAAATATCATAAGCATGTCTCCAATTTATTATTATAATCAAGTCAAAATAGAAGAGTTTTTAAAATTGTTTTCTACTTTTCCAAAAGATAAAATAGAAAGTATGATTGAAATATACGAAGAATCTTTTATTTTTGTTTCAAACTTGTAATCTGGTTTCAAACAAGAAAAAAACTAAGATTTTAACTTCAATCAGGAAATTAAATATAAAAAGAGGTCAATTAGTAATACAACTAACTTTAGTAAAATGAAAATTTGGATCATTATAATCCAACTGCTCTCATTCTGTCTATTTTCTATTTATCCTTTTGTTAAGTATATTTACGGTTATTAAACATATGATTACTTTAATTATGGGTCAAGTGAACTTTATATTTTCGGCAAATCTACATTCCTCTGGAGTGCATCTTAAGGTTTACTTTATGCTAATACAAACTTATTTCTTTAAAATCAAAGCAACAAAGCCAGCTCAACTCTTTAAGATTTTATGAATGTAAGAAATTATTTAAAATATTTATAAATTAAATTTTTTTTAATTAGAAATTGATTTAAGATAACTAATCACTTATAAATGATTTCTATTCATTGCAGGGCTAGTTTAATTAAAAAAGATGGTATTAAGGTTAATTTAACTCAATTATTTTAAACTCTTTCCAAAAAGATGCTTGTTCTAGTGTTTATAATAATCTAAGCTTTTTAACTACTTCTCAGCAAGTAAATACTTAAAAATCTAGTTTAGACGAGTGCAATTAAATGAATAATAGCATTTTCACTAACGGAATAATGTTTGTCTTAAAAAATTACTTTTCCATAATATAAGAAGTCTGGTCTGATTTATTTATAAATTAGCAAGTTATGAATACATTTGTTTAAATTTACAGAAGTCTAGATTCAAAGTATGATTTCAATACTATATAAGAAAGCTATTTAGTTTTTGAAGCAATTTTAGGAGCTGTTTTAGATGCAAGCCTGAATATTTTACTAGGAATTAGCTCTTAATTATATTAAATAGAAATTAATTTATTTGTTTATGCTTCAATTGTGATATTTTTGATATTTGGTATAGGCTGGTATTATTTTATCAGAAAACTTCAATCAAGTTTAAATCAAGCAAAATAAATTCTGTGCTTAATGAGTTTTGAATCTATTATCGAAAACCCCTACATTATGAGCTACGTTTCTAAAAATACTTAGTTGGATGTTTGAAAATTCTAAAATATGTTTAAAATACCAAATTAATTATTTTTAATTTAAAAAAATTAAAACAAATTATTAAGTAATTTATTTCTAAGTTTATTATGAAAGTAATAAATTCATTTTATAGATTATAAATAAAATTAAAATAAATTTAAATGCAGTTTTATTTATCAATTTATTTTTGCAAATTCATCAACTATAACACATATTTTAACTTAACTTAACTTAATTAATTAATTAACTTTTTAATTACTTAATAAACTTCAAATTCGTGTAAAAATCAAAAAAACAAACAAACAATAATCCATATTAATTTAAAATATACAAATTACATTTTAAAATTTAACATAAAATATTTAAATGTATGATTGTCGGATAAAAGTTAAAAATTAAGTAAAAAAGTTGCATTTAAATTTAAATTAATAAATAAATTTCTAAATTAAAGAAATTATTATTTTTCCATAATTTTTGAGCTTAATGATACCAAAAAGTGATTATATAATATTTCAAAACGTGAAGATAAATAATACTATTGATTCGTCTCTCTGAAATTCTTCAGTTAGTTAGATATTTGATCTTAAATATGCAAGCAATCGCAAGATAGATAAGAATTTTTTTGATTTAATTATCTAATACTTTGATTAATTTTTAATTCCTCATTGTAATAACATAATATTGTAATAAAAAAATATAATATAATATAAGTAAAATTTCTGATAGAATTAATCAAACAATAAAATACTATATAGATTTATTTAGTGATGAGATACAAACAAAGTAGTAAAATTAATTTTTAGTATTCTGTAGTAAAAGTGAATGGTAGGTAAGTAATTTATGATAATGATGATGATTTTATATATATTTATATTAAAAAAATTTTTTTCACTATTAACTCAACTCTCAAAATTAAGGAAATACTTGCTTCAACTTCATTGTTATTGCCAGTGTTTCTATTTGTTCTTAGCAAAACTATTTGACGTCTTACAATCCTTCCATTTATGTAAATGACTTTCCTAGATTTGTTTCTTTTGCCATTTGCTTAAGATCGGCTATTAGTTACTCTGACAAACGATTAGACTCAAGTTATTTTTAGATAACATTTATTTTTTCGAGGGATCTTTAATAATCTTGTTATTCAAATAAATTATGAAATTGCAAGAAATTTATTATTATCTAAGATTCTAATGGTAACTCAAACATTTCAATTTATTCTAAATTATGCTGGGATTGTTAGTGTTAATTCCTTTTAGCATATTCCAATCCAACTAAAAAGTGGATTCCTCCTTGCAAATTAATTTTATTTATTGCTTTAACTAAGTGAATCAAATCAGTTTAGTTTAAAAGTAATGTTGAAAGGTCAGTGCTACTGTTTTTTACCTCCAAGGCAGAAAGTATTTTCTAATTAATTGTTTTTTCTTAAAAGTAGCTCTCATATTGCAATTTAATTTTATTTAATTTAGATTACAATTCAAGTTGCTCATTAGGGTTAATTTATTCTTCCTAAAGCTTGCAAGTAATCGCCTAGATTAGCTGTTACGGATATTTAAATGAATATTAGCATTCTACTTAGTTATTATTTCTATTTTATTCTAACAAGGAAAGACACTTTTCTAATTCTCTAATCTAAAGAGCTGTGTTATTTAGTTATTAGTGAATAGTGCTCTTCAGGAAATGAAGCTCATGAGAGTCAGGAAAGTAGATTAACCCTATATCAATAATCTTGATCTTTTCTTGTAAATTAGTTAAATTTTCTCCTAGCAATATGTGAGTCCTTAAGCATTTTTAATTTAATTTCAAAGATTATTACAAATAATCAATTAAATTGTCTTTTCTATTTAATTTTATTAGACTCTCTGCAGCTTCCAGGTAGATCTCTGCTTAAGAGCAATCGTAATTCAAAAATTTTTACAAGATGTTAAGAGCTTCTTAGCATTCTCCTTGCTCTCTTAATAATTTTGAGAGGGCAATCACTGGTTCAAATTATTGAGGAGCTACAACGACAGCCATTTCTAGATATTTTCTAGCTTTTTCTTTATTATTGAGTTGATAGCAAGATTTTCCTGCAAAATACATACCTTCATACTGATTGTGAAAAATAAATAGGTATTTTTCAGATAATTCAAAGCAAGCTTTAAATAAACGCAATTCGTAAAGCGTTTTAATAATGCTAATCATAACTTCGTTTAGACTTTAGTTTTTAGTGCTAGCTGCTTTTAACAAATGGACAAGAGCTTTATGAAGTCTTTTCTATTCAAAACAGAAATTACCTAAAGATAGGTATTATTGGTTGTTAAGACTTGCTGCTTCTTCGTAAATTTTGATAGCATCATCAATTTAATTTAAAGAAGCCAAGCATTAAGCTTTAACAGCTAAGGCAGATGATTTAAGAAAAGGATTAGGAGCTATTATATTTTGCTATAAAACAGAAGTATCTTGTTAATTGTTTTATTGCTAACCTTTGTTTTAATTGCCATCAATCATAGATAGGGCTTTCTTAATAGCTTTAAGACCGTCATATGGTTTGTTAGATTTTTATAGAGCTATGCTATAATTGATTTGATTATGGATATTATGAGGATCTAATTTCTTGAGCTACTTGAAGCTCTTAGCACTTTCTTCATAGTTTTCATCTAAAAAAGATTCATAAGCTCTTTAGTAGACATCATTGATCATTAATTTTAACTCTTAACCTTGATTCTGTTGTGAAGAGTTCAAGTTTTTAAATCTAAAAATTCATTTTTATAAACAAAATTAGTTAATATATAAATGATGAATGAATTAGTGTATTAATTGATTGATTGATTTCTTTTTTCTTTTTAATTTTTAATGAAAGTCTTTAATTTAAAAAATAGCTACAATTGTTTACTGAGAGAAATAAATATCAATAATTTAAAAAAATGAAATTATAAGTCATTCAATATGATTATATCAACATGCTTTTATAAAAATAAAATGGCTTAAAATACCTTGCAAAAAGGTTAATATTTAAGTAAATTTAGAAGCTTGTAGCAAATCATTAAAAATTAAAAGATAAATACTAATAAAATTGAATGGAAGAAATAAGTAGGTAAATATATATAGATAAGAGGTAAATACCCGCATTAAGTGTTGTACATAGTTCTGTGGTATAACTTAGCAGGAATGAATGACTTTAAGAATTTCTAGATTTATTTGCTAAAGAGCATTTCTGGATGACGGTACACAACTTCGTTGAAAGGGGGGAAATATGTTGGAGGATATGTTGCGTTTTGCTGTGGATTTAAAGATAGGGCTTTTGAATAAAGCTAAGTTAGGTTTTTTATAGGTTTTTAAGTGAATCTTTGGTTGATTTAATTTTTTAGAATGCAAATATATTATTATGATTTTGAAATACACCTCTTTTCATAAGTAAAGTGTTACCTTACAATACCTTTGATAAGAATTTAATTTCAATCAAAGTTTCTGAGAGGACTAGTGAAATCGAAAGCATAAACAATAACATTGATGTCAATAGATTCGTTTCTCTAAATAATATTTCAATCACTATTTAATAAAATAAATGATGAAATAATTGTTGGGGAGGAAAAACATAATAATTATTTAATTATTTGCTTTACTATTTATAGTAATTTGAATATAATTACTTAGCTTTCTTTTTTTCTTTTTATTTTTTTCCTGTTTCTCTACTAATTAGAGAATCAACATATTCATTCATTTATTCATTAATAGATTCACTCTTTCTTTCTTTCTCTCCCTGTTTTTCTTATCTGCATAAATTTTTTTAATGATGCCTAATTTCTTAGTATTCACTTTCTTTTTCTTTGCTATTTAAACAAAAAAATTAAGTGAATGAATATCCCCACTAATTTATTTAAATTTCTAATGTGATTTTTTATTTTTTAAAAAAAGTATTCTAAAGAGTTTTTATAATGCTAATAAAAACTCAGACTATTTATTAGTCATGTGTCATCCTAAACATTAATTTATTACGTAAGATGAGCCACAAAATATCTATCTTCATTCTACCTTTAAAAAGCAAAGAAATACTTTCTCTGGTTAATAAATTAAGTTTTAGTTTAGCCTATTTTACTTATAATTTTGCGAAGATTACAGATGTTACTGTTTGCCATAGTCTAATATTAATAATTTATGTTTTTCATGTCATTAACGGTTTGAAAGTTTACAGTGAATATAGAAACAAATATTATCTGGATTTTCTATTCCATAAAATGATATTTTGAATATAATTTTTATTTACCAAAAAAATAGTTAAGAAAATAAGTATAAAAATACTATTATTAACATTTACTCTGGTATAATAAATATCACCAATATCAATTTTAGCTTCAAAAATATACCAAAATAATAAAATAAAATAAAACGCTGTCATTAATTGTTGTTTATTTTAAAAATTGAATGTAATAAAATAATGAATTATTATATCAAAAAGATTTTCAAGTATTAATGAGAAATATAAATTAGTGTATATTTTTATTAACGATAATATAGCTTTAAATTATTGAATGGCATTTAAATTAATTATTTATCTTCTTCTTGAAATTATTTTTTTGGAATTCTGATCTATATATATTTCATCGTAAATATCATTAACTACCAAAAGCAAAAAATACAAATTTACACTTGAAAAAAATATTACTCTCTAACTTAGAATTTGGTATTTATTTTTAAATTAATCTAAACTCTTAGCTCCTATTCATAATTTTAGTCTTATTTATCACTAAATGTTAATTTTACTGCACAATTTTGTATTTAAATAAAATAACACTTCATGAATTAATTAATCCATATTAAAAATATCTTAAATTATAAATATATATGAATAATTAATTAAATTGGTCTTGTTTCTAAAGATTAAATTTTTTATGATATTACACAAAAGTCAATTTAACAAATCCTTTCATTTTTAATGATTTTATAAAAATCATAATTCAAAAATGAGTAAATAGATTAATTATCTGTAAAAGTTACCTTTGAAATTTTAGTTTTACTTTTATAGTTATTATTTTATTTTATCTTCAAAAATAAGGTATAATCAAATTTCAAAATATACTTCTTCTTATTTTATTTATAACTTTAATTACAATCTAAAATAACTTATTAAAATAAGAAAATGGATGATAGCTTGATAGGATGACATAGAAAGGGTGAATTCTTGAGTCAAAGTATCTTGTTTTTAAAAGATATTTTTTTCATTTTCATCACTTAATTAATAATTGATAAGTAGAATTTTTTAAAACAAATAAATTTTTAATTTTTAATAAGAATGAGGAAAAGGTTTGCATTTAAAGTTTGTTAAATGTTTGTTAAGAATTACATATTATAAAAAATGAATAAATACATACAAATTGAAATTTAAATATTATTTAGTCTCTAAATTAATTTGTGATTATTTATTTATCATCTTTAATATATTATCTTAGAATACAATTATTTTCAGATAATTTTTTAAATGTGATAGCTATTTTATTAGTCAAATTTGTTTGGTATTTAATATCAAAGTTTAATGCTTTTTTGTTAAGCTTATTTAAAAAATTTTAATATCTTTTAAAATTATACCTTTAAATTCTACTTTAATTAATAAAAAAGGTTGATATCAAAGGTATAATTTGAAAAGATATTAAATTTTTTATTAAATAACCTTAACGGAAAAGCAAATAATAAACTTTGTTACAACTTTTTTGAATATTTATGTCTTAATTCTTAAAATGCTAAATCAATAAATATCAATGCAACAATTAATTTTTTTAGATTCCTTTATTTTAGATTTATTAAGGCTACCTATTTATTATTTTTAAATAAAAATTTAAAGAGTAGAATTTAATGAATTTGCTCTCTAAAAGCAAAAATTAAAATAATTTGTAGTAAATTTACAATTAATTTAAATTATAAAATAAAAGAAATCAATTTTTTTACAGCGGTTCCATCCTAAGAAATCTGTCAAAATCCTTAGTTATAGTCAATTCAAATTGACATTCTAAATCTAAACGGATTAACTATCAAATGTTGACCTTGAGCTAAATTCCAACTTGTAAAATTTTTTCTTACAAAAATACTTAATATTCTTCTTACAAAAATACTTAATTTTCTTCTTTGAGCTAAATAAATTATTTCTTTTAATTAAATATAAACATTCAAGAGGACTACCTCAATTGTTAAATCAATTTAAGAATTAATTAATTAATTAATTAATAAAAATTTATTTCTTTTCAATTAAATTTCATATTTTTGTAAATTTTATTAACAATTTTTATTTGATGTTTCTCATTCAAAATAAATCTAATTAAATTTAATTTTAGTTTTTGTTAAAAAATAGTCTTCAAGAATCAAAAATTAGAAAGAAAAAACAAATTTACTATGACAATATATTTTATTTTAAAATGAAAATATTTTTAATTAAAATAAAAAATCAAAGTTAAAACTTCAAGTTATAATTTTATAATTATAATTCAAGTATGTTTTATATTCAAACATCTTAATCTATTTGATATTTTATAATTTTTTTAAACCATGAACAAAAATTATGTATCTTACTTATTTTTTGTTGATTTTCAGTAAATTAATTATTTGCTATGAATATTTATAAACTATCAATAAACATTCAATTTCCAATTATTTTATTATTAACTTTATAACTATTAATCTAAATAGAAACATTCAAAGATAATTAATTAATAACAAAACAAAATTAGTCAACAGTCAATCCTCATTACAGAGGTGGAGCAAGTATTTATTTATTTTATTAAAATTATATACTTAAGTATTTAATTTTTTAATAAATTAATTACTTAATATATGGAGTAATTACTTCTCATAAAACTTAATTACTTTGGTAATCATCTTATTTTTAATCAAAATTAATTAATCAATAATAAATTGATAGTCAAATATTTAAAAATTACCATAACTCCTCGACCAGGGGTATGAGTTCTTTAAAAAATCAATATTTTAAAAATTTTATCTGTTAAAAATAAACTAATTTAATTGATGATAGATATAATTGATATAAATGACTGATAAAAGGTAGTGTATATTTTTAACCCTTTAAATTCAAGATTACTCATGATAATAATTTATATAGTAAATATCTCAGCTAATCAAAATTGAAATTATAATTTGAAAAGAATTAATTTAATTTATGAAAAATTTGTGCTATTTTTTGAATGAATGAATTATGTATCTGAATTTAAAAATGATTAAATAATTGATTTTAATACAAATAATAATATTTATCACTTTAAGATTTACTTAATATAAAATTCTAATGTAGCTATACTTAAATTATAATGCTCAATAGTCAATTGAGAGTTTTATGATTTTTGAATTGAACTTAAAATTAACAATTTTAGCATAAAATTTTTGAAGACAACATAAAAAAAATACACAAATTCTTTTCAAACTTAAAAAAAAATGAATATCTTTATATTAAATTTTAATGATAAACAAGCTTTTAATTCAGGATTTCAAAAGAAGCCAAAACAATTTGTATTTTTAGGGCTATTTGCTTGATTACTTTTTCCACCAAAAAATTCTTAAACATCGTATAAGACCATTTTTCCAATGCATTTTCCAGATTCTGAAAGTTTGAGCATGTATTTTAGATTTTCAACTGTAAATTTCTTTGACATTTGGAGTGTGGAAATCAAGATTCCTTTTTCGTATAGCTCACTTATGCGATTTAGAATTTAATTCTGTTTTTCTGGTTCTATATTAAACATAGAAACGAGTAAACATAAATTCAGCAGTTATTTTTGCTCTCTTAAAGAAAAGAGGCTTTAAATCAAGTTGCTCATCAAAACCTACTATACCAAGAATATGGCCAAACGGTTTAATCAAAGATGTAAATTGATTAAAATAATTCTATCCCATATCCACACAATTATAGATATAATCTAATCCATCAATATTAATTTTTTTTAGCTCTTCTACCAATGGATAGCTATGATTAATCACAAAATCAGCTCCCATTTTTAAACAAAATTGTTTGCTCTCTTCCCTAGATGCAGTGGCAATAACTTTTAAACCTAAGACCTTTTTAGCAATTTAAATTGTAATGCTTCCTACTCCTCCAGCGCATCCAACAATTAGAATAGTTTTATCGTTTCTTTAAGCTTTTTTTGTATCTTCAATTTTCATTTCTTCAACTAATCCTTCATATGCTGTGAGAGCTACCAAAGGAATAGCAGCAGCTTCAGTATGGGAAAAATTTTTTGGTTTTTTTCCAACTATTCTCTCATCTACAATTTAATAATTCTAATGAGAGCCGCTTCTTAAGTTACTTCCTGCATAAAAAACTTAATCTCCAACTTTAAAAAGTTAACAGTCAGTTCCGACTTTAACAACAACTCCACTTGCATCAAAACCAACAATCGTGGGATTTTCCTCTGTGAAAGCATTACTTCTAGCTCTTTTAAGAATCATGTGATCAGCAGGATTTATGCTAACAGCTTCTATTTTGACAAGTAAATCTTTAGCTCCAAGAGATTTTAGAGGAGCTTATTATATCAATTAGAGTTCACATTAAGGACTTACTAATCCAACAGCTTTTACTTAAGAAGGAGTTACTTATGCCATTTTTAACAATTATTTTTAAGTTATTATTATTTTTTTTTAATTAATTTATTTTCTTAATTATTTTTTATAAATATTTGCTGTTTTTAAATATTCTACCACCTAATAATAGTTATTTATCATTACTAAAAACAACACTAACCTTTACACAAAAAAAAACTTTTAACTTTCTTTAATATTTCTAGAGAGTTGTATTGTGGATTTAATCAGAATCAAATTTTTAGATTAAATTTTTTTTTGAATTTGTTATTTCTAAAATTAAAGAAAATAGTCAGAATTTAAAAGATTTGATTGATAAAGTTTTTGTTTTGGAAAATATTGAGAACAAAGAAGAAAAAAATATAAATAAATAATAAATAAATTTTTCTATTATGTAATTAATCTTATTTATTTTTAATTTTAATGATAAAGTAATTATTAAATTATATTTACCTTTTATAATAACAATATTGTTAAAAAGCTATAATTATTTTTATTTTCTATTTAAATTTTAAAAAGTAACACACTTTTATTTACTTATATTTTCTTAAGAAATTATCAGTTTACTTCTACATTACAAAGTAAAATAGATTAAGAAATTATTCAACATGAAATATCTATGAATAATATGAATTTGAAAAATTATTATTAAAATTATTAATAACAAACAATTTAGTCTTTTTTAGTGAATATCTTTCATATTTCTAGCTATTGAAGATTAAAAGCAACATTTGAAGGATTTTAAACTATTATTAGCATAATTTATCAAATTTAGTTGATTACTATAAAATTTTATCTAATTATTTTGTTTGTACTGATTTTTAACAAAATACTATGAATAAAAAAAAATATAAAAATTCATCTTTGTCGAGAATAAAATTATCTCTTTCTTTTCTAATGATTTAGTAGATTTTGTTTGAATTTTTTTTATGATCTTTTTCATTTCAAATTACTTTTTCTTTCTGAAAACTGTAGCAAAATGATAAAATGCATTCTTATCCGAAAAATAATCAAATTTGAAGGAAAATATTATTAGTGATGGAAGGAGACTTCATTTTTATACTGTAATAAAAAAACTAGATCTACTGTATATTATCTGATATTTATATTTAGTAATTAGAATTATTTTTGTTAATCTATATGAAAGGTTAAAAAATAAATGTTAGAAATATATTATTTTATATATATAGCACTTCCATAAAAATAAAACTCTGCTTTTACAGTAGAACCAAATAACAGGATAATAGCAAAATTTTATAAAAAAAAAAAATTTTCATTACTGCTAAGAAAGGCCTTCATTAAAATGAAATTTATTACTTCTGTTAATAAAAATTAAGGCAAACTATTAATTTATTTTTATTTTGAAATCTTTTATGATTATTTCTCCTCAGCTTGCTTGATATAACTTCTAACTAATCATTTGTAAACCTATAAACTTCCTCAACTTTTAAATTTACAAAATTTGGTTACTCCTTTTGCAATTTTTATTTTTCTGAGATGATCTTTATCACTATTGTCTAAATTTAGAATATCTAGTTATGTTTATTTAGATATTAAATTAGTCTATAATAGATTTGAGAGTTTTAACTAATCCTTTGTCCTCATAAGTTAATAGATTAATTCAAAAATTTATCGATATCAATTCTTTTTAAAAAGAATATGTATCCTTAATTCTTAATTTTTGGGTTAATTTTGTAATTTAAAAATATTTTTAAATAGTTAGCTAAATATTATCTACCTCTAATCTTCCTTCACAAAAAATACTTAATTTTCTATTCAGTATAATTGATTTTTTATAAATACCTCGTTATTTGTATAACAATACATTTTAATTTCATAAAAATTAGTATGTATGAAATATTGTAGAGTTTTTTAGTCTACATATTAACTCTTAACAGATTTAACAAAGAGGTATTATGGTATAAACTTAGTTTTTTTTAATAGATTAAATAAAAATTTTAATAATTTTCATCTCTTACTAAAGTAGATAAAATAAATATTTTCTTTACAAAAAACTTTCTTCTAATTATAAAGCATTAAAATTTTTTTCAACAAATTTTATCAAATAAAAATATATTTAAAAGTAAGAAAAGTTTTCTAAATTTATATTTTGATAAAAATTTAAGAAGTAATTATATTCTTGTTCTATCAAATCAAATTTTAAAACATGTTAATTTAAAATGTCAATCAAAGCAAATTTGAAATAAATTTAATTTAAAATTTAACTAAATTAAATAAATTAATTTCATAAACAAGGATTTTCCTTGCTTTTTTTGGGTTGATAATAATTAAAACATTTTTATTATTTTTTTAGGAAGAATAAAATGAATAAATATTATTTAACTGTTTTGAGTATGTTCTGTAGATAGGCAGGTAAGCAGGTAAGTTGATGTTTTAATAAAAGAAATATTTCAATTTTACTTTAAATAGTAAAATTTTGACAAAGTTAGAACTTTAGAGAGAGATATATTTTTTATCAGGATATTTCACTTCACAAAAAGAAAAATTGATAATAAATAATAGAAGACCTCTCTTTCAATTTTAGATAACTTTAATTAAATTAAGAATATTAAAATAGAAACAATTTATAGATTGATTTTTGCAAAAAATAGTGATTATAGCTAGCAAGCAAGCAAGTAAATAAGGCTAACCAAACAAATGTCAGAATTAAACAATTTTTTGAAAAAATACATTGAAAAATTTGATTTTATCAATGCTATCGTATTAACTGATAAAGAAGAAATTTAAGTATGTGCAAGCTACAGATAAGATGAAGAGAAATACAACTCTGCTGCCCAAATGCTCTCAACTTTTATCACATAAAGAAATGAACATTTACAGAAGTTGAATAATACTAAAGCAAAAGCAATAACTTTTATGTATACTGATCACTTGATCTATATGGAATTATGGGAAAACTTAAAGATATGTATGTTTTGCGTAAAAGACGCAAATCTTCCATTTATTAATAAAATTGTGGAAGATATGAAAGAATCTCTATCATAACTCAACAAAGCAATTGAAAATATAAAAAATTGAAACATCATATCATTCATATTAAATATTTATTTGACTTTGTTTTCCTCATAAAAAAGAGGAAAGAAACAATAGAAGATAACAAAATTTATAAAATAAAAGCTTTAATCTATTTTAAATAAGTTATAGATGAATTTATTATTAACCATGTATATAAATAAATAAATATTGCATATTTTATCAATAAATTAATTATTTCTTTAGTTTTTTAAGCTAATTTACATACAAAATTCCAATATTTATTTTTTACATGCTAGTTTACCTTAACTTGATAAATATGTATATCTTTTTTATTTATACATTCATCAAATTCCAACCAATAAGGTTAAATTTAACAAATTCAATTAATTTAAAACAAAATACCTTTATTCATTATGGTATGAAAATATAATTTAAGATATTTATTCTATTTAACTAAAATTATTTTTAATTATTATTATAATGTAAAAGCACTTCTATCTACCAAAAATTCTCATTTACACAAATTAATTATTAAAATATTCAAAAACTGATAATTTAAATAAATAACATGATAAGATTGTTAAATTTAGAAATAAAATACTTTTTAAGTCTAATTTATTAATAAAATACAATTCAGAAAAAATGATTTTTTTGTAAAAATAACTAAAATTGCTATTACAATTTTTATTAAATAATTTTGTGATTTATTAACAATTGAATATTTGTTATTTTTGATCAGTATTAAAAGCTTTAAGTACAGATAAGCATATCATTAGTTGCCAATTTGTAATTAAAATTCATAATTTCATTAACTATAAATTGGTTTAAATTTTTTATTTTATTACATTATTTTTTGATGAAATAGAAAAGTTTGAAGCATTAATACAGCTAGAATAACCTTTAAAAAAAAATAAATATTTTACATTATCATTCATTCATTAATTAAAAATATGGAAATGAAATTAAAAAAATGATTTTTTTAAATTAGATAAAAATAAATATAAAAATGAATTTTATTGATTGAGAAAAAACAAAAATTGTTAGATGAATCAATCATTTTTTAGTTTAAAATAATATTTGTTATAATTTTTTGTTTATATTTATGAAATAAATTACTTATATTATCCACTCATCAAAATTATATATGGTTGTAAATGTGAATAATAAATATATAAAAGACATTTTTATTCTAAGAAGCCACACTTTTTTCAATTATTTTCCAGCATTTTAATTTTAAGATAATTTGTAAAGCATAGCTTAAAATGTTAGGGTTCTTTAATAAATAAATAAATATTTATGATCAAATCTAATTAACTAATTTATATAAATCATTGACAGATTAATTGCTTTTATACTTCTTTACAAGTCAATAATAATATTTAAGAAAAATATCGAAAAATCTAAAGAATATTTTAGAAGCACAAGTTAGTTTTATAATAACTTTAAAAAATAAATAGAATAATAGAGAAAAGCAAAATTATAAATAGCGTAAAAATGTCATTTGATAAGAAGAACTCTGATAAATAAGTAGATTTATATGCCTACTTGGAAGAAGATAATACAAACGTTTTAGAAACCCCTAAAAAGGTTAGCTCAAGAGAAAAAAAATTAAAAATATTATAAAATTAATTGGGCATGCTACAAAGCTAAGCCCAAAATGGTTTCCTTATGGGATGTGCAGTAGGTGGTATGATGGGTGCAATTATTGGTACCTGGGCAGCAATAAAAACAAGAAAATTAATTGTACTTCCACTCTCAATAGTGTCATCTGGAGGTTTCTTTGGTTTTATGATGATGTGTGGTTCAATCATTAGAACAGATACAGAAAATATTTATAGCAACAATAAAAGTCAATATTTATAGAACAACACAGTATTAGATAGAAGTATCAATAAGGCTTTTTGGGAAATTAAATATGCTGCAAAATAAGATTAATAAAACTGATTAACTTGATTTTCATGTAATTTAAATATTCAAATTTAAATTTATATATATCTCTAAAATGTATTATGATTTAATGGAATAGATTAATTAATTAACATTAATATATATACCTTTGTTTTCATATATTGAAGTTAAGCAATTTATATTTCATTATTATACATTTATTTATTTTCAAATTAACTACAAAAATCACTCACTCATTTAAAAATTATTTTGAGAAATAACATTTATCAGCTTGGTCAGCACAAAAATATTAAAAAATTGAATTTTTTTATTGTTAAATAAGTAATTGAGTTATTGATAAGATATTTAAATAATAACAATAATAGCTATTTATTTTGCTCAATTTGTATTATAAAGCATTAATTTAATAATATTTTTAGTGTAGAATTAATATTTTGATTCTAAAAATAAAAATATATGTATAATAATTAATATGAACGAAAAGAATATTAAATTTAAATTTGATTGTTTTTATATACATTTCAATAGATAATTATTATTTGATTATATGAGTTTTTAAAAAAATGAAGGTGAATTCAAATAAAAATACTTTTTGGTTTAGTAATATTCAAAAATTGACCTACCTGATTTTAAAAAAAGTACTCTGAGCTATTTGTGGATTTATTAAAAATTATATGATTTAAGTTAAATAATAAATATCAAAATTTTATTGATAAAATTTATAAATTTGATATTGTTAATTATAAATATTGTCTTTGAAAATTTAAATACTTTAAATCCATAAAGTATTTTAAAAATTATTTTGATACTAAATCAACAAAAATTATTTTTTTAGGGCAACATTAACTGTAATATTTTATTAAATATCATATTTTTACATTGATTAAAGGTAAATATTTAAAAAGATGTGAGTCATTTTTTTTTGGGTAAAAAAGATACTTAGGGAATGCCTTAATTAATGAGCATTTACAGTATATACATATTTTTTTTATTCGGTTAGGCTGAATAATATTAGGCCGATCACTAGTATCTACTATTTCACATATTTATTTCTAAAGATAGAGTTAATTTTCAAGATATATATTATTATTTGATAGATTAATTTATTATAAATTCATAATAAAAAGAAAATTAAATGTTTTTTTAATAGTTATTTTTATTAAAATAAATAAATAATTTAAGCAAAAATATTAGATGAATAGTTAAAATATCAGATATTCATAAATTTTATGTATGTTTAATTTGTAAAGATAAAACCAAAAGATATTTTAATACCAAATTAAAGTGTTTGTTAATATAACTTAAAAATAACTAAGAGAATGAATGAGAGACTAAATATAATAAAAAAGAACAAAATAGAAAATGAATGAAATAATAAATAGAACTAAATAATAATTAACTAAATAGAGAAATTATATGCATAATTACTTTTGTTATATGAGAAGACATAATTAATACATGAGTAAATAATAAAAATAATAATTATATTTGTTGATTTAAATGGTTATTTATTTGATCTGTTTTATTATTAGTTTATTGATATTTATTTCACTTATCAAAAAAGATTTCAGACAGAAGGAGTTTTAGGCAGGTAGTTAGGTAGGTAGATAGATAGATATATAGGCAGATAGGTAAGTTAGTGGAGGATATAAGTTAGTTCAGAATTTACCTATTTCCTTTCTTATAAGTTTTTCTCTCCTTTCTTTTAATTATATTTTAATGACTTTGTAAGAATTTATATAATTATTTAAAAACGATAACATTAATTGAATTATTGTTTGCACTTAGCCATCTATATGTATATAATAAAGAAATGGCTCAGCTATTAAATACACTTTTAAGTCTGTTATTTATTTTATTTATTTATTTATTATTTATTTTCGTAGCTTTATGTTTATTATTTACTTGTTTATTTATTTTGATTTTAATTGTTGATAAAGTTTTGTTTTTTTTTTTCATTAAAAATGTGCTACAATTAATAAAATTAACAGAGTTCTTAATTATTTATTTATTTATTAAATTTTAGATGAAATATTTTTCTTCATGTACAATTGTTATAGAAGTGTTCAATCAATAATTTTGTTGGTTGGCCAAATTGAATAATCAATAATCCTTTAGATCCCATATTTTTACAGTTGTATCAACTGATCCTGTAGCAAGGATGAGATAGCTTGGATTGAAAGCAACAGAGCTAATAAAATGGTTATGGGCATCATGTATTTTACGTGCTTATCTCATTTTTTCAAGATCCCATACACGTAAAGATTTATCATCAGAACATGAATACAAATATCTATTGTTGTTATGAACAGCAAGAGAACGCACCCAGTTATCATGACCCTTTAGTGTAAATAATTATTGGGCGTTTTATGGATTCCATATGATGATATTTTTATCTCTAGAGCCTGAAATTAAAATTTGTATTGTTTTAGTAGATTATTACAATTTAGTATTATTTTAAGTTAAAGAGTTTTTAGCAGAAGGGGTATTGCTATTACTATCACTTGCTTATGACTTTTATTCTTCTTCCTCTTTGGTTGTACTTTCTTCTGTTTTTCCTAACTTATCCTTCACATATGAAATTGGAACATTTGCATATACTACACATTCTACAACATGTTCATGGCCTCTTAGTACTTATTAAGGTTAATTGGCATCTAAATTCCATACCATAACAGTTTAATCTTAGGAGCCTGATGCGAATTAAGTTCCTGATTCGTGAACTCTTAGACACTTTACCCATTCTTCATGACCTTCATATGTACGCTTACAAAATCCAGTAACTACTTCCCAAAGCTTGAGAGTTTTATCACGAGAAGCACTAATTAAAAAATCTCCATTTGGTAAAAATTTAACATCTGATACATTATGTTCGTGACCATAAAGAGTTCTAATACAAGTATATTGACTTAAATCCCAAATACGAATTGAAAGATCAGTGGAAGAAGAAGCCATGTACTTGCCTTAGCTATCAAATGCTACTGAATTTACTGTTCCCATATGGCCTTTAAGGGCACGCTCTAATTAACCAGATTCGAAATCCCATAAACGAATAGAACCATCTTCAGAGCAAGTTGCAACTATACTATAGGTTGGGTGAAAAGCAACTTAAGTGACTTAAGAACGATGGCCTTGCATGACAAATTTTGCTGGTTCTTTTGGAATAAAACTTTAATCTTAATCATGGGATTCATTTCCCCCATTTCCTCCTACAATTTAACCGTTGTTACTTGAATCATTTCCATTCGAAAGCATTACGCCAGGACGCTTACGCTTGAGGATATTATTCTCTTCTTGCAAACGTTGGTTTTCGCTTTCTAATTCCATAACTTTCTTTTATAAACGAGTTATACTTACCCATTTCTTCTCTAAAATATCAGTATTGGCAGTGCTTGCCTTCCCTTGCTTGCTGTTGTCTTAGGTTTCTTTGAAATTAATATTAGATTCCTCTTCAAATTGACGTAAAGTATTAGCAAATCCATGCTTTTATAAATATTCCGCTATGGCACGATTCAAGTCGTCTTTTTGCTTAGAAGTTAAAACCATTTATGCTCAAATTGTTTTAAATAAATTTATTTTTGATCTCTTTAAAAGTATTTTTGGTATTTATGATTATCTGTCTTTACTACTTTGCTTGCTTGCTTGCAGTAATGCCTTTGTTTTTCTTTATATTAATGATTTTCTCCTTAACAAAGTTTAGTTATTTCAACCTATTTTTTTGGTTTTGTCTCTGTATCAGATGCCTGTTTGTATAAATAAACTGGATTAAATAAGTCTTTAATATAAACATAAATGTAGGAGACTAAAAGTATGCTATAAGCATATAAATTATGTTATTTGTTTCAATTGCAACTTTAATAATTTAAGGAGAAATTAATTAAAGTAATAACTGCACAGAAGATTCAAAATAACTTGTTTCTCTTAAATACAAAAAACTTCTTTTTTTATGTGCAATTATGCCTTGTCCTTACAGTGAAATGAATCCTCTTAATAAAATTTTGTTAATTATGCGAATTGCTTCTTTTTTATTGCCTTAATTTTATCGATAAAGAAAAATGATGCAAAAAATTTTGTAAGTGGCAAATTCAGAATACTAGTGAGCATTCAAAGTTGTGTTTGAACTAAATCAATGAAATTTGCTGTATTTGGCATTAAATTTATTTGAATACTTTATAAGCATTAAAAAATATTATTTTCTGCACCTAGTTGAAAAGTTACTTTAAATTCATTTTGAATTAAATTGCATAATATTTGAATTTGAATAAATAAAGGCTGAATGGCGTATGCCAAAAGAATATTTATTAAAGAAATCAATGATATTTGAATCTATTTTGCCATAATTTAACACGATTGATGCTTGTCCTACATATTTTTAACTCTTATTTACTTTTGTTTTTAAAGTAGATTACTTATCGCCAAAAATATTTATTCAGTCTCTCCTTGAATTCCTATTGACTTGCTTGCCTTTTTGCTTTGTTTGCCACACTCTTTTTTCTTACTTTATTTTTTATACTTAAAATTTTTTCTTTTCTTCTTTTATTCTTATTTTTTATATGGTATTATTATTCCTTTTTTTATTAAGATTTTCTAAATTTTTATTTAATTTTTTTTTCTTTTTGTTGTTGTTATACTAATCGATAAATTCTTTACTTTATACGATGCTTATTCGATTGATCCGCTAACCCAACTCTTTTTAAGTCACCCATTCATTATGCATATAAGCGAGCAAACATGCATATATACATAAAATCATATATTTATTTACTTATACAATTATTTATTGCTAGTTAATTAATAATTTTCAAAGTGGTATTTTTCTTGATCCACATCTCAATCAAAGAAGATCATTACGCATACTAATAAAAAGAAGAATATTTCTTTAGGAATTTTAAAATATCTCTTGTTTGTTTTTAGATATATGAAAATATATATGTATTTATTTATATTATAAAGTAAATTAATATCTCTTTTTTTACTTTATTCATTTTTACCTTTAATCTAATAACATTTTCAACTTATAAACTCAATTTTATTTTCAAAATTTATATCTCTATAATTTCTTTCATGAATTTTCAACTTCAAATTCTGCTTATATGTTGTTTGTCATTTTTCTGTTTTTTGGCTGTTCTATTTACTGAATATATTTAGAATTTAGTCATTCATTATTTTATATCTTAGTTAAATATTTATGTCTTAATTAAAAAAATTTGAATTAATTCTCACTTTGTTCAATCAAGTCATTATTCTAAAATAAAATAAATACACACAGAAATACAAAAATATTAAACCTAAAATACAAAATGACAAATAAATTTTGAATTAAAATAAAGATTTTAAAAATAATTAAATAGTAATTAATAAATTAACAAATAAAGAAGACAAATAATAAATTAAATTTACCAAGTATTTTTTAACATAAAATTTGACAATAAAATCTGAAATTTAATTAAATTTGATAAATTAAAAATAATTTATTAATATTAAATACAACAATTAATGATATTTAATAATAATTTACTTTTTAATTTATGTTTTATTTATTTTAATAAATTGAAATTTACATTATATTTTGTAGCTTTTTAGTTAGTTTCAATTTTTTTTTGTGGTTTGTTGTTTTTTTTTTTATTTTATCTCGTCTATACTTTGCTGTAAAAGTCTTTTTTTTTCTAACTCAATACGGGCTTATTTTTCATCCTCTTTAGCTTTAAGATTTTTCTCTAAAACTATAATAGATTTATTTAATGATTCCTCTAAAAGATGCCTAATTATTATATATGTTAAATAAATTTTTATTAATTTAGTGAATAGGATATTACTATCTAGAAACTCTTTCTCTTGCTTAAATTAAGGTGTTGTTTATAGGGTCATAACTTGAAGATTCTGTATATTAAGATTTCCATAAGTATTTTTCAGGATGAAGTTTTTATTCAGTGAGTCCTTGAGGCTGAGATGTAATTTTAAAGTTTATCGATTTTCTAGCAGAGTTTATGGAAGAATAATCGCTTTTAGGGCTAGAAAGTTAATCTTTAAGTTTATTTAAATTAGGAAGGAAAGGAGTTTTTAAAGAACTTAAATCTCTACTAAAATTACTGCTGATATTTTATTGTAAAATCTTTAAATTAGTTTAAGAAACAGAACTTTAATTTAATGTTGTAGTAGCCCTTTTTTATTATAAAAAGATTAAAAGCTAAAAAATTTAAAATAAGTAATAAATATTTACTTTTTGTGAATTGAAAACCTCGGAAGAAGAATCGATTTTTTATTTAAACTTCCAACCGTTTGGTTTTATAAAACTGACTATTAGCCTGCAATTGAATATTCTTTATTTTCTAAATCAGCTTATGTCATTTATGTAAATTAAAAGAGTATTTTATCTTTATCAACTCCGTTTCTGTAGAGATTTCTTACGCCTTCATAAACATTAGAAAGGCTATCAGCTAATTTAAATATCTGAATATTTCCGTCCTTTTTTTAGCTTTTTTAAACTTACTCTTTCTCTTTCTCAGCTAAATTTTCTAATTTAAGTAAATTTACTTCTTCGTTTAAAATATAAATTTAATCTCCATCTATTTTAATTTAAAAATTTTTTATATTTTAAGTTGATAGATAGATATTTAATGAATTATAAGCAAAAAATTATGAATAAAATCTAATTTAATTAAAATAATCCAAATCAATCAATCACCTTTCGATAGATGAAAAATTAAATAGGGACTAATAGACCAAGTTAACTAATTTTAATTTTGCTCATCAATGCTATCTAATTTATCATAAGAAATTTTAGGGTGTAAAGCTGCTATTTTTTTTTTAAGATGTATATTGTACATTCTTACATTTTTTTTAGAATCTATTGCTAAAACTAATCCATATTTATTAACTTATATGCTTAAAATTGGATTTTGTTTTTGTACCTTATAAGTGTTAGATAAAATTTAATATTAATTTTCTTTTTCCAAAGATTGTATCAAAACATATCCATTATTGCATCCTGAAACTAAGTATTTTTCATGAAAGAAAGCTAAGCAAGTTATGCTAGAACTATGATTTTATAAACTTTTTGATTCCACTTAAAATTCATTATCCCAAATGATTATATTGCCATCTTTCATTCCGAAGCCAGTATATTTCTAACTTTCACATAAATCCATACTTTTAATTTAAATATAAAAGTTATTAAATGTAGAGAAGAAATATAATTTTTTATTTTTATTACCATGTTATTGCATAAATCAATGTGTAGTTATTTGTCATGTGAGGTTTAAAAGAGCTAGGTTATGATGGTTATCGAATTTCACTTTGAGTATACTTATATTATTGCTAAACTGGTAAATTTTGAAATGTTGTTTCATTTAATACATGATATTAGAAATTTTTAGAGTTGTACCAAGTTACTATAAGACCAGTTACTATTTCTTGTGTGAAGGGTTTATTAAATTATTTATCCTTATTTGAAAAGGTGACTTTTTCTTTTAAAAATACTATTTTTGGTTGATAAAAAGGTTTATTGACATCATCTGAAATATCGCCGTATTATTGATCAAAGTTATCTTATCCAAAAATTACTTCTTTATTTTTTAAAAAATCTGGTGGTTTCTGTAATTGCTACTGCTGTTGCTATGCAATTTTGGCAGCTTCTTCTTTTTTAATTTCCTCTTTGCTCAGAGGTTTCTTTGCATCTTTTTTCTAGTTATTTGGAGCAGCAGCAGCAGGGGGTTGTGACTACTGTTATTATTGTTATTAAGAATTTGCCTGCTTGCTAGCAATCTAGGCATACATCTCTTCAACAGATATTCCTAGAAGTGATGATCTCAAAACGTCATTATCTTTTTATATTTCTTTCATAATTTCATCATATTTTTTCTCTCTCTTCTTACCTAAGTTCAATTCAATTTAATTTAGTTTAAGAATTTTGATTTGATTAAAAATAATCTTACCTTTAAATTCTATCAGATAATGTTGTTTTAAGTCTGGTAATTCTTTAGCATTAAAAACAGGTAATTTATATGGTGTGCTATTCCTTTCATATCTTGGTGATTAGTTTCTACTTAAGGAAGTCTAACTTTAAATAGTATCATCCGCTCTTTAAAAATATGACTAATCTTCATCTATAATAGCCTCTCTTTTTTCTAAAGGAGGTTCTGTAATTTTATAAATTGACACATTACCATTGTAATGAAGCAAAGCCAAATATGTAGAATTTAAACTTATTACAGACTCATATACATAAGAAGAAGCATTTTAACCACTAGTTTGAGATTGTTAAGACACAGTTACTACAGATTATAATTATAAAGTATTTTCTCCATCAATATATCTATATTTATTTTTCAACAACAAAAAAAAATTAATAAAATGATCTTAAAAAAATTTTGCTTCATTTGTTTTTCAGCCACAATTACATATAAATTTATCAAAATCTTTATTTTATCTTTAACCTTTTGTAATTTGAATTAGTTAAACATTATTTTATCTTTAATCTTTTGTATCTTGAGTTAGTTAAAGATTATTTATTTATTAAAAAGTTTTCTAAATTATATAAGTATTAAGTTTTTTCAAAATTAAAGTAAATACCTAAGAATTGAAACTTTATTCGCTGCCCTTTAGACTACTGCAATAGTAACTACATGAGATTCAATTAATTTTGTATGAACACTTGAGATGTGTATCACTCTCTTTTCTTTTTTATAATTAAATAAATTTTTATTAGTAAAGCATTTTTTATTTTAAACTGTAAAGAGATTTGTAAAACTTATTTTTAGGGAATGAACAAGTTCTTAATATATTTATTTAGTAGAACTTATTGATAAAAAATAGATTTATTTAAATTATCATGAAAGATGTTTACTTGGTAACTAATCGAATTTAGAAACTATTTGCTTTTTGGTTTAATCAAATATGAAAATATTTCCAAATTTATCTCCTATAATTATGTGCTTTGATGGATTTCCTTTGGGCTCAGAAATAAAAGTGGCAGATTTGAGAGACTCTATATCTCCTGATGGTGTAATTGCTTTTAGCTACCCTTAAAATATGTATAATATAATTAAAGCATCTGCTTTTTTCAAAATAAATAAATACCATCATAACTTGGATCCAACTTTTATTTTTCAATTTCTCCTACTTTGACAAGAACTTGTTTAATAATATCATCTTTAATAAACTCGTCAATATATCTATTTAAAATAATATTATAATCACATGTTTTTTAAATAATTTATTCTTTCATAATTCTATGAATCTTTTGATAGAAATTTTTAAAAAAATTACCTATAGGGCATAGGTAGCTCATCTTGATTATTATCTGGATCACAATATTTCCAATCATTTAAATGGTCTACGATTTCTCTATCTTTTTTATAATTCTCTTAAGCTCTTTTTTCTAACTCTTCATAATGCTATTTCATTTATATTTAGTACATTGACATCTTTTTAGTTAACACTTAATTTTTTTAATAAGAAGCATAAGATTTATTGATTGAAGATTGCATACTCACAGACTTGCTTATCATTTTTGCACAATTTATTCTACTTTATATTAAATATTCTAGATTTTATATTAGATTTTAAATAATAGCTGTAAATAACAATCTAACTCTTTTTAAGAGTTTATAATATTGAGAGTTACTAATTTTTTATTTATTATTATGTTATATTTTAATTATTGATTTGCAAAGATATTGATTGATAACATTCTTTCTTTCTTTTTTTACTTACTTACTTTTTTAATTAATGATTTGGTTGATATTAAATAAATTGCAGAAATTTTGTAATTTAATCTAATTTTTGAAATCTAATCTAAGAAATACAAAGCTTCAAAACTAAATCTAATGGGTGGACACGGTGGTTTAAATATTCTACCATAGAAAAAATGGAATGTTTATAATAGAGATAATAGAGCAAAAGTTGAGAGGGATAAAAAGAAGATACATGAGAGAAGAAATTAAGATGTTGATAAACAAATAAAAAACGAATCTTCTCAAAGAATATAAGAATTAAGAAGTAAAAAGAGTAAAAGTGAGAGATCTGATGAACAAAGGAAAGAAAGAAATTATGGATCTTCAGCAATAAGGCAACATGAAAAATTTATAGAGAAGCAAGAGAAGGAAGAATAAATTGCGCAACAAAAACTGAAAAATGTAAATTTATTCGAAGCAGAAGAGTAAATGATGAAATAAGAAGCTTAAAAAAAGCTAGACATGCAAAATTCTAAATTCTTTGAAGGAAAGCCTTTCGACTCAGACACTAAATTTGGTGGAAATTTTAAGGATTAATAATAAGTTCCTTGGTACATTTAAAGTAATAAATAAAGTTAAAAGTTGAAAGATCGTGAAGAAAGTCCTGAAACTATTAAGAGAAAAGATGAACTTAAAAAGTAAATTAATGACTTTAGAAAGCACAAAGTGAAATCGTTTTATACAGTAATTGATGATAAAATAATACAATCAAACGAAAATGAAACAATAATGTAATAAGAAAATAATCAATAACCTCATGATAATTAAGGAAAAAATAAAAAAGAACATAAATATAGAGAGCCTTCAAAAGAAAAAAAAATTAAAAAAGAAAAGAAAAAAAGTAAAAAACATAAACGTCATCACAGTTCTTCTAGTAGATCTTCTTCTGTTTCTTCTAAATCTTCAAGAAAAGTAAAAAAAGAAAAAAAATCTGAGTAAAAAATTAAATAACACAAAGAGGATGAAAGAATAAAATAAGAAAAATTGTAAAAGCTTAGAGAAGAAAGACTAAAAAGAGAAAAGTAAGAACACTTTAAGCAAACTTAGCTTTTAAAAAAAATTAATTGAATGTGATTGATTGATTAGTCAGTAATTTTCATTTAATCTATAAAAAACAAGTCTACTAAATATTATAAATTTAAATAAAAAAATATCAAATGTTGTTAAATTTCTTTTTTTAATTTTAACTTAAATTCTAAAGTTATCTTTCAAAAGACATTTTGTTTATAGCTTAAGAATACTAATTAGAATTAAAGATTACTTAATTTGAAGTCTCTTCTATGATTAAAACCTGTACTTAATAGACAATAATTAATTATAAATTAAATTTGAGTTAAGACTGACTTATTGTTGAAAACGTTAATAAAAAATAAAATAAATACTTAAAAAAAACTAAATTAAACTTTATATATATTATTTTATATACTAAATAAATAAGAATATTTATTTATTTATTCATTTATCACTTTTTCAATTTTATTTTATAAAGTTATGAATTCAATTATCTTTTATAACATTTTATATTAAAATTTAATCAATTATTCTTTTTTTTGATATTTTTTCTACAAAAAAAAAAAAAAAAAACTAAGATTCTTTAAAGACTAAATTTATTTATCATTAGAAATTTACTTTGTTTACTATTCTTTAAACTTACAATTATATAAGATAAGTTAAAATTTAGATTTATTATTTATGAATATAAACTATACTTAAGGTTTTAAAAAATATAAAGATTTGTTGTTTACATTTTTAAATTATTAATTATTTTATCAAATCACTCAAATATTTATTAATGCTGTTTAAAAAATTATAACTTTATTAACATTTATTATAAATAATCTATATTATATGAATGAGCTTGCCCAATAATTCTAGATTTATGTAGGCTGTTTAATTGTTTATTTCATTTTTATTTGTTTCTTGGTTGAATCATAAAATTTTCTAGCTCCTACCAAAATTATTCATAAGCTGGGAAATCTAAATGTCTTTTATTACGATATACTGATACAATTTTAACATTCCAATTTGCAACTTAATCTGGAGTAGGAATATCGTAGTATTTTAAATAGAAGCCTTTAACTTAATCTAAGATACTGGGAATATTATCTTCTTTAGGCCATCCTTTGAATTGATATTTTTAACCACTAACGAACACACCGACAACTCTCTCCCATTTAGACTAAAATAAAAATAAATAAATAAAACTTTAATTGATGTTTTAAATAAAAAATCAATATTACTTTTTGTGAAGGATTATTTTTGGATTCAAATGTACCAACATTATCGTAGACTTCGAAAAGGAAATTGTGTCCCTTTATATTCTTTTCGATTTAAATGACTCTTTCACTGTTATCAGAATCTTTATTTTCAGGATCTTCATATTTACCTTCTGCTAAGAATTTTTTGGCATTAAATAGTGAAATATTTCCTGTTCTACCCATAGTAGGAACAACAATAATAGGCTTTAAACCCTTATCTCTCAAATCTTTGAATAAACAAGGATAATTAATAGTAGATTTTATTTCTAAAGGATTATTTTAAGTTGTCATCTTGCCTTCATCAAGTTACTTTTATTATAATAATTTATTTAATAAGTTAAAAATGTATTTATTTTCAATTTTATTTATCTAAAAACAACTATTTCACATATTTAAAAATCAATAGTTTCTATCAAAATTTGATTCTTTTTTTTCATGTGATATAATTCAGAATTTTATTAAAATTTATGTCTCTCTCTTAATAGCAATTTAAGCTCTAAATTAGGTTTTGTAAAATAAATATTTGCTTTAAAATTTAAAGCATAGAATTAATAATGAATAATAAGGCTTTCTAAAAGCTATTTTTTCATAGAATGAATAAGCATCTTGCTTTGGACATATACCTTAATATAATGCTTGAAGTTTATGTTAGAATTAAACTTGCTTCTCAACATACGAGTTCTAGATGTCAGTGGCTTTTCAGTTTTCATAATCCAACTAATTGCATTTAAATATTCTTCTCTTTATTACATTTCGACTGTCTTTGCTTCTCCATCATTTGTTTTAATTTTTTTGGTCAAAGATCCTTCTAATGCTGAAGATTCTGCTGGTTTACTTTTTCTTGAAGAAAGAAGCTATTGCTTTGCTTCCTAATCTATTTTATCTGAATTGTCAATTTTTCCTTATAAATAGTTGCTGATTTCATCTTCATCAATTTTGTCAATACCTTCAAGAGCGAACGATTAACGCTAATTGAAATAATGTTTCATAGACATATTTTGCTAAACCTTTTGATTGAAAAGCCACAAATCTCCCAAAGTGTAATATCCGCCAGTGTTCTTCTTCCATGCAGTAGGAGTTTTTAACTCTAGTTTGGTTTGATCAAAAAATAAATACTAATCCTTCTTAACCACATCCTTTTTATTTATTGTGAACTCCCTTAATAATTCTAAAGGATCTATTTTATTAGGCCTTTTGTTTCTTATCATTTTTATTTACTATTTGCTTTATACAAAATTCTAAACCTTTTAATTACTTTGTTATTAGTAAGATATTTATTAAAAATTTTATTATTATTATTATAAATATTATTTTTTATCAGCTCTACTTAACTTTAGGATGTATTTATTACATCTAATATTAAATAATAATATCTATTTAGTTTATCAATAAATAATATTTTAAAATGTATTTTAGTCAGTTCGTTTAAATTTTTTCAAATAAATTAAAAAATATCTTCTTTTATTTACTATTTAATATAAATAAAACCAAAAAATATAAAATTTATTATTAAATTAATAGTTTTTTACTTTGAAATTTATATTATTTTATTATTATGTTTTAATGTATTAAATTTAAGTTAAAAATATAATATTTTTTATAAATTAAGATTGAAATTTAAAATAAAAAGAAAAATTATTGTTTTAATTTAATTAAAATAGATATTTATTTATTAATTCAAAGAAATAGCTTAAATAAATTAAGAATATCAAAATAAAGCAGCTTAATAAATATTATAGAAATTATTCATCCACTTTTGATAATTTTAGCTGATTTAATTATAAAAATGCAAAAAATTAAACTTATTTTAAGATCATTAAAGAATGGTTCTTTTAAAAAAATATTTGTCATTTTATTTAACTTTATAAATTCTTTATATAAATGATAGCTTAAGTTAAATTATTAAATTTTAAGATTAATCATATTCTGAATCAAATATATGTTATGTGCTAAAAAGAAAAAAAATTCATATTTAATTTCAAAAATGTAAAAATTATTTTCAGGTAAATTATTACAATGGTATTTTTTGAAACAATAAATCAGAGAAGAAAAAGATTTATTCAAATGAAAAGTGAAGAATATTAAAATAAAATAAGACATACCTATATCGACAGAGATCTATCATCTGAGAAGATAATGTAATATCTTAGGATGGCAAAAATGCTCAGTTCATATGAAATTTCTTTTGAATTGTTTCTTAGTTCTAAATTAACTTGCGATTTATTTAATTTTTGAAATTAAATTAAATGAATAAAATATTAAATTAAATTTATACATGTTTTTAGGTATTATTTTTAAAGATTGATAATTTGTTGCAATTAAATATGGTAAATCAAATAATTGATAAATAAATTTAGAATATTAACAAATTTAGAGATTTCAATTTACCAGATTGCATTTAAAAATAGGCAAAATACATATTTGGAATAAATGTAAGCAATGCTAGCAAACTTTTTTATCAAAATTTTTTTTGACAAAAAAATTATAATTTGTATCCTAAAAAAAAGAGAGAGTATTTTATTAGAATACAAAAGCTAGTAAATAAATAAGTAATAAATACAATTATACTTAGCAACATTTAAAATAGGATGATACCAAAATTTTAAATATATAGCATAATAATCTTTATGAAGGCCATCTTATTATGTAAATTATAAAGACATTTTATTTATCTAAATGCATATATAGCCATTGAAGCAACTTCTTTTTAATACTAAAATTAGATTGCGAAACAATATAAATGTTAGTTAATAATGCAGATTTTAACATGTAAAATGTAAATACCCTAGGCTTTCTTCAAAAAAATGCACTTAATAACTGTGATTTTACTTCTGTTAATGGTCAAAGTATTTATGGAGGGCTAAATTGTTTTGTGGCTTAAACATCTATCAGTTATTATGGACCATATGATCAAAGCGGTCAATTTTACTAGCTTTAACCTCATTATTAGGTCATCCTAAATATGAATATCTATTTTTTTTTCCCATTAGGAGATACATAGAAAATTGGATAAGTTTAAATAAAATTAGAGTAGAATTAAATAACACAATCTAGCTAGAGCAGTAACTGTGCAAGCTATTAAGATGCAAATAATTCTAATTATCCTTTCATGATTTGCTCATTTTCATTTAATTATTTTCATTAATTTGATACTTTAAGTATACAATTAGTAGGCATAAACACAGCAAGTAGCTTTTCATGGGGAATATCGCAATTAAAAATTTAAACAACTGAATGCACAGCTTCTTGTCTTATTTGTAATGCTTCATAGTGCTTATGTAAATTTACTTTTGCTAAATTATGTTTGTTGCTTTTAATAATTTTATCAATTTTTGTAAAAGAAAATAAACCTAGTAACTTGCTTAACACGCAGATGTTGTATTATTATGAAAAAGAGCTTTATGAATAAATAGTTTAAAGCACATAGATTTTAAATAAATATTGTCTTATAAATCAGTTTGTCTTCCTTAATCAAGCATATTATCCTTTCATAGGTTTACCATCTAATTTAGATCCATCTTTGCTCAGCCCCTAAACAATTTTGATAGAACTACAGAATTTACCAGCTCATTATTCAATTTACATTCAATTTAAGTTAGTATAGATTTTATAATTCTATTTCTACTTTGTATTTATTGAAATTAATTATTAAAAAGATACAAGCTTCATGTGGATAAAGCATTAAAATTTACAATGATGATACTTTGATAACATTTAATTAACAGCAAACTGCTTGCTTATCTCCCCCAACTATCAGTTATGTGTGGCTTTAAGTTTCCCCACATAGACTTCCCTAAACAACTTTTAGCATTTAACAATAGGGTTCTCCCTTTGGAATAAGAGAACTTAAGGTTTTTTTCGATTTATGTTAATCGACTTGCTCATTATGCTCTAATGACAGTTCATGTGACACAGATAATGGTATTTAAAAATAAAATTTACTAATAAATAATAACATAAATATGTAATTAATCAGGAAAATTACTCATTGCAAGCTTTGCATATCAAGTTAACTCAGCTAATTTAATTAGAGAAGATTGGATAGTTATAGGATCACCTTCAACAAATTTTGTATCAACATGCAATAACATAAATTATTTTGGTGGTATCAACATTTTTGACTGGAAAACTAAAGTATTAAATAATTTTCATATAACTAACCCACACTATTCTGCTATTCTTGAAATAAAGGTAAACAAAAATCAATTTATTTGCTTATTTTATTGATTTATTTATATATTTATTTTTCAAGCAATCAATTAAGGAAGAAAAAAATAATGTTTATTCATATTCTTACAAAAAAAAATCATTATAAATGACGAATTTTTACAAAAATAAATTTTTAATTTATCCTTTTATCAAAATAATAACAATAAAATTTGAATTAGTTTATCAAGATGGGATAGTGGGGAACCAATAAAATTGTTATAATAATCGATGGAAGAGTATTTAAAAGAGTTTCATTTTGTGATTCAAATATTTAAATTTGCTCATCTGCAGGTTCAGCGGGTGGCGATTAGATAAAACAAATTTATTTTGAATTTTCTCACTTTAGTTATGATATGTCAATAAGTATTTAGCCTGATATCTAATCAGCTCCATCAACGTCTCTATATTGGGGATTTATAAATTTTAGTTTGACTGTTAGATAGTGCCATTCTTCATGTGTAAGCAATTACTGCACAGGACCATTACCTACTGATTGTGGATTACCTTAAATTAACCTATTTTAAATAAGATCTTTCTTTAGCTACGATCCTCCCTCTGCTGCAGATGTAAACAAATATTATCATTTAAATTTATTTAAAGTTTTAATAATTATAAATATTTAAAGCCTTCTTGGAGTATCTCAAATTAGCAATCAACCTGTGGATCTTCTATTTCTTAGTCTTGCACTTTAAATAATTTACAATTTTATGGAGGTTAAACTTGTTTTAATTAGAATACATAGCTCTCTAAGTCTTTTGCAATAAATGACAGTTTTGTTTTTATGGTCATTTAATTTAATTTTATTAAATTTTCTGATTGGGTTGTTCAAGGTTCTCTAATAGTTATGATAAACTAAGTTTAAATTTATCAAGAGTATTTTTCTTCATTGTAGGCTAATTTTAACTGCTATAGCTCAACATCTTAAGATATTGTAATTTATCCTGTTAAAATTTTAATGCTTGTGAATTCAGTTACTTAATAAAATTTTCAATTATAGATTTATACATAATCACATCAAGGGTAAAATATTTATTCTTTATAAATAAATTTATATTATTTTGGTTAGTAAACACAATCTTACAAAATAATTAATTATAGTTAATTTATTTTTAATTATTAATTTATATTGGAAATTAGTCATTGGGGAATATAGTCTTTTTAATTAGACATTTATGGATGCAGTTTAGGAAATTTTTTACAAAATAATTCATGCTAAAGTTGCAATAGTCAAACGTGCTTAGCCTGCACAAATACAAATTTATGCTTTTCAAAATGTCATTATTCATGTGCTTCATGTTATGGGGAAGGCAATTACTAATGTTTATCATGTGATTCTTCCTTAAAAAGAACATTAGATGGGAGTGTAAATAAATTTATACTGATTTTATATTTAACAACAAATTCTATTTATTTTGATTAGTGAATTTAGAAAAGAAAATATATTTTTCATCATAATTTAAATTAATAAATAAAATTTACAAAAAAAAATGAATAATTAATTCAAACTTCAAAATGAAATCTTTTGAATTAAAATAAATCATTTTTATTTGAGATAAATATTGTAAAAATAATTAATAAGTATGAGAGAATGCATAAATAAATGAATTAATGATTGATTTATTTTAATTAAAAAAAGGTATGTAAATGCATAGATGGGTTTTTTGAAATAGGCTAACCTGTTTGCCAGAAATGCCATTAGACATGCCTTTAATGCACAGACATATTTATTAATTCTTGCTCTTTTTGTGATAAAAATCTATATCGTTAACTAGACTAAGCTAGGTAAATTATTGTAAATTAGCTATTTAGTATCAATTATTTTTTGATATAAAGCAAAAAATGCGTTTGCATAGATAGATATTATGAAGTTCTAAATTAATTTCAATGCTAGCCTTGCCATTACTCTTGCCAATCTTGTAATGGAAATTTAGATACAAATTGTCTGACTTGCTCTCTATCTTCAGATTACAGAGTTTATGATCCTATAAGTGGAAAATGTTTATGCTAGATTGGCTATTTCGAAGATCCTAATTTAAAAAAGTGCCTACCTTGCTAATTAAAGTGCCATACTTGTGTTGATACACCAACTAATTGTGTAATTAATTAATTAACTATATAAGAGTAATCAATATCGATATTTATTTATTGAAAAAAAACATGTAAATAAATAGACTTAATGCTCAAAAAATAGAATTAATATTCCTAGTTGCCTATGTCCAATAGCAAACAAAGTTTGGCTAGATGGTGAATTATGCAATTTGTGTGATTCTACTTGTCAAACTTGTTTTGGTGATAGTTTTAACGAGTGCTCCACATGCGTTGGAAATCTTTATCTTTATGATTTCTAGTGTGTTTAGTTATGCCCTTATTTCATTTATTTTGGACATAATTAGAATAATATAAATACCTGTCTTGATAGATGCCCAGAATAAAGTTATTAAATAAAAAAAAGGTAATTTTTTTAAAAATATTTATTTATTTATTTAAAATTTAATGATCTTACTTGGAAACTAATAGATTATGCTGTCAAAACAATTCTGAACCTTGCATTGAAGAAGTTACAAGCTAGGTTGTAAACTATGGTGAATAAGATAATAAATAAAATACTGTAAAATTATAGTTTAGTAGGCCTGTAAGGGTAGAATACATGTAAGGATATAGCAGAGTCATTTTGCTATCTATGGAAAATATTTCTTCGTTTTAATCAAAAATAACTCCTCTAGACGAACAAAATGGTTATGTATCATAAATTGATATTTATGCAATACCTTAGCAGTCTGTTCTTTACTCTATACTTCAAATAAATCTTTTAGCTGATTTCATAAGAGATAAAGATGGTATCCCTCACTCATAATCAGTAATTTACTTACTTACAATAAAAAACTATAATGAGAGGATTTTTAAATGAAATTTTACTAAAGCTTTCTTTTAACATGTTTTTTAGTTATTTCAAATGTTTATTTGTTCTAGAATATTTTTAATATATCAACAAATATAATTTAAAAATATAAATTAGCAATCTTAATTAACAGCAAAATTTGGCAAAACTGAATTCATTCCTTAGGATTAGGTTGATACAATTTAGAGTGCTAGTTAGAAAGCAAAATAAACTTCTCAAGTTATTAGCATAATGGGAACAATATTCTATTTTTTGAATGTTTGTCAACTCTTAGATATTGTTGTTGATGTAATGTAGTGGTCTTATTATTACACTTTTATAAATGTTGAGTATCCTATTAACTCTGATCTTTTCTTTAGTACTTTTAATAGTATTAATATAAATATAAAGCTATTTGGAATAGACATTTAGTCTGGTGGAAAGAAGAAAGTAATTTATTTATTGATTAACATAGATTTTTTACTTAAAAGTATATCCATATTTTATAAAAAGGTTTTGGGAAATGAGTTAGTGAACTAGGATTCACCTTAGAAGTTCATGGATTAGAATATTACAAGCAGTTTTATGATAAATGGTGCTAATTTATTAGTAACTTTAACTGGTTTTGTTGTCGGAAGATATTTATTAGTTAGCATACATGATTGTTACAACTAAACAGAAGATGATCACAAACACAGTATCGTCTGTTAGGCTTTGAAATTCGTCAAAAATTTCTTAACTTTTTCACCGATAATTAAATATATTTAGAATTCTTTTTTTGCTTTAGTATTTAGTGTTTGCTTGTAGTTAAGAAATATGGATTCAAGTAATTCTTTTAATAATGCTTCAATAGCTATTTGCTTTATGACTATTTTCGCCTTTCTTGCTTCAATCATTTACTTCATGTATAAAGTAAACAATGCTGAAAAAGAATTTAACTATATATAAAAATATGGTTCTCTTTTTGAATTTTACATCAGATCAAAGTTTATTACAAGGAATTTTGCTTTTTGGATATTTATAAAAAAGCTATTAATGATGAGTTCTTTAGTGCTATTTTATGATTATTTTTATACTAACCTCATAATTATGGGGAGTGTTTGCTTTTTATTTGCAATAATGATATATTTTTTCAAGCCATACACTATAGTAAGGATGAATGACTTTCATATATTTTCAGAATTTCTTTTGATCATTTGTTTTGTTTTGATCTATTAAATTTAAGATTGCAATAACTAAATAGCTTAGCAGAGTGATTAAGGTATAGACCAAAACATAGTTAATAAAAAGGTATTATTATTCTTATTTTTAATATGAGAAACTTATTATGAATTTTTAATTTAAAAAGCTGTTCTTAGGATGGTGGTTAATTATTATCACTATAAGTCATATTGCTATAATGGTTTGTGCAATTAGTAGCTTACTATGGGGTAGTATAAAATAACATTTTCATAATTACAAGATCTAGATTATCAACATTTTAGCGCTCTGTTATACCAAATATATTAACAAAATATAATTTTTGTACAGGTCAATCATCTTCTATTGCTTTGATAAATCCACTATAAATAAAATATGGCTGTAAATATTTCGTTTTTAGCTTTAAGATATTTTTATTAAACAAAAATTTAAATAAATGAATAAAAATTTAATAAAAAGCTAATAAAATTTAATAAAATCCTTTAAAAATTAATTAAAAAAATAAACTAAAATAAACTAAAATAAACTTATAAAAGTTAATATAAATCTAATAAATTTTATAAAAATTTAAATAAATCTAATAGAAGTTAAATAAATTTATTTAAAAAATATGAAGCTTTACCAATAATCAATTCAATAATTTAAATAATTTAGAGATATATCTTTGTTGTTGAGTTAAATTTCAACTATTTAGAAAAAAATTTTTAAATTCAAATTTATTAACAATAAAAATAACTAACTATTTAAATTTCATATAATTAATTAGACCAAATATTTTAAAGAAAATGAAGAGCCTTCATGAACATTACATGGATTGCTCAAATAAAGGGAGATGGAAATCTAATTGTTAAATACTTTTAACTGAAGAGTTGGCTATCAAAAAATTTTAGAATGCATAATTAAAATATTCATTTGGTAAAAATAAAACCTAATTAATTTGATATTTTTGATAATTTATTTTATTTAAATTATTAGGTGATTTTGTTTTCTTTATTGAATAATCTGCAAATTAAAATTAATTTAGAGCATGGGTTTGGTCTGAGTCTTACTAATATAAATTGCACGAATAAGCTGGAAATTATTTTTAAGATAAAATTTAAATTTCAAGGACATACCAAAAAAGATATGAAAACAATCCTCTTTACATTTAAATATTTAAAAAAATGTTTTAATATTCTCATCAATTAAATAAAAAAGTTTAAGTTGATAATTTACTTGATAATTACTCTGAAATACACTTTAGTGAGTTGTACAATTTAATTACATTCAGAAATTACTGGAATTTTATAAATAGCGAAGTCACTTTGAAGCACTTCTTAAAGCAGCACGATATATCAGAAATATACTTTAGCTCAAATAATAATAATAATAATAATAATAATATAGAAAGTAATCAAAAAATATTTGAGAATTAAAATTTAAAGAACTTAAATATTTCTTTTGAGCAAACTTATGTAGATAAAATTAAAATTAATAGATGTGATTGCAAATACTGCCAAAGTCTTTTTTATGCAAAAGTAGAAAAGAATTTCATTATAAAAATATATTTTAATTTAATATTTTATTTTAATTAGGAATATTTAGATAAGATAGATTGGAAACTCTTTGATCATTTAAAAGAGAGCTATATTCAACCTGAGGAGCTATTAATTATGTTTAATAAGTTCGATGAGAAAACTATTCTACTATTTAAAGATATCTTAAATGAAAGAGTAAATATCATGGAAACAGGACAAGTCATTTCTTATGAAGAAATAGAGAATAGCTATAATGAACTTATCGATGACCCATTTTACACGTAATAGTCTAGTAGTTAAAATTAAAATCATACCTATTTCGATTTATTAGATACTTCAGAAGTTTAAACAAAAAAATAATTAAAGAAAAAATTGATTAATTCTGAGCTTGAAATGACTAACGTTTAAAAAAAAAAGTAAAATAAGCCTGATTCAAAAGAAAAAAATGACAAAGTCTAAAAAAATAATAATAAAAATGACAAAAAAAAGAATAAAAAAAAGTAAAATAATGGTAATAATAATTAATTTTCTAATTTCTTCAAAAATGAAAGTTCTGAATCAGAAGAAGAACAAGAAGAAATTGAAGAAATTATAAATATTACATAATATGTGAGGTTTAAAATATTTAAATGGACTGAGTGTTGATTGATTAGCCTATACTATAAAAAATCAATAAAGTTTAACAAATTAAATAACAAAATTAAAAAAATTCGTGTAAAAAAATGAAACTTAAATTTCGTTAATTACAAATCTGTTTAACAATAATAAAGTTTTATTATTAAAATTTTTTCTAAAAATTTAATAAAAAATTATTTAAAAAAATCTTAAATTTCTTGATTAACAAATTTGTTTATTTTTATTAAATTTTCTTCTTTTGTTAGAGCTTTTGTATGAATAAATATAAATTTGTATAAAATTGATCTAATAAATAGCTTTAATTATTATTTTGATAATTTTTTTAATAAATTAAATTAGTAAATATTTCATTAAACATATCAAAAAATATAAAAAATGAATGTATGCATACATATTAAATTATGACTGTATTTTTAAACAATTTTAATTTTTATTATTTAAACCACTTACTTACTTTTCAAGATTTATTAATTTATTTAATTGAGTTTGTTGTTTGCTCTGGCTGGTTTATTTATTCAATAGTTTTTGTTCTTTTCTAATTAAATCTCTTGTTCGTTTTTATTTTCTAAGATTTTATTGAATTCGTAAAATGCATATTCATTTATTCCTGATGAATTTGTGTTATTTTATCTACTATTGCTATTCGATTCAAAGAATTTACTGTCTCCAAAACTTATAGTTTGATGTTAATTGCTAGAATTTGTGTTTTATTTACTTTTGTTTGTTTGATTCAAGCTGCTTCCATTGCTTTCATTTCTATTTTATAAAGAAGATGTAAAACCTCCTAAAATATAAGCCATTTATAGTTTATTTGCAGGATCTTGTAAGGCATCGTTACGCTTCTCTTTCATTTTTCTAATATATTCAGCATTATGCATTTCCTTCAAAGGCTTAGAATCTTGATCAAACTCAAAGATTTGGCTATTACCTTCTTTATTTTTGCTACCATTAAGCAAACTTTACTAGCTTTCAATAGAATTATTATAATTAGCACCTTAATTTAAGTATTAGAAATCACTATCTAATTATTCAATTTCTCCGATTTACAAAGAAATTTCTTCTTACAATTTGCTTAATTGTTATTAGTATTAGATAATTTCAGATTTATTCTAAGTCTAAGATTATAAAAGTGCCATGAATTCGTTCTGTTTTAAAAAAATAATATTTTTACTATACAAAATTTTCATAAATATATATAATAATTACATTGAAGGACTCAAGTACTTTTTCCAATATTTATATGGAATTTCTAATGGAAATAAACTCTCTAGAGTGTTATTCGTGATTTTGTAAGACATTAGAAATGTAATTTATTGAATGTCTGAGGAGAATGAAAAGACAGTTCTTGATATGAATATTATAACTATTAGAAACTTCTCCCTTTAATATATTTCCTATCGCGCTATAGTGAGAAATCAAATTAAGAGGAGAAAAGTTTAATTTAGTGACTAAAAAGTGAGGCATCCAAAGTGGAGATGAAAGAATCTTTATATCTGAATCCTCTTTCTAAACAAGTAGTTAGTTGTATAAATAAATGAAATCCTTTAACTAAAATTTGATGTCTTGAGAAATTTAAGCATTGTTGCTTTCGCATTTTACTACAATATGATCTAAGTTGAACAATCTTGCTTTCTCTTCAATTTCTTCATTAAGCATAATTAGCTAAAATTAAAAATAAATTTTATTAAATAATCAATCAACATCAATAAATTCAAGATAATTTTATTAAAAAAAACAATTTAAATAAATTTAACAAGCATTTAAAAATTAATTTGTTATCAAATAATTTATTTTTTAAAATATAAAAACCAAAAAAAAATTATTTAAAAATTTAAATAACTTTTAAAAATAAAATAATGAAAATTAATTAAAAATAATTGATAAATCTAATAATTAGCTGTAATTAAATAAAACGAATTTATATACTGTATCTTAGATGTTATGAGGCCATTGTTTGGTTTCGTAAATATCGTTGCCAAGCATTCTACCAATTAACTTGTCATAAATCGAATTTATTGAACTGTCAACTTTTTATTCCCCTGTCATATCATATAATATAAGAGCAAACTCTACAAGATTTAAAGGCCATACATAGTACTTTTCTAACATATGCTCGTCAAGCCTCATGAATTGTAATACATCATAACTTTCTTTCAAAAGAAGTTTTTTTTATTCAAGTGTTTTCTTATCACCAGAAGCTTTACATTTATTTTAATATTTTTAATTAATTACTAAGAAAAATAAAAGTTACTTTTTGATTTTTTAAGACTATTTTCAACATAATTTATTCCGTTTAAGAGCTTCTCATACATTTTCTTTTAAATTTTAAGTATTCTTGCTTACTTTACAAGAATTTCTCTTTCAGCATAGTATCTAATTTTGTCAGTCTCTGAAATATCTTTTTTATTTTTGTTAATTTTAATATTTTATAAAGCATAAAAAATTTTATTTACTGAAATCGCTGAGAATAACCGAAATGTCATAAATAGCAATTTCTGTAAATGAAATTCTATCATCAAGCAAAACTCTATCCTCAGATTCTTCTCTATTCTTGAAATTTGATAACTAGAACGCTACATTGTATGCCTCTCTTACATTTCCCATTTGTTCAAGGTACTTAAATTTGATTTTAAGACACTCTGCATTATCAGTTCCAAAATTAGAAAATATTTATTCTGTAAAAGGACTATTTAGTTCAAGAATTTCGCTCTTTCTTTTATTTCTCAACAAGAAATCAATTACAACACTATGAACCTAGTTTAAATAAAAAATATAAAAATTAATTTTATTTTAAAAAATATTAACATACGAAATCTGATGGGTAGTTTTGAATGAGTTTCACTATATTAAGTATTTATAGATCCTTATTAACTTTGGTTTTTGGATCAAACTCTGATTCCTTATGTAAATCTTCAAGAATTTAAATTATTTTTTGCAAGCAGAATTCTCTTTGTTAAGAATTGTCATCCAAAATTTACTTTTAAATTTTAAGCTATTCAGAATACTTATTAACAGGATTGTATTATTAGCTAGCTCTCAACTATTCTTCTAAAGCTTAGGTCTCTTATTGTTATCTCTCTAAATATTTTATTGAAGAATTTAATAAATAACATTTAATACAAAAGATTCTTTAGATATTTAAACTATTTTTCAAACAAAAATTTAATTTCTCTCTTTATATTAAAATTTAAATTCAAAGAGAATATTAACATTTTTTAAAATAAAAGTCAATAATTGCTTAATTAATCAAATATTAAACTATATTTTGCTTTTTATGAGAATTATTTTGATCCAATTAAATTAAAAATATTTTATTAATTAATTTATTTTCTTTTAAACTTTTATTAATTTAGAAGTAAAAATAAAAATTTATTTTATCATTTAATTGATTTGTTTATTTACCTATATTTTCTATGATTCTTTAATGGAATTTAATGCATTCTATGGCAATTTTAGTAAAATCTACTCTGGAGTCAAGAGAAGAATAAATCATAAAGAATTTATCAATGTAGTCAGAATTGAGATATTCGATATGCTCCAACAAGATATTTGTACACTCATTTAGATATTTTGCCTCAGGAACTCCTGTTCTTGCAAATTTACTTAGAATCATTTATAACTTTATTTCAGCTTATGAAATATTGAAGTCTCTATCATGGAAAATAGTATTAAATTAGCTCAAGACCATCTTTGCCTATTTAAAGTCTGTGTTAATAAGCTTTAAATGTAAATAATATTTTACCTAATCCATATATTTAGGGTCAAGCTTAATTGCTTATAAGACATAGTTTTTAACAATTTTTTCATTCTTTTTGTCAGTAAAAACATCTTTAAAGCGGATTTATAGAATTTCTTCTCTTAAATCTCTAAATTCTACGTTGTTCAGATTTGACCTTAATTTATTTTCAGAAATAAAAAGGAAGAGATTTGCAACTTAAATTATTTTGCTGCAGAAGCGAAGGAGATCATCAATTAATTTTGCCTCATCTGCTTTTATTTCTTACATTCTTTCTTCGTTGCTTTTATATCTATTTTAATTTCCCTAATTTATTAAAATAAATTTCAAAAAATTGGCTATTAACATAAATAAATTTACATATCTATTAGAAGTAGAAATAGAGGCACTTTTCATATAAATATTATTAATTGATTAGTTAGAATCAGATCCAAGAAGAGTGTTGTTTTTTAGTTCGTTGCAGTAAATGACTTTAGTTTCGTTTTCTAACCAAAACTTGAACTCGTTGAGACGACGAGTAAAAGCTTGAATTTCTTCTCTTTTGAAATTTTCAATAGGCTCATTAATGAAGAACTTAAAAGCATATGAATTGACAAGAGGTTTATTCCAAACAGGTCTAATTAATCTAGAGAAGTATAATAAAACACCTTCTACTTTGGAAGTGTATTTTCTTCTAGTCCATTCCCAAGCTTTACCTAATGTGTTTTAGAATTCGTCATTCATTTATTTAGACTGATATTAATTTTCACTGGTCTCATCGAGCAAAATATCTCCATACTTAAAAGAAGCAAAATTAAAAATACAATTTTTTATAAAAATTAAAATTTACTTTTTAGAACAAGAAATGAGACTTTTTCAATATTGATTCGCTTATTTCTGTGATTATTGTTTCAGGTATTTGAGAAGGGTCAAGAGGTTTTTCATTATTTTTTTATCCTGGGAATTTATTAGTGTTTTGCTCATATTAAGTTCCCTAGGTAAAGTTGTTTGTGTTGTTGAGTGTAGTATCTGACAACTTGTTTTTAAGTTACTTGTCAAGATGGTTATGGACATTTAAATTTTGCTTAATAAAAAGAATTAATTTAAATAAAGAATTTACAAAAAAATTTTTTTTACATAGTATTCTAAATGAGAGTGGCAAAGCATTTATGAGAGCATAGCAAATGTTTCAGTTACACCATATGTAATAATGAATTATTCAAAAAATTCTAATGAGTTTTATTTCTGTTATTGATTGTTTTTAATATCAATTTGCTTATTACTGAACTTGTTTAGTTTCTTTTAGTTTAATAGCTAAAATTACAATTAAGCCTGAGTCTAATTTGGCTCAGTTATGTAATCTGGAAGTACCTTAATAAGTTGGTAAAGTAAATCAATAGGTCTCTATTAGTAATACAATAAAATTCCCTTACTAGTCAGTACTACATAATGGGAGGGCTAAGAATAACATTATTTAGTTAAATCATTCAAGCAAACATAAGCTTATTGACCATTTTATTCTCCAATCATCTAACTTGTTTCAAGCTATTCAAAGCTATTTAGCTAATAAATTATAAATTAAAATAAGTTAATTTGAAAATAAAAACTAATGTTGGTAAATAAATATTTATATTCTCAATTTAATTTAATTTTTTACTAAAATTAGGCTACTAATTTAAGGAGGAAGTAAGTTTTTTTCAGGGATTTAAGCAAATGTCAAATCATTAAGAATATTGGAGTTCTCGTCTCTGTTTTGGAAATCAAGAATTAATTCTCCCATGCGCTCTGTTGCAACTACAAAATTGGGATGTATTTCAGAAAATATTTGATGGTTTGAAAACATATTTTCCTTGAGCCTTGCAATATACTACTAGTTACTTTCGATGAAAATTAACCTGTTCTATTTATTTTCTATTTTCTACATAACGACACCACCACGAGTAGCAAAAGCAGATTTAATGTATTTTTTCTGTTCATCATCTATAACTTAGACATAGCTTCCTTTGCAAGTTTGATAGTCCTGATTTATAAAAACCATATAAAATTAACTACACTAAATATATTTTTTTTACTTTGTGATCATAAAAAACATGAAGATTTCTGAATGCGCTGTTCTAGTGAGAAATATCTAACATTCCCTTCACAATAGCAATTTAAAACTCTGCAATCGGTCTATATTTTTCAAACATTTAGAATTTTTCTCTTGCTTCTTTTGTTTCCTGAGCACTCAGTATTTGGTTTTTCTTGTCAGTTACCTGAATTAAAAAAAAGATATTTAAAAATAAATAAATAAATAAATAAATTAAGGAAGGATCAAATATTTTTTTTTCTCTTTCTTTTAACCATCATCCTAAGATGTTGATTTAACATTTATTAATTTTTAAATCGATAAATTGAATTATTTTTACTGGTTTAGTTTTTAATACATAGTAGACTCTAATACCAGATTAGGTTACAATAACAAAATTATAATCGTTTGATTGATACTTTTCAATAGCAGATACTGATATAATACTTAATTCTTTGCTTGTAGGAAGTAAATGGAAATGATTTGTTTAGCTAGAAAGGAGTTAATCGGCAAATTGAGCATGAGTTAAGGAACCAATTAAAGTAAAATCTTCATCAAAAGCGCCTAAATCATAAACATCAATTCTTTAAGTTGTTTTTTATTAGTAAGGGTTATATGAAAACGGATTTCTAAAAAAAGGTTTATCACACTAAACTTCTACCAAAGCATATAAAATCTATCTTGTGTCATCAACACTAATATCAATCACTTATTGATCTTGATTCAAAAGAGGAATTTATTGTTTGAATTTTTATTACCAATTCACACCTTCTTTAGCTTTGAATTTTTCGCTTATTGTAATTCCTAATATTTAAGACTTAAAGTAATCTATGTATTTGACTCTTCCACTTGATCCTCCAAAGAATATTCTTCCTTTCTTAGAGAACACAATCTATTAAAAAATAAATAAATTATTTTTCAAAGATTTTTAACCATATAATATTTAATTACTTTATTGACGTATTCATGATCAGTACTTATTGAAACATTGATATCTTGAATATCTATGTTGTTATGTTCTAGCTTGATATGCATAACTTTGATATAATTAGGGAATGCGATCACAAGAACATTTTTGATTTCATTTTATTTGAAAATTGCATATTTGGGTTATCCAAAAGCTATATAAAGTATTGTGTCCTCTAAATCGAATTCCTTTAGGTCATCCTTATCAATTTTATCATCTCTTTTTGTGCCATATTAGTCTTTATTTTGTCTGTAGTATTCATTTTTATTGTAAAGTCTTGTAAACTATGCAAATGATTAAGGACCATATTTCCACATAAATAATTTTTTATTTATGCTAACCCAAGCCAAACTTAACTCTGCAATAATTCCCTTTATATATAAATTTTAATTTTATTATCCATATATAAATAAGCTATAATCAATTTCTTTAATGCTAACATTTAATGATATGAAAACTTTATCTTTTATTTTATTAATATCCTTGCTTTCCTTTTAAGTGAAAGTTCTAACACATAAAGCTATTTAATTAAATAAAACTTTTACCTTATTAACAGAAATAGATTCTTCATCATTACGCTATTAATCAGACTCATATTAATTTTCTAACAAATCAGTGTAATACTCTACAATCCTTTATGGGAATTCAATGGCTTTGAATTAGATAAAGTTGCTTCCATGAGGGAGTTAGAAATCTTTTGATTTAATAAAATGAAATGAATTTAAAATGAATGCAACTAATATTCTAATAATTTGGTTTAATTCAAATATTTCAAGCACAACAATTTCAAATTTATTTGATTATTTTTTACCGCTTTTATGCTTATTTTATTGCTTTATTTTAAACTACTTTTATAAATATTTATAAATGATCAACAAGCTTAAATAAATAAGTAAGTATGATTACCATTTTACTTTACACTAGTTATACCAGCTCCTGTTTCATCCTACTTCAAGCATGCATCCAAGAGACGAGACATTTATTTAAAAGAGTAAGCAATTTCAGATTAAATCTTTTGCTCTTTTTGCACAACAAGCATTTTTTCTTAAAGATTCTATTCTTTGATAACTTCACGTCTTAACAATTCAGTGTCATTATTGTAGGAAATATTGTAGCTACCAGGATTTAATATTTGAGGGTTAGGAGGAATATCCTAATGAATAGGTAAAGTTTCGTTAGATATTTAGTTAAATTAGTTATTAAAGTTAAACTAATTGATTTCTGTATTTTTTGCATTGAATTTATAAAGCTAATTAGAAGATTAATTTAAAAATGTATTAGCAGAAGTTTCCTAAGAATGTCTATTATATCCTTTTAGGTTATTCTAAATTACAAATCCATGATTACTCATCATGCTAATATTATTGTTATTCATTTAATTTGTTGATTTATTGTCCCCAAATTTATTGAAATAGCCTAATTGTGCTTACTGAGATTGTTAATTGCCTATAAAACTATCACCTGCGAACTTTTAATCCCTATCTTTATTTGTATTAAATGCATTAAAATTAGACAATCCACCTTGCTGAGAGAAATAATCATCCCCTCTCTTACGCTTCTAAGCAGAGGATAAAAATTTAGAAGACATTTTTTCTTAATTTAAATTTGGATAGTTTGATGTTGAAATCTATTAAAAGTTAATGCTCATTTCAAATATTTCTTTCAAGCTGTATTTCTAAAAATAAAGTTTATATTTATTTTTTATTCACTATGAATCCTCAAACAAACAGAATATTATTTATTTATTTATTATCTATCCTTTCCTATTATGATTTAAACAATTAGCTCTACCAACTTTACTGCTCTCTCTACTCCTTTTAGTTAGTATACTTACTTACTTTCTTATTTAATTTAGCTTAAATAATTTACAAATATAAATATAATTCGCGTCTTGAAAAAGTTTATAATTCAATAAATTTATTATTAATTATTTTGCTTCTGAATATCTTTTTTATTTATTTATTTTTATCACTTTGCTATAGTCAATACCTATGAAAGCTACTAATAACTTACTAATTAACTATCTATCTATCTAAATCTATTTGAAAAAAATAAATAACAATTAAAATATTATTATAGACTCAAATAAGTTTTTCAGTTCATAAATCAAAACCTTCAAGCAAATTTAGAAAATCTTTAAAAATTTAAATAAAAATGGTTGCTTAAAATAAATAAATAAATTTAATAATTTAAATAAAAGAATCATTCGTTCCTTTGAGTAAAATAACAAAATTAATTCTCAAAATAAACTTTCTATTTAAAGATTTTATAAAAATATTTTAATTTTATAAATAAATTGAATATTATTTTTTCACAATTTTAACAAACTTACAGAAGAATTAAATTAAATTTAATATTTTTACATTTTGTGGTATTTTTTATTTGATTTATTTGATGTATTTACCTAAGTTAAAAATTAATTATGTTCTTAATTATTATAAAGATGTAGACAAAATAAATTTTGCTCTTCATAAAAATATTTTCAAAAAAATAAATATTGAAATAAATGAGTAGTTTGCTTGGAAAATATTTATAATTTGCTAAAATATAGATTTAGTAATATTTTTTTATTTAACTTTAGGTCGTGAAATAGTTTATTTCTTTAAAAAAAGCTATTTAAATTTAGTTATAATAACTATTAAGTAATAATGTTAAAAATTTATTGCCATAAATTGATTAAAATTGTTAAAATATAAATAAAATTTACATAGAAAAATCTAATTTTCTGATAATTAAAAATTAGAAAATTTTTATAAATAATAACAATTTTCTCCATTTATTTGAATTAATATTTATTACATTTTTTATTTTTATAAATACTAAAGTGTAAATAACTAACTTAATATCTATCTAACTAACTAAACTCATTATCCATTTTAAATATACAACGCTTAATTTTTATATTTTATATTTCAAATGAAATATTGAAAAGACATTTATAAAGTTGTAATTATTGATTTTATCTATCAAACTCAATTTATTTTATTATTACATAGTTTATAAATATAAAAGAAATTTTTAAATACGATAGCAAATAAATTTTGATTAATTTATTAACTAATTTCTCAAGTCAAGCCATAAGCATAAATAAAGATGTAAAAAGGTAATTATCAATAAAGGCGCTTAGAAAACCAAAGGCCAACATTTGAAGAAAACGATGATTTATTTTCTAATATGTCTAAATTGCATAATAAAATCCACTAAAATAATTATCATTAAGAATTTTAGTAGAAATTTTAAAACGAGTCAAGCAGTAGCTATCCATAATCTATCAATAATTTTGATAAGATAGTTAAACAAAATGATACAATAAACTAAAATAAATAAAAAAGCGAAGAAGCAGATATAATTTAGTAAAGTTAAGGTAAAAACTAATAATTTTATCCAATCTATTTTTATGTTCTAAATTTATTTAAATATAATAAATAGTTTTTGGTCCATGTCAAAGATTTTTTGATCAATCTTGTTCTAGTAGAAGTATCAACTTATAAAATACTATTGATGTTTCTTAAACAACCAGACCTTTTGTTTAATACTATTAAAACCATCAATAATTTCTTAATAACACCTAAGTTGATAAATTGGAGAGAAAATAATTGTAGGAAAACAATTTAAGTCAATAAAATAGCCTAAAATTTGGAAATTAGGTAGAGTTGAGTTGCAGAGCTAATAAAACACAATTCTTTTAAGCAAATTAATTTGATAAATATAGCATTAAGGAATTAAATTAATAGAAAGAAAGTATAACAAATAATGTTTAGAGTATAACAAGTATTAAATATAACTAACCTTAACAAAGAAAAAATACGTTTTATCAAATATTGACATCTAAAATGAATAAATAAGAGTAAGTAGACTCTGCCAGGTTAGAAAAAGGAATATTCTTAATCAAGAACCTTTTACCAAATTTGGGATAGAAGGGTTTAAGAATTTAGTAAAGAGTAAAACAGTTTGTAGAATAATTATAACTTAGTTAACCTAACAGAAATAACCATAACTTAAACGAATAGATTTATAAAATAATTGATGACAAAAGTTTTTCTGGAATAAAAAACATAAATTCAAGCATTTCATAAAAAAAATAAATAAACAATTTTAAAAATTTTAACATTTTAAGCTAAATATTTTATAAAATAAGTAAATAGATATACAAGCTCTTATAGTTAAAATATATTTTTAAAATTAATTTACCTCTAATTATGCCAACTGATTTATTTTTACTGGCATGGGACTCTTTATATTTAGTCTTAATTAATGGAATTCTATACATATATTCTATTTATTTATTCTTTGGCTAACAAACAAAAAGCACATTAATTGGAATATTATTTTATTTTCTTTTTTCAATTGGAATAATAGATAGGATAGTCCTTTTCAATACAGCATTTTATAAGAAGGATATTATTGTTCAACAAAAATCAAAAATAGTAAAAAAAAATATATTCTCATTTGCCTTTTGGATTGATTTGTTAGTTTTTTTCTTCATAATACATAAGCTACTCGATACAGAAATGAAATACTTTCTATTTAATCCTCAAAATGATATTAAACTTTATTTATATAACAGCATAATTTTCTTACTCTTGCACAAAAATTCTGAAAAAAAGAAAAACTTGAATGATATTTTTACATAAAGTCAAAACTCTAAGCATATTTTTAGGATGGTCAACTAATTGTTAAATGTCTTCTTAATTGCACATATAGGTAATCTTTTATTTATATAACTTAAGTCCTGATATTTTAGCACCTATCCCATCATTTTTGGTTTCCTTTTTTTTCTGTTAATAGAAAAAATATATTTCCTAAATATTGTGAGAGGTAATGTATGAATGAGGATATATGGTATAAATGAATTTAAATTTTTTAAATATTCAAAAATAGATAGATCGCTTGCTTTCCTTTATTATTAAATTTAATTTTGATTAAAAAAGATGATTTTTATTTTATTATTTCTTATTTTTAATATAAACAATATTAATTTTGAATGGCCATTGTTTTGATAATAAATATATATTTGTTATAACTAGAATAATAATATACATACTTAAATCTTCATTATATTATTAATACTAAACTTAAAAGTATAAGTAAAAAAAAATTTTATCTTAATCAATAGTGGCAATTTGCATGTATGTTATGTACCTAATAGAAGAGCACTATTAAATAAATAATAATTGGGTTACTTTATTGAACATATAAGACAGTAAATATTATGAAAAATATATTTATTCGCTTTATTGGTCTATAACTACTATGACAACTGTTGGGTATGGTGATATAAGAATATCTAATTCGTATGAAGCTATTTTTATATCTGCAGTTATGATACTTTTTAGTATAGTATTTGCTTATTCTGTAAGTAATATTGGACTTATCCTGTAAGAAATAGAAAAGAGCTCTAAACAACTCTAAGAAAGACTTTCAATCATTTCAAAGTAAGTTAAATAAAATTTGAAAGTAAAATATATCAAAAATTATTTTATGCTTGAAATAGATTTATGAATAGGAAAAATATAAACTCATCTTTAAAGAGCAGAATAAAATTTTATTTGAAGTTTCTAGCTTCTGAATAAAAAAATAGAGATAAACAAGAAGAAGATTATATATTAAGCATGCTCTCTAATAAATTAAGAAATGAAGTTGTGGAGGAGATCAACTTAAAAATAATAAATAAATACACTTTATTTATAGCTAACTTTTCATAAAAAGTGATTAAAGAAATTATTTTTTTAATGGAAGAAATCATTGTAGCACCTAACGAAATTATTTTTAAATAATGTGAAGCAGAAGATTAATCTATATATTTTATTTAAAGTGGTTTAGTAGAAATATTTGTATCTAATACATAGGAACAATCTGAAAAAGTAATTACTTAATTGGAATAAGATAGTATGTTTGGAGAAATATCTTTTTTCTCAGGACTTCCAAGGACAGCTTCTGCTAGAAGTTTAAAATTGTCTACAATTTATTAAATAAATAGAGAAAAATTTTTAAATCTTTTAAAGAAATATGAAGAGGATTTTCAGAGATATAAGATGATTTAAGAGTTAATAATTTTCCAATAAAATTATAAGTGTTTATATAGCCAATGTTATAGCTGCAGACAATTAGGACATACAGCAATTAATTGTCCTAAATCTCATTTAAATATTGATAAATAGTTTATCATTTTGAGGAACAACTTCTCTACTTTTCAAGAAAGAGAAACCTTTAGCAAGTTTATCAGAAAGCAAACTAAATCAAATTATAAGTAAATTAAATTAATTTATTATTAATTTTTTTGTTTAAGAAATCAATTAAACTTCAGATATAAATTATAATTACTGTATTACTTCTCAATCACTTACTCTATGTATTATTACCCATATTTTATAGCAATAAAGTTAAATTAATTCTTGAAATATATCCAGCATTCATTCGAGTGAGGGTCAAGGTTGAGAAGGAATACGATAATTTTAATTTAAAAAAAAACTATTTTATAAAATATTAATAGGAAATTCGCTTTCATTAATAAAAAAATTTGTGAATAGTTAGAGAAAGATTGCAAAAATTATAATTCTTATACTTAATTACTTTATTAATAAGATAATGAAAAAAATAACTAATCTTATGAAACAATAAATTAACAAGATAAAAGTAGTTTGAGTGAAGAAAATACTGAACAAAGTAATTAAAGTAGTGTTGAAAAATAATTTCAATATCGAAATACCCTATCAAATATAAAGATATCTTAATTTCATATAAATGATTAAAATAATACTTCTAATTTATCTTCTGTAACAGCAGTAAATGAGCAATTAAATGAAGATAATAAGAAAGATTAAAATTAAATTAACTTATTGATGTTATAAGAAAATCTAAATAATAAAAATTAATAGCAAATTCAAGCTATTTGTAATGATTAAATCAATTAAGAGATAATTAGCAATTTTTCAAAATCATACAACATTTTAATTGAATCAGATTAAACGAGAACAAATTTAAATAAAGCAAGGCTTTCAAGCAAAACTTACCAAAGCATTGAATAATTAAATTTTTTACAAAAGAATGAACCTAGTCTTTAACTTGAAGAAATTCAAAACAGCTAAAATACGCATAAATAAAAGAGTTCGAATAACTTTTCTGATGAAAATAAAAATATATCATCTCTTTTTTAGGAAAATGAAAAGCAAATATCAAATAGCATCAAAAAACAGAAAACAGTATCTTATAATAATACCTAGGAGATGAGCAAGAATAAAATTCCTCATTCATCTAATAATGCAAATACTTACAATAGTTTAAATCAAATCTATTAGAATAATGTTTCAAACCTATTCCAAAATCCAAATTTAAAATAATTTCTAAATAATTATGCATAGTATAATAGAAAAAATAATTTTTCTCACAAAACTATAAAATTTGATGCTTTGAAAACAGACTTTGTATTAGACTACTTTGATAGAATGAAACTCTTTAAGAGATTCTTTCCCAAAAATAATTTTGACTAAACAATTAAAAAAGTAAAATAATTCTATTAACAAAATTTAAAATAAAAAAAATTAGAATTTAGAAGATAAAAATCAGCATAAAATCGAAATCATGAAGAAAAACTTGATTTTAATAAATTTTATTGTAATCCAACTTAAGCTTCATATGGAATTAACACCTCAAACAAAACTAAATTCCCAATAAAATATATTTGAAAATAAAAGCCAGAATAAATATAAATCATGATGAAAAGTTTTATTTTTTATATTTGAAATAAATTGATACTTCAATTATAATTAAAACGTCCAATAAAACTATAATTCTAACAAAATAAATATATTTGATATTATTAATTTTTATCAAAATGATAAAATAGCATGTATATAATAATTGTTTGTTTAAATTAATTTATTAAAATAAAAATAAATGTAGTTAGTTAATTAGTTTATAGTTATTAAAAATAAATTCTAAAAACAATTAATTTTATTTTTAATTATTTCATTTATTTGATAATTGACTACTTGAAAGTAAACAGTTAATTATATTTAATATATTTTTTATTAAATATTAAAGTTAGTTTAATTTAAATATATAAAACCAAAAATAAAATTTGATATCATCACTATCCATCCTAAGAGTTTTATAATTTTATTTTTAAATATAAATTAAAATTATTAAATTAAAATATAAAAATTTACTAAATTAATTTATTATTAAATCAATTAAACTTTCTAATATAAAAATATTTTAAACACAAGAAATAAAATAATGATTTAAGACAACTTTTTATTGTAAAAATCTCCAAAACGAATACAGCTGATCTCAATATATTATAAATTTTCTTAAAATTGTGTTTAATTAAATAAATTCAATATTTTCATTTATTTTCATATTTTGAGTGCAATCGATTAGTTTAATGTCAAATTTTTAAAATAGAAGTTCTCATTTTCTTATTTTTTAAAACTAATTAAATGACAAAAAATAAAAGAAGATTAAATTTTGAATAAATAAATTAGCATTTCAGCTTTTCTAAGCTAAAGATGAAGAAATAAGTTAATATTTAAGAAAATGAATATAATAAGGTTTATAATAAATATGTTTAACTTATTTAATAATTAAAAATAAGTAGAAATTTTAAAATAAAAAAGGTGTATCAGGAGATTCAAATCTTAATCACTTCAGTTGAAAGTCAAACAATAAATAAAATTTCGATTTATAATAAAAGAGATATTGCAATTATAAGGATAAATCTTTTTTATGTTAAATTTTATTAAAATTATTTAAGCCTAGTTTTATTGATTATTATATTTTATTTTTAATTTCTTTTTCTTTTAATTCAAGTCAAATCAAATCAAAATAGTAAAATTTGCTTAATTTTCTAGAAATTAATCCTTTTAAATTATTATCAATTGAAATTTGGAAAGGGGTACAAGATTAAATGAACTTAAAGTATATAAATTTATTTTTATTGAGTATATTAATTATTCTTTAAAATTTATTGGTGAATTTGTATTTAATAAATCTAAAATAAATTATCTAATAACAAACTTCGTATTTTATTGAATAAATTTGTAGAAAAAACGAATAATGATTTTTTTACCTCTTAATATTGTTAAAAATAAGTCTAATTTTTTCGTTTTAAATACTCTGCATATAAATTAATTAAAATATGTAAATTAATATAGATAAAACGCATTACTACAATTTTATATATATATAATATCAACATTAGATAAGATAATTTTATGTCTATTTATTGATATTTATAATACCAAACTTTGTGAATATTAATCTTTTTTTTTAAAGTAAAAGAAGTAAAATTGAAAGGAAAGAAATTAAGTAAGTTTAAAGGTTTAATATATATTTTTAGAAATGTCGCAGGATAATAGATAGCCTAATATATAAAACTAGTTAAAGACCATTTTAAATGGCATTATTTATGATTCAATTTCTAAAACTTTCTTTTCTCCTCTTGAAGTTGTAAGGATGAGACTTTAAAATCAAAATGAAATGATTAAATAAGGATATTTATAGCAAAGATACAATGGAATTATTAACTGCTCTAAAAGGGTAGTGCAAGAAGAAGGTTTAAAAGCATTGTGGAAGGGTAATTTCACTCATATATTGATTAATTTAACAAGCAATACCTTGAGTTTTCCTATTAACAGTCTAATAAAAAAAATAATTAATCCAAAGAGAGAAGATGGATAAAAAATGTGGATTGCTTCTAACTTGGCTGCAGGTCTCTTAGCTGGCTTTCTCTCAAGCATTTTTTCATACCCACTTGACTATGCTAGAACCAAGCTTACAAATGATTTCAATTCTCCTAAATTTGGAAACTAGAAGTAGTATAATGGATTGATAGATGTATTTAGAAAGACTTTAGCGAGTGATGGGATAGTAGGCTTCTATAGAGGTTATATTATTTCTAATTTTGGAATCATCATTTACAGGGCAGTTTATTTTGGTCTTCATGGTTCATTTAGGCACTTGGTACCATAATAAAATGTATTTGCTCAATTTGGCTACAGCTGGACAGTCACCACTACAGCAGGTATGGTTTCATATACAGTAGATACAGTTAAAAGGAGAATGATGATGACCTCTGGGCAACCAGTCAAATATAGAGGATCTATTGATTGTTTTAGGTATATAATAAAGAATGAAGGATTTAAACATTTATTTAATGGATTTAGTCTCACATTAATAAAATCTATAACAAGTGCAGGTCTTTTAGTTATTTACGATTAATTTTAATGAATCAGGAATCAATCAACACCATTATAAAAACAGCAAAAATTCTACTGATTTATAATTAATTAATTATCTAAAAATGATTTAATAAAAAAGAAATTTGCTTAACTTCAATTATTACACAAAGTAATAATCATCTCTATTTTATTTACAAATCAAGTCTTTTTTAACAGAATAATATCAGTCAAAACGCTTATTTGTTTTAATTAAAACCAAATAAGAATTATACACAAAATTTATAGACGAAAAGAAGGGTGATATTCTTGTTATATATATAATCTCTTCCACTTAATAAATTAATTAAAATATAAAAAGATAGTAGTAGTAGTTATTTATTTATTTATTTATTATTTTTGTATATTTATTATTTATAAAATAAATAAAGTAATTTAAAATTATTTTTTAGAATTTATAATAATAGATTTAATTATTCATTTTACTAGTAATGAGCTTAAATAAAAACAAAAATCATATTCCAACAATGATATTTTTTAGCTTTATGATTAAAAAATAAATATTAAATATTAAGAAGAAGAAATTAATTGATTTAATAAAAAATTTTTAATAAAATTTAAAAATTTTTTTCACATATAATTATTATTTTTATAAAATCTAAGCTTGATTTGTAAGTAAATTCACAAAAACAAAAAAATTTAGAATTTATTGAATTATAAAAATCAATTAGTAATAATTAAAGTAAAAATTAATTTACATAATTAAACAAAATACAATTAAATATAATCAAGATAATTTATATTTTTAAAATGAACGAAATTAAATTTGATATGAATAAGATGGATAAATTACCGACTGATGAAGATAACAATAACCTAGCTTAAAATATGATAGCTTAGAATTCGATGGTTCATAATTTCTTAAACAATTAATCATAAGCTAAATGCTTAGGAGATTCAAGTTTATTGTATCCTCAATCTCTGAACAACTTTGACAAATAGCTTTATATGAAATAAAATTCTAAAAAACAAAATGTAGATTTAAGTGAATCTCAATAACAATTTTATTAATATAAAAAGGCAAGTTACCCAAACTTAATATTTGATCCTCGTAGAACTAGCCATTTTTAAAGCGATATTAAATTCCACAGATAGTCAGACTATCTGTAATCAAGTAGAAGTATTAATTTAGAAAGCATTGAAGACTTCTAAAGATTTAATATTGATATAGCAAATAAAAGCTAATATTCGATAAAAATGAAAGCTCATTCAATAATTAACTAGAGTAAGTACTAGATACAGAGCATGAATCAAGCTAAGTAATACTCTTCAAAAGTAGAAACTTTGTGCTCATAAAATAAACAAAATTAAGATTTGTATGTAAAAAATAAAATCTAAGCTAAACAAGTGAATAGCTAAGTAAATTAAAATGATAAAAGAAAAGAAAAGAAAAAAGTGATTATTGTTAGCAAAGAAAATAAAACTAGTAGAACAAGCATAGAAAAATAAAAACAGCAAAATGGTTAAAACTTACTTTAGAAGTTTTTGTAGATTAGAATAAAAACTGAAGAGAATAATAATTCCATAAGATTTGATAAGGGAATATAAATAATTAAGAGAATTCTACCAAATAAATATAATTTCAGGTTCAGAGTTGAACAGAAAGTAAAGCAATTTATTGAATAACTTAACCTTTATCATTCAAATAGAAACTTAAAAAGTATATATTCATCAATAACAAAGATCATAGGAGATAAGAGCTCATATTATGAAAATTAATTGTGTAATTCTACAAAAAGTAAAAATTAATCCAATTTCTGTAACTCAGATAAAATTTAATACTAACTAGCTGGCTATTTTTACAAAAAATTTTGTTGCATCATGAACAAGAATTTAAATCTCCCTTTAATTATGCCAGCTAATCCTTATTTACTTGTTTGGGATAGCTTGTATTTGGTTATAATAAATTCATTTCTCTACATTTATTCGATTTATTGCTTTTTTGGCTCATAGACGAAGGATAAACATTTAGGAGTTTTCTGTTATGTCATTTTTTTTACTCTAGCTATAGATCGAGTTATTTAATTTAATACAGCCTTCTATGAAAAAGATGTTATTATTTAGAAAAGACAAAAAATAATTGAAAGAAATGTATTTTCATTTGAATTTCTGATAGATTTGTTAGTTACTATTGTGATATTTTTTAAATTGCTCAACTAAGATTTAGATTCTATGACCTATAATCCAGCTAATTAGATCCTTACCTACTTTATAAACTGTTTCGTTTTCTTGTTGATTTACAGAAATTTGGAGAAGAAAAAAAATTTGAGCGATGTTATAACTATTGAATAAAATTAAAAACATCTTTACAGATTATTCACTTAGCTTTTCAATGTATTCTTGATAGCACATATAAGTAAATTAGTTCAACTTTCCTTTTAAAATTGACATATTTTAAATTTATTTTTTAACTAAATTTTAAATTCTTGTTAATAAAAAATGTAAATAAAAATACCTTTTTATAGTAAAATTATGTTAAGCATTTGAGCATTAATTATAAAATTATTTAAATTAATAAATTTATAAAATTATTTCAATTATTAAGTTTTATAAAATTATTTCAATAAATAAATTTAGGTGCAATATGCATGTGGATCCTTTATTTGGTTGAAGAATATTACTAAATAAATAATAACTGGGTCAATCAAGCAAATATTTAAAATTAAGCTTTTTACGAACAGTATTTTTACTCTTTATACTGGTCAATCACTACGCTGACTACTGTTGGTTATGGTGATATACATATCTAAAACTATTAAGAAGCTATTTTTATTAGCTTTGTGATGATTCTCTTTAGTTGTGTATTTGCCTATTCTGTTAGCAATATAGGAGTTATTCTACAAGAGATTTAAAAGAATTCTAGGTAACTGTAAGAAAGACTTTCTATTATTCAAAAGTAATTTAGTTTTATTAGTTAATTTTATATGAATCTTATAATACTTTTTCTAAACAGGTTTATGAATAGAAAAAATATAAACTCATCATTAAAGAGTAGAGTAAAATTTTACTTAAATTTCCTTGCCTCTGAATAAAAGAATAGAGATAAAAATGAAGAAGATATAGTTTTGGGTCTTCTCTCAAATAAACTTAGAAACGAAATAATTGAGGAAATAAATTATAAAATTATAAATAAATATTCATTGTTTATGGTTAATTTTTAGTCTAAAGTCATAAAAGAAGTTGTTTATTTAATGGAAGAAATAATAGTAGCACCTAATGAGATTATTTTTAAGCAAAATGATTCAGAAGATCAATCAATATACTTTATATAGAGTGGTGATGTGGAGATATTTGTTGCTGATAATTTAGGTTAAACTTAAAAGGTATTAGCTTAAATTACTTCAGACAGTGTGTTTGGCGAAATTTCATTTTTCTCAGGTCTTCCTAGAACTGCTTCTGCTCGTAGCTTAAATTTATCAACAATTTACAAAATAAACAGATAAAAATTTATATGTTTTTTGCAAAATTACCCTGAGGATTTTTAAAGATACAAAATGATATAGGAGTAAATTATATGTTAAAATAACTTATTGTGCCTTTATATCAAATGCTATTCTTGCAAATAAGCAGGTCATATCGCAACTAACTGTCCTATGACTCATATCAACATTGACAGATCATTTTAGATATTGAAAAATAATTATTCGATTTTTCAGGAAAGAAAATAATCAATCAGAAAAAAAAAACGAATGAATTTTATGTAAAATTTTTTAATTTATTAAATTATTTAGGATGGATTATTGCTTTTAATTAAATTTTCTTTTATATTCAAATTTTAAATAGATCAGAGGTTTAAAGAAACAAACAAGTTTGTAAGAATTTAAAATAGAAATATAGATACTATAACTCAAAGACTTAGCTTTTATACTAATAGAATGAAGATGACGATAGTGATTAGCTTTCTGATACTTCAAATGATGATTCTTAAACTAGTATGTAGAGTAGTAGCTATTCAATATATTAAAGAAATATGACTATGGCTAATCCAATTAAAAGACCTTCTTAGAAATAAAATAATGAAATAAACAATGACAAAAAATTAAAAAAGTAAATTTCAAAATCGCTTTTAGTATAAAATCAAAATTAAGATTTTGAAAATAAAAAATTAAAAAGAAACTATTCAAAAAATTAACTTCCTGAGTTGAATGATTAGTAAAATATTGATTAGTAGCATCAAAATGAAATTTATTGTCAATCCTAGCAAATGTGTTAAATTAATAATGACTGTAACTTAGGTGTAGAAACAAATTTATATAAATCTAGTAAATAAATAATTGACCATGATAGTGATATAAAATAATCAAATTAGAAATCTTAAAATAGCTTATCTTCTATTTACACTGAATAAAAATGTAAAGATAAGCATTAAGATGATTATATTCACAATGATATTTAAAATTGTAATGAAACTAATGAGGTAGCTTTTACTAAGCATAATTAAGATGGTAAAACTTTAAAAGGTATACACTTCTCTGAGATCGATGCTTAATCCACAAATGAATTAGAAAAACAGATATTTTATCAAAAAAGATTAAAAACAAAAGAAAATGACATTCTTTATCCTAATAATTTGGGTTAAATATCCTCTTAAATCAACTTATTTGCATAAAAAATATAAAATAATTATTAATTAAATCCAAGAAAAAACATTCTTTTAAACTCACTATCTAAAACAGAAGCATTTATTTAATTAAAGTAAATTGAGTAGTTTGATTCTATGAAAATATTTAAAAGATTCTTCCCACATAATAACTTTGATAAAGTCTTAAAAAAGTTGAAATAAGTAAATGTATAAAATTCAAAATTAAGAAAATAAGATAAACGTTAGTCAAAAATTTCAAAGGTAAATAATTAATAAATAATGCAAAGCCTTTTTGCAAGTAAAGATTATCAGATCCAACCAACGTATGCCTCGTATGGAATATTTGTATTTAGGTCTAAACTTCCTATTAAATTTAATTGAGAGAAAGTTTTATATAATTTTAAGAAAAAATTAATTTAGATATTTAATTAGCATTAAAAATGTTATGTTATGTTTTTATTAATATATATTGTTTATATTTTAATTATCAATAGATGATATAAAAAATAAAAAGATATTAATTTAAAAGTGAAAATTTTATACAAAAAAATGTCTAATTAATATTTATAAATTTTGCTTATTGTAGAGAATATAACAATAGTCAAATCTTGTCACCAAGGACATAAATCAGAAAATTTGACTCATTTTTGTACACGCTTTTTTTAAAAATAATTTTTATTATACCTCACTCCTATTATCCATATATATATTTACTTTTATTAGCCAATTCTAATTCATATAAAATAAGAAAAAGAAACATAATTTTTATCTAATAATAGATTTTTTTGTGATTACATATTATATTTTCAAATTGATCTAACTTTACGATTTTATATTAATAAGAACTTTTTCTTTAATTAATTAACATGAATAATTTATTTTTTTAAAGAAAACAATTTAAATTAAAAATTATTTTTATCTATAAAATTTACTTCTTTAGAAAGTTAGAAATCTTAATTTATTATTTATTTAAATTAAATTTTTTATTTTTAAATATTTGGAAAATAAAGTGTTTTATAATTTTTTTATTATTGCTTTTAAAATTTTTAATTTTATACAATAAATAGCAAATAAAGTAAGTTAAAATAAATCCAATTTTATAAATAAATGATTTTCGATCTTATAAAAAATATTTTATAAACATTTAGTTAGAAAAGTTTTAAGAGTATAAAATTTAATACTGCATAATGTAAATTATTAATCACTAATAAAGATCATAAAGAATTTAAGTAGGATTTGTAATTTAATATTGACTTAAATATTTTATAAAAGTGTTTATTTGCAATGCTATGGGAGCAAGTCTTGAATAGGTTTATTTGTAAAAAGTATTCAAAGTATGAGGTAAAGAAACCAATTATTCTTTATGTATTATTTATAATCTTAGGATTCTATTCAAAAGAACATCTTAAAGATCGTTATTTAAGTAAGAAGTATAAGGTAAATAAAGCTCTGGTATTTTTTTTACATAGTACAAAAATTCATAAAGAGCTTATTTGCTAACACATTTTTCTACCACAAAGCAAATATCACCTATAGAAATGGTATATTATTAAATATCTACATATTTCTTTTTTTCATAATAGGCATATAAAATCTCAAGTAGTTATATCTAGCTTTTTAGACTGAAGTTTTCATTACTTATTTCTTATTCTTCATTCAATTTAATGTAATTTTTTGTATTTTCAATTCTTTTTTAAGGTGATATTATGGTTAAATTTTATTTCAAATCTTATTTCTTAAGAAAGTCTAGTAGCTCTAGTCTATCTTTAAATTCTTTTATTATCCAATTATTAAATTTATAGTACAATAATGAGTTTAAATGAGGTTACATCATCTCTATATACAAAATTATTGTTAAATAGCATAATGAATACTGTTATGTCGTTACCATCAACACAAATAGACCTAATAATTTTAGTATGAAGCAAAGTAACTATATCTAAGAACATGCATAATACTTGAACTGCTAATTAGGAGTTATATACTCAAAAGAACCATGATTAAAGTGTAAAATAGAGCATAAAAACATATTAATTTTTTCATATCTGTATATCTTAAATCTTTTTTGCAAGTATTGTAGAACTAGAAAACATTATATTATATCTAAACAACTTGCTATTAAAATATATTTGAATATCACATCTAAATTGCAGAAGAATATCAAGAAAACTGCTAAAAAGCTCTTTAAAATTAGAGTATAGGCTAAACATAATAAAGGAAAAGCTTCTTTAACCACAAGTCTATTTATAAGCTGCATAATCATAATCACAAAGAATACAATTATTAATGATATGCTAAGATTGTAAGTAGAGCTTGTTAAATTATCCTTTTGTATTAATATTGCTAACATGAATTACATAGGAAGAATAAAATAGAAGCTCTTTAAGAGTTAGCAATTAACCATAGTTTTGCAAGCATTAGAGTAAAATCCTATGAACGAAATGTAAAAAACCTCTAGTATTAAGAATTTTTGTCTCTAAATTTCATAATTTCCATGAAATTCTATCAGTCCTAAACATTTCTCCAATATATTTATAAGTAAAGTTATTATAGGATATAAGATGCTAAGATCTTCTTCAAATAAGCAAATAGTTAACCAAAGACTTAAAGCTGCTGCCAAATAAGTTAAAAAGATTGTAACTTAAAACAGAACCGCTTATTTTCCAAGACTATTTATATTACCTAAAAATACCATTTAAAATCGAATATTATTTATGTAAATTAGTTAATTAATTTTTGTATTTATTTTTGATAAGCTACTTCTTAATGCAATAATTCTTAAGGAGTTTATTTTTTTTCAATTAATTTGTAGATGTAATATTTCAAATCATTACTTATCAAAGTATTTCTATCGTCATATTTTTCTGACAAGGAATTTGTAATCAATTTTTAATTTGGTTCTTATAAAATACAATTAAACAAAAATCCTAATAGAATAAATCTTTTTGTCTTTAATAAATTCAAAAGAAGAAAGAAGAGTTTTTGTGGTCAAAATGATAAATAAATTAATTAAGGCTTTTAATTAGTCAAAATTGATTTATAATGAAAATAGTTATGAAAATTCGAATTTCTAAATTTAACATTTTATTATTTCTTTACAACTAAATTATTTATAAACATTTATTAAATGTGTTTCTATAAAATAATGAGAAATTTAAAACAGATATTTTATTAACAAAAATTTTTTAAATATTCATTCTCTTAAAGAGACTGACTGAATCATGCAATTTATCACATAATAAAGAAATTTTTATTAAGAAAATATATAAAATATAAAATAATTTTCTTTAAAAAACTTGAATATTTTTTTGAAATTAGAATAGAGTTTCATAAAAAATGCTTGTTTTAAAAAACAAATAGGATATAAAATAAAAATAAAAAATATTATTCTAATCAAAATCCTTTTTCAGGATCATCTTCGTGCTCTCTTATCTTAAATTGAGCAATGGCTTGGAAGATTAGTACAAATACAACTATTAAAAATTCAATTAATCCTGAAATCGTAGAAAAACTTTTAGTAAGGAACATATTTATAGTCTCCCAACCCATTCCAAATCCAATTAAATTGGTGTAGCACATAAATATGATGTAAAAACTTGCACAAAGACCGCAAAGATACTTCCACCAAAAAGAAGTAGTATACTTCTTGAATTTTGGTTTTTCGAGGTATTTCTTAACTCCAATTTCTGGTATTAAACAGATGCAAATACCCCAAGCCCACAAAAGGAGATTTAATTTAAGGTCATGCCAGATAGCAACAAAAGTGAAGACAACCCAAATATTCCACATTTTAGTTTTAGAACCACCAAGAGGGAAGTAAATATATCTCAATAACCATTAGTTAAATCCTCTATGCCAAGATCTCCAGAAACCTTCGAAATTATAGTTATTATAGACACATCTATTCATATTTTCAGGAGCTTCTATATTATCCCACATTGCCCAAGCTCTAGCGATTTTCCATATGGTGTTAAATTTAAACCAAATAAAAACTAGACTTGAGAAGGCTTTTTATATAAAATAAAAAATATTTATTGAGATAAATAAATAAAAATTCTAGCTTTCAACTTTTTAATTATCTAAAAAGTAAAAGCTTTTTTTGTGGAGATAAGCGAAAATTGTTTTGGTGGTAATCTTTAAATTTAAAAATATCATAAAGTTATATATTTCAAATGTTATTTATAGTTTTTTTATTTGCTTTATTAATTAAAATATTGCTTTTATCTTAATTTATTTTTAGAGGTGGGAGATAAGAAAAAAAGAAAAAAAAACAAATAAATTTTGTTTTTTAAATAAAAATTTACAAGTAAATCGATGGTAAAATCAAAAAAAAAAAGGTTGTAAGTGATGAATTAATTAAATAAATTGAATCTTAAGCGTTTTAGACAATTTTTTAAAAAAATTTCTATTTTATTTTAAAAATTAAAAATTTTTACAGCAAATAAAAAAGAAAGCAGGAGAAAATCTTTCCCAAAGCCATGAATTTTAGGATTTAGTAGTAATAGCGAATGAATAGTCAAAATGAAGCCATATTTCAAAGCAAACAAAACTAAGCAAAGCTCTTAGACTGTACTTAAAAGCAGAGTTTCTGATTTATCCAGGATTATTGATTTAACTGATAAAGGCATTAAATGTGAGGGGTGGACCTGTTATAAATAGTGGAGTATAGACTAAATAACTATAGTAATGCTACAATGTAAATTCTTTAATGCTAGAAGGATCATCATAACGGTATTTAAGACAGTAAGTTTTTGGCTCTTTGGGTTAGCACTATTTGCATTTCTTAAAATGAGTATCTGGCTATATAAAACGCTTGTTTTTAACTGCCCAATGCTTATCCATACCAAAAGAAATCATTCTTAAAATTGTCATATTGAAAACAGAATGCCAGCCTACAAGCTAATCTTTTGTTGTATCTTATAAGTATTGCAAAGCAGGGAGATGGAAGAAAGAAACTAAATTATATCCATGATAAGTGTCATTCGTGTAAATAGTAATTAGGTTAACAGTCCAGATCAAGATTGGAAAATAGGAATATTTGTAGAAAACTTCGATGAGCAAGTAGTTTATGCTTGTAAAGAATAGCCAAAATAAGAAATTACCTCTGAATAAGAAAATCAAATAAGGAACACCAAAAAATATATAAAAATTATGCTAGGCGAAAGCAGATCCGAAGATTTTCCTAACAGATTATGAAAGTAGACAAAAAATGATAATTGCAATTACCATCAATCCAATATTTTCGCTGTAAGCTCTCCACTAAGAATCTGAATTATCCTTTTCAAAACCCATAAAACCTTCTGTTACATATTCTATTTTTCTTTCTTCTTTGTTTATTTTTTAGATGGCAAAGCTAAAATAAACTTGAGATAAAACCATAGCACTAACTCCCATTGCCAAAAGATATTTATCAAACCAAAACCACTTATAAACAGTCTATTTCTCTTCTAATAGAGAGTACTGCTTATTTTTAGCATTCTAATACTAGGTACCATTTTCCAAACTATGATTGCTAGTCGATTCAACCGAAGTCTCTTCGTCAGCTACATCTCTTGAATTAATTCCTTCTTTTCTCATTTATTTTCGCTAATGAAAATTTTTAAATTTTGTTAAATAATTTTTTTAGTTTAATAATAATATTAATAATTAGGATCTATCTTTTATGATTTAAAGTTTTTTGGGAGATATTTTATTTTTAAATTCAGAAAATACAATCAAATACGCAATATTCATTCAAAAATATAACTCTATTAGCATTTTTAAACCTCAATTTATTTCTTGTAATGTAAATAGTCATTCATCATAACCTATATTTACTTTCTTCAAAGCATATTACTAAATAGTAAAAAATCAAGTGGCTCTGCACTTCGTGAGTTTAATATAACAAATGATCTGATAAATGTAATATATAAATCAAGTATTTTAAATTACAAAGCAAATAAATGTAAATAAATAAATAAATATTGGTTTATTTAATCTAAAAGTTAAATAAAAATTGGATTTATATTTTAACTCTAAATAATTTAAAGTGTAAACTACAATTGTACAATTATATTTAGAAATAAATTTTCCTTTGTCCTTGCAAAATTTTAAATAACGTATTCATCAAAAAATAAAATGTGTTATAATTTGAAAATCTCTTGTTTGAGTTTTGAATGGAAAAAAAAAATGGATTAAATAAACACATTAATATATTAATAAAAAAGGTGTCTATTAATATTAATGTTGTATGTAAAAAATTATATTTATTAAATAAATAAATCAAAAATATCTTTGATAGTGAGATTAACATTTATTTATTTATTTATTCATTCATTCATACATAATACTTATTAAATTAGCTATACAAATAATTAAATTGTTAATTTTAAAACCTATCCATTAGTTATTTATTGTTAACGTTATAAGGATATTAAAATGACTGAATTTAGAAAAAGAAAATAAGATATGGAAATTGAAGAGGAACAAGATATGGTTACTGGACCATTATTTGGTTAAAAATTTATTCCACCAGATGAATTAAAGGTAGCATTCATTTTAATTGATAATATGTTTTATATTTCTTCAGTGTATTAAAAAGCATTAAATTTTAAAAAAATAATTATTTATAAAAAGGGAAATGATGAGGCTAAGTATAAATTGAGTAATTGGTGGGCAGTATTATAAAGTAGAAAATTTAGTCCTTACAAAGTAATTTCAGTTATTCAAAAAAGCAAAAAAATTATATACATCATGGATTATAAGTAATACTACTACATCTAAATAGTTGGTTGACTTATTATCTATCATTCTATTAATTCCTTTATTTCTTCTAAGAAGATGAATTTATATTTGGTTTTATAATAAGGAAAGAGTTGAATTATTTGAGAGAGCTTTACTCTACGTTCCTTCTCTTAAAATATGGGAAGCTTATTTAGATGAAACAGTAGAAAGACTAGAAAAAAAATGCATATTGTCATCTAGATTTTAAGTTGCAAATTAACTTTTCGAAAGAGCAATTAACAGCATGTCATAGTTAAGCAAAAAACATGTAATTTTATAATAGAATAAAATGAATATTAAATTTACATTGTTATTAAAAGGATATAGATTTATGGCTTAAATATGTTGAGTTTTTGGGAAAATAAAAGTTAATCACCAAAACAAGACAAGCATATAATTTAGCACTTCGCTGTTTGGAAGTTTAAGATTAAGAAAAGTTATGGTAGTCTTATTGTGAATGGGCTCTTCAGTGTGGTTGTATGAGGACAACAAAAGAAGTTATTAATCGTTATTTGAAAATAGATGAAGATTATAAAGAAAAATTTGGGTATTATCTTCTTGATTAGAATGAATTTAATGAGGCTGCAAGAGTTCTCTTTGAAATTATTTAAGACGAAAGATTTGCTAGTAAAGAGGGAAGAACAAAATTCGAAATATATATGGAGTTATGCAATTTAGTCATCGAACATCCTGAAATTGTAAATAAAATTATTTAAAGATATATTTTCAAAAGAATGAAATCATTCATTTATAAATTACTTTACCATGTTTTTATTGGTAGATAAAATTGAATTTTATAAATCAAGCTAAATTTTGTAGAATAGAAGCGAGAATTAATCAATTAAAATAAAATTAATTATAATTAGATTAGTATTAATTAATATTATTTGATTTATATAAGTAAATAAATTGTTTTTATTTTTAATAGAACTCAGTAGATAAAGAATTAGTAATTAGAGATGGTATAAAGAGATATACAGATGAAGTAGGTAATCTTTGGGTAAAATTAGCTGATTATCATACAAGAATCGGAGATTTTGATAAAGCAAGATAAGTGTTTGAGGAAGCATTAACCAAAATTTAAACATCAAGAGATTTTGGTATTATTTTTAATGCTTACACTAAATTGGAAGAAGAGTTAGTGAATGTACTTGCTATGCAAGAAAATGAGGACTAAGAAATGACTGTAATTAGTTTTTTTAAGTTCGAAGAAAATTAACTTATAAATAAATAAATAAATAATAATAGGAAGAAGATGAATTAGAATTAGATGCTTAAGTTGAAAGACTTGAGAAACTTTTAGATAGAAGAAAAATTCTTCATAATGACTGCTTATTAAGATAAAATAAAAATAGTGTTAAAGATTGGATTAGTAGAATAAATATTTTCAAAGAAAAGGCAGACGAGGATCCAATCCCATTACAAAAAGCTTTTGGTGAAGCTATAAAGGAAATTGAACCTGAAAATGCTGAAAATGGAAGCTTGGTTGAAATATGGCATATGTTTGCTCAATTTTATGTTGAATATGATGACTTAGCTAATGCTAATCAAACTTATTTTAAAGCTACTTAAGTAGATTATAAAACTGTAGATGAACAAACTCTGATATGGAAATATTGGGTGGAAACTCTTCTACTAAAAGGTTATTACAGGGATGCAATTATGGTTATAAAGTAAGCTCTTTTCGGTAAGAGAACTCCTGAAATTGATAAAAAAACTCATCATAATGTCTAATTATGGGAATTATATATTGATCTGGAAAATAACTTTGGAACTTTTGAAACTCAAAGAATAGCTTATGGCAAAATGTTAGATTTAAAAGTAAGTTATTTATTATTTTTAAATGAAAAATCAAAACATAATTAAACAATTAATTTTATGAATAAAGGTAATTACCCCTTTCGTGCTATTAAATTATGCCTAGTTATTAGAAGAAAATCATTACTATGAAGATTCTTTTAAAGTATATGAAGCTGGTGTTTAAATATTCACATTCCCAAGTCTTTATGAGATTTGGTTAACTTATTTAACAAAATTCATAGATAGATATGAAGGTGAAAAGCTTGAAAGAGCAAGAGGTTTATTTGAAAAGATATTATCTATTGTTCCAAAGAAGGTATGTACTTTCATCATAAAAATTTTTTTATTATTTATTTGCCAATTATTAAATAAAATTTATTTTAAAATAGAAATCAAAAATATTTTATTTTATGTATGCTGACTATGAGGAAAGATACGGGTTGTTAAATCACATGTTTGAAATTTATGATAGAATGGTTGCTAATGTTTAGCAAACTGATAGATTAGATGCTTACAATTTATATATTGCAAAAGTTGCTGAACACTTAGGTGTTACAAAAACTCGTCCTATTTTTGAAGTAATTAATATATTTTTTTAATAATAATTTTTTGATAATTAATTATTTGTTTTATTTAGAATGCTATTGCTAATTTTGAAGGAGATCAAATGGTATAGTTAGGTATGCGTTATGCTGCTCTTGAAAGAAAGTTCGGTGAAGTAGATAGAGCTAGAGCTATTTATATTCATGTAAGCTAATTTGCTGATCCTCGTGGAGACGTCCTCAGATTGTGGACAGTAATAAATAAATAATTATAATTAAAATAATTTGTATTTAAATATCTACATTTTAAAAAAAAGGTTTGGGAAGACTTTGAAAAGCATCATGGTAATATCGATACTTACAAAGAATATATGAGAATTAAAAGAAGTGTTTTACAGAGCTTCAATATTCTTCCTCCAGATGTTAAAAAAATAAAAGAATTGGTAGAAAAGGGGGAATTGTGAAAATAATTATTTTAATAGATGTATCTTACTTACTATTTAAAAATATTTGTCCAAATTATTTATTTATATTAGTAAAATGTCATCTTAAAACTCGTTTAAGAGTTTCCAACAAAAATTTATAAAAAGAGAATTTAAATATATTTAAACCTTTAAATAAAATTCTTATTTTTGTTAAGGAGAGTAAAATAAAATGTATTTATTTATTGATTTAATTTTTTAAAAAGATTAATTTAAGTTTTAATTCAAAAATATTTATAATTTTTTTAATGGTTTTTTTAATAAGAGTTATTGATTGTTTAGCTTTAATATATTTAAAATGCTTATAAAATTGAATAATTTATTTGAAAAAGCCTTTTGAATATAAGTGGAAAGATTTTTAATAATTTTCATAATAAATAAAACCGTAACACAAAGAGATTGATTACTTTTGATATATTAAAACACTCATTGAAATAAATACAAATAAGAAAAAGTAAACTTCTTTAATAAGTTATAGGCAATAAAATAGGAAAGGAAAAGCTGCTTCATCCTTATACTAAAAACTGTTTGTTGAAGGAAGTTAGTGATATAATTTAAAAATGAGTAATCAGGACGAATTTTATTATAACGAAGATAATAATGATCATGAAGATTAGTAATAATTTGAGGAATATTCAAATTAACAGTAAATGTAAAATTAACAAGCATATTAGGAATAGTAAGAATATAATGAAAATAATGGTAATTATTTTAATCAACACTAATAAGCTTAATTAATTCTCATTATTTTTACAAATTTCAACAAAGATGGAGAGTATGAAGAGGAGTTAAAAATGAACTCTTAATCTTAGCATGACAGTAAATCTGAAAAAAATTTTTATGACCAAGAATTTGAACCTAGAAAATGGTAATGGGCATAACCCTTAATTGAAGGTGTTCCCCCTTGTCCTAGAGGTGGTCACAGCGCAACACTCTCTGGTGCAACTATAGTTATTTTTGGTGTAAAAAATTAATATATTCAAATTCATTTATGCAATTCATTCAACAATATATACATTATGAAAAGTAATAAAATAAATATAGAAATTGAATCTAAATTATTAAGTAAATAAAATGATTAAAGCAAATCAGAAAATAAATTTTATATTTCTTTTAATTCAGTTTGAAAAACAAATTTCATTTTAGCAAAAATGTTGCTTTAAAATTATATTTAATAATTTATTTATTTTTTATAATTTGTAAATTAGGGTCATTATTATGCTGGTAAATAAAAAGGTTATGTTTATTTGAATGATACTTATATTCTTGATGTAAACTCAAATAGATGGCATGTAAAATATTTCAAATATTTTTAATTTGAAATTTGAATCAAATTAAATTTTTAGTCATCGATAGATGTGTGAAATAAATTATTTTATTTAACAGAAACCTAAAATAAGCGGTACACCACCTGCACCAAGATACAACCACTCTGCAATTTTAGCTGGTTCAAGAATTATTATATTTGGTGGTAAAGGAGAGAAAGGTAAAGTTTATAGAGATCTCCATGCTCTTGATCCTGTTACAACTACTTGGTATTAAGGTCCTGAAGGTAGTGGTTCACCTTCTGCTCGTTTTGGTCACTCAGCTAATCTAGTAGGTGGTTCTAAAATGCTTATATTTGGAGGATGGAATGGAAGTGACTTTTTCAATGACTTGTATCTCTTAGATTTAGAAGTTATGGCTTGGACTTAGCCACCTTCTACAGGTAATAAAATTTTTTTTAAATAATATGAAAAATTAAATTTTAAATTCTAGATTTTGCCTATGAAATTCTTAGATTGTTAAAAAATAGCAAAATTAAATTAAAATAGATAACATCATAATTAAAAGATTTTGCTTTTCATATAAAATATTTGATTTTATTATTGTAAGAAATATTTAAAAAAAGACACAAAAAAAATTAAAATAATTCATTTTATTTTATTTTGGTGTGTTTTGTCATTTTTTTTATTGAAAATAATTGAAATGTTTTAATAAATATATAAATAATAGGTCCTGCACCCTCTCCTAGATAAGGTCATACTGCTATTTAAGTAGGTAATAATTTGATCATTTAAGGTGGTTTCCACTTTGATGATGAAAAATAAAATTAAGCTGGATTTAGATAAGGTACTCAATTACGTTAATGTTACTTAAATGACTTGCGTATATTAGATACCGACAATTTTATTTGGGCTCGTTTAAGAGTTAGTGGTACTCCTCCACTACCTAGATATGGACATACTTCAAATATCTCAGGACCCGATATTATTTTCTTTGGAGGTTGGTCATTAAACTCAGGAGCAAGAGGGTATTTATTTTTACAATTTTTCTATTAAATCACTATCAAATCCTTATTTGAATAAATAAATAATTAACTTTTAATAGCTTAATTATGATTTATATAAATATAATTTCTAATTTAAATAGTGAGCAAAACTTTATTCCTTAAGATGACATAGATTACTTTTTAGTACTTAACACCGAAAGTATGTAATGGGAAAAGGGTAAATTTGAAGGAACTCCTCCTCTTAATAGATATGGACACACTGCCTCTTCAATTGGTCCTCACATATTAATATTTGGTATTTAATTCAAAAATAATTTATTCTTGGTATTTTAATAAATTTAAAAATTTTATTTACAGGAGGATGGGAGTTCAACAGAGCAACCAACGAAGTAGTTGTTTTAAGAGATATGGGTGGAGGTGGACCTATTAAACCTGCTAAAAATTGAAAGATAATTTCAAAAGATTTAATTTATAAGATAAAAATTAAAGTAATAATTAACGTATTATATATATTATACTCTTTCAAAATTATTGTTCTATTTTCATTATTTTTTTCTTTGTTAGCTCAAAAAAACTTTAAAAAAATTGAGTTAAATTTAAAAAAATGAATTCAAAATTTAATAAAAAGAAAATAAAAAATTAGAAACTACAAAAATAAAATGCAATATTGAATACTGATAAATATAAATTAATTTTAATTAAATTATTTATAACTGAATCCTCATATTAATTTATATTTTTTATTTTGATCACTTTATTTATCATTAATTATAAATTTTCTTATAAGTAAACTGACTAATTTTTATGAAAATTACTAAATTTTTAGTTAATTTATTTATTTATAAGTTGTTACTATATTATCAATCAATATGGTATTCTAGCCATTATTTTTCCTTCTTCTGCTCTGTAATTGTATTTTGCTAATTTCAAGAACTAAATAACTCTAGGCTTGAGGACAGAGACATTTCCTACACTATGGCTTCCTCTTCCAGTAACAATCTCTAACTGAATGTAATTATTAGAGATTTTAAGTCTACTTTATTGATTTGAACGAGCCAAATCAATCATATAAAGAATTTAATCCTTTAAGACATCCAAAGCTTCTTCTGCATAAAAGCCATGGAGATCTATCTTTTGAATTGGATTTTAACTTCTAACTTCTCTTAAGCAAAGAGCTTTAGAATATTATTATAAATCAAAGAGAGATGCTCTACTATCTTAGAAGTATTTATTAAGACTAAATTTAGCCTTTGTATCACAATTTCTTTCAGCAAATTGATAAGCTTTATTGTATTTATAAATATTCTAAATTTCCTCTCTTACTTCCTTAAAAGATTTTTATCCGTATTTTTTTTAAAAGTTTTATATTTTTTAATCTAAAATTTCATCTTGATCGATTTCTTCATCTTCCTCTTCATTTTACTTTTGAATTGGCTTTTTTTCTAATTAAAACATAAAAGAATTTCATTATAATTGTAAAATTTAAATTAAATTAATACTTATGATAATCTCTCTCTTAATATTTGATTTTCCGAATTAATTTATTAAAAATTGTTCAGTAGCCTCACTATTTTCATTTAAATCTTTAAAAATATCAATTAATACGTCTCTGCTAACATGAGGAAATTTACTACTTAAATCTTCTAATAATTATTATCCAAAATAGGAAATACCCTCGTTTTAAAAAACAGTTTAGTTCCATTCATTTTTGTTTGGATTATACTCTAATTTCTTTTAATTATTTAACTATTTAATAATATTACCCTAGGGTCCACTTTCCTATTTCACTATTGATGGAAAATCAGACATATTTATTTCAAATTAATTTTTAGCTTTTTTGCTATTTTCTTTGATATATTATTCTTTAAAGTATTCTAGATCTAATTTATAATTTTGAGATCTATTCTTCTTTAATTCAATTTAAGTATCTCTTTATTTCTTCTAGTGGGACGAGCTTGAGTTTTAGTTACTATATTTAATTTATAAATTTTTAATTACTTCCATTAATTATTAAAATAATTTAAATAGTGCTTATAATATATATTAAAAAGTGTTGTGTTTTATGGGCATCACTTGAAAGATAATTAACTAAATTACAAACTGATAATACAAAAATTATCTTCTAATAATAAGTTCTTTGCTTATAATTTTTTTAGAAGAGCTTGTTATCTTCTATTCATTCAAGAAGAAAAATTATTAAAAAAATTAATTTGATAAAATTATTTTATTTTAAAGAAATTAAAAAATCAAAGATTGAAAAATTAATGAATTAATCGATTTTTTGTTGGTTTTTAGCAACTTTTAAAAATTAATTAAAAAATTTAGAATTTACCTGTTGAATTTACTAAGAATTTCGTATTATTTTGCATAAAATAAACTCTCTTTCAAGATTTTTTGAATTTAAGGATCTTGTTGCTCTTCCTTACTCATGCTTTTTTTGATATTTGAAATATACAAATCCTCTTCTATATTCAAGTCATCTATATCATTTTCCTTGTTTTAAATTTCCATCATTAAATCAAACTCATCTTCCTACTCTTCATCAACAATATCACAAATGATTTATTCTAACTGGTCGCCAACAGCACCGATGTTCTGCTTATGGTCTTAAATACAGAGCTCTAAAGACTTGCGGTTATCTTCATCCAGTAGGTAATCTATAGTTTGTGGCACATCTCCGTTATGCATTTCCAATGCCTCTTGTACTAATTCATCGTTTAAATTTTGAAATAGATCCTTAACTTCATTAATTTTTTATTAATTTTGCTAAATTTTATAAGCTGAATCTTTGTCGCTAGAATTTTAACTTAATTTCAAACTTTTATCTTCCGAATCTGTCTAGTACAAATTTAATTATCCATCTGAGCTAAGGTTGTTTTTAGATGCTAATTTTTTTCCACTGTTATCATTTGACTAACTTTTTTGGCTATTTTAGTTAGAGTTTTTACTTAATAAACTATCAATAGTTTAATCTAAATTCATGTTATGATCGCGAAGGGCATTTTTGATTTGTTTCTTAGTGAATTACTCACCGAAAATTTATTAAATTTACGGAATTTTGAGCTCAAAGTCTAATTTTTATTCTTCTACATTTTACACTTCGCATTTACTAGGAGAGTCTTATTCATTTCCATTTTGATAAAACTTTTAGATTATTTCTTGCTTTTCTAATTAGTCTTTCTTGTTCATGTTAGAATCATTATTTTTGTTTTAATTTTAAAGCTTTCTTTATCCTTTATTTCCTTTAGAGTCTGTCTATTTGGGCTTTTTTTAATAAACATCAACTATGTCTTCTGCTCCGCTCATAAAAGGCTTATATTCTAAATTTTCTGTTACTCAGTTAAACTTAGTTTTTTCTTTCAATTTGTAAAGTTAATATTTTATATCAATTATTATTTTTTAATATTTGATAGAGCTAGATAAGTACAAAGATAGTTATGTGATATCTTTTATTTAATAGGATAATTTTTTACCATAAAATGAACTAATAAATAATCCAAAATTTTACAAAAACTAATTAAAAATATTTTTTTTTTTTTTAAAGAAGAGACTGAGGAAATTAAACTAATATAATAAAAACACTTAATAAATCAATGAAGTATATCAAAAGTTAAGTCATTTATCATAATTCATTAAAAGCGTCATAAATATTTTTTTTCAAAATAAAACACTTTTTATTCAACCAAATATAATTTTCTGTAATTGTATTATGGAATTTAATAACAAAAATAGTTAGCTACTTCAAAAAGCAGCTATATATAAATGAAACCTTTAACAGCATATAAAAAAATGTATTTTGAAATGTTATAACAATTAATAAAATTTAGGTTTATATATTCTATTAATATTAAATTAAATAAATACCATTTAATATTCAATCTTTAATTTGTTATTTATACCAAAAATTAATTTGATATTAAAAAAATTCTACTTTTGAATGCAAATAAATACAAAAAAGTTAAGAATAAATCATTTTAATTATTTAATTATATCTAGTGGATAATAAGGACCTCCTTTTTCAAGATACTAACCAAATTCTAAGAGTTCCGTTCCTCTTAAATAGGGAGGGCTATTTCCAAGCACTTTTAGCTCTTTTAATGTTACCCATGCTGCTTCTTCACTTTCATTATCAGCAAAATCTTTAGGCTTTTATTTTTGATCAATTGGCTCAGCATAAAAAACAACTTTATATCTTAAAAATCCCTTTCTATAATCTTGCTCAATTCTAAGCACACCTTTAACATTAATATCTATTCCTGCCTCTTCTTTCGATTCTCTTATGGCAGCTGAAATAAAATCTTCAGGAGGATCAACTTTTCCTCCAGGGAGCCACCAACCTCTATTTTTTGTTTCTTTGACTGCCAAAAATTTCCCTTCTTAGTTTCTTATTACAATCAACGACAATCCTATCATTTAATTGCTTGGAGCATTTTGTAATTTAACATTTAATGGTACAATATTTTTATCATTTTGGTTTTATTTTTAAACCTAGTTATTCTATTAATTTAACTGATACTCTATCTCCATCTTATCAGAAGTATTTTTATTATTTGCTGTTGCTTAATTTTTGAAGTTAAAAGTATTTACTAGAGTTGTTTCTATAATACTTAATGGATAAATAGGACCACCATTTTCAATATAGGATCCAAAATATAATAATTCTTTTCCTCTTAAATAAGGAGGTTATTTTCCTAACTCTTCTAATTCTTTTAAAGTAACCCATCTTGCTTCTTATGTTTCGCTGTCTGGAATTTATTTTGGTATTTAGTTTTAATCTTTGGGTTCTCCATAAAATACAACTTTATATCTAGCGCTCTTTTTGAAATTATGCTCAATCCTGAGAATCCCTTTTATTTCTATATCAATTCCAGCTTCTTCTTGAGTTTCGCGTATGGCAGCAGTAACAAAATCCTCAGGAGGATCAACTAATCCTCCAGGAATCCACCATCCTTAATTATAATTCTCTTTTACAGCTAGGAATTTACCTTAGTTATTTCTAGCTATAACCAAAGATACTCCTAGCATGGAAAATGTTTTTTGTTCTTTAATTAACTACTACTTGAGTTGATTAAAATTCATCTTTGATTCTTATCCTTATATTTACTATATATTTTCTTTTTGATTAGATAATCTTTATGTATTTTGATCAGATATTTGTTATTTATTTCCCATTAATTTTCAGTTTATCTTTTCTATATTATTGATAAATCTATAATTATTTATATTCCATTTATTCCAATATATTTATATAAATGATTTATTGATAGAGACACATAAATAAATAAAAATTTCTGATAAATTATGCCTTTACTTTATAAGAAAGAGATAGACACATTTAAATCATGAAGGCATGCATAATTTAAAAGTAATTGAATACTCGTCATATATATTTAAATATCAGTAAAAGCGTTTTTAATAAAAATGTATTTTCATCAACATTCTTAAGTTATTTTCAGAACAAAAAAATATGCAAATATAAATAAATATCTTATTAAGTATATTTTATTTAATTATTTGAAATGTTTAAAGACTTAAAATTAGTTAGTGTACGTTTAAAGTGTTTATTTATTGATTTATTGGTTAGTTTAAGTTAGTTTTATAAATTAGTTGGTTATTTTATATAATATTAAGTATTAAGAAATTTAGAATAGTTTCAAATAAACTCAAAATATTTAGCAATTGTTTTGAAATCCACTTTTTTTGCAAGAATTTTTTAAGAAATGGTCAGCAGCCCTGTCTCCATCTTTAAATTTTTTATTACAGTTTAAGCAAAAGAATTACTTGCATTTATAAGATTAACAATAGCATATTTAATAATTAAAATTGCTGATAACTTCACAAAGCGATCTGTCCTTAGTTTAGCATCCAGGACATTCAATATTTTTAACTAATTCCTCTTTTGGATTTGTATCAGGAATGTTTTCTATTTCCTTTTTAAGTTACATAGTAACACAATTATCTTTATAAGGGTTTTTATCTATATAATGTATGTAGTGGTCTTCTTCATTTAACACATCGCAACACAAGTAGCAGAAACAGGTTTTTTTCTAACAAATGCTTGAAGAGCATCTAATTTAAATTCAAAAATTTTTAAGCATTTTAATAAAAAGTTAAAACTAATAAAAATTAATGCATTAAAATAAAAACTGAGTATTTCAAAACAAAAAATATTCATTAAATGAATGAATTATATTTTAAATTTTTATGTAAATTTAGCATCTCAAAATACTTATTTATTTTTATTTTTTTGATAAGAATTAATCAATTTTTTAATAATTAAATAATGAAATTGTTTATTTGCTGTATTCTAAAAAAAGAAAGCTAATATTAACAAATAATGAAAATTCCTTCTAGACTTATTTTGAAAAAATTTTTACCTTAAAAAATTACACCATTTTTCTTTTACAACTACTGATTTGCAGACAGGACACTGCTTCCATTTATTTATTTTCATCATTTAAAAGAAGGCTAAGTCTTCTTTAGATTATATGTTTTGTTCTTTATATTATTCGCAAGAAATTCCTGAGTGTTTTGCATATTTGCATTCAGTGCAGAACTCATAATTGCATAAAGGGCATTTTGTATAAAAGGCTCCTTTCCAAATAGAAAATCTAGCATTACAATCCTTTTATGGGCAAGTTATGCCTATCTCATTTGAAGTAATTGAAGTCTCATAGCTTGCAAAGCTCAGTCTTTCATACATCTCAAATACTTAAGGCGATAAAAGGTTTTTAATCATGAAGTAAGGAATTGGGGTATTGCAATCTTCTTGAGGACATTTTAAATGCTGCTAGCTTATTTATCCCTCTTTTATGCAGTTTTCATATTGTGCTATTAAACACTCTTTACAAAAAATATGCTAACAAGGTAATTTTAATGTTTAGTCTAATGGTACATTCTCTAATATATTTGTTTGTTATTAAAAAAGCTATTAGAAACATGTTTTTGATTCTTGATAATGCAATAAAAATAGCTATCAAGGAAACTAAATTTCAATTATAGTTACCCATATGAACTGCGCAGTAAATGGAATCCTATTCCTAACTATTCTATTTTTGCACAAAATAAGAATCAGAAATCCTAGATTTTTTAAACTGATTTAATATTTCGTTGTTACTGCTGCGAGAAATATCTGAAATACTCATTTCCTACTTGCTATTAAAAATTATAAATGTTTTGATTGAGAATGAATTTTTTTTAATTTGAAATAATTAAGATGTGATTTTATGAATAAGAAGAATTTTGTTTACATATATATTTACAAAATAGATATTCTAATTATTAATTCATATCTATTAATCTCCCACTCTTATATAGAGCATGTAATCTTTCATAACATTTTACGACCTAATATACTTTACAAACTGTCATTAGGTAAATAAATTACTAAATTTGATCCTGACCTTTCTTTAAACCCCTATTTAATTATTAATTTTAATAAAATAAAATAGATTGACATAAGCCATTGAAATAGATGATAACTAACTAACTAAATAAATCAAAATTAAATAAAACTTTTTTCAAACTATTTTTTTATACAGTACTCATATCTTACTTGAATTAACAAGCTTTTTAATTCATTTTAAGCAAAAAAAAAAAATATTTTTTTAAAAAACATTAAATAGGAGTAAATAAAAATATTTTCTAATAAATTCTGAAAAATTTAAATTCAATTTTAATAAATTTTAAATCAAATTTTATCCAATATTTTTGATTAAAAAGAGCTAGAAATTCTTCTATAAAAATTTATATTTAATAAAGTTCGATACATTTAAATTCGAAAACAAAAATTATTGTTGTTCTATATGAAAAGTGGAAAAAATTTTAATTTTTAAGAGTAGTAATCTATTAATGTGTAAAAGAAGAGAAGTTATTTATAAGTTAACAAGTGTGTTTGTTTGTATGAGTTCGATGCAGAAAAATATCTTTAATTTATAGTCTCATAAAGTTTTTTCTAGATTCATTCTTTTTTGTACTTAAAAGTCTCAAATTTTAAAATAAAAATTTTTCTCATTTAAATTATTTTAAATTTTGAAATTTTTATTTTTTTTAATACTAAAAATTATTTTCTAAGTTAAAAACATAATAAATAAAAATGGAAAGCTAGTAAATAAAAAATGAATTAATAAAAAATATTGATCACATAACTTTAAAATTAAATTAATTAAAAAAAGTTAACATTTGATGTTAGGTGATGGCTATTATTTGATTATCTACCTGATAAGAAAACAATGAATAATTTTCCAAAAATTCCTCTTAATGAGTAAAAAAAATTATCATTAAAAACCTTTCAAACAAATTAATTTTCATATAAATTAAATTATTCCAATAAATATAAAATGAACCTTAATAAAAGAAAACTGTGAATTATTAATGTTTGTTTCATATTGATTACTCTTGCCAAAATTAAAATGATCAAAATTTTGATAATTTTATACTTTTTATTACATTTATTTGATTGGAGATAAACAAAATAAAAGAAAAAAAATCTTAATTGCAAAAATTATTCAATCTATCTATTTTCTTTATTAATTCAAGATTCAATAAAAAATTAATTTATAAAATAGTTAAGAGTCGTTTACAAAATATCTTCACAAATTATAATAATAATAAAAGGAATGAGCTTTATGTTGATTATTAATTCTTTTACTTCTTTAACCAGTAAGCAATAGTGATATAAATGGATAATTTTAATAATAGTAAATTCTTTTATAGGATATGACATAGTTACTTAGATATTTAGTAAATACTAATACACTATCAATTATACTAAATCTCACATATCTTTTAAAAGAATAAAAAAAGAAGAAATATCTCTTAGCATTATTTGCTTTTAAATCAATCAATGAATCATTCATACATATATACTATATTTTTTTATTAATTAAAATTTCAATCATTTTAGGCATCAAAAATTCGCATAATTTTTTTTTGTTTGAATAATAATCACTAAATTTTAAAGTTTTTAGCAAACAATTAAGTAAAGTATAAAAATTGAATTAAAAATGTGCGGAGGAACAGGTGTCGAAGTTCTTACATAAATTATCGGTTGGGCATATTTCAGTGCTTGGTCAATATCATTTTATGGATAAGTATATGAAAATTACAAATAACAAAGGTATTTATTTTCATTTCAGACTTGATCTATTAAATTAAAAATGCTATCTATATTGATTGATAAACGCATAAATTGCATAGAAAATAGAATTAATCATCTAACACAAAATAATATTTTATTTAAATAAACTTTTATTTTAAATAGAGCCGAAGGATGTAAAATAGACTACTTAATATTTAACTTTAGTGGCTTCTTCTTTTATACGATTTACAATGTAATTGGTTACTGGGGTGATTCAGAAGCTAATGGCACAGGTGATGTTGAAATTTAAGATGTAGTCTTTGCAATCCATGCATTAACTTTAACTTGTGTTGCCTTAGGATAATGGTTCTACTATCCAGTAAATATTTTAATCAATTAATCTTAAAAAATGCCATCATATCAGTCGATTGCGATTGCTTGTTAATCTGCTATAAAATTTATAATATAAATTGCAAGCTTTTTGTTAAATTACTATATTAAAATAAGCAGATATAATTAATAATATTTCTTAAAATAACAATTTATAAAAAAAATTATTAGAGAGGTAAAAACTAGATCACTCCTTTCTGCTATGCTGCTACTTGTGCTATGTGGATTTTTGCTCTTTCCTATGCCTCACTTGATAAGGTAAGAAATTAATTAAACTTATCTACCACCTAAAGCCACATTTTACTTATTTATTTATTTATTTATTTATTTAAAAATTAGACTGTCTTTAATAAGGACGGAAGTTGGCCAGCTAAGTTGAGCTTGGCAAGTTGGTTAGGATACATGAAACTTGCAATTACTATTTTTAAGTATACAATTCAAGTCATTTGGAATATTAAAAGATAAAGTACAGAAGGATGGAATATATTTAACATATTATGTGATATAACCGGAGGCACTTTGTCTGTATTATAAAGTGTTATTTAAGCTATTGCATGTGGAGATAATCCTTTTGGTGGAGCTTTAAATGCTGTTAAATATTTATTAGGTCTTATTTCTATTTTCTTCGATGTTATCTTCATTATTCAACACTATGTCATTTACAGAGGCAAAAAACCTGTAATTAATTCTTTTATATATTAATTAAATTATTCTTTTACAATCTGATAATAACTTCTAATATAAAAGAAAACTGTATAGCAAGAAGACGATCTCAACATGTAACAGACACCTTTCAAAGCAACTTACGAAGAGTGATAATTAATTTTTGCATATTAATTATTTGTTTAATTAGCTTTTTTAAGAATTTCAATTAAATTTTGCTAAATAAATTTATATAAATTAATAAATTAAGTTCTAAAATATAAATAAATTAATTTGTAAAATCTTTCATATTTATAGTCGAGTTAATTTTATTTTCAATATATATTTCAATTAATATAATTTCTCCTCTCTTTAACTCTAATTAAACATTTTATAAATTAACAAAAATAGGTCACTTAACTGATATTTATGATTTAATAATAGCCTATTAGACAAAATAATAATAATAATAATAATAATTGACTTTTAAAGAATATAATTTATAAAATAACTTCATATTGTATATTAATCATAAGATGTTTCTAGATTTTTACCCTTAATCAATTAAGAAAAAAAATTTTTTTTATGAAAAAAATATTTTTGTTTGTAGAAATGTGTTTTATTTAGAAAAAGTTAAAATTCTTTCATATTTACTTAACTTTTAGCTTTATATATCCTTCAGTTATTATTATTTTCATCATTTTTAAATACCCAATTAATCATGAAATAATTTCACATTAATAAATTAATAAAATAAATAAATTTTAATCTTTTAAATAAAATATTTTTTTTTTAGAAAAAATAAAATAAAATAAATTTTTGAATTTAATGTTTAATAAAAATAAAAATATTAAAAAAAGCCAAATATTTATAAATTTTCTTTATTTATTTATCCTTTTTTAGAAAGATTGGATTCACAATAATCAATTGATTGAAACTCTATTAAAAAAAATAAATTCTCAAACTGAGGACATTTATTTAGAAATAATGTTGATTTATTTTAATTCAAATACAAATAACACAATTAATTTATTATTTTAAATTTATGAAAATACTTAAATAAAACAAACTACTTAAATAATTTTAACATTTTAAATAAAAATTTTGTTTTTGAAGTAGAATTTATTGTAATAAATTTGAATATAATTTGAATAAAATAAATTATAAATTGAATTGACTTTATTTAAAAATTATTTTATTTTGAAAATTGTATCTTATAATTGAAAAAAAAAATATATTTTAAATTCTCTATTTAATAAAATTAAAATATTATTTAATATCATAATAATTATTAATTTTGCTTTCTTTATTTATACTTTATATGTAGTAACATAATTTTTTTTATTAATTTATGAAAATATTTTAAATTTTGTTAAAGATGTTTATTATGTAGGAGGACTTATCATTATTTGAACTATAATCATTTAAAAGGTATTATAGATATTGATTTTTCTCATTAATTTTCAGCTAATTAATAAACAGCATTAGTTTTAGATTATATTTTTATATTATTTAATGAAATGTTTATTTTTTAATATCAGCAACAGTTATCTAATCTATCAGAATTAGATACTCCTTTATTTACTACTCTGAGGATGGAAGGATTTTCTATTGCTGCCATAACTCTTTCTTTATCATTGATTTATTTATTTACAGAAAGCTCCTATACATGAGTACCTGGAGTAATATAGACATCTACTTTATAATCTCTTGGAAGTGATCTAATTAACTTAACTTTAATCATTAATCCTATAATTTGAGCTAAACTACAGTGAGGAATTGTGGGTGTGAAAAGAACAGTTACTAATTTGTGATCGATATTAACTTTTATATTTTCTGGTTATAGAACATTTAACTATTCTAATGTTAATGGATGTTCTGGATCATCAATATGTCTAATCAAATCAAAAATTTCTAGTTAATCTATTTCATCTTCAATTTCTTCATTTTATTCTAATAAATCTCTCTTTTTTCTTTATGCTTCTGAGATAGTTTACTTTATTTCATGAATTTAAGGATTTGGGTTATCGACTTTGGACATTATTGCTTGCTATCTTAAAATTTTTCTTGCTATTTTTATTAAGAGACTTTTTAAATAAATTATAAATATTCTTTCTATTAAGAAGATAGAATTAAAAAAAGCATAAAAATTATAAAATAGGTGATATATACATACACCTATTTGATCTAACCTTTTAAATTTGAGCCCTTTATTTTACAAAAAAACATACATATAAAGCATTCATAAAAAAAATGTCATTTCATTGATAAAAAATATTTTAATAAAAGAGAAAAAAGAATAATTTTAAAATAAAATATAAAATGAAATAATTAAAATAAGAAAATTAATTTTTAAATAAAGTTACTCATTAATTAATTTCAGAATCTTTTTCACTAAATTAGTGAAAAAAAAATTCAAATACTTATTTAAAAATAATAAAAATTAATTATTTAAATACAAAAAAAAATGCAGCATGACTCTCTTAAAAAGTTTTGATAAAATATTTGTGAATTTTATATTTTTTTATTATTTTTATTTAATTTGTATTTAGTTTATTTATTTTGTTTAAGTCTTTTTATCTTTCTTTTGTATTTAGTTGTTTACTTTTTTCAATCTTTTTATCTTTTATATCTTATCTTATCTTATTCTCATTGCTTTTATCTTTTTATTTTTATTTTTTCTTTTTCTTTATCTTTATCTTTAAATTTTTCTTTTTTTTCTTTTTTTTCTTTCTTTTTACTTTTTTCTTTTTAAAATTTGCCTTGCCAATATTATTTTTTAAATTTCGAAAAATTGTTGCCTGCCTTTTAGTTAGTACCTAAGGGAATAAGACATAATTTTTAAGAGGTTACCGAATTAAGAGGTGGTTTTAATTAATTTTGACAAATCCAAGACTGTTGAGTCTTTTTATATTTTGAAAACTATGATGCATAAAATTAATCATTTAGTTTAAAATAATTAGGTTATCATCTGTAATATTTAATTTACAAGTATTCTTTCATTGCTTAATACACTGCGAAAAATTAAGCTCGAGAATAATGTGAAATTAATTTACTATATGATTAACCTTTATTATTTTTTTCTACTTTGCAGGTGATATGCAGGGGGGAAGTAGAAATGTTAAAAAACTTATTTTAAAAACTTCTAAATGATTAATTCTAATGCAAAAGTGGTGTAAAAAAGATCCACATTAATTCGCCTCTTGGCGAGTTTTTTTTTATAAAAAATTGTTGCCTCTATGCCATTAATCTAGTTTTTAAAAATCTATTAAAATAATTTGCCTCTGAAAAATGAAAATTAATTAATATTGCCATTAAAAATAATGCCATTTTTATTAAAAATTCTTTAAATTTATGCCATATTTTAATTTGTTAAAATTTGCCATTTTAAATTGTAAAATTTATTTATTCTTTTAAAAATTAATTTATTTATCTATTAAAAATGTTTTGATTAATGATTGTAAAAGTAAGTTTGCCACTTAAAATTGTATTAAAAATTTAAAAAAATTAATCTTAGCCTTAATTTAAAATTGGTTTTATTGTAGATTTTTAGATTCTTGTTTTGCCACTTTGAATTTTATCAATAGATTGATTATTTGCCACTTTTTTATGTAGATTTTTGCCACTATTGTATGTATAGATTGTCAGCCACTTGTTTTATTTAAAATTCTTGCCACTGAATGATTTGAATTCTTTTTTTAATAATAAAATACCAAGCGTAGTTTAATTAATTAATTAATAAATTTGATAATGAATTGTGATCTAATGATAGCTAAATATGTGATTAAAAATTAAATGTCTTTTATTATTTGAGATATTTTCTATTGAAACACTGCGATGTGAAAAGATAGAAATATAATCTCAATAATATAGTTTCATTTTTATTTTTAAGAAAATATAATAGCTGTATTTTTAAAAACTTAAAGTTGTTTGTTTTAATTCATTATCTATTAAAATTTTTAAAAGTAAAATTTATTTATTTATTTAAGTTCACATCCAATATTTAAATTATTCAATTATTTTTTATTTGTTTATTTCTCTCTATTTTGGTTTTATTTTCCCTCGTAAATCTAATTCTTTTGAATTTTGCATTGATTTATATCTTATCGAGATTCATAAGAATTGAAGCGTTGCAATAAAGCATTAATTTCAAAGAGACTTTCATTATTCTATAGTCATTCTACAACATCTCCGAAACACTGCGATGCGAAAAGGAGTGATTTTATAGTAGAATTGATCTATTTGAATAGGAAGTTTTCTTATCTTTTAAAAATCTTTATGCAGAAGCCTTGAATTCTTTTTCATCTTAGGTGAATTAAAAACTCAGATATAATCGTTAGCAGTATTTCTTAATTATTACTCTTCCTCATCAGCCTTTTCTCTTCAATTATCTCTATCTCACTTCTCTCTCTCTCATTTTAGCAGGATTTTTTGGTAAATTTTTATTTGATTAGTTTTTATTTATGCTTATTTGTATTGAGAGTTTAATATAATTTTTTAAGAATTAGACCATACCATTGTTTGTTTTTTTAATTATGATTGATGAATTTTTTTAAATATCTATGTGAACCTAAAAATATTTTAATTTTTAAAAAATAACCTGATTAAATGGTGTTATATAGAGAAGGACGTTTTCTCTTCAACGCGAAAAATAATTTTGTTTGTTCTCTTAGCAAGAGAATCAACCAATTTTATTTCGCTCCTACATAATTTTTTTATTTTCTTTTTGTATTTTCGCTCCTATGATTTGTTTTGTTTTTTAGACCGAAGAAAAAATTATCAAGAAAGATTTTTTCCTAACAAAAAGAAAAAATAAAACTAATCAAATAAATTCAAAATAGGTATTTTATTTATTTTTCCTTAATTTTGAAATTCAAATTATTTATTCATTTATAAGTGTGTTGTTTGTTAAAGATATTCCTCCAATTTAATATTTGATTTTTTTCATTTATGATTTAATAAAAAATAAAATCTAATCTAAAATTTATTCTAATTTTTAAAAGAAATATTTTTATTTTTTTTAATATTATTTTAAATAATTAATTAATAAACAATTTATTATTTTCAATTATTTAAAATTATTTTTATATTTATTTATTAAATAAAAATCAACTAATTTTAATAACCTAGTATATTTTTAAAATATTTTTAAAAATGATTTCTCCTCAAATTTAAAAGAAAAAGAGAAAGTAAACTTTATAGTAGAAATATAATTTGATGATATAAATAATTTTTTTGAATTTAAAATTAAATTCTCTTTCAATTTAAGTAAAAGTTTATTAAAGACGAATTTCAAAATATATAGAAAATCAATTTAATAATTAAATTAATAGAATGTTGCATTCTTTATTATATCATAAATAATTTCTTTATAGTAGGAAAATTAATAAAAGTTGATGCTTGTTTAGAAGCAAATTCAATTAGCTTAAAGAATAATTTGATAAATTAAATAATCTATAATATTAAGCCATCAAGTTAAATAAATTGTTCATTACAAATTGTTCAAGAAAAGTAGGAGAAAGCGGAATTAACTAATCTTAACTATATGGAAGATAAGTAATAGATTTAAAGAGAAAAGAGAATTTAAATAAAATAGGCTTTTTTTCTGTTCAGATCATGCTTTGAACAAGAAATAGTTCATTAAGCAAAATAATCAAATTAGATGAAACATCATTTTATATAACCACAGCCTCATTTTAAAATACATTTGCTTTTTTATTACTAAAGGAATCTCCCTTCCAATTAATAGTAATGAGAAAATAAAAATTGGAATTAAAACAGTTAAGGATTTATAATACAGAAAATAGAACAGAAGAGGCTTGTGATATTTAAATATAAATTTAATTTCAGATGAGTTAGTAGAATATATTTATTATCAAAACAGATTATCAGAAGTTTATTAGAAGTAGATGAAAAAAATAAGTAGTCATCCAAACAATTAATTAAGAAGCATTGAAGACGATGGAATTATGCAGGGATTAGGAGTAAATTTTATTTTTAATAGGTATCAATAAAGGCAGATTTATTGATTTAATTACTTTATTTTTTTACATCAAAATAAAATCTGCTATTGTTGATATTTAAATAATAGCGCTACCAATACAAGTTAACATATTATTTTATAAAAATTAGCATAGGAGTAATCACATTATTGTTTATTTTTTATTGATTATGAAGTGAACTTGCACAATAAAGAATATTAAACTAGCTAACAAATACGTTTCAGAATTCACTAAACTTTATCAATTATAAATTTAATAGATAATCAAATGAATAGCGGAAGCAGTAATGCATAATTAAGTAAAGAAGATAATTTAAGGGATACGCTTAGAAGACCTCCTCCTAGAATCATAGCTGGTAAAATGCCAGATGCTTTCTTTACTAAAAAAAAGTATTGATGTTTTTCTTTTTTACATCTGACTAGCTCTTCCAGATAAACTATTTAAACGAAACAAACTCTCTTTTAAAAATATCAGAGAATCATTTAAATATTTAAACTTAAATTAAGCGTATCTGATTTAGCAATTCCGAAATGAGCTAATCAATGAAAATATTTAGCTAATATAAAATTAACTTATATCTTTTTAAATTCAAAAAAGGAATTAACTCAGTTCTTTGAACGGAAAAGTTTAGCAACTAGGCATATTTGATGCCCAAAAAAATATAGACAATCTGATCGAACAATAGTAATATAATTAAGCCTAGAACTTACTGCAGCCAATAAATGTTGTAAGAACTTTTATTAAATTTTACTTTACAAAAAATGAAAAAATAAATTATTATTTAAAATTTTAGCAATGATATTTATTTTTTTACAATTAAAGAAAGAAACTTACGCTTTTATTTAAATATATTTTTATTATTAAGAATGAAGAAAGAATGTCTCCGTAGCCTAACGATCAAGCAAATTAACAAGAAATAATATAAAAAAAACAAATCATGAAACCGTCTTAGAATCTTAAAAATCCAATAGGATCTTATAGAACTTACATGCAAAATATGCAATTAATAACGGAAGCCATAAAAGAGCCAATGGAATGGAATAAAGAAAAATTGCAATAATTTCTAGAGGCAGGTAAAAATAATAAAATATCTTCATCTAGCATAAAATTAGAAGAGATGATTACTTTAGGAGTGATAAAATGTTAAAGAGGTAAAAATTAAATATATTAAAAAATCTACTTTAATTTGATTATTATGATTCTGCTTTTTTTGACATTTATTTGGTTATATTTTAAGAGATATTAATATTTTATTTTTTTAGATTCAGGAGTAGTAAAAAAGATATTTCATGCACCTACATTGAGATTGTATTCAGTGAAAGAGGTTCCTTTATCTAGTAAATAAGCTAGATAGAGCTTAAGAGATTGGGTTATAACTTGGTAAAATAAACTTCATAATACAGGAAAACATGTAAAACTATATGGCCATTTTTGGAATGTGCCTGAAGGCTGTGTGTCAATTTTAACGGAATTCTTAAGCGGAGGCAGTCTACAAGTAACTTTTAACTTTATAAAACTAATCTAGTTAGTTATTTAATATATACAAAATATAAGGATCTTCTTGAGAGTTTCGGTACTCTTCCTGAATCTATAATTAAATAAATAGTCATTCAAACAATCAGTGCATTAGATATTATTCATAATTTACCGAATAGCTATTATGGTGGTCTTACTCCAAGTTAAATTTTATTTAAATAGGATGGAAATGTTAAAGTAAATATCCAAATTTAATATTTTGCTAAAAAAATTAATTTAATTTTTTAGTTATCATTAGGAATTTCGTATAGATCTTAATAGTAGTAATAGAATTTTTTCAACAGTGTAAATATGTCTAAATAAAATGAAAGAATGAGGTAATTAATTATTAATTAATTTCTTGTTCCTTTTAACTTTAGAATTTCATTTATGTGTTCAAATATTTACTTTTAAAATTTTTTCTATTTGTTGACGATTGAACCTTTTTTAACTTCAGTAAAATTTTACGTTGAAATATCAATAAATAATTAAACAAAAATTCAAATTAATAGATTTTAAAATAAATAACTTTTAATTTGAAATTAGTCTTTTCGATCCGAGTGGAGTAAATACGCCAAATCTTTTTAAAGTTCCTCCTTTAGATAATAATAACAATAATAATCAATAAAATTAAAAAGCACAAATATAAAAGCAAGATGATGTATTTAGATTAGGGATGCTTGCGTTGAGTTGCGCGATAGGTTCTTTTGATATAATAGAGAATGTAAGTTTACTTTATGAATGCATACATAAACTTCTCGATGATTAAAATAAATAAGATCCACAATATCGTGTATGCTGCATATTGCACGCAGAAGATATTCTTTAATAAATGATGGACGAAAAATTAAAAATTAATTCAAAAAAATAACGAATTAATCTTTCAATAAATAACTTATTAACCACAAATAGATTCACAAAAGAATTTTTAGATTTTCTTTGCCAAACTCTAAGATTTAATTACCAAAGCAGATCTACGTTGGCAAATCTTAAATAACACCCATTCTTATCAAAAGAAGTAACCCCAAAAGGAGTTAATATCAATATCACAGATTTACTTAAACACAGTTAAGGATGGAGTAGAAATTAATCTCTGCCAGCAGATTTTTAGGGTGCAAGTGAATAAGTATTGGAAAGATTATGTGAAGGCATGCTCTTAGTATTACCTATGTGCGAAAAATGGTTTGTTGCTCCTAATTATTAAGAATATACTCGTCATATAAGAAATCTTAAACCTGAATCTAGTGCTATTTAAATATTGTCACAAGACTTAGGGTTAGATGCAAAATTAGTTTATTCTAAGCTTATATAAGTCTTTGATTCATTTCCATTTATAAATACAAAAAGAAATGCTCAGGGGGCTAAAGTAATAGATGGAGTATTCCCTCCTTTCTTTTAAGAAAATAATAATTAGTAAGCTCAATAGTAGCAGCAACAATTATAATAACAATATCAAAGTTGATCAAAATATAAAATAAAATAAAATTAAATTATTTTAGATTTCCTTCTAAATTTTTCTTAATAATATGACTAATGCAATTGCGACAATAAACAATAACTAACAATAAGTTTTATTCAACAAGAATTAAAATCAATTTAATTAAAAAATAAGATTCAATCTTTCTAACCGAACTAATAAATAAATAAATAACTATTTAAAATTGGATCATCAATTTTCTTATATAACAATATTAAAAATATCACAATAAATTATTATTGAATGTATGTATGTACTATTCTAACTTAATATATAACTAATTCCTTTTTTCCTAATGATTCTCCATAATAAATTTTACTAATTATTTTTGTTACTAATAAAATATCAATATTGTTATTTGATTACATTTCATCCAATCTTAATTTATCATAGAAATAAAAATTAAGACAAAATAAATACTTCTTAACTCAAGCCTTAATTTAAAAGAAATGACATTAAAAACTTTATCTTTTATTTAATAATTTTAAAGTCTATCAAATAAATATCTTTCAAATAAAATTTATTAACTGACTTAAATAAATTTTTAATTACGAAAAATTTCTTTAATATGACAAAAATTAAATGAAACCTATTTTAAACTTAAATAATAAATATTATCATCGAATTATGAAATTTAAATATGTTTAAATAAATTTATTTAATTAGAAATTTTTAAAAATTCATTACAATTTTTCAAAGTTTTTAAAGAATTAAATCCAACTTTATAATAATTTATTTATGTTGTTAAATTTTTTATTTCATAATTTGTTTTCTTTTATTATTATTTCTTTTTCTTTCTAATGAATTATTTTTCTGTTAGATTTTTATTTTTTGTTTTCTGTTAAATTTTTATAAATTAGTTAACTTTTTTTCTTAATTTAAAGATTTTTTATTTATTAGATGATGTTATTTAAATTTCTTTCTTTTGTTTTTATTAAAGTAGATTAGAGAAGGTTTTAAAGGAGAGAGAAGATTTTTTAAATTATTTTAATGTGAAAAAGACTATCATAATTTATATTTTAATTTGAGATATTTAAAATAAGATTTTCTTCAGAAAGTTTATGTTCAACTAGTATTATATCTTAGAATTGCTCATTATCGGAGGGAAGTCGTTTCTCGAAAGCATTTTACCAGGATTAAAAACTAAATGTCTTAAAAACCATGAGCGCATACTAAAATACAACTTTCTTAAAATATCTATTATTTCAAAGTATCTCTAAGGGAAGGAAGATAAGAATTTTATTTGCTTTTTAAGCATGATTGGCTTTGATTTGATTTTGAAATACTATGTGTTCTAATTATTTTTCAAAGATTCTTTTTTGAATAGAAATGTTAAAAACTTAGTGGCATATTAGATCCTTTGAGAGTTTTATTTAAAATAATTGTAGAATCTCTGAATTAATAAGTCAAACACCATGTCCAAACCTTTTTTATCAAGTAAAACAAGGTTCGGTATTTATTTATTTTTTCTTTATTTATGAAATTAATCAATTAAGAAATTTATTATTAAGATTATTTGTTAAAGTTTTTCATCAAATCAGTCAGTTAAAAATTAAATCAAAAACATACAAAAGAAATAATTTATTTGATTTTCTAAATAAATCAAAAGGTAGGAATTATTTTTTATTCTTTTTCTAAATATTTTTATCTAGCTAGATTAAGTGGATATTTATCATTAAAATGGAATCATTATTTTTTATATAATTTTATTAAAAAAATAATCTAATTTAATTTAATTTAAATTTAATAAATTGATTATAAAAATTTCTTAAATTTTTTATTTTCTAACAAAAATAATATCTATCTTAAATGAAGGAAATAATAAAATATTTGATATTTTTAATATGAGCTATTATTTCATACTATTTAATATAAGACAGTATTTGAAAAAATTATTTATTATCATTTTATCCTTTATAAAAATATTAAGTATAGAAAAATAAAGATAAAAATCATGTATTTTGAGATAATTATTTTAATTTAATCTAAATTATCTTTGAAAAAATCTCTTTTTAAATTAAAGTTTCTAAACATAAATAGAATTTTGCTGAAGCTAAATAGTAATCTAAATTTAACTTATTCAAATAAATAAAGCAATAAATTTGTACTTTTTTGATGATATGTTTTCTAATTTAAATTTAATAAATAAATTGTTAATATATAAAATTCACTAAATATTTTATTCTCTTTCAAAAATAAAAATCTTAATAATTAGTAAATAATAATTATAATTTTAGAAATTAAATTATTTTTTTATCAATTTTATAAAAATTTTGAAAGAAACAATAAATTTAATAATACTTTTATGCTGAGCTTATTATTTATAAATACTTAATATGAGATAGTATCAAAAAGATAATTTATTGTCATATAATCCTTTCAAAATTATAATATTGATAAGAAAAATTAGATAAAAATTTATTTCTATATGGGAAAATTACATTAAGTTAATCTAGTAATCTTCAAATTAAAGTGTCTAAAAAATATTTATTTTTACTAAAGCTAATAATCTAAAAATTACAAAATTGAAAAATCTAAATGAAATAAATAATTAATTTGATTACTATTTTGATAATTTATTTTTTAATAAGTAATAATTTGTAATTTGTTTATATTTTGAGTCGGAAATTAGATAAATGTATTATGATGCTTTCATGATTAATTCAATTTAAGAAAATAACATTTTTAATAGTAAAATTAAATTTAAAATTTAAAAGGCTTTAAAAAAATAGAGAGCTATTAAAGGTAGTCATTATTTAAATCATTTTATTCTTTTTAGCAAAAATAAAATAGAGAATTGATTAAATATTTTAATAGTTAAAGTAATCTATAAGTTGAAATAATTCATTGAATTAAAAAAAAAAGTATAATAAAATAAGAAAAATTATAAATCTGTAATTTCTTTACTTACTTTAGTACAATCGAGATAGTAAAAAGAATTAGGACTAAAAAAGATTTTTTTTTAATATTATTTTTTTGGTTAAGAAATTGAAAATCTTTGATTATATTTTTTTGTTAGCAAAATTTTTCTTTCTTTAAATTGAAATAAAATTTCTTTATTTGCTTACATAAGCATTAAAAAATTTATTTATTGATTGAGTGATTAAAAATAGGATTTTTCGCTTTTATTTTTGCTTCTAAACTGTAAATAAAATTGGGTTTATATTTCTTTAAAAACATTTTTGTTTTTTAGTCTTGTTGATTAATGAATGCAAAGGTTTTGATTGATAAAATAAAATAGATGAATTATTTTTAATTTGATTGAAGTATTTTAATTAATTATTTTGTAAAAACAAATATTTTTCTAGTAAACAAAGATTGAATGAAGCGAGTTAATTAATTAATATATTAATTATACTTTGTAATACATGCATGTAAAGATAAAAACATACTTACTATTATAATTTCTTTTATTGAATTAGATCAATATGTGGCATAAATTGCATAGTTTTCAAGACCGCAAGTATTACCAGCAGCAAGTGTGATGTAACCACCTACACCCCAAGAAGTACCCCAAGAGTTTCTAACCTTCCAAGTACCATTAGCATTGTAACCAACAAGTAAAACAGCATGATCAGCTGCGTTGGGATCAGAACTGCACTTGCTTTAAGGGAAAACACCCGAAGCATAAGAAGACCATTAGGAGGCATCAACGCAGATAGAGATAGGTTAATTCTAGAGAGCGGCTTGAAGGGCAGCATCACTAGCAGTAACTTAGAATTATTAAGAAGGCTTGTAACCAACACCTTCAAGAGTTTTGTTGCATTTGCCATCCTTAGCAGTGTAAGCATATTAACTCTCTTAGACAATACCGAATTTTTAAGTGTAGGCAACAGCATCAGTAGGCCAGGCACCACCACAACCTTCACATCCGAAACCTTCAGCACCACAGCAATCAACAAGCTATTATTCAGAGAAAGAAATAGGAGTATTAGGTTTGTTGTGGATGTTGTAAACAGATTCAAGTAAACCAGCAGTAGAGAAAGCCCAGCAGGAACCGCATTATTATTAGTTTTTAACACCGGGTAAAACATTCTTAGTAGTCCAGTCGATAGGTTGACTAGCAGTCTCATTTAAGTTTAAGACGGCGAGGTTCTTGTTTAATTAGGAAGGAAGAGACTTCATAAGATATCTAGATTCGAATTCTTCAATAGTTAAATCAGCGAATTAGTTGACTTCTTGGTCATAGGTTCTAGTTGAATCAGCATTGTGCTTTTCAATCATCTTTAAGTTTTCTAAGAAGACAGAAAGTCTGTAAGATTCCTCAGATTCATTGTGATATTAAACATTGAAAGATCTCTTGAATTTTAAGAATGAATACATATCAAGATGACCATCACCGTTGGGGTTTCTTGTAATTAAGTAAACAGTGGCAGCACCGATTAAAGCTAAGCCAACAAGGAAATAAGTTAATTTCATTTTGCTTTATATTTATTTTCTTTTACTTTTGTATAAATAATTAATTATTTATTTATTATCTTATTTTTGAGATAAGAAGGCACTTTTTAAATCTTTTATTAAATTAGAATTTATCAATTACAAAGATTAATAAATCAATCAATAAACAGGCTTTCTAAATTATTTATCTCATCTTATACAAATAAAATGCAAACAGACAAATTCAAAAAGAGTATCTTTTTTTACATAGTAATTGCTTCTAATTTTATGGTTAGAATTTAACTTCACAAAATCAGTTTTAATCTTATGCTGCTTTTGCTTTAGATTCAATTTCATCAGTAAATTGTAAATTTAATAACATATATTAATAAAAGATTTAATTAGCTTTCATTTCTCAACTTGATTAAAAATATGATCAATCATTTTTATATTTCATCCATCAATTTTTTAAATTTATTGGAATTAGCACTTCTATCTTTAGTAAAGCTTAATTTTTACTCATTAAAAAAAAATACAAAATTTTACATAAAATTATAATTTATTTGATATATAATTTGTAAAAAACAAATTAAATATCCTTACTACTAATAAGAAAATTAATAAAAATATTACTTTTATGTATGATTTATTTTTCTTCTGTGTAATTAACATAAAATTTTACAAAATGAAGGAAATATAAAACATTTGTAAATGTTTTAAAATATTGAATCGAAAGAATTATTTATTATATACAACTTAATCATTTTAAATATTTTAATATCAATCAAAATAAAAGGCAAAAGGACAAATTCAAAAAAGAGTATCTTTTTTACATCATAATTGCTCCTAATTTTTATGGTTAGGATTTAACTTCACAAAAGGAGTTTTATTCTTATACTGATTTAGGTTTAGATTCAATTTCATCAGTAAATTGTAAAATTAATAACATATATTAATAAAAGATTTAAGCAGCTATCATTTCTCAACTTAATTAAAAAATATTATCAATCATTTTTATGTTTCAACCATCAATTTTTTAATTTATTAGACTTAGCACTTTTAACTTTAGTAAAAGCTAATTTTTACTCTTAGTAAAAAATACAAAATTTTGCATAAAATTATAATTTATTTGAAAGATAATTTGAAAAAAACAAAATAATTATTTTTGACTACTAATAAGAAAATTAATAAAAATATTTCTTTTATGCTTGATTTATTTTTTCTTCTGTATAATTAACATAAAAAGAATTACAAAAGGAAAAAAAAATATTTGTAAATGAATTGAAAGAATTATTTATAATATATAATCATTTTAAATATTTTACTATTAATCAAGAATACTTTTTATTAAATATAATTGATGATGATATTAGTTATTATTATTATTTTTTATCTTAATATTATTATTTAGGTATACTATCAAAGTATATATTTGATTCTTCTAATTCCGCACTATTATTAATTTCTTATTGGATATATTGTGCATTCTTTTATTTGATGATAAATGAGATTTAAATATTTTTCCATTTTATTTAATGTGTTAGAGTTCCTATTTTACAATACATGATGAAAATAAGTAGTAAATCTTATATAGTTTTTTTTTATAAACAGGAAAAAAAACATATTTTTATATATCAATTTAAAGAATTATTTATGTGTTTGTAATATATTTATTTATATCATATATTTAGAAGTTTTGTTTTTAGCTACCATTTTAATTTACAACTAATGGCTTTTATTTTATAAAAAGAAAATAAACATAGGTATTTGAAATTCATTTATTTTTTAGAAAACTCCATTAATAGTGCTCAGGAGAGTTAGAAATTTTCTATTTATTTTTATTTGAAAAAAAGCATAAGATTTTTTATCTAAAACAATGTGGGACTTTACATAGAAAATAAAAATAATTCATTATGAAAAAGTAAAGACAAAGTTTCCGATTGATTTATTTTATTTTATAACCTAAGGATTTCAATATTTTGTTCAATTTGATGATATATTGATTAGTTATTAATTTAATTGTTAGAAGAATAAAAGATATTCGTTAAAAATAAACTAAACAAATTAAAAATAAGAAAACTTTCATAAATATTAAAAATTTAATAAATATAAAATATTACGAATAAGAAGACTATTAAAAAGAAGGTTTGAAAATAGTTTTTAAATATAATCGGCTTAAATACTAGTTTTTGATCTTGCATAAGTTGAATAGGTTGTCTATCCTTCATAATTTACAACATACTTTGAAAAAATTATGTAGTAATAAAGAGAAATCAATTTATGAAATTATTTCTCTTGACGGCATTATTATGTAGAAATAGTCATTCACTCATTCAACAAAATAAACCTTCTCAAATAGCCTTTCATCTTAATTCTGCTAGATAATAAATTAAAATCTATCTGAATTGGATTGGTATATTCAAAAACCAAATCAACCAAACAAACAAACTACAACATTTCTTTATCCTTTTTTAGATTTCAATTTTTTTGCGAAAATGAGAAATATAGATATTAATCAAAATTAGCCTGAGATCTTCTAAAATGTTAGTATAAGCATTCTACTTTACTTAAAAACAATAAATTTTATTAACTCTCTTCTCTCTAATAAAATATTTAATAAATTATATAAAGATAAATAGAAATATAATTTTAAAAATAAACAAAAAGATTTTAAGAATATTAAAAAAAAATATAAAAAAGAAAACAATATAAAATTCACACTACATGATTATATAAATAAAATCTTTTGATTCATAAAAGATACTAAAATATAAAAATATAAAATAAATAACTCAATTAAAATGTTTCATATAAAATTATTTATTAATCATAACAGATTTCAATAATAGATATAATTAATTTACTTTCATAATATTTAATTTTTTAAATAACTTAATCTTTTTTCTATACATTAATAAATGATTAAATTAAAAAAATTGTTGTTAAAAAATTTGTATAAAGCTTAAAAAGAAATTTAAAAATGATGAAAATTGCATACACACAATGAACTAAATAATACAATAAAACAGATATTGCTAATTTATTATTTTTATTTATTTGAATATTTTCCTTAGTATTATAATAGATTTAATGAATTCATTAATGAAATTTAATTTATTTATAGTTGAAATTTAATTAACATTTGTTGGAATAAAATTTCATAGATTTATTGTTGAGAATTAATTAGCTTTTATCGGAATCTGATTTTATTGATTCATAATTTAATAAATAATTTGTTTTATAAATAGATTAAATATTTTTTCGTATTTTAAATATAACAGCATTGAATGAATTGATATTAAATTTTTATAATGAATAATTTTTATGTAATTCTAATCGTAAAAATATGATTTTAAAAAGTATTTATTATCTGCAAAATTTAATATTGATCACAAACATAAATTGAACAAATAAGTGCAGTAAGGAGTATCTATCATTTATATATTTTATGGGATAGAAATAGATGAATAAGTTCAACAAAATATCACTCAAATTAAGTTGCATTGTTAGATGTTCTTTTCATCTTCGTTTTCAAAGATATTTTGTTATTCCTTTCTCTTGGGAGCTTAGAGCTTGGTTCTGTTTTAGTTCTTCTTTTAGACTCCAGTCATAGGTTGAGAGTTTTGTAAGGAAACAAGGGTAACTTTAGTCATTTTATTATTTTTTTATTATTTTTTGTTAGGGTTTTATAATTTTTTGATTTAATTTATTATTATATAGGTAAACTAGTGAGAGTATTTAAAGATAATTTTTTGTGTAAAATCGATTTTGAAATCGAGTGATCACTTTCAATTTGTTATTAAAAAAATTGCTCCATTAGCTCATTATTTTACTAAATTTAAACTTTAAGATCTAATTCCATAAATTAGTTAAAATATAATGAAAATTCAAGCTAATTTTTCTTGATCAAATCTATGGTAAATAATCTTTGCAATAGTTGTTTATAATTGAAAGTTAGAAAATGCATTTGATGGAAATTTTTTTACTACTTATTGAAATATTATTAAGACTGTAAACTAATTAATTAATTTATGCATTATATAAATTTTGAATTAAATACACGTATCAATGATTCTTTTAAATTATAATTTATAGTAGCTTATTATTCTTTATAAAAGATAAATTTAGAGGTCAGTGCCTTGATTCGTTATTTTGTAAAATCAGTATCAAAAATTAAAATCAACTTTGATTTTAAAGTATGTTGATAAAAATAGAAATTATTATAAAACCATTTAACAATAATATAAAAACCTGTACTTTAATTATTAACTATGATTCTTTTTCAAAAAAGATACCTTAAATGTATCATTTAAAAAATGTTTACCCAAACAATTAATTAAACATTTTTAAAATATGTAAAAGCATAGCTTAATTATAGATAAAAGTATTCAGTATAGGCTTATCAACAAAACATATTTATTTTCTCAGGTATTTTTGCTCTTCGCATCCATATTTTAAAAGAAAAAATAAGGTACCAATCTCAAATTTAAAATTAAAATATAATTAATAGATTAATTAAGATTAATAATTAAAAGCAAGTCATTGAAATATAACATCTGATTTTAATCCACAAAATTTTTTTTGATGGTAACTTTGGATTGCTTATATTATGTAAATATTATTTAAGGAAATGATCAGAATTTATGTTCAAGCATACAAATACTAAGAATAAATAAACTAAATAAAATTCACATGTATTTTATAACAATAAAAATTATAATAATAATGATATAAAATCATCATTCTTAAGAAATTTACTCTATTAAAACTTTAATAAGGAAAGCATTTCTATTTTTATTGATTTTAAAACAAACAAATGCTTTTTAAATATTTAAAACTTTTATTTTCTTTAAAAATTTAATTCTTTGATAGGTATTACTTAAAATTGTTAATTGGTATTTGTGTGGAGTTTTTATCAAAGTAAATAGGTTTTACTATTAAAAATTTGTAATATTATTTTTTATTTAAATATACATCATATAACTAATTTTTTATGATCGATTACAGATATTCCCAAAAAAAAATTAATCCATCTATATAATAAAGTTGAATATTACCATTTTTTATATTATTATAGCATAATATTTGGTTCTTACAATAAAATATTTGATTAGCTAAGATTAGTAGGATTTATATAATAAATATCAGAAAAAAAGCAATTTTATAATTTCAAATATTAAGTTATTGACTAAATTAATTAAAAAAATTACAGAGATATCTACATAAAATATTAACCTCGTTATCAAAGAGAAAAAGCTATTTACTTAAATATTTCTAACATTTTTTGTTTTTAATAAAACTTTATGATCAATAAAACATTTATTTTTGGTTACTTAATCATTTTATGAAAAAAAAAAATATTATCCATAAAAAAATATTTTATCATTCTAATAGCTTTCAAAAATATTTGGATAATATTTAGAAGTTCAAAGATATTTTATAATAAGTAAAAAATTTAAATAAAATTAAATAAATACAAAAATAGATAATGTACATATGAGAATCCTCTTTACTATTATTATGAAACTCTTAGCAGATATTCATGACATATGATAAATACATTAATTTTTAAATATTCACTTATAAAAGAAAATTAATTTATTTTTAAATTTTAACTTGGTTATCAAAGAGAAAAAGCTATTTATTTAAATATTTCTAACATTTTTTGTTTTTTAATACAATTTTATCATCAATAAAAATAAAACATTTAATTTTGATTACTTAATCATCTTATGAAAGAAAAAAATATTATCCTTAAAAAAATAATTTATCATTATCATAGCTTTCAAAAATATATGGATAATATTTAGAAATTCAAAGATTTTATATAATAAGTAAAAAATTTAAATAAAATTAATTAAATACAAAAATACATAATGTACATATGAGAATCCTCTTTACTATTAATATGATACTCTTAGCTGACATTCATGACATATGATAAAATAAATACATTAATTTTTAAATATTCAATTATAAGAGATTTTTAATTAATTTTTAAATTTTAATATTTAGTATAACTACTAAGTAATTTTTGTATCTATTATTTATTGTATTTAGAATTTGATAATGATAATTAATTTACTTTATTAGTCTTAATTATTTTTAAGTTTATTATTATAAAATGTAATAAATAAAATATTTAAATTTTATTTTAAACTAATTCTATTCTAATATTTTATATTTAAAAAGTAAAGATTTTTTTGACTTATAAATAACTAAATAAATTTCTTAATTAAAAATAAAATATATTATTATTTATACCTTTATAATTATTTAAAAATTCATAATATACAAAAAACAATTATATTTTAAATTTTCATGAATTAAAAAATACTCATATATTTATGATAAATATTATAATAATACTTTAAATACCACTAAATTCATTTAAGAAAATATAACAAATATTATAATAAACACCAACATATATATATAGCATACATATACCATGAAAAATAGAAAACTTGAAAACATTTTCTTCAAAATGCCTACATTTTTTCAAGGCTGCAAAAGGTTTTAAAAATTTGATAAAAAAATTGGTTTTTAACATCAAAAAAAAACCTATATTTACAATAGATAATACTTTAACAGTGTGAAATTTAAAAATACATATTTACTTTTTAATAAATGTAAATAATGAAAACAAAATCTCTCATAATAGAAATTATTTATGTCTAAACATAAGTGTCTAAGTTAAAAATTCACCTTTATAAATTAAAAAAGTTAAGCAAATACAATTAATTAAATATTTTTCAAAATACATTATTTTAGTTTATATTTTGTATTTATTTTATTTATCGTTTAAATAATAGTTCTACTTTAGCTTAATTTTATTTGTATTTAGTATTTCATAGGATAAAATTTAATAAATTTATCTTTTACAGTATTCAATATACTAATTAATGTTAGAAATTGCCAAATTAAAAATAGATATTTTAAATATATTGATTTTTTTCTTAAATTTGATATATTAATTAAAAATATCACAAAATATGAAAAATTAAAGCATAAAAAAACTTTTAAATGAAGTAAATATTGTATAATATATTTTAAATATTTTTTTACTAGATCCAATAAAGATATTCATACATCCACATGCGCAATCCTACTTTTTCTTTTATTAAACTTAATAAAAGAATTTCTTTTAAAGTCTTTAACTTCTTGAGTCTTTACTGTTTAGGATGAGTTTCGGTAATTGCTCATGAATTATCCAAAAATTCTTTTATAACTATATCTGTGTTTTTAGAAATATTTAAATCACTCTAATGATTAATGTTAATTAATAAAACTCATTTCAAACCAATAGAAATTTTAATCCCAAACTAAAAAAGAAAAAAAACATAAATAAAAAAATGAATCTTAAATTATGGGCTATCATAAGCGCTATTGCCCTTCTGGGAATAGGCACCACTGTTCTACTTTAAAAATCACATAAAAAACACATCGCTACAATTGAAGACTTTAAGGTTTGCGTTATGAAAAATCTCTTTGACTGTAATTAACTCAAGGATGAGACTGAAAAAAAGAATTGTTAATCTGCTGATTCTTACCTTTCTGGTTTAAATTCCACAGCTTGCTCTAACTTTTCAACATTCATGCAATAATCTTCATAAGATGATGAATTGAATTTCAACTCTTACTTCCAATAATGCTTCTTAGACTAATCAGTCAGCTAAAAAGTTGCTACTTTAAGTAGCTTCTACTTCAACAAGATCTATATTCCTGTCTATAAAAAATGTCTTGGATTTTGAATAACTATATAACTAACCTCTATACAAATTAAATGCAAAAATGATTTTAAAAAGCATTAAAATCTAATATTATTACAAACAATCAAACATTATTTCTCATGAAATAAATCATCAATTTTTTTTAGTTTAAACAATAAATTTTAATTTAATTATATCTGTACATTTTTATCTTTTATATTATATATATTACTACTCACTATCTTATTCAATAATCTATAAAATAAATTTATTTTCTTTATATTTGTAAAGGACATATATCTTTACAATTGAATTCATTAGTAAAATTAAATTATTTATTTTTAGTATTAAGCTTATTAATTTTAAAATGATTTAATTATTTGAAATAGCTTTAAATAAATTTATATTAAATTAAAAGTACTTAATATATTAATTATTAACACACATAAAGTAATTAATAAGCTTTTAAGATTTTAAAACTAATTCAAACAATTTTAACCTTCATAGTTTATGTTTATTTTCAAATATTTAACAAATTGATTTATTAATAATTTAATTAGTTGTTTAAAATTTATGAATAAAATTATAATAAAAATAATTAAATACTTAATAATTTTTAATTTAAAGTAAATAAAAAAAATAAAATAATATAAATATGCATTTTTATTTTTATTTTCCGATTAGGATAATAAGTATTTGAGTTTTATTATCTAATTTTAAAAATTAATGAATTATCTTTGTTATAAACAATTTTGTTTAATAGTTATGTAAATTTATTTATTAGATATTTTGATATTAGTATTTTATTATTAAATTTTATTATGTATTTTTAGTTTCTTAGTTTTTTCTTAATTAGATGTGATTAGAGAGGAAAATTCATATTTGAATTTTTAATCAAGACTTTTTAATTAAAAGGGGAAGAAAAAATTTTCATAAAAAATATAAAGAAAAAAAAATTTAATTTGAAAAGGAAAAAAGGAATCAATTTGGGATTGACTGCCTTCTCATAATTTCAGAATTATAAGAAGTGTAGCGCCCTAATGGTGACAAATTTAGTCACAACGAATCAAATTAAATGCTTAGAATTTTAAATAATTTTATATATGGATGGATCTATTTTTTAAAGCTGGCAATCAAACAGAATGTCGTCTACATAATTTTTAAAATTATTCATAATTACACATTCTTTCATAAGTTTTTAATGGAAAAGTTTTTAAAACCCGATATAAATCATGGAGTTAAGTCAGTTTCCCCTCGTTTTAATGAAAGAATAAAACCATTATGAATAGAAACTACTAAATACTTTTAAAAAGTGAAAACCTCCTCATAAGGAGAGTTTGGAATTATCAAAATATCATTCATTCTAGGCATACCCTTTTTTTCTTATAGAAAAACAATAGATTGATTGAAATATTATCATCTAACTCTCTCTTCGCATATAAAATATATTATAAAATTTTTTTAAATTAGGCATGATATAATTTTCTTAAAAGGCATTAATATTTTTTTTGGCATATTGATTAATAAAGGCAAATATAATTTTTAAAAATAAACCTAAACAAAAAAACAAATAAACTCTCTCATATAAATAAAAATAAAATCTCTCATTAAATAAAAAAGAATTAATAGATAAATAAAACCTAACAAGAAAAAGAAACAATCTTTCATAGAAAACAAACACAAAATAATAAAAACAAAAATAAAAATAAAATAAACATAGAGAAAGAAAGAAAATCTTTCAAAAGAATCAAACAATATGAAAAAAGCATAAACTTACTGCTAAGATGGATACATACTTCTACGCATTTTTACAATAATGCAATGCTAAAATTTTTTAAAAGTAAGGAATAAATTTTTATTTTTAATAATTAACTTGCATTAATGCTTGCTTACAAAATATTCAGTTCGTTAATTTATTTATTTTATAAAGATAAATGAAGGAGAATATATTGAAAGGACATGCTAAGATATAAAGAATCACTTTGTTTGAAGACATTTTAAGTATGATTTTTTTAGATTTAAGTTACAATTAATTAGTTTAAAAATATCAAATATTTATTTTTAAAGTCGAGAATAATGAATAATATTTTAAAGAATTATTTTATTTAGATTTTCATTAAAAAAAACTAAATAAAAATTTAATAATTCTTAAGATTATGAAGATAAATAAATACTTTAATTTCAAAATTTTAGATAATTGAAAGTGTTAGAAATAAATAAAATTTGTTAATAAATTTTAATAAAAATTTTTCAAACATTTAAATCAACGAATTAATCAATAAGTATAAGCAAAACTTATTTCTTACAATAAACAAAAAAATTTACTTTTCAGAATGTTTTGAAAATTGAAGATATTAATAAAAAATCTTAATATAAAATTAAGATGATTTAATTAAGAATTAAATAATAAGATTAAACGAAGAAAAAAAGCTTAATAATTGCAAAGATAATTTTATGAAATAGTTTATAATAAAGATATTTTTCTGATGATATAATACTTTAAGATTTATCTTTCTATAATAGATTTTATTGTAAAAATGAATAAAAAATTTATAAATAATCTTTTTACTATTTTATTTATCACATGAGAGCAAAACAAACTCCTACAAATAGGAATATTTAATGGATAAATTATTGAATTAATAAACAGATTAAATCAATGAAGCAAGTGAATATTATTCAAAGTATAAGAAGATTTTATTTAAAGTGTTAAATAAAGCTTTGAAGAAAATATTATGCCAAAACATGAAAATTTTAAATGAACTAAAAATATAAAAATTTTACTCAATTTTTTGATAATTCAAATGAAAAGCCATATTTATTTGATTAATTTTAAGAATTCATCTTCGACAAAAATAAAATTAATAATAACTTATTTAATTTTTGCATACTAATTTTATTGGCTAATAATTTTTATTAATAAATTAAATAGGAATAAATACAAATTAAGAAAATAATCAAATAATTGATCAAGACTTTGCGCTAATTTATTTATTATTATTATTAATTGAAAAAATATTAATCTTATAAGAAAATAGGTAGGTAGAATGGAGAGTTAAAAATAAAGCGATAACAATTATTTTATATTTATAATATTAGCAATAGTAGTAAAACGCTTGTTAAGTAGATTTCGTTTAAAGTTTTTCTAAATTTCAGTTTTTAAATACTCCAAAAAATTCAGCTCTTTACATCGCTTCCACTAAAATCACTTACAAACCATATTACTATTATTGTTACTATGTCAAAAATTTAGTCTCTTTTCTTTAAATAAAAACATATTAAAAATAATTAAAATATATCATAAATGAATCCTATTTTTATTCTAATAAAAGTCTCGTTTATTGCAGGAAAAATTCTTTTTCACCTTCTTTCTTTCTTCTATTAATATAAATTATTTAAAAGAATAATCTAATTTTCTTTACGTACTTTCAAAATACCTTTTGTTAAACAAAAAATATATCAATCAATCTTCAATCAAATAAGTAAAAAATTAAATTATTAAACTGTAAATTATAAATACACACAAAAACAAACAAACACAACCACTAAAAAGAAACCTAAAAAATATAATGAAAATAAATAAAATTCAATTACTAAAAAGATATAGATTAAATAAAAAATTTACAAAATAAATAAAAAAAATAAAAAAAGATAGAAAACCTTCAAACTTAAATAAAATTAAGATCCAAATAATATATTGCAAAACGAAGTATTTTACTCAAGCTAATGCTTTAAAAATATGTTATTAATATTATAAAATAAATACTATCACATATTTTTTTTGCAATAATTAATGAAAATAAAATTAAATAAATTAAATTTAATAAAAAACCTATTTTAATCATAAGTATTATTTAGAAAGTAAACTACAAACAAAATTAAATAAATAAATGTAAGCTAAATATAAGAATTATTTTAATTTAATAGATAATTCCTACCATAACTTATATTATATTACATAAGATTTAAATATAATTTTGTATTTAGTATTTAGTATTATTATTAATTTACATTTTTTATGTGCTTCTAAAATTAGGATTTATATTTAAAAATATATTATAACTTTCTATAAGTTGAATATAAGATAATTAAAACATGATTTATTGAAATTTTTCTATAATAAAGCAATATAAAAAAAAAAATTTAGTTCGAAGTATTATAAAACAAAAATCTCAACTATGAAATAAAAATCTGAATTTAAAATAGAAATAATATTGTTCGAGATTTGAATATTTTCACTAAATAAATAAACTAAATTGCTAAAATTTTAGATTTTTCTCAAAGAAAAAAAAGGAAGTGTGGTTTATAGTATTTTTTAAGCTTTTTTTTTCCTAAAAATAATTGATTGTTTTGTTTACTTAAAAAACGCCTTTATTAATTGTTATGAAAATTAGAATTATGGTGCTAATAAAATAACTAAATCAGCATAAGTTATTGAAGATAAGATTTTGCAAAAAGCAAAAAGGTTTATATGCGTTGAAAGATTAGAGGGTACCAATAAATTGGCAGATAAAGGGAAATATTGTGATAAAATTGATTTTCAATAAAAATAAATAATTTAAGATAGATACATACATACATTCATATATTATTAAAGGAAAATAAATAAGCTAATATTCAATAATTTACATAAAAGTAGAGTATATTAATAATTAATAATACTATGGATACAGCTAATTTAGTTGCAAAAGAAGTTGTAGAATACTACTAGCCATACAGACATAAAAGTAATTTTACAGTAACTTAAGTGCATGGTTCTGTCTTTAATATAGATGAACGCTATAGAATTCTAGAGAAAAGTAAGTTTAATATAAAAAATGTTAATAAATCATAATTTAATCTATTTATATTTTAGTTGGACAAGGAGCCTATGGAGTTGTTTCAGCTGCAATTGATTAAGTAAAAAGAAAAAGTGTTGCAATTAAGAAAATTGAAAAGGCCTTTGATTAAAGAATTTATACCAAGCGTACTCTTCGTGAACTTAAGCTTCTTCGTCTCCTCACTCACGAAAATGTAAAAAAAATTTCATTTTTTATAAATTTAGTATGTAGTAAGAGTGTTATTATAATTTTTTAAATTTAATTGAATAAAATAGGTGATAGGTCTAGAAAGTATTCTCCTTCCTAAGTCAAGAGAAGAGTTCGATGATATGTAATTAATGCTTTCATTAACAATATTATGATTTTTTAAATTTAAGTTGTAATTCAAATAAAATAAAAACAAAAAAAATGAACATTAATTGATAATTGACTTCATGGTAGTCTTTTAGGAAATAAATTTTAAATTACTATGATAAAATACTAACCTGTTTCATTCTTTATAAAAAATTTTAAAACTAATTTGCTAAACAAAATAACACGTTTTTAATTAGAAATGAGCCTTATTAAAATTTTTAAAAAATAGCTACTGCGTTTCAGAGTTAATGGAAACAGATCTTTAATAAATTATTAAGTCAGACTAATAATTGACTTAAGATCATTGCAAATTCTTTATCTACTAAATTCTTCGTGGGTTAAAATACATTCATTCAGCTAATGTTATTCATAGAGATCTGGTAATAAATAAAATCAGTTTTTTTAATTTATTTATAAATGCATTTCACCATTCTTAAAGCAATAAACAAACATGTATCTGCAAAATATAGCAAATTTGTTAGTTTAGGAAGATTTATAAAATAGTAAATTCATAATTAGGTTTACTCAAGCTTTCAGTCCTTAAATGAATATTAAATTATTAAAAAAATATTTCTAAATCAAAAAAATAGCATGTAGCAAAGAATAATATTTATTTTTTTAAATCTTAATAAACTAGAAACCAAGAAACCTTTTGGTTAACTCTAATTGCGATTTAAAGATTTGCGATTTCGGTCTTGCTAGATCTGTAGCTAACACCAAAAATGATTTAACTGATTATGTCACAACTCGTTGGTATAGACCTCCTGAGCTTTTATTGTCATGGACAGATTACACATGCGCAAGTATAAACTATAAAAATATTAATTTTATCACAAAAATTGAACAAAGTCTTTTATAGGAATTTTTTAATTATCATTATCAATTTTTATTTTTTAAAAATTAATTTACTGGATAAAAAATTAGATAATTAATTAAGAAATTAAAAGAAATTATCAATATCAGAATTCCTTTTTTACTGTCTAATTTTTTATTTCTTAATAATTAATTAATTAAATTAGTGGATGTTTGGTCTGTTGGTATTATTTTTGCAGAGCTAATAAAAAGAAAGCCCCTTTTACCAGGCTCAAGCTCATCAGATTAGCTTCTAAGAATATTTGATTTAATAGGTACTCCATTAGAAAATGAAATATAAATGATACCATATGATGAATATCGTAAATTTATTAGAGAATTACCAAAGAGAGAGCCTAAATAGTTTGAAAAAATCTTTTCTAAGGCACCAAAAGAGGCTTTAGATTTACTTAAAAAAATGTTAACATTTGATTTTAATAAACGTATTACTGTTGAAGAAGCTCTCAAGCACCCTTACTTGAGTGATCTTCATTTACCTGAAGATGAACCTTCTAGAAGTGAAGTTCCTTTCTATGAATTTGAATTCGAAATGCACTCCAACTTAACAAGATAATAATACAAAGGTAATTATAATTTTTTATCAATAAATAAATATTCTTAAAAAAATTAATTGCTTTAAAAACAGATCTTGTGTATGAAGAAATCCTCCTTTATCACTACCCTGATTTCAAAAAGAAGTATTTAGATAAGATTTAAAATAACCAATCTGTTATGTAGCACATATTTGATAATGCTAATAAAAATATAGTAACAAAATATTTTTTAAAAATATAATTAATTTTTTTCAATTTTAAAGGTTGATGAAGAATTCTCTTCTGATTAAGATTATTGATAGTGAATGCATTTTTAGTTAAATTGGAAATAAGTCTTATAATTAAAATTATTTTAAAAATTGTAAATAAAAACTTTCTACTCTTTATGTTAATATATTTCTTTTACAATTTTTAATTTCGTTTTTACTACTTTATTTTTTAAAATAGTCATTGATATTTTTTACTTATATTAAAAGCAAAAAGCTTAATTTTACACTGTTTAAAACTTAAAAAACTAATTATGAAATTTATGAATTTCAATTAATAAAATTTTCTATGGAAGTTCATTAAGCTAACAATTTTCAACTTATATTAAGCACCTTTTAGAATGACAAATTTAAATTTATGAAAAAAATAAAACAAGTTAATTTCATAAATAAAGAAAGAGTTATTTTTAGCAATTTTTAAAATTTTTTCTTTTAAAAAAAGGGTTTATAATTTTACTCTTATTCATTCAATTATTAATTAGAATAAAAATCCATTTTAAAAATAATTTTCTTTATTTCATTAATTTAAATTAGAATAAACAGTAATTTTTAGAACCACATTTTTTAAATATTTTTCTTTATATTTTTTTATCCCCAATTAATGTAAATTCTTTTTAAAGTTTCTAGCATTTTAAAAAAATAATAAATTATATTGAATATTAAAACATTTAAAAATTTGCAAATAAATCTTAGTTTTGGAATCGGATAATAAGGTACTACAGCTTTTATTTAAATTCATTTAAAATTTGATAATAAAAATAATAAATTAAATAACTCATTTACAAAGTATAATTAAAAATAATTAAGATAAAAAAAAGTAATCTTGATAATAGAGACTATAAAATTAAAACCAAAATGATTATTGTAGCATTAATAAATTTAATCAATATCGTTTTAATTCTAGGTTAAAGTTCAAACAATTGTGGGATAGGTTGCTAATTTTGTGCAGTAGACTCTAACAGCAATTCTTACAAATGCAACCTTTGTTTTGAGGGTTACTAATTTGATAGCTCAAATAATGTTTGCGTTTACTAAAAATGCTTAGATAACTTCTACTTCTAAATTAATGAAAATTCTAATAACGATTCAAATGGAAGTTGTGTATCTATTTGTAATCCACTCTATATAGGCGATCTCATTTAAAAAGTATGCAAAAAGCTTATCTAATGTTCATCCTCATTTGCTACTTAACCAAATTTTATTGGTATTGACATAGCTTAAGACTTTTTTGTTTATTAGAAAGATTATTATGTAGCAATATAGTAAGGGTATCTGTCTATTTTTGGATAGTAAAAACTTTAACTAATAGCTCATGTCAATTAAACTTAAAATGACTTAAAAATTTAAAATATAAATGGAGAAATAATTGTACTCACAAATAATAATTAGGTAATTCTATGGGATATTATTAACAATCAAAGAACTTTTATTATGAATAATGCTAGCTTTAATTTTACTTCTAAGACTTAATTATCTAGTTTTATGAATCAATTTTTTTTAATCTAGTCAGTTGATTCAATAACATTGACTTTATAAATAATCTATGATTAAGTTAATCAGATGCCATTGTTATCAAATTTAATTTAAATTAATATAGATTAAAAATAATTTTAAATTGAGAATGATTTGCTAATTGTTCAAAATTAATATGGTATTTCTGTTTCTCAAATAATTCTGTAGTATTAATAAAAAGAGTTAAGCATATAGTTAGGAAATACCTCAAATTGCGATACTAATTAAGTGGGTAGTTTTATCTCTATATAAAAAACTAATTCATAATTCTTATACCTTTCTATACACTCTGATGGAGTTTTAATTCTAAATCTTAACTCTTAACTATGTTCTGTAAAGTATATTGATCAAGGAATTTAAAAAGGGAAATTGATAGAAACGTCTGATAATTTAGGTTAAATTAACTAATATTTCATATTTATGAAATAATAAAATTTGTTTAATTTTAATATAATAACTTCATCACTTTAAAAAATAACAAATAATTCAATATTAGACTTTGAAATTGGAAATTTTTTAAATGGTGATAACTAAATTATTATATTGTAAGATTAGTTAATAAATGTGTACAATATTAGTTAACTAAATAATTAATTTGAAATTTACTATTCTTTGGCTTTGATGAATACCCCATCTAATTAAATTAAAAAAATACAATAAAAATATTAATTTAACTATACATTAGAGCAATATACCTAATATCAAACAATTATGATAGGATAATAAATTTAAATAATTAGAGAAAACCTTCAAAATTCATAACTTGAAATTTAAATAGTTGATAACTATTAACTGTCTTATCCTACACCTAGTTCCTAAGTGAATTCTTTAACTTTAATTTATAATCCTCCAATACTTGTTACATGCCATTAAAATGGCGATATCGTATTTTATGATATATCTTCTGGTATAGAAATGTAACTTATTATTCGCATGCAATTCCAACCTTAGTCGTGTTTGCAAATTGCTAGATTTTCAAACAACGACATTGCTGTTTAAATGAATTAACAGATTTTACTTATTGACCCTTACCTATAAATTTAAAAAAATTAGATAAATTTGAGCAACATAAACTCTTTTTCACTTAACTATGATAAATTGGCAATAAGTTATGAAAATTGTATAGCTATATTTTCCCAAGATTTTTCAAATTTGTTTTAATAATGTGATAGTTATTATTCTTAAATAATAAATATATTTTTGAATTCAGATTTGAAAATAGTTATTTAAACAAACTAATAAATTATCTTATATCAGATTTAAATTTCTCCCAATTAACAAATAAATTAACTGAGTCAAATATAAAGCTAAAACGAGATTACGTATTTCAGTTGCATTACAATATTTAATAATGATTAGGATTTAATTAAAAACAATTACTCGATTGACGAAATTGTATATTTTGATAGTTAATAAAATTTTGTAATTTATGATAATTAGCTTTAAATCATTCATTAAATTTCTAAAATTGCTTTGACTACTGTTAACCAAGCTAAAAGGGTAATAAATGATAACTCTGTTTATTTTCTGATTGGTTTGTCTGATTCAGATAATCCTGTAGTAAAAATACATGCAGTTTCAAAAAATTCGACTGTCTCTTACAAAATTGACTCATTTTAGTACTCTCCCTTCATAGATGATCCTGTGAAAATCACTAATAGTGCTGGTTCTGTATTTTATCATGTTAAGCATATAATGCAATTGAATTTTTACACTGTACATGAGGAGTATTAAATGGATTTAGTTAGAAATATTACATATACATATGGACATGACTACATTGTAGGAGCTACCTAAACAGTTTAAGCTAAAATGAAGTTAGGATCTTAAAGCAATTTTATAGATTATGCTGGAACATAGTAAGGTCTTTCTGGATCCTTGAAGTATTAACTTTTAAGATACAATACTCTTGATGAATCAAATATTTTCTCTAGCCAAAAAGCTTCTGATGAAGAAATACTAGAAGTAATACAAAGTACTAATTTATTTATGTATTTTGTAAGGACTTCTTACTAAATTACATCTTTTAGCTTGTTTACAAATTCATTTATTGAAATTTTAAAACCTTAAAATTCATCTGATTCTCCATTTACCCAGATCAAGGAAATCTAGGATTTAAATAGCATCATTTGCTGGAATTAAAACTAAATACTACTTTCTACTTATGGAGAGATTAATAAAAAATATTATTATAAAAAGATGAGTTAAATTAATGGATGGATTTTTGATGATTCTCGTAAATTAATTTATGTTTATGGATTTTCATTTGCTATATTAGATTCGAGTTTAAATTTGTTAAAAACAATATCAAGCTAAACCTCAAATCTTAAATACATTTAATGCGAAAATAGTTAAGATATTCTTATATGCAGCAATTCAATTACTTAGTTTTCTTTGATCGATAAGAATACAAATAAATTAATTCAAAGTATTTAAGTAAATGGATTTTAGAATTAATTTAAAATAGGAATAGATGATGAAAATCAAAGCTTATATCTCTTTGACTCATAAATATAAATTTTTAGTATTCAAGGTATTTATAATCAAATGATATAGATAGATTCTAACTCATTCTAGAAGTTCGAAATACATCAGTCATTTGTGGTATTATTTTCACCATCAAGTAATTTTAATTTTATTTTTCTTTTTTAAAATTAACAAAATTTATAAATAAATAGATTTGATTGTGATAGATAGAATATAAAAAACTATAGAAAGTCAAATTTAAGGACCATCTGGTTTAAATATTGTAAATTATCTTTATCTGGATTCTCTATCACAAGTTGCTATTTATTGTGATAATTCATTATTCGCCTAAGTATATATTTACAATATTCCCTCAACCACTTTAGCTGGGAAAATATAAGGAGCCTTTACTTGGAACTAGTTTGGTATAGTGATTGGTCTAGATTATGATCCTAGCTAAAATGACATAATGTACTTAGATGATACTGGAAATTTTTATATTTATGAATTATTCAATGAGTATGATATTTTGAATAATTGCAAAATAACAGAAGTTCTAGATAGAAATGAGTAATTAATAGGTTTTACATACAACTAAATCTACAATAATGTGTTTGTATATAGCAAGACTTCTATATATTAAATTAATTATAGTAAATTCGGAGTCAAATATCAATATGGATTAAATGAGCCTTTTAAATAATTCACCTAAATTCCTATATCATAATAAGAGAGCTAATTCCTTTTACTAAATATAGATAATAATTTATTTAGATATTAAAATCAGTCAATTATTTATGAGAGCACATTTAACTAAATGCCGATAGATTTGTTGTATGCAAATACAGAAGATGTTTTGGTTGTAGGATTTAGTGATTGTATTGTATTTTACTTGAATTACTAAAATCTTGAAATTAATAACTAATAAAAATTATAAATTTAACTTAAAGATGTTAAATTTTTTAAATTTTTACAAAATAACATTTATTTAACTTATGATAAAAAGATTATTCATTGCGATATTACAACTGGAAGCATAATAAACGTAATTGAATTAGATCCTTAATCGTTCGTTACTAACTATACATCCAATTTGAATAATAAAATAATTTTAATCGGACTAAGCAATGGAAGCCTATTGTAGTACAATTTGCTAGATTAATCATATATATATTATAGCATATCAAGTAACTCAACTATTAACACATCTATAGTATCTATTTGCATAGATAATAATTTGCAATAGACAGCCATATTTGCAACAAATGGTGGTATGGTACAACAAATAAATATAACCTAATAAATATTAATTTAAGAAATAAATCTAATTTCCTCTGTTAATGAAGAATTTAATATTAATTTAATAGATCTTAAGTATGATATAACTTATAATAGATTCATATTCTTTTTTAGAGGATAAAAAAAAGTGTATGTCTGGAACTATCTAACTAGTAAATTAGAAGGTTTTTTAATGTTATCAAATAATTAAGGAAATAAAATCTAAATGACTGATTCTCTAATTGTGACATCAAATACTTTTTAATTGAATATATATTCACTAAGTGAAAAGATTCAATTAATTTCAATTATCAAAAGAAATAACTTTTATGATAATATAATAGATTATTTAATAATTAATAATAGCCAAATAATTATTTTTTTTGATAGTAGATATGAATTGTTTTTACTTTAAAATAACCAATTTAATTTGATTTCTTAATAATCTTACACATATCCACGATTTATGGGATATATATACAATAGTGACATATAATTTCTTAAAATATATGGTTTGCACTAACTAGGAGTATTTGAAAATAACATAAGTCTAAACATATATGAGTAGAATGATATTGCATAATGTGCAAGCTTAATTAATAGTGATAATTTAATGAATATTGAACAACTTCTATAATCAGTAGTCCCAAAGCAAGCAGAGACTTTTAGCTTTTATGGAACTATACTTAGTAACTATCAAAACTGGAATAATATAATTTATCTGTACATTAATAGTGAATAGTTTGAAAGCATAAATTAATTCATCACATAATCTTAATTTTAAAATACTTAAGTATTTATCAATCCTATCGACTTAACAACAAACAATTTGACTTTGACTTAAAATACCTTTGAGGTGGTATCATAATAAAATTTTTACTTGAGCAACTATAATTTTGTATTTTAAAATAATAGTCTTTCAAACTAAATTTCATTCAATTAAAATATTAAAAATATAGTTTGGTAGAATATTAGCATAATTAACCAATAAATTATATAATAAGGAATAGTATTTAGCAATATTGAATAGGTAGTTTTCAATTAACTTAGTATTTAGTAATTGCAAACCCTAAAGAATACAAGTTTAATGCAGTTTTCTAATATCACACAAATTTACATTTAATAACTTGTAATAGAAGGATGCTAACTAACTAACAACTCTGATGGGATTTTCTTTGATTTTTTCAATATCAATACAGTTATAATATAAAATATACAGATTAATCAAAATTAAGATATTTCTTAGATTTTTAAATTTTCTTTAGTTTAAAATTTGAAAATTGATAGCGTATAAATTGTTTACAATTAGCTTAGCAGTTAGCAGTATTTGTTTTTAAAAATTTAAACAGCATTATTTGGTACTTAGAGCTTATTTTAGTTATTTGGATGCTAAAATTCTATATTTAATAACTTTATAATTTAAAATAATACTCAAATTTCTATATTAAAGTCATATAGCAATTTTACTACTAACCATTAAATAATTATACTAATTGACGATGTTTTAAAAATTGAAAATTTTTAAGTTTTTTCTAATAATAATACATAGCAATAACTTTTTGAAATAAAGAGCTCTTATGTCTAAATAGATAAATTAAATTATTATATGAATACTGGTGGTATAATTATAAGTTTATCACAATAAGTAACTATCTCAAGCAGCTTGTTTATTTTAAATACTGCCTAGAATGGAGGTGCTATTCTTTTTACAAACATAAATCAACTAGTATAATTTAAAAGCTGTTCTTTTTATCATAATACAGCATTTAGTAGTGGTGGGGCACTTTATTTTGAAGATATTGGAACATGTTTAATTAATTTTGATATTTAAACTAAAGTGTATGAAAATAAGGCATTAATAGGAGGAGGACTTAGAATTACAAGTAGTATATCTGGAAATTTAAATATTCCTCTAAAGTTTCCTTTTTATGAAAATGTATATAATAATACAGCTACTATATATGGAGATGACTCTACTACTTATTTGCAAAGTATAGTAGTTTAAAAATATGATTTTTAATAACAAAAAAGTGAGTATATTTTTGAATTTTACAACAACTAGTCAGATTTACCCAAAGATTACAAATAATACTATTCAAAATATGTAAAAATAAATAATTTTTAAAGTGGATCTAATCTATATTTAAGAGTATATATAGTAGATAATTATAATAGATACCTCTCATTCTCATTGTAGAATTTGATAAATGGAAGTTATCCTAGCGATGTTGAGACTGAGTTAAAAAGTATTTAGATACTTTTTGATAATATAAATACAAAGTATTCATAACTGATTGGAGAAAAGATATTAAATTATAATTAATATAATTCAACAAGCTTAGGTTATGAAATTACTAGTTTGTAGGTTTAGGGTGCGTTATAGACAGCTTAAGTATTCTCCATAAGCTCTAATATATATTCTTAATCTCAAATACAACTTCCTGTAATGATGGAAGTATAATTCAGAGAGTGCTAAATAGGAGAAATAATATAAGATTTAACTAATTAGATAAGCATATGTAAATTTTGCTAAACAGGTACATATTCTTTAGTTGATCCCTAATATTTATACTAACAATCATAGAATTCTTAAGAAAATTATATTAAAAATTAATGCTATCCTTGTCCTGTATCTGCTTTAAGCTGCTAAGGTTCAGTTATATAACTAAAGAATGGTTATTGGAGAAGTAGTGAAACAACAGATGAAATTTTAGAATGTGACACAAATAATAATTCTTGCTAAGCAGAAAATCCTTTAAATAAAAATGGATGTGTCGAAGGATATATGGGTCCTCTATGTGAATAATGCGATATCATAGGAGAGGTATGGAACGGAAAGAGATATACTAAATCAATTCAATAAAAGCAGTGTGAAATATGTGCATCAAGATTAATTTAATACTTTTACATACTACTAAAGGGTGTTTTACTAGGAGCATACTTTATATTTACCATGAAAGTTTTTGTTGATTAATTTATTTTTTCTTAGAGATGCTATTACTTAAGAATCATAAAACTAATTCCTATTTCAAAAAATTCGATTAAAGACTATTCAGGCTTTTATATAAAAATATTGATCACATATTTTTAGCTATCACAACTTCTTATACAACAACCATAAGTTATTTCATTGAATTTTAATTTTTTAAATAACTATTTAGGTTCATCAGATAAATAAATGAGCTTAGGTATAGATTGTATTATTGATCCTAGTTTAATTATAAGAACTCGAAAAATAGTCACCTATGCTTTAATTGAGAGTTTAATTCCAATTTTTCAAATATCTTTACTCTTTTTAGCTTTTTTAATAACATCAATATTATTTAAAAATTTAATTAAAGGCCACCATTATATAGTGGTATTTCAAATAATCTATACCTTTTATCAGATTAATTAGATTTCATACTTTACAAATTCTTTGACATGTAGATAAATTGGTTCCCAACAATATAACCCTAACGATTTGAATTTATTATGCCACGACTCTAGTCTTTCATTTTTCACTAAAATGTATTCATCATCTATTTTATTATTATGGTCATTATTACCTTTAATTTTTGCTTATTAACTCTATAAGTAAAGAAATTATCTAAACGAATGCAAAACTAAATATAAATATGGCTATTTTTATGGAGAGCTAAATAATAAATATTTTTATTGGGAATTTATAAGAATGTACTTAAAAATAGCAATTGTTTATCTACACATATTGCTTTAATAAAGCTTTTAAGAGTCTTCAGATATGTTAATAATAATATTAATGTCAGTTTATATAAAAGTTATTCTAAAACTAAAACCCTTTATTTCTAGAGGAATACTTGGTAGTGAAATTTTAGCTTATGCAATTATTATACTTAAAATATTCTTATAATCTCTTTTCCAATACTAAAGTACATCCAAATTATTTATAGATATTTTAATTTTAACTCTAGATAATTTATTCTTTTTTGCTTTTACAATTACCATATTAATTTTCAAAGCAAATAATAATGATTCATTATTAGGGAAAGTTGTTCAAAAATTCATGATAATATTTTTACCAAAAAAATTAATAAATAAGATTTTAAACTAAAGAAATATAAGCTTCAAAACATATATTAGATGGAAATTAATCAGGAAAAATTTACATAATATTATACAATTCAAAGCTAATTAGAATATTAGTTAACTTAAAAATAAAGTTTCTAACATAAATCTAGAAAATCATAATTCATCTTATTAAAGTAAAAAAAACATATATTTATTATTAATTAAATCTAAAATATATTTTTATTTATTATAAAAGATTAATTCAATGAACATTTAAGCTCTTTTTAAGCTACTGCATCAAATACTCCAATTTTATAATAAAAAAAATCTTTTAATAAAAAAAGTTCTAGGTTTTAACTGCGGACTATCAGTTAAATGCATGAAAATAATAAATTTATAGAGTAAGACTATGTAGAAGAAACTTAAACTTAGTAGGAGAGCCTACACACAGATCCTAGCAAGGTTGAATAATACTAATTTAATGTTAGACTAAATTCTAAAAATTAATTTAGACTATTTAATTTAAATTTTTGAAAGTATTATTTTAATGTTTTTTTATAAAATAAATTGAAATAAATTTTTTTATGTTTGAATTTAGTTTATTTTTTAATTTTAAAATATTTAGACTAAATTAAAATATGTTTTATTAGTTTAGAAAAACAAAATACATATTTTTTTACTTTAAAAATCTTTAGAGTTTAAAATGATATAAAAATAAAATTTTTAAATTTATTAGATATTTTAATTTTAATTTGATTTTATTTCTTTAATATTTATATAAATATAAGTTGAAATTATATTACTAATTTTAAAAATATTGGTGCAAAAATTTTCAAGGGATTAATAAATTTAAAAATAAGAAAGTTGTTATTCATATATAATGTAAATAAGTAATTATCCTCTAATCTTGCATTTTTTATATAATTCCAACATAAAAAAATTTAAATTTAATAAATAATAAGTTAAAATGTTCTATAAATAATCTATTTATCTATAAAATAAAAGTATAATGTATGTTTGGCATTTATTAATTAATTAATTAAAAAATAAAAATAAACAATTTCATTCAAAATTATCAAATTTCCTCTTAAACCTGAACAAGTTTTAAAAACATGAGAAAAAAATAAATAAATAAATAAATAATTAATATCAGTTGTTATTTTTAGCTTCAATAATTCTGATTTTTCTGATTTTGTTGAGCCTTTTGGAAGTAGATTCTACTAATCATTTTATAAATTTCATATTATTTTCTTAATGCAGTAATTAATTCTTTTTTTCAATGAGGAAATGTCATTTACTTCCCTTTTTATCTAATATTAGTAACCTTTTTTTAAGTAAGCCAAAAATCTTCAATACATCTGCTTTTAGGAACATTTGATAGGTTATCGCTTTTTTTAAATAAAGTATTATTATTTTCATTTAAGAGGTTTTACTTTTTATTGGCATAATGCAATGTACTGAGATCCTGAGATCTAGCCAAAACATATAGCAGTAGTTAGAATGATGTTTTTCCTCAATAAAACAAATTAATATTTTCTTAATTAATTTATGAGCTTAGATAATTTTTTATTTAATGATTAATTTTTTGGAAACAAGTTAAGAAAGGAAATTAATCTTTCTGAAATGCACATCCAAACCAAAATTTTATCTTAAAATTTTTTTGGGATTATTTTTGATATTTGAAGGAGTTTATCTATTATTACAGGTATAATTAAATTATTTTCAATGAATAAGCTATTTTTAAGTGTAAAATACGATTAACTATCAAAAATTCAGTAGAAATATTTATACTTTTTATAGATTCTTATTATATTCATACTTCCTTCTATTATCATTAACAGAGTGAAAGAATTATTTTTTTTCTTCTACATCTTCTCAATGCTTTTTACTTCAAAGTCTAGTTAACTTGAGATTATGAGTATCTAATTATTATTTTACTAATTTTACCACTACCCTTAAATTTTTATGTAGCGTGATCCTATTCATAACTGCTTATTATATCATAAACTGTTGATAATTTTGGTATATACTCATCCTAAAAATACTTAGCTATTTCCTTTTGATTCATTATCTTCATAGAATAAGTATACCTTCGTTCTGAGTTCCTCTAATTTTGATAGAGTTTATTTCACCATTGAGAATAGCACTAAAATTCTTTCTTTTGTATTATATAATTATACAATCAATATTAATATATAAGAATATAAATGGGTATAATAAAAACAAATTTTTAGAGTTCGGATTTTTAGTGATCAGTATATATTATGGAATTTATGCTTTGGCTGAATTTATTGGTATTTTATCTTAATTTACAATTTTCAAACACAAATTAATTTTGCTAAAATATCTAATTTCTATAATATCATATCAGTAAAAATATCATTTTAAAAAAATAAAATAAAATTTTGTAAAACTTTACAAAAATCTTCAAAAAATATACCATGAAAACTCTAATTTAAGAAAGGAAATAAAATTTTAAATTACAATTTTCCATTTCTTATTTTGAAACTATTAGATTTTTATAATAAAATTTCAAGAGACAATAATTTAAAGCTACAGTAATATTTTTAGATATAAAAATATTTTGAGTTTAATTCTTTTTTTATAAAAAATTATAAAGATATTCTTTACTTTTTATTCTATCCTTTTTCTAAATATTAAAAACTTAATCAAAAGATAAAAATTGTATTCAAAATATAAAACAAAAGTATGCCAAATATAAATTATTAAATAATGGATAATGTTTTTCCTATGAGAATAAAAAAAATTAAGAGAGATTTATTATATAAAAATTCTGTATTCAAGTATGATACAATTTAATTTGTTGAAATACTATTAATAAGATTTATTAAATTATTAGTTGCAATTATCAGTAATATCAGAATAGTGTTTTATTAAGCAAACGATATTGATTTTAAGAAAAAATCAATATCAGTTTAGCCTTATTTAGTACTAAGGTAAATTTAAATAATTTATTAATTATTTGATTATAATCTAAACATTCAAGATCATATAAAACAAAATCATAATAACAATAATTTTTTAAATGAATTTTTTGATTTAATTATCAGAATTTAATCTTTTATTTTTCTTTAATAAATTTTTATAAATTAAAATATTGTAGAATTGTTAAAATTTAGAAAAATAATTATTTTATTATCTTATTTAAACTCTGGTTATCAAAAATTTTAAATATTTTTTAATTGTAAACACAACTTTCCAAATTGAGAATAAATATTATAATAAATAATTTTGTTTATAACGTCGTTATTTAAAAGATATAAATTTGTAATTCATTTAATGCATTTTAAAAGTAGACATAAAAAATTAGCCTCTAAAAATTGTATAATAAATTTAAAAAAATCAATTAAATTGAATTGAAATAAAATTTTTGAAGAAAAGTGACAAATGGTTAGGTTTATAAAATCAACATTAACTTGCTTAATAATATTTAGCTTGGTTTACTGCTAAAATAAAAATAATTGTGGTGTTGGGTGTAAGATTTGTGATATTGACTAACAAAATCAAGGTTCTTATAAGTGCAGCATATGCAATTAAGGATACAATATTGATACAAGTAGCAACAAATGCGTTTACTCTAATTGCTAAGACAACTTATTTCTTTAAATAGATGAATCTTTAGGTGATGATTCTAAGGGAAGTTGTGTTTCTATCTGTAATCCACTTTATATAGGAGATCCTATTTAGAAAATCTGTGTACTTTTATCTTAATGCTCTTCTGAATTTTAAACAGAATAAAACTTTCTCAGTTCAAGTTTACCCGAAGAAATATTCATCTACTAAGAAATATACTACGCCGTGGTATAAAATGGTTATTTATCCTTATTTGATAGAAGCTAAATTCAGTTAATAAGACATATAAACTTTTAATCTAATGATTTAAGAGTTTAAAATATAAATGGTTTAGTCGCTGTGTTAACTAATAAAAATTAAGTTGCTCTATGGGATATTATATCAGGGTAGAGATAGTATATTTACAATAGCACTGATTTATCAATAAATCAATAAACATAATTAAGAATTTTGAATAATCAATACATAATGTTATAATATGTTAATGGAAACTCATTGCAATTAATAGTAATTTATGATTTTGTTAACAGTAAATCTATAGTCTCTAATTCAATTTCGATAGATTAGAGTGATAGCTTGATTAAAATAAACAACAATCTTACTTTTAAATAACTTGAAAACTCTATGATAGTTTAATAAATTGTTTTTTCAAATTCAAATAATTTACAGATAATGTTAAGTGACAAAGTAATCTGCGATACTTCAGATGTAGGAGAAACTATTTAAATAATCAATACTTAATCTCTTGATGAATATTTTTCTATCCATAAAAATGGGATTTTTGAAATAAATCTTAGTCTTAATTCTTGCCTCATAAAACTAAAAGAACAAGATATCAAAAAAGGAAAATTAATTAATTTAGGGGAAATCTCAACAAGCATTCATTTGATTATTTTAACTTAGCAATTACTTTTTGATTTTAATTTGAATACAACTTCAAAGTAAACCATCACAGATAACAATAATAATTCAATCTTAGATTTTGAAGTGGGGAATTTTTTGAATGCCAATAACTCAATAATTATAATGAATAATTTAAATTAATTGCAAATTTATAATCTACTATCATCCAATCTAACATTCAATTTGGAGTAATACACTAATTTCCCACTAATTGCTACCCAGTAATTACTAAAAATGCAAACATAGTATTAAAATCAGCAAATTTAAATTCAAGAAAGTTAGTAATAATATGAAATAGCTCTTATGAACTCTTAAATATAAATAATACGAAAGAATATTATTTCCAATTCACAGCTAGAAACGAAAATCATTGATAATTATTAAATGCCTTATCCTACACCTAGTTCTTAGGTAAATTCCTTAGTGCTAATATATCAACCTCCTTTGCTACTTTCTTGTCATTAGAATGGTGATATATTATTTTATGATACTTCATCAGGATTTGATTTTAAATTGATAAATAAAATTTAAAATTAATAAGCATAATGTTTACAAGTTGGGAGGTTTAACAATAATTATGTTGTGGCATAGATGAATAACTCAATCTTGTTGATTGACCCTTATTTATAATAAGTGGTAAATTCAAATAATAATTTAAAAAACATTAATTCATTCTCTTTAAATTTTGATAAGCTGGCTATCAGTTATAGTTACTGTATAACTATTCTTTCCCCAGATTTTTCTTAATTATTTAATTAGTGTGATAATAATTTTTTTTTTAACGTTTAGAGCGTTTTCTTAAATAATGATCTACAATTATACGTTCAAACAACATAAGAGATTTCAATTTATTAAATAAATATTGATTAATCTTAATAATAATAATAAGCAGAATATTTAAACAAGATAACATTTCAAAATAGTATCACATACTTTAATTGTATTGTTTTATTTAATTCTGACTAAGATAAACTAAATAATAATTATTCAATCGATGAAGTAGTAATTTACGACAGCTAATTTAGCTTTAGTATTTTTGATTCTTCTCTTCAATTAATTCATTAAGTCTCAGATATAGAGCTAAGTTCAGTAAATTAAGCAAAAAGGGTAGTAAATGATAATAATGCTTACTTTTTAGTAGGATATTCAAAATCTGCAAATCCTGTTGTGAGAATACACGGGATAACAAAGACCTCTCCAGTTTCTTTTGCTAACGACTACACATTTTAATATTCCCCTTTTATTGATGATCCTATAAAAAATGTTAATTAAGCAGGAAAAGTATATTACCATGTTAAACATATAATGCAATTAAATTTCTTTACTTTGCATGAAGAATATCAAATGGATTTTGATAGAAATATTACATATACATGTGGGCATGATTATATTTTTGGAGCAACCTAAACAACATAAACTAAATTACAGATTGGTGCAAGTAATAATTATTTGGATTATGCTGGAACTTAGTAAGGTTTGTCAGGAGCATTAAAGTATTAGCTAAAAAGATATGATATTTTAAGTACATCGAATGTGCTTTCTGGTATTCATAGTAATGACCAAATATAATAAGTTTTATAAAGTACAAATTTGTATATGTATTTTGTCAGGACTAGCTATTAGATATCTTCATTTAATTTATTTAATAACTAGTTTGTTGAATTACTTTCTCCTTAATTATCTAGTGATCCCCCATTCTCATAAATCTCAGAAATACCAATCTTAAATAGTATAATTTGTTGGAACAGCAATTAAATTCTTCTATCCACATACGAAGATATTAATTAGAAATATTATTTTAAGGGAATTTCGCAAATTAATGGATGGATATTTGATGATGTAAATAATCATTTCTTCATTTATGGGTCTAGTTTAGTAAAATTAGATACTAATCTTAAATTTTTGTTAAATATTTCAAGCGAATCTTAAAACCTTAACTTTATAGTATGTCAAAGCACTTAAAATACAATTATTTGTAGTAACTCTCCTTCTTAGTACTCAATTATTGATAAAAAAAAGAACACAATACAAACTGTTCAAGTTAATGGGTTCTAAAATTAATTTAAAATAGGTATAGATGAAGCTCAATAAAATATTTATCTCTACGATACTTAAGTCTATGTTTATAATCTGCTAGGTGTTTTTAGTTAAACTATTTCTTTGAATGCTAACACTCTTAATACTTTTGAAGTATAAACTAATTATGTTATTTTCTCCTCTTACTAATGTAAATATTTTTTTTTTATTATTAACAGATAATAGTTAAATTTATTCTACAAAATTATAATTAAAATATTTATTTAATATTTATGAAATATATAAAAATAAAAAATAGATATGGTTTTTATAGATAGAAAGACTTTTTAGCTTTAAAGCTAAATTTAAGCACCTTCTGGATTGAGTATTTTGAAATATATTTACATGGAAAATCTCTCACAAATAATGTTCTATTGTAATAATTCTCTTTTTGCATAAGTTTACATATATAGTATACCTGCTGGTGATTTAGTTGGTAAAATTACAGGGCCATTTTCTTGGAATAAAGTAGGAGTTGTTATAGATATGGACTATGATTCAGACTAAAGCTTAGTTCTTTACTTAGATGACACAGGAAATTTTTATATTTATTTACTTTATAATGAATATGCTCTCCTAAATAATTACAAATTGACAGAAGTTTACGATAGGAATGAATCACTTCTTGGTTTTACTTTTAATAGTGATTATAATAATATTTTTATATATAGCAAAACCGCAATATATCAAATAAATTATAGTAAAACTGGAGTTAAATATGAATTTGGGTTAAAAGAACCTTCGAAATTATTTATACCTATTCCAATTAGCTAGTATGAAACTTAATTTATAGTAGTAAACAATGACAACAACATTTTCAAATATAAAAATCTTACTTTGTAATATGAAATTACTTTAAACTAATAACCAATAGATGTTGTTTATGATCCTTCTTTGGATGTCTTAGTTTACGCATTTTCAAATCATCTTAGCTTTACATAAAAATATTAATTTTCATCAAATAATAATTTAATACCTAATACATAAATGCTGAACTAGATTTAATTCTATCTCTTTTTAATGAGTAATGTATATCTCACATATGACAAAAGGATAATACATTGTAATATTTAATAGGCCAGTATAATAAATATTATTTAATTAGATACTCATATTTTTGTGACTAGCTTTGAATCTAATAAGTATAAAGATATTTTGCTAGTTGGATTTAGTAATGGACAATTACTTTAGTATAATTTAAATAACTAAAATTCAAAATATTACACTGTATCAGATACATAAGCAATAAACATATCTGTAATCAAGATATTAATAGATGATGATAATTAATCATAACAGTAGGCTATAGTTGTTACAAATGGAGGTCAAGCAATTTTAATAGACATTAATAATAACTAGCTAATAAAAAAAATTGATCTAATCAGTCTGGTTAATGAAGACAATTAAGTAAATCTGTAAGATTTTATTTATGATAAAATTTACTCAAGGTACATTTTCTATTTTAGTGGTTAGAAGAAGATCTACACTTGGAATTTCATGTCTAACTTACAAGAAAATTTCTTGATGCTTCCTAACGATTAAGGAAATTATATAAAACAAACAAATTTGTGGATTTTAACATCATGCTTTTATCAAATAAATGTGTATTCAAGGGCTAAAAATATTTAACTTTATACAATAATTAAAAGAAATAATTTTTATGATTCTATTCTCAACTACTAAGTAATAAATGACAATTAGATCATCATACTTTTATAAAATAGATTTGAGTTATTTTTAATTCAAGAAAAAAAGAACTTGTTAATTTCTCAATAGCAATCTGTATATCCTAGATTTTTAGGATATATCTACAATTAGGTAACAAAGTTCTTAAAAATTTACATACTTGATTAAACAAAATTATACGAAACAAATATAAGTTTAGGAATTTACGATGATAATTCTGTAACAGAGTGCGCAAGTATAGTAAATAGTTAGAATTTTTTAACTGCAATTTAATAAATATAATCTATTATTCCTAAGTAATCTGAGGCATTTAGTTTTAATGGAAGAATATTAACTAATTAACCTAATTGGAATAATTTAATTTATTTATAAATATCAGGAGACTAATATGATATGATAAATACATTTATGTAATAATAATCTCTTTAAAATACTTAAATAATTACATCACCCTAAAATTAAACATCAAATAGCTTAAATTTAGCATAAGATACTTTCTAAAACATATAATAATAAACTTTTTATCTAAGTAACTATAGCTTAGTTTTTTAAAACAGTAATCAAACAAATTAATTTTCTCTGAATTAAAATATCTAAAATATTATTTGGCAAAATATATCAATTTAATAATAATAAATTAACGCAACTGAGATAGTTATACAAAATGTCAAATAAGTTATTCTAAATTAAATAAATCTATAATCATTACAGAATAGCAATTTTTAAAATAATATGCAAAGTAGTCTGATTAAATTTATAAAAATCCAGAATGTTTTAATTAATGAATTGATAATTTAAGATAGTTTTTATTCATAAATATCATAAAAATAATTGTTTGAGTTTTATGATGTTTAGAATATAACTATTAATTTGGTTAAAATTATGTCTAATTAAAATATAAATTAAATTTTTAGCTTTTCACTAGTCTCAAATCTCACTTTAAAAAATATTTAAGTAATAGGAAATACTATTTCATCTAAAAATCGTTTACTTTAATCAAGTATTTAGAATGATTAAAATTTAGCCTATTTCTAATTGTATGGGTGTTATTAAAGCTTTTTATAGAATTTTGTTATTTAAAATAACAATTAAGTTCCTATTTTATAAACTTATAGTAATTACACTCAAAATAACGAGCTAATAACCCTGATGAATGATATTTTATAACTTGATTCAATTATTTCTAATAATAATTCACTCAATACCTAACCAATTTACTAGATTAGAAGCTCTCTTGTAGAAATTAATAACCTAAAACATTCTTAAAATTAAGGAGGTCTTATGATCAGCTTATCAAATAAAGTTATGATTTCGAATAGCTAATTTATTTAAAATTAAGCTTAAAATGGAGGAGCAATATATTTTTAAGGAATCCTTACATAAATTTTAATAAATTCATCTTAATTTTTAAATAATTAAGCAAAAAGTAGTGGAGGTGCTATATATATGGAAGATATTGGTTCTTGCTAAGTTATATTTGATGCTGATAGTTAAGTCTAAAATAACACTGCTTTAATAGGAGGAGGAGTAAGAATAGTAAAGAAAAGTGCAGATACGCTTATTATACCATAAAGATACCCCTTTTAACATAATGTTTTCAACAATAAAGCAGAAATTTATGGTGATGACTCTACTACTTATTTATAAAATTTAATTTTTTAAAATTATAAAATACCAGATTAGTAAACATCTTATAATTTTAATTTTAGTAATAATTAAAGTGATTTACCACTTAAATATTAATCTCAATACTAAAAGTCTATTTAAATAAATAACTTCTAAAGTGGAGGTTATCTTGTTTTAAGAATTTATATTGTTGATAATTATAATAGATATCTTTCTTTTTCCAAAGAAAATCTAACAAATGGATTATATCCACAAGAAATAGAGTTAGAATTAAAAGCTATTGAAATTTTGATTGATAACTCAAACATTTAATAGAGTTAATTAATAGGTGAAAAGATATTAAATTACAATTAATATGATGCTAACAGCAGAAGCTATTAACTCACTGGGTTATAAATATATGGTACATTAGAAACATAACAAATATTTTCTATAAGTTCTAGTGTATTGTCACAATCATAAAATTAAAAACCTATACTAATGTTAATTTAATTTAGGGAATGCTTATTAGGCGAAATAATACAATAATCAACAGCAGAAATAAGTATTTGTAAATAGTGTGAAGTAGGTTCATATTAGCTAATCGATCCTTAAACCTTATAATAGCAATCATTAATTAAATAAGAAAATATGGTAAAAAATTAATGTAATTCTTGTCCTTTCTCTGCTAACTCTTGCTAGGGATCAACAATAATTCTTAAAGATGGATATTGGAGAAGTGGTAACAATTCAGATGAAATTTTATAATGTAATACCAACACTAATTCATGTTAAGCTGAAAATCCTTAGAGTTTGGAAGGATGTGTTTAAGGATATATAGGTCCTCTATGTGAATAATGTGATATAACTGGATAAATCTGGGATAATGGAAGATATACTTAACAAGTACAGCTTGGATTTTGTAATTTATGCTCAGAATAGGCTCTTTAGTATTTCTTCATTATACTGAAAGCAATATTTTTGATAGCTTACTTCGTAATTACTCTTAGAGTATTCATAAATTAATTTACTTACTCATAAACTTGCTTCTATTTAAGAGCTATGAAAATATTTCCCATTTCTAAAAATTCTGTTAAAGATTATTCAGGGTTTTTTATTAAAATAATAGTAAACTATCTTTAGTTATCATCACTCCTAATTGAATAACCTTAAATTATTCCAGTTAGCTTTGATTTTCTTGGTAATTTTATTGGCAAATCTAATAAGTAACTAAGTATAGGAATAGATTGCCTCATAAGTATAGATGCATTCAATAATTTAGGCAAAGTAACTGTTTATGCCTTGATTTAGAGCTTAATTCCTGTAGTTTTTATAGTAATTATGAGTTTTTTACTATTTGTAATTTCATAGATACGCCAAAAATATATAAAAAAATATCATTACTGGACACTATTTTAAATATTATATATATTCTTTTAGCTAGAGCAAATATCATATTTTTCTAACTCTCTAACTTGTAGATAAATAGGTTCATAGAAATATAATCCTAATGATTTAACTTAGTTATGCGAAAAATAGAGCATATAAGCTTTCATTTTACCATATTCATTAATAATTTTATTTGGATGGTCTATAATGCCATTGGCATTTTTATATTAGCTCTTTAAAAAAAGAAATAAATTAGATTAATGCAAGACAAAATATAGTCTAGGTTACTTTTATGGTGAATTGAAGAGCAAATACTACTTTTGGGAATTTGTAAGAATGTACTTAAAAGTGGCTTTAGTCTATCTGCATATCTTTATGTCTGGTTCATTTTTCAATTTTTCTTAAGTTTTAGTTATAGTTATTATTGGAACCTATATAAAAGCTGTTTTCTATTTCTAACCTTTTGTCTCTAAATAAATTACTAAGAGCGAAACTATAGCTTATACTTTTATAATTTTGAAAATGCTTTTAAAAATTCTTACATAGGATTTGAACTCAACCCAATTCACTATCGAATTATTTATTTTAGCAATAGATTATATATTTTTTATTTCATTAATAAGCATAATATTAATATATAAAGCTAGTAACTAGTAATCTATTATCGGTAGAATATTGAAAAAAGTTATTTTCAAAATTCTACCAATCACAATTGCATTAAAAATAATTAATTTTAGAAAAGTGAGTCTTAAAGCATACCTTAGATGGAAATTTATAAGATCAAATTTATACCATATAATCTAAAAAAAGGCAAATCAAAACATAGATAATATAAAGGACAAATGTGTTGATGCTAATAAATTAAGTTAGAATCAATTATCGCGACTTCGTAAAATTAATTAAAATATTTATCACATTTTTATAAAATTTTCTTAGTTTTTTAAAATAGCAACATAAATACTAACACTTATTCATAGTCTTCTAGCCCTAAATAATTAATAGAGAATCCAAAAAAGAAACACAGCTTTCAATTATATAATTATAATTAATATCCAAAAGAATAGACTATTTTCGATTATGTAAATGAAGGTGAGAGCCAAGGAGATGACTAAACAGAATAATTAGATCCAAAAAAAGTTGAATAATATTCTTTTTAGACAAGACCTTCAGTCTAATAATCCTTAACTAAAAGTTTTAAATTATTTGATATGAATGAAAAATTTACATATTAATGATTCTATGTTCTTTTAAGTATTTTGTAACATTAAAAAATATAGTTAAAAGTATTTTTTAAATTTTTGAAACTTATCTCTAGTTTTAACTCACATTAAAATAATTAATTAATTTTAAAATTTATAGAATAATCATTTTTATTTAATTTTATATTTAAATCATATAAAAATATTTCTACATATTGATCAATAGCAACTCTTCTAAAAGTAAAAGATAAACAAACAAAAATGTAGTCACCATTTTATAAGTTTACTATTTTTGTCAAAGTTTGATGTTTATTTTACTCACTCACGTGCCAATATAGAAAGGTCTTATTTTAAAAAATCAATTTTTTGCAAAAAGTAGCTTGAATAGTAATAATAATCATCTCTTTTTACTTAATTAACTAGACTCTAACTAATTTTTTATGTTTGATATTTAAAAATAATCTATTTTATCAGATTAATGTTAAAATAGACGATTAAAGTGTCTCTTTGTTAAATTATAAAAAATATATTGGCGTCTCTACCAATATTTTGAATTTATTAAAATATAACTTTCGTAAACCAAAACAAAAAATAAGTATAATTTATTACATTTAAATAGATTCATTTATTTAAAATACTCTCATTATGGATATTTGTCTAAGAAGAAAATCGCTTGAGAAATCAAAATAAAATAAGGGTGAAGAGTAAAAAAATCTTCATTTTGATGATTTTGACTTAGCTGATAGTGATAGAGAAGATTATCATAATAACGTAGATATATTATTTGTTTTAGATACAACAGGATCTATGGGAAGTTATTTTTAGCCAGCTATTGATACAATCAAAAAAATTGTTGAAAAATTTAATAAAATGGAATTCAATATCAAATTTGGTCTATGTGCCTACAGAGTAATTATAAATTTTAATTAATATATGAATGTATTTTTTTTGTAAAATATTTTATTTTAGATATAATTAATTTAATATCTTAAGATTTAGAGCTTTTAATCTAAACAAGGCTGTTATGAGCTAATATTAATTAATTAAATAAAAAATCAAAAACTAATTAAATTTATTTCTACTTTACAAAAATTAAAAAATTTAAAAAATCTTAACATAAAATAATTAATGATAGGATCATCCTCCACAAGAAAGTTCATATGTTACAGAATTTACGGATTTAACTACATCTAAAAATTTAGTTCAAGTCCTATCTAAACTTAGCGCATAAGGTGGTGGAGATGGGCCAGAAGCTGTTATGGATGGTCTGAGAGAGGGTCTAAAGAATTCTTCATGGAGATTAAGTGAAGATGGATTGACTTTTAGTAAAAGGTAATTAAATTTCTCTTTAAAATTAAAAACAAAAATATTTAATTTACTACTTTTAAGGTTTTTATTCCACATTTGTGATGCCCCTCCTCACGGATCAGAGTATGGAGGGCTTAGTTCAGACCCTTCTTGGCAATAAAATGGCTGTCCTTGTGGAACTAAAAAGGAAGATATCAATAACTTACTAAAATAATATAAAGTAGATTATCATTTAATAAAAGCAGTCAATGAAGTAAATAAAATGGAGGAAGTATTTTAAAAATGCTTTGAATAAAATTATGCTGAAACTATAGAATTAGATTTACCTTCCAATTATGATTAATATGATTGCAGAGAAGATTGTTATGATGATATAGGCTGTACTTATAAAGAGGAATATATTTGTGCCATTGATGATGTTAAGCTACAAAATGAATCTGAATGTTTAAAGTTTGATTCTGATTAATAATTAGAATTACCTTATAGAGATGATACAGTATTAAAATGTGCTAAAGCTGAAAAGATTGAAACTCCTATAGTCTCTCAAAAAAAGTAAATGTGGGAAGGAGTAATTAGTGCACTTGATAAGAAATTGATTTGATTTAGTAAAGTAAAAAGAAGTATAATTTATAAATATTAATTTAATAACCAAAAAGTAAATATTAAAAATTACTTAATATTATAAAATATTAACTAAAATTATTTTTATTAAAATCTATTATTTAATATATAGCTGTTCCTGCATTTGATATTACTAATGAATATTTTTTTTTTCTAAATCTTAATTATTTTCTCTCTAAATTTCTTAAATATTAAATAGATTTTTTTTTATTTTTTATAAGAATTTATTACTTTTTATATATTTTAAACATTAATTAATAAAATTTTTTATTAAATTAATTTATTAGATAAATATTTCTATAAAAATATATTACTCAAAAAAATTAATTTAAATAATACCTTTCATTATGACTTTAATCATATTTTTATCTATTTTTCTTTTTAGTGCAAATGATATTAGTAAGTGCTATTAATATATTTAAATTAACAAAAATAAACACAAAGTTATTTATTTATCTTAATACTTAAAGATATATAAGAAATAGTATCAATAAAAACTAAATAAAAAAATGAAATAAAGAACATTTCCAAATTTTTTTATCATTTAGTTCATAGCAATATATCTTTGTATTTGCTAAAACAATAATAATTGTGGTATTGGATGTTTAAATTGCATTAAATAAGATAATTAGATAAATAGCTTTATTTGTGTTGAATGTTACTAGAACTATTAATTAGATACAATAACAAAAAAATGTGTTCATTCTGCTTGCTTAGATGGCTTCTACTTATAAATAGATGAATCTTAAACAAATGAATCTTTTGGAAACTGTGTATCAATTTGCAGTCCACTTTACATTGGCGATCCTCTTCAGAAAATTTGTAAAAAACTTTTATAATGTTCATCATAATTTAAAACATAGTAGAACTTCCTTGGGTCTGATACTCCATAGTAAATATTAGTATACTAAAACATATACTACGTTGTTATTTAGGTAGGATACTTATCTATTTATGATAAAGTATCTGCTTAATTGATTAGACATACTAATTTCCTTAGTAATGACTTGATTGTTATAAGTTTAGATGGAAATATTATAGTCATAACAATTAAAAATCAAATTTTTATTTGGGATGTTATTACAGAAAATAGAAAACTAATTTATAATTCAAATGAATTTTTTATTGATCAACAATCAAAGTTATTTAAATTGAATAATTAATTTATGCTAATAAGATCAACTATCAATAATTAGCATAATTTCTAAATAATCTATGACTTAAAAAATAATTTGCCTTTAACTTCAAATATATTTAAAATTAGCTTTAATGGAAGTTAATTATCATTCCAATCAAATTTATTAGTTTAATAAAATGCTTAAAGTATAATTGTTTAATAGCTTACTTATTAAAATAATTTACTATAAATAAATGGTTTAATTAATTGTGATATCTCAAATGTTAGTGCATAAATATCTATCTTAGAAACATCTTATTCATACAGGTATTTTTCAATACATTAAAATGGAGTGCTAGACATTAATTTTCAAGATAACTTATGTTTAATAGTAATTTCAAATCAGAAAATTCTAAAAGGGAAAATAATTGAAATAAACAATCCTTCATATAATATTTATTTAATAATTCTGACTTAAAGCTCTTTTTTTAATTACAACCTTAGCTCATAAGCAACCAAGTTTGTTGATGAATACAGCAATGATATTATTTTAGATTTTGAAGTGGGTAATTTTTTAAGCAAAAACAATTAAATAATTGTCCTTGATGATTTGTTAAATTTAAAGATATATAATTTCTAATAATCAGATTCAACATTTTAAATCTATTAAACAACAAATTTCCCAACCTTTTAAAATTAATAATTATTAAAAATAAAAAATATGTATAGTGATACAATTATTTAAGAAAGTTGTTAGTCATATGATCTTGTATTTATTAATTCTGAAATTTAAATAATTAGATAAAGTCCGACCTATATTTCTTAATTAGAAATAAAAATAGTAGATAATTATTAAATGCCCTACCCAACTCCTAATTCTTAAGTAAATTCTATGATTTAAATTTATCAACCTCCTTTACTAATAACTTGTCACTAAAATGGAGATATAATATTCTATGATACTTCATAAGGAATTGATATCTAATTAATTAGAGTTATTTCTAATAACTAACTTTAATGTTTGTAAATTGGAAGATTTTCAAATAATTTTGTTGTTGCATAGATGAATAATATCATTTTTTTAATAAATCCATTTTTATAATTGATAGTTAATTAATTTTCAGATGTAAGCAAAATAAATTCTTTTTCTATAAATTTTGATAAGATAGCTATAAGCTATAATAATTGCATAACGATACTATCTTCTGATTTTTAGTAATTATTTAATTAATGTGATAATAACTAATTCAATTAAATATAAAATATATATTTAAATAGTGATTTAAAATTAGTGGTATATAACACATTCTAAATCTAAATATATTAAATAACAATAGATTAATAACAATAACAATCCAAATTGATTAGCTAATTAAACACCTAAAATTAAATTACATATGTGAATTGTGTTTAAATATTTACTACCGATTAAGATGTCATTAGCAATTAATTTATTATTGAAGAAATATTAACATTTGATAATAAATAAAATTTTGATATCTACAATTTTTCTTTAGAATTAATTCATCAAGTTCCAAATGTCGCCCTAATCTCTGTAAACCAAGCTAAGAGAGTTATTAATGATGATTCAGTTTATTTCTTAGTAGGTTTCTCTGCAACATCAAATCCTGTTGTGAGAATTCATGCTATTCAAAAAAATTCAACATCTTCTTTTGAAAATACCTACACTTATTAACATTCACCTTTCATAGATGATCCTATAAAAATTGTTAACGATGCAGGAAAAGTTTTTTATCATGTTAAACATATCATGTAATTAAATTTTTTTACAGTTCACGAAGAGTATTAATTTGATTTAAGTAGAAATATTATATACACTTGTGGGCATGATTATGTGTAAAGTGCTACATAGATAACTTAAACTAAAATGAAAATTGGTTCCAATAATAACTATTTGGATTATGTTGGTACATAATAAGGATTATCATGTGCTTTAAAGTACTAATTTAAAAGATACTAAGTACTTGATAACCAATATTTTATGTCGAACTAGCACTAAGATGATGAAATATAAGAGGTTATATAAAGTACAACTCTTTACATGTATTTTGTAAGAACAAAATATTAAATAACTTCATTTAATTTGTTTACAAACTCTTTCATAGAATTAATTCCTCCATAATCAAAATATGATACTCCATTTAGTGCTATTAATGAAATATCTAGCTTATAAAGTATTATTTGTTGGAGCTATAACTAAATACTTTTATCAATGTATGGTAATATTAATAAAAAATATTATTATAAAGGAATGAAATAAATAAATGGATGGATTTTTGATGATCTAAGTTAATAATTTTATATATACGGGTCTTAATTAGTAAAGTTGGATTCTTCAATGAACTTGTTGTATGTTATTTCGAATGACAAAACATTCATTTAATGCAAAAATACTTAAAATTTTATAGTATGTAGCAATTCTCTTACTTAATTTACAATAATAAATAAAACTTTAAATAAGATAAAGTTAACAGTTAACTTAAATGGATTTTAGAATCAATTTAATATAGGCATAGATGAAAATAATCAAAATATTTATCTATATTATGATTAAATATAAGTTTATAGTCTAATTGGTACCTATATATACACTTTGTCTGAAAATTATGGGATATTCACAAGCTTTGAAGTTCAAAAAGACTACATCATATTTCATTCTTCTTAATGTAAAATATTTATTGAATTTGAATTTGCTTATTAGTTATTTTTACATTTTAAAATATTTTAAGAAAAATAATTTATTCATTTTATCTTTTTAGATTATCAATATTTTATAATTCTAGGTACTAAATATATTTCAAATAAGCTAATATAATTAATTCTATTTTGTTTTCATTTTAAGTTTATTTCTTTCTACAAATATAATCTTAAAATTTTTATTTAATTATTAAAAGATGTTGTTTTCTTAAATAAGATTAATTTTTCAGAAAGTTGTAAGATTTAAGCTCCTTCTGGTTTAAGCATACTAAATTACCTTTTTATTAAGTAGCTTTCTTAAATAATTCTTTATACTAATAACTCATTATTTGCATAGATATATGTGTATAATATACCTTCTTAATCTTTAGCAGGAAAAATAATTGGTGCTTTTAATTGGAATAAAGTAGGGTTAGTAGTATAAACTTATTATGATGAAAATGTAACAAAATTGTCATTTTTAGATGATGTAGGTAATTTTTATGTCTATGAGCTTTATAATGAATACAATATTAGAAATAACTTTAAGATAAGTGAGGTTTCTGATAGAAATGAATAATTGTTGGGTTTCACTTTTGATAATATATATAATAACATTTTTGTATATAGTAAAACTTCTATTTATTAAATTAATTATAGCAAAGAAGGTGTTAAATATTAATTTGGGCTAACAGAATCTCCAAAATTATTTACTTCCTTTCCTGTAAGTAATTAAGAAATACAATTTTTGATTATCAACAAAGATTCTAATGTTCTTAAGTATTAAAATTTCTCTATGACCTATGAAACTACATTTAATTAACCACCTATAGATGTATCATATGATACTTCTCGAGATATTTTAATTTATGGGTTCAGCAACTAAATAATTTTTTATTAACTATATTAATCTTCTATCAATAATAATATTCTACCAAATTAGCTAACATTAAACTAAATATAGTTCTATCGCTTCTTATTAAATGATGTATATCTTACATATGATAAAAAGATTATTCATTGTAATATTTAATCAGCAACTATAATAAATATAATCTAGCTAGATATACAAATTTTCATAACAAATTTTGCTTCAAATAGAAGCAAAAGTACACTTTTTGTAGGTTTTAGTAATGGGTAAATGCTTTAATATAATTTAAAAGATAAATCATGTAAGTACTATAATTTATCAACAGATACTTCTGCAATTAATATATCTGTAATTAAATTAATAGTTAATGAATAAAATTAATCTTAACCTCAAGTTCTATATGTAACAAATGGAGGATTGTTGATAATTATAGATTCAAATAAATAATAAATAATTTAGTAAATTAACCTAATTTAACTAGTAAATGAAGAAATAAATATAAACCTATAAAATTTTATTTTTGACCAAATTTATTCTAAATATATTTTCTTTTTTAGTGGTTAAAAAAGAGTATATGTTTGGAATATTGATACTAAATAATAAGAAATTTTTTTAATGCTGCCAAATGACCAAGGAAATTAGATTAAATTAACAGACTCCTTTATTTTGACATCCTGTAGCTACTAAATCAATGTATATACAAGAAGTTAAACAATATAGCTATTGACAATTATCAAAAAAAACAATTTTTAGGATTTTATTTTAGACTATCATGCCATAAATGATAATTAAATTGTATTATTACTTTAAAATAGGTATGAATTATATTTGCTGCAAGGCAACACTTTTTAACTTATTTCCTAATAGTCATATTAATATCCAAGATTTTTAGGATACATTTACAATTAAGAATAAAACATCATAAAATTATACATATTACATTAATCAGGAGTATTTTAGGATAATATTAGCTTAAGCATCTATTAAGATTAAAATGCTTATTAATGTGCATCTATTATTAATAGCTCTAGTTTACTATAAGCTGAATAAATAATAACTTCTTTGGTCCCAAAATATGTTGAGGCTTTTAGCTTTTTTGGAAAAATTTTGATGAACTAAAATACATGGAATAATATATTATTTCTTTAATTACCAGGAAACTAATTTGAAACAATCAATAATTTTATGACATAGGAAAATATATAAAATGTTTAAGTAATAATGTCTGCTTAAAGCTTAAGTTCAAATAACTTAACTATAACACAAGATACTTTTAATACTCTCTCTCAGTAAAATTTCTACCTTTAAGATTTCTTTTTCATTTTTAATAATAGTTCTAATTCCACTTACTAAATAAATCTCAACCAAAATACTTAAAATGTTACCTGGTAGAATATATCTGTAATATAATAGCAGATTAGTTTAACATAATTGACATTCCAAGATATTGACCATATAAATCTAAATTAGATTAAACTCAGCGGATTATAAAACTATGGAAAATAAGAAAGTAGTCTTTTAAAATTCATGAATATTAAAGTTGTGGAGATTTCAGATTTGATAATATAGAACTGTATATTTTAGCCTAATTCTTAAAAATATTTCTTTGACTTTTATGATGTTAAAAATGTAACAATAAAAAACGTCTAAATATAATAAAACATAGATGTTAATTAAATTTTTAGATTTTCATTAATCGGCTAATTGAATTTAAGAAATATTAGCATCACTTAAAATTAGGCTAGTCTTTAAGGTAGTTCCTATAATATATATAATTTAGCTCTCTTTTAACTATTTGGTTGCTCCTATTCTTTTTTTGCTGATTCTTTTATTCAGAATAATATTGGTATAGCAATCATATAATCATACAGTAATTACACTTAAGGGAGTTAATTAATTACTTTTATTGACGACTTAATAGTCTTTTAAAACACAACATTAATATAAAATGTTATTTAATAGCATTTGATTTAAATAAAAAGCTCATATGTTTAAATAAACTATATTAACTTTACTAGCAATGAAGGTGGATTTTTGATAGATTCATCTAGTTAAGTTTAATTTTCTAAATCTATATTCAATAAAAATACAGCTTAAAATGGTGGAGCTATTTAATTTAAAAATGTGATTTCATTAATTCAATTAAATGAGTCTTAGTTTTCAAAAAACAGAGCCAAAGGTAGTGGAGGTGCGTTTTATATAGAAAATATTGGAACTTGCTAAATAAAATTTGATAAAGACACTTAAATTGTAAATAATTATGCTTTAATAGGTGGAGGAATAAGAATAGTTTAAACAAATTCTTAATACTTAAACATACCCACTAATTTCCCATTTTAAGTAAATGTGTTTAATAATTAAGCTGAAATTTATGGCAATGATTCAGCAACTTATTTGCAAAATCTAATAATTTAAAATTATTATGACCCAAATTAAAGTACTGATTATGAATTTGAGTTTTAGAACAACCAGAGCTAAGTTCCATCCTTTTATTAATCTGATTATTAAAAATATATTGAAATAAAAAATTTCTAAAGTGGAGGGTATTTGGCTTTGAGAATATATATAATAGATAATTATAATAGATACCTTACTTTTTCTAAAGAGACACTTACTAGCAATTTATACCCTAGTGATATTCAATAAGAGCTATAAAACATTCAGATATAAATTTCCAATTAAAATATTTAATAAACCTAGCTTATAGGAGAAAAGATATTGAATTATAATCAATATAACGAAACAAGCCAAAGCTTTGAGCTCACAGGTCTTTAAATTTAAGGAGTTTTATCAAGCCTATAAATATTTACTTTAAGCTCTAATATTTACTCTTAATCAATAATTCAAAAACCAATTGCTATGTAAATTATTTTTCGATAATGTAAATTGGGAGAGATAATATAATAGTCAACAAATTTAATAAATACTTGTAAATAATGTTAGTCTGGTTCATATTAACTTATAGATCCTTAGATTTTATATAAAAATTCGTAAAACCAATAGCAAAATGGTGTTAAAAATGAATGCAACTCATGTCCTTTTTCAGCTATAAGCTGCTAAGGTGCAACAGTTATGTTGAAAAATGGATATTGGAGAAGTGATAATTTTTCTGATGAAATATTGGCTTGCGATTCTAATATTGGATCATGCTAAGAATAAAATCCATAGAATCAGCAAGGATGTATAGAAGGTTATATGGGTCCTTTATGCGAATAGTGTGACACAATTGGATAAATTTGGAAAAATAAAAGGTATACTTAACAATTTTAATTAGGGAAGTGTGAAGTTTGCTCTTAAAGTACATTATAATATGCTTTCTTGGTTTTAAAAGGATTTTTTTTCATCGGATATTTACTTTTTACTTTAAAAGTTTTTATTAACTAATTTATTTTTTCATAAAGATGCTATTATTTAAGAGCAATGAAAATCATACCAGTTTCTAAAAATTCAATAAAAGATAAATCAGGTTTTTTTATAAAAATTATTGTGAATTATACTTAATTATCATATATTTTAATTGGTCAGCCTCAACTTATACCTATAAACATAAACATTCTTGGAAACTTAATTGGATAAACAAATAGGTAATTTGCTTTTGGTATAGAATGTATTCTTAGTGCATAAACTATAGAAAAAACTGGAAAAATAGTTATTAGTGCCTTGATTTAAAGCTTTATTCCTATTTTCTTTATTAGTCTACTTTATCTTTGCTTTTATATAATTCAAATTTTTAGTAAGAAAGTAATTAAAAAGCATCATTATATCACTTTATTTTCGATATTATTTACTTTCTTTTAAGTAGAATAGATTTCTTACTTTTCTAATTCATTAACATGCAGATAAATAGGATCTAAGAAGTACAATCCAAATGATCTAACCTAACTATGTGATTAAACTAACATAAAAACATTCATATATCCATATTCATTAATAATCTTGTTTCTATGGTCTTTTATACCTTTGGTTTTCCTATTTATGCTGATCAAAAAAAGAAAGCGCTTAAACGAATGTTCCACAAAATATAATCTTGGCTACTTTTATGGGGAACTAAAAGAAAGGTATTATTATTGGGAGTTTGTTAGAATTTATAAAAAAATATTGATAGTTTATATTCATATTCTTCTATCAAATACTTTTATAAATTCTTCAACAATTCTAATCATTTTCATATTTGTATTCTATTTAAAATTTGTTTTTTAAATAAAGCCTTTTATTTAATTAAGAATCACCTATATTGAATTAACAGCTTATAGTTTAATAGTTTTTAAAGTCTTTTTGGTAAGTATTATTTAAGATAAAAGCTCTACTTAATTTTTTATGGAGGCTTTCATTATGGCTTTAGATTTTCTATTTTTCATTCACTTAATTTGTATTATTTTGGCTTATAAAGCAAGCGATAAAAATTCTTGGTTCGGAAGAGGATTAAATTTTCTCTTAAGAAAAATTTTACCAAAAAGGTACATTAAATAGATAAATAACTTGAGTTAAGTTAGTAGTAAAGTATATTTTAGATGGAAATTTTTAAGATCAAATATCAGTAAAATTATTCATGACAAAGCTAACTAAAATATTAGCAACTTAAATAATAATTTTACATAACCCATACAAGCTATATCAAGCAACCTTAATTCAGATACTTAATGCTACCGTAATTATTTTAATTTAAGCAGTGTATTAATTTAATTTTTATATAAAAGCATTAACTGGTAATATGTAATTATCCTCGAAAGCGTCCTCGTGCAATAGTCCCAAATTTGAACTTAATAAAAAGAATAATTCAGTTTTCAGGCTTTTTAAGTATAAAAAATAGCAATCTGAAGATGTTGATGAAGATGGTCAAGATTATATCATAGAAACTAGCTAATAAAATAATCTAGTTTAAGAGCCTTAGAAAGTTGAATCCTATAGTTTTAAAACAAGGTCATCGATACACAAACAGTACAATTTAGATAGTTCATCTAAATAAATCAAAATAAATAATGCATTTTAATGAATTTATGAAACAGTTTATATATATAAATATATGTTAAAATTTTAAAGCAAAGATTTATGATAAATTTTTTAAATTTAATTAATTATTAATAAAATTATTTTGAGAAATTTTAAATATAGTTTAAAATTTATTAAGATTTATGAATTCTATTTAATAAATAATTTTAATTTTTTCACATACTAAAAACGAATGAATACAAATTTATAAAATTCTTAAATAAATTAACTAATAGTCAAATTAATAAAATTGAAATTTCTATTGTGTTTTCATCTTTTTTATTTTTTTTGTATACTTGGTTCAAGATTAGGATTACCCATGTTAGAATTTTGATGTTAATTAGGCATCAATCTTTGCATAAGAGCCTTAGAATCCAGATTCTCTTTTATTGAAGAAACAATATCTTTAGCTATTTTTTTATTATTTGAAAAGTTTTTATCTAATCTATATCTATCAAAACCCCATCCTTTAGAGAATTTATTCTCTTTATAAGTTTATTTTTAGCTAGCTATCCATTTACGATTATCATCTTAATTGCTATCATCTGGAAATTCTGGTAAAACTAATATTTTATCAGTGTCACTTGTATAAATTTTCTTGATTATTTCTCCCTTATCTTAATCCAAATCAATCCACTTGCATTCTGCAACAACACCTTTGGCACCTTCTTTTTCACTTGTTTTTTGAATAACTTCTTCGAAAAAGTCTGGGTCTACAATCATAAAATCAAAAAATGTTATTTCATAATTTTTTCTCTCCAAATTGTTATCCATAACATATAAATCTATAACTCTTGATTATAGAAGATAATTTCCATCGCTTTTTTTTTCGTCAATACCGCATAATATATTGTCTTAGTTTGCCACTAGAAGAAAGTCTATTGTATTCATTGATGGAGGCTTCCATTTAATTATATTTTCGTCAGTTCCTGGTTTATAAATTGAGTTATTTTTAGTGAAAATCAAACCATCATTGTGATGAGGAAGAGAAGGTATGTAATTATCAAATAAGTAGTTGCAGTATTTTATTTTGAAAAAATCTTTAACACATATCGAAATAACAAGATCATTTTCTGAATCTTCAAAATTATCAGTCTCTCCTGTTTCTAAAAATTAAGACAGAGCTTTAGCTTTAAATTCACAAAATGGCTAAGGTTTTGGCAGTTCCTCTCCATTAATCTCATAGAGACTATTATTGTATTGCACAAAGTATAATGCATTTGTGAGACGATTTAAATAATCAATATTAGAAACCTTCTCTCCAAAATGAACTAAGCAATCAAAAACTAAATATTTTAAATAGTAATTGTCACCTTTTTTGTCTAAAACTAATTCTCCATCAAAAATTTCTAAAATTTGCAAATTCTCCTCTTCATCATCATTTTCATCAATGAATAGTTGCTTATTTAACTAAACATTGATTTAGTTTAGCTTATATTTATTTTCAGAATCAGTAGAGGTATTTCTTCCTGTTAAGTAGCAATAACCATTATTTGTAATTACCATTATATATCTTACACCATCTGTTTTCTCACAAACAATATAGCTAATATCTGCTTAATCTCTTTCTTCTCTTATCCTATCAGCATGACTATTTCTCATTGAAACAGGTTAAGCACCAATAAAATCAATTCTTTCTATTTTTCTTGGATCTGTTATTTTATTTTCAATCAACATTTCTTTTTTAAATTCATTCAAGTATCCTTAAATGTAGTTAAATTCTTCTCCCATAATGACTTCATTACCAGGCCTATGCAAAAGAATTTGAAAATCTCCCATAGTAACTATTTAATTGATTGTATTTTAAATTATTCTAATAATTTTTTTGACGAAATATTAATTATAAATTAAATTTAGGTATTTGAGCTAACAATATTATCAAACAAGCTAGATATATTAATATGCTCAAGACTTTTATTTAATTTATTTTAGACACAAAATTATTATAAGAAATCAATTCAAATAAAATCTAATTTAAAAAAAGTATTTTATAATAAAATAGAATAATTTCCTTAATATATACATCTATTTACTAAAAAAATAAAAATAAAATAGTAAATTACCTTAACTAAACACACATATTTGTATAATCAAACTATAATATCTTGTTATCAAATAATTAATCTTGAATTATTTTTTTAAATTAGATACCAAATTTTTAGAGGATGATGATCTCAATTTATTTTATCCTATATAATATTTAAAATAAATAGTTATGCAAGATTATGAGTTTAAAGTTGGGAAAATTTCAGTTCTTTTATTTCCTTGTTATCAACAAATTACTAAAGAAAGTTAATATTTTTAAAGCATATAAATTGTTTATTTTTATATTTTTATGCTAAAATTTCTAAAATATAGACTAAGGACTAAAAGATTACTATGAAAAGTAAAATTGAATTTATATTTTGATATTTTTTAATTTTCATTAAAAGGTTAAAAAAAAATAAGAAATAAAATAATATAAAAGTGAAAGTATTTTAAATTTATTAAACAATAACAAAATACTCTTAATGACTATTCATTTCAAGCTAATACTTTTAATTTTTGAAAATTCTAATTAATTCTATTTAATTGTAAGTGTTTCTAAAAATTATATCAAAATAAATTCGTATAAATATCTGATTTTTGATTTTATTTAAGCTGTTATTAGTAATAAATATAATCAAATATATTTTCTTTTACTTAAAAGTTTTTATTTGTCAACGTAAAAATGAATTAATAATTTTTCTTAAATTAGTGCATTTAAACCACAGTGAATTTTAATTAAAAATATTAAGCATTTAATTATTTAATTGTTTCTTTTTATTAAATAAAAATTTTAGCACAGAAAAACTCTACTGTAATTCTTTTTATATGATTATTAACATTTTAAAACAAATTTTTTTTACAAAAGTTTTTAAGTGCTATTATGTTATTAATTTAATAAGTAATTTAGTGGCTAATAAACTCAAAGAAACACAATATGTAAAAATAAGGAAAATGAAAGTTTGGAATTAAGTTAATAGCTTATAAATAAATTGACTGAATAGTTATTTAGAATAAATAGTTGACAGAATTGGATGAGGCATCATCATCATTATTTATATTGAGATAGGAATAAAAAATTAGATAAAAAGAATAGAATCCTTAGTAAATACATAAAACAATTATTTTTTTGATAATTCTTAAGACAAAAATTAAAAAATTAAGAAAAAAAACAAAGCAAAGCAGATTAATACATACATACAATCAAACAACATATTTAAAATAGATTAAGCAAACTATGGAGCATTAGGTGCCTAAAGAAATTATAGAATACTACAAACCATATGAAAACAAGAAATCAAATATTAGAGTTTAAAATGTATTGAGTGCCTCTAAATTTGAAATGGACGATAATTATAGTATCATAGACTCAAGTAGGCATTATTATTTCATATTCCAAACACATGAGTTTTCTATCAATTAGTTAATTCCCTAATTTCACAAAATCTTTTTTTAAGTCTGATTTTTTTAATGTGGAATAAAGTAGATTTTCATAAAATAGAAGCTAAACAAAAAGCTTGATGCAATCATTATTTTTAATAACTTTCATATATAAATAATAATTAAAATATAGTTGGTCAGGGAGCTTATGGTATTGTTGTAGCAGCTAGAGACTTGAATTGTTAGGACGAAGAGAATAATTTGGTAGCAATCAAAAAAATAGAAAAAGCATTTGAACATAAAATATTTACAAAAAGAACATTGAGAGAACTGCGTTTACTTAGATTGCTTAAGCACGAAAATGTAAAAATATTATGAAATTTGAAAACAAATCAGCTCAATTTAGAGTTAATTAAAAAAATCAAAACATTAAGTTTTATAATTATTCGCGCAATACAGACATAGCCCGACTAAATTGAAAAAAAGATATTTGTTTATTCCAAATTAAATTTGTTATATAATATTTTATTGTTAAATTATAGATTATCGGCATCAATACATTATTATTACCTAGATCAAGAGAAAAATTTGAAGATATGTAAATAATGGCTTTTACTTTATCATTTCTTGCTTCAATTTATTTATAGGCAATAAAGCTATTTTGATTTTGTTTGTTTGTTAAGTTTTTGCTAATCAAACTTAAAGGAGAAATAAATAATAGCAAGCTGATTAACTAAAAAGCAATTAATAGAGAGAAAATGTAAAATTAAATTCTTTTTTAAATGATAGATATGTAGTTTCTGAGTTGATGGAGACAGATTTAGCATCAATTATAAAAAGTGAACAACCACTTACTGATGAGCATTGTCAATTCTTCCTATACTAAATCCTTCGTGGTTTAAAATATATACATTCAGCAAAGGTCGTTCATCGTGACTTAGTATGCAAAATTTGATTTATTTAACAATTCAAAGTGGGTTACTAGATATATTTTTTGAAATTTTTATAAAATTTATCTTAAAATTTAATTTAAAAATGCTTTAAGAAAATAATAAATTTTCTCTTTTTGATAAATAAATCTAGTTTACTTTGCTAAAAATCCAATTTAAAAAGTATTTTTGATCTAAATTTTCAAAATTAATTTCATTTATTTAATTAATATTTTTATTAATCATTATTATTTGTATCAGAAACCTAGAAATTTGCTTGTAAATTCTAACTGTGATTTAAAAATTTGTGATTTTGGTTTAGCTAGAACAATTATTCCTGGGCTAAAGTGTAGAGCTGGTATGCTAACAGATTATGTTGCAACCAGGTGGTATAGAGCCCCAGAACTTCTTTTATCTTGGAGAGACTATGATGAAAAAGGTACTTTCACTTTTCAAAACAAGAAAAAATTGAATATTTTTGCATTAAAAATAAAAAATAGTTGATGTCTGGTCGGTAGGTTGTATTTTTGCAGAACTATTGAGAAGAAAACCATTTTTACCAGGAATAGATAGTAAAAAATAAACTAAATTACTTTCTTAAAATACTTAAATAAAATTAATTTAAAATAAACAGCAAGAAATCAAATAGAGCTTATTTTTGAGTATCTGGGTACTCCTAGTGAATAAGAAATAAATAATATTCCAAGAGAAAAGTTTAGAAAAATGGTTAAAAACATGCCTAAGAGATAGCCAAAGCAGTTTGAAAAATTATTCAGCAAAGCCTCAAAAGAAGGTAAAACCAGATATTAAATATTTAAATTATCTACTTAAATCAAATTAAATTGTATAAAAAAAGCAATTGATTTACTTAGAAAACTTTTGACTTTTGATTTCACAAAAAGAATTACCGTAGATGAAGCTTTAAGCCATCCTTATTTATCTGAATTGCATTTCCCTGAAGATGAAGTGAGAATTTAACTTATTCTTAATTTATAAATTAACTTATATTTTTAATTTCATAAAAATATATTTTCTTATTAAAAATAGCCAACATGTGAGCCTGTTTCTAAGCTTGATTTTGAATTTGAAGAGCATAATCTTACTTTACAGTAATTAAAAGGTAAAATAATAACAAGTAAATTTGTTTCTAAAATATTTTATTGAAAAATAGACCTCATATACGAAGAAATATTATATTATCACTATCCCTCATTTAAACAAGAATACGAAACTAAAAAAGCAAATGGTTAGTCTCTTATTTCTCATATCATAAATAATGCTAATAGAAATGTGGTAAACAATATTTTCATTAAAAACAAAAAACCAAATTAACAATAACATATTAAAAGCCTGATCCCCACTCGAGCGATGATGATTAAAGTGATGATGATGACGAAAATTGATAGGAATTATATTAAATCAACTAAATTATAGCAAATAATAGTTTTAATAATAGACTTCAATAATAAACAATTAAATAAAAATAAAAGAAATTAAGTAAGAAATAAACTGTAATCAAAAGCAATCTATCTTAAAGTTTAGGAAGAATATTAAAGTCTGTTTGGCATTTTAATTTTATTATATAGATTAATATTTCTAACCAAAGTTTTATTGAGAATAAGAGTTTTTACTAAATCTATTTTCTCCTTATATAATGTATAGTAATAATGATCTTTCGTTTTATTAACATTTTATTAAAAAGTATTCCTTCTTCAATATATCATTCATTCATTATATAAATTTAAAATATCTAAAAACAGATAAAAAAATTCAATAATTTTTACCTAAAAACACCAAATTTCTGATTTTATATAAAGCAGATGATAAAAGTATCTGTTAATAACTATTTTTGTGAATTCAAAATAATCAAAATAAATATTTTTAAATTATCCATTTTTTTTAATTAAATTAAAATTAGCCTAACATATTTTATAGCAAACATTTAATAAATATAATTTTGAGTCTTTTACTATTTAATTACTTAAAATGATTAAATCTTTATTTTTTTCAATATGTAATTTATATATGCAAATTTATAAATAAAATTGTTTAATTTTAAAAAATAAAAAAATTTTCCTATTCAGTTTTAAAAAAATATAAATTTTAATAATTTTTTCTTTACCAGGTGACATCTCAAAGCTGAATTAAATGCTACAAAGAGACCTATATGAAAAAACTTGATAAAAGAAAGAAGAAAAAAAAATAGATATCTCAAATAAACCAAAATTGGGAGAAGTATCAGAAGACAAAAATCAAAAAAAGGAAAAGCTATGTAAATAGTTTCATAATGGTGAAAACGAGAATTCTGAAACCCATGATTCAAGATCAAATAAATATTAAGAATAATAATATCATTTTTATTTCTATTATTATTAATTTTTACACTTATTTTGTGAAAGAGGTTTATATTCTGTGTTATTAAGTACATATGTATATAAAGATTTATTTTAAAAATATATTCTCATCATAAAATTAAGATTTTTTGGGGTTGGGGTTGGGGTTGGGGTTGGGGTTGGGGTTGGGGTTGGGGTTGGGGTTGGGGTTGGGGTTGGGGTTGGGGTTGGGGTTGGGGTTGGGGTTGGGGTTGGGGTTGGGGTTGGGGTTGGGGTTGGGGTTGGGGTTGGGGTTGGGGTTGGGGTTGGGGTTGGGGTTGGGGTTGGGGTTGGGGTTGGGGTTGGGGTTGGGGTTGGGGTTGGGGTTGGGGTTGGGGTTGGGGTTGGGGTTGGGGTTGGGGTTGGGGTTGGGGTTGGGGTTGGGGTTGGGGTTGGGGTTGGGGTTGGGGT